CTATGATGGATATAACTGGTTAATAGTCAAATGCCAACATAAGGAAACTCATTGGTAAACACTCGTACAATAATAACAAAGAAAAGGCTTCATGTAAGTAAAACTTTCTCTGATTAATCAAATCAAGTCAAGAAAGGTCACGAATAAGTATATCAAGATAATGTTAGCCTAACATCTTTTGATAAATTATCCTTTGAAGCATTCTCAATGGAATTTATTTGGTAGTCTACTGTGGAAAGTGTCCAACTTACCCTTGTCATAAATAACTTAGGTTGCACGGTATATTAGAAATTTTATTCAGCTAAATGCTTTTTCGATACTTCAAAAACCGAAATAAAAGCATAATAACATCGACAAAATAATCCTAAATTTTTCATCAGTGGTAATATACTCTCTCAAATATAAGAGATTATTGTCACGATGGTCAGATATTATGTGCCTACAGCAGATACAGGTACATCCTAGCTAATGAAAGAGGATAGTTGATAAGATACAATGGGGTTTATCTGTAGGACAGTCTTCGTATTACTAGAATATAGGTTTAGTTGTGTTGTCTAGTGACACTTATAATTGCACTTCGCGTTTTCGCCGGTCTGCAAACATTATAACTGGAAGAATTACAGCTATCAAGTAATACGTCCACATCTTCTGAAAATGATGCGTAAAGTTCAATGCTTAAAAATGTATGGGTAGCTTCATTATAAAGGTTCCCACAATATAACAATCCCATAATTAACCGGTTAAGCATTAAAAAGTTCATTCCGCCTTCTTTATAATGTCTAACAACGATAATAATGTTCGCATTTGATATTATTGATAGCTATAAATCATTCTTTGCATATTGAGAAAATCAATCTACATCCTACAGGCGGCATTTGATGACCCTTCAAACCAATAATGGAATAATAAACAGACTCACAGATATACTGATTTTGTATATCTGTATGATTTACTGACCACAAGCCCCAACCCAGTACGCTAGTCAAAGGCTAATTGGTTTCTATATGACAAGACCTATCACTTGGTACCAATCTAACCATCACCATCTTACCATACGTATTAAACAGCTGAACACCATAAATAATTAAACAATTTCCGATTGTATAAGCTTAATCTTTATGAGGATTATGGTAGTATCTACAATGAAGCATAAGTGATAAGCAATGCTTTGTTGAGACTACTTCCAATCACCATTTGAGGTTTAGGCGAGCGTTTACTTTTTTGGCACCTTCTAAACTTTCATATGTAACCTCTGCAGCACTTTAATTTTCAAAATTTATGTATTCAGCGTCTCAAAATCGCAGCAATCTAATTCTTTGTTGCATAATCAGTTATATTTGTATAATAGCAAGCGTCTTGTCTTAATGATTTACCAAGATCCGAAAGTAGTAATGCATCAGTCAGACCCGAAACATACTATTGAAACTTCACTATTTATTTTAAGAATACTTGCGCACACACCAATTGAATTGCGTGAACCACCTGATTTCCCCTGCGTATATTATCCTATCAAATTATTTGTGTAGCAGGCTCATGAGAAAGACATTCTCGTATGCTGTCAAAGTAATATTAGTTGATCAAACTTTCCATGAACTACCATTGCATATGTCACTTCCTTTGAATGAACATTCTTGCTCGATTGATGTGATTGTATACACATTCACCATGATACTGGATGTCGCATGAAAACGTTGAATGGTAATGTATCCATTTAAAAGCTAATTTAACATACTATTTCTCTTTCATATCAATTATAGTTTCTACTTTGAGATTTCTAAACTAGAGTGATGATGATTGAAACATTGGAAGAATTTAGCAACCAGAAAGCAAGAAGCAAAGACGGAAACGAAGCAAAGACTATAGACAACACAAGATAGAACTATTTACATTTCACCTTAATTGCTTATATATCTTAAAAAGCATAGCATTTATCAAGGTAGCCATCAGATAGAAGAAAAGAGATCAGAAGGGCCAACCTTAATAGTATAGAAATCACCTAGAGCACATTAGAGAGTGCGTTGGAAGTGTTGAAGAAGCTGCTTTAGAAATCCGAAGGAAATAAAAGTTTATTGAAATGAGCATAATAATATAAAATAATAAATTTACAAATTTAATAAACTAATTGTTTATCATCCCAAGCAACTGCATTATTTGTTGAAGGACTACTATCAAGTCATCAATGTCGAGATCATCGCCAACTATTCCAAGTTTGGTCATATCGCCTGAGAATAATGGTGAATCTAGCACACAGGCTCAAACTAAAAGAAGAGGTAGATCCTCTAGTTTAGTTAGCCTTCAAGAAGTACCAGCTGACCCTCAAGAAACGCTCGATCAAGGCGCTTTAAATAATTATAACGCAGATTGGGTTAATTTTAAAGGTTCATATTTTATTTTAAGGTAATTTTTTTTATCTAATCTTCCCTTATAGGCGCATGGTTGATGCATCTCGTACTTGTCACACTTGGAAAACTATTGATTGATGCTTTACCTGGAATGACACAAGAGATTAGTTGGACTTTGGTAAATTGTGGTTATATGGCAGTAACCTTTTTGATGTTTCATCATGTTAAAGGTGTACCCTTTGAATCCAATAATGGTGCATGGGATGAACTTACTTTCTGGGAGCAGATTGATGGTGGTGCTCAGTATACGCCAGCACGCAAATGGTTGACTTGTGTACCAATAGGATTGTGGGTCTCTTAGATATTATCAGCTTATCATTAACTTTTGAAAGGTTCTTGATATCGACGCATTATACCAAATTTCAGAGTTGGCTTTTTGCATTCAACTTTGTTGCGTTGCTCGTTACACTTACACCCAAATTACCTCTAGTATGTTCAATTTGATAGTAGGATAATCTAATCATTTCCATTAGTTGCACAGGCAGAGAGTTAAATTCATGGAGGTTGAAGATGAATCAGGTGGTAACACACCAGTCACTTCATCCTCTCAAAAGCGACAAAATGAAATGCCTCCAATAAATCTCAGTTTAGATTAACGATATTCTTTCTTTACGCATACATTCACATTCTTATAATAATATCAAGGTTCTACATCCTTTTCTGACCATGAGAAATCAGCTTCTTTACGGAAAATTTTACGTTCGTTAGGCTGACTTTTTAGATCGCAATAATCTACTTCTATTGGATCAATTATAACTAATGTGAATCTTTCAAGTCCTTCATTATACCATTTATCCTGCTTATCAACTTGTACCTTCTTTGGATATTCTTTAATGTCAATGCGAGAGTTTCTATCTGAACCAGGGGCAACAGGTTTAGCAAAAGCTGCTCTTAAAGGATCTGACATTTCATCCCAAATTTTCACACGTTCAGATTCAAAGTCGATACCTGTTTGAAGGAGTGAATCAGGTAATGGTGTTGGATTATACTTATCCTTGACTTGAGGTGAAGGTAAAAGGAAAGCATTTGCTTGTATTCTTAATTGGCGCATTGCAGGTTCTATCCAGAAAACATACTCTAATGGTGTGCCTTGATCTTTGACGTAATTTGCCTCGAATTGCTTTACTAACATGAGAGTAAATAAAGACAGATAAGTATAAGATCTATATACCTTTTTGCATACGTATATCAGTCGTACTTAATAGAATGTTACTTTCAGACGCAAATCCACGATGCACCATGATCCGCACTTTTGGACGATTGTTCTCAATTGTACCGACGGCTACATTGAAAATATCTTTTGATATAGCTTTATTATCATCCAATAACTTCTCTAGAAGTGTTTTCCAAGGTGCAGTAGTTTTAAACATGATTGGTGTCCTGAAAGAAATGATATGAGGAAGCGAATAGAGACTAATAATAATTGACTATTGAAAAAGGTATAGATGTATTGATCATTTGTATTTCGAGTATTAATTCTCTTTCATATCGTCTACCATCAACCATCATCAATATGGAAGATCCATTAAGTCAATCAACTCCAGATTTATATCAGGACAATGAAAATGCCTGGGGAGATGTTCCAACATCACAATCCATGTATACTCAAACATCCTCGATTGACAAACCGTTACCATCTCCAATTGAAGAGAGAGATAAACAACGTAGCAGAAATTCTAGCTTATTAAGTGTTAGCTCAGCTGCGAACAATCCTGGTAAAATATATGGTCAGCCTGATAATCCACTCCCTCAACCATCTGTTGTCAATGCCAGCGCTAGCAATTCGACGATCACTACAGAATTTATTAGGTTTAGAGTTACAGCTATACAGAAAAGTCAGTATAAATTTTATCACTCTGACCTATCTCACTAAGTAAATCTATCTAGATCGTCGTGATTATTTGGTAGAGTTTGACGTATCAACCAATATCAAACAATTTGAGAGTACCATTTTCAGGAATGTACAAAGAACGTATGAGGAATTGCTTAAATTAAGTGAACAATTAGCCTTAGCTAATCCTCAAACGATTGTTCCTGCATTACCACCAAATCAAACAAATGCACAAACTGAAGAAGAGGATGATAGAAGAGTGAAATTATCTTTACAAAATTGGTTCGATAGAATATCTTATGATGAAGATTTAAGAAAAGATATGGATTTGAAAGCGTTCGTTATGAACAAGTTCTCCTATGTACCTGTTCAAGTATTTAAAAGAAAGGCTAGTACCTCTTCATTTAATTGGCTGGGAAGGCCCACACCTGATGATGATCTTGAACTTGTTACGGCCAAGGATATTCATTCAGCACAAGAAGTTGCATTTTTGGCTTGTGTTAACGCATTAGAAAATGTCATACGTAGGAATAGAGACTTAAGTAACTGTGAATCAGATGTTGGAGAAAAGTTGGTTAATTTATCAATTGTTGAAAAAAATAGGACTTTATCAAATGGCCTTGAATCAATGGGTAGAGCTGAACATGCAATTAGCGATATAGGTTTGACTAAATGCGCCAATGATTTAATAACTGTTTACGATGGTTTTAATTACCACGCATCAAATGCTAGGGCTGTTAAAGATACCTTACAACAACGTACTCAGTTGTTAGAAGAATATCAATTAGCTGTAAAAGCTTCAATAAGTAAAAGAAGAACACTCGAGAAGATGAAAGGTAGTAGCTCATTAAAGCCAGAAAAAGTAGATGAAATGTTAGCTGATCTACAAATCGCCAATGGATATGAGAAGCATCTAGCCGGCAAAGTTGAAGGCATGTCGCGTAACTTACATATGTCACTTGAAAAGCATTCAGTTAGTACCAAAAATGACATCCATCAGGTAAGTAAATAATAAGCCAAATTGGTTTATAATTGATAATTGGAATTAGTTACTGATGGAGAATGCGAGAATGAATGTTTTGTGTTCAAGCCAGTCAATAACTGAGTTAGAATCGGTTGCATCTGTGATAGAAAATATAGGTGTAGTTGATAGCACACCTGTAGTGAAAACAGTATCACGTCAAGAGCAGGAGCATATGGCGAAGGAAAAAGAACAAATAAAAAAGGAAAGAGTTGACCAGAAAGAGAATTTATCGAAAGCTGAGAAAGTCAAACAACCTGAAATTGTCAAATCAAGTAAATCATCATTATCCAAAAAATCCAAGAATGAGACCATGAAACCTTACACAAATGAAATAGACTCATCAAAGATTGCAACATCAACAACGGCAGATCCATTAGGTGTGTCAAAAGTAGTAAAAGAGACAGTACCAGAAATATCGCAATCAACGATCATACCAACAAGAGCTAAAGAGATACAAATACCAAATCCAATGACACAATCAACGACATCTTTACCATCAATGGATAAAGAGACAAGAGAGAAGAATGAACGTAAGAGAAAGAATGCTAGAGAAGCGGCATATAAATTGGCTAATGCATTTTAAAATGTGATATCGTGTAAATTACAAATTAACTAATTTGGCGTATAAGGTGGAGGTGGAGGTGCCGGTGAATTGGATGTCATTTCAGGATGACGTTGAGGCTGCTGATTTGTTGTATCTGATCTATTTTCAAATGGTGTAGTTTGCGTACCCCATTTATCATCTTTCTCGAAGCTTGATTGAAAGCATTTACAACAATTGCAAGTACAAGAGTTGCACATACCACATCGGTGCGTATTACAGAGCGGTTGGATGATTGAAAAACAGCATATGGCTATAATTGCACCACAACCCTATAATTAGCTAAATGAGTAAAATATTGTTTTTTTTTTCACTAACAGATGCGTCGTCCGCCATGTCAAGTATCGGAAAAAAAGAGTATTATCAATGCAATTACATAGTAGAAAATTAAACTAAAAATTAAATAAACCGCTTATTTTATTATTGTTGTTGTTTTGGTAGTAAACTATCCATTCTTGTTCTGAAACCATTGGATTGATTTACTCGTTTGTTATGTAAACTGACGGCTATTGGGTAAATGATAACTAGGAACAAATCGAATATTGATAATAAGAAACCTAAGACAATTAAACCCAAATATTGATCAAAACAGTGTGAGAACATTCTATTTGGTTCAATCAATCTGCAATAAGCCATACCACCTCTGCCTTCTCTCAAAGCAGCAACTGCGATGGAAGTTGCGAAAGTAAATAAGAAGTTGAATAGGTAGAGTAACATATTTAGGCCAACGGATAAACCTCCATAACTTAATGGTATCAATGTTGTTAGAAAGTTTAAAGCAGATGCAGCTAATAAAGCAGCTATTGCAGATGCATAGTGTGCACCTCTAAACCAATCACTGACATCCCTTGTATAGACAGCTCCTAGGACTAGAATTGTGATTGAGAATGCAATAATGATAACCTTGATAAATCTAGCGAAACCGATCAAGAAAGACATTGTCTATAGTAGTAGAGAGAGAAGAGAAGTTGATTATTTATATAAGAGATCTATCATCGGTATGGATTGTAAACGGAATGCGTTCCAGCAAGTCAAATATCTTCGCTAAGCATCCAATCAAAGTGAATGACAAAGAGATGAAATATGTAGACTTTATTTGTAAATCTAACAGTTCTGTCATAATCAAAATATTATTTTTCGTATAATCGATCATAGAATTATCACCTTGTAGAACTCTTTTGGATGATTTTAGAATTATATTTAAATACTTAAAATATTTCTGATTCTTTAATTGATTCTTACTCTTATATTTTAGTCTAGTCAGGATTGCTATTTCTTTCTCCATACCACTTTTGCCTTGTCAGTCAAATAAGAGTAAAATAATGAAAAATATCTTAATAGTTGGCGGTAAATTTTATTTAATACATATATAGTAAATCTAATACAATTCATTTAGCTGGTATCGTCGGTGTTTCAACAGCATTTTATCTTTCAGAATCAGATGATATCAATATTACATTGATTGATTCATCTGGACTAGCATCAGGTGCATCCGGTAAAGCAGGCGGCTTCATAGCTGCAGATTGGAATGGTCCTGATTCCAATTGTTGGTCTTGCATTCCATTCTTGAACGAAATCTAAAACATTCCTTAGCCTTGTCTCAATTGAGTTGGCGCATACATCAAGAATTAGCTGAAAAGTTTAATGGTTACCAAACATGGGGTTATCGTAGAGTGACTGCACTAAATCTAACTGCTGAGATAGGTCATCGTAAATGTCCACAATTTGAACATAAAAAGTTTGGTACAAATTGGGTAGACCCTAACGTTATAGTGTCATCATGTGATTTACTTGGTTCACCAAACAATTGCGCTCAAGTTACACCTAAACCCCTTGTTGAAATTTTGTTCCAAAATTCAAAAGCAAATTTAGTTAAAGCACACTTGAAATCAATCATTCGATCTACTGACAATGATAATCGTCCAAGAGCTGTCATAGTTACTGATGGTGAAAAAGATTGGGAAATTGTTTGTGATGACGTTGTATTTGCAACAGGTCCTTGGACAGGTAATGTTGCTCAATCAGTCCTGAGTAAGGATGAAGCAAACGTTACACGTGTAGGTGGTCAAAGAATACATTCACTCATCCTTCGTCCACCAACTCAGCTCGAGATGTCAGCTCATTGCCTTTTTGTACAACTTTTGATACGAGGTCACGCACCATCTGAGCCCGAGTTCTTTGCCAGACCTGACGGTACAGCTTTCATTTGCGGTAGCGCAGATGAAGAGCCAATACCGTCAAAGGCTAACCAAGTTAAGATTGATTCAAATAGCATTACGGAATTAAAGAAAGCAGCGTCATCAATTTCACCACAACATTTCTCAACATTTGAAGGGTCACTGACCGAAGTAATTGCTGAACAAGCTTGTTATATGCCTATACCAACTGGTAGTAGCTCGAACCCGTTGATAGGAACTATATCACCCGGCATACACGTTGGTGCCGGCCATTCCGTCTGGGGTATATTACTTGGACCTGGCACAGGTAAAGTGTTGGCCGAGATAATCACACAAGGCAAAGCAATCTCAGCTGATATAAGTCGACTTACACCAGATGCTATCAAAAACCCAAAACCACAAAATGATCTCTATTTCTGAATGACATTTTACGCATTCTCTTTCTTGGATCCAAATGTCTCAACTTTTATTAAATTTTTCAACGTTAAATTATAAAAAGAATTATTACCAATTTTGTTTATTATCATGATCTGATTATAATCTATACTTATACTAAGAACTAAAGCTAAACTTCATTTAGTTCCAACTGAAAAAAGATGAGAGGAAGATAAAGATAAAGGGGAGTTGCTTATATCAAACACTGCTTGTTAATTAATATGAATAGAATAACCTCGAATGGACGAATTGATATAATGACGAAATAAAATCAAGTTTGGCTTCAAAGTTAACTGACGATAATCCAAGTGGGATAATTAATGATAAACAATTATTTAGTTTATTTAATAATTAAATACAATACTTTCTCGTACTTTCTTTTAGCTTCCGAACACCAGGATGGACGTTTCGAGAAGACTATCGTCATCAAATTTGGTAATTTTTTTTTTGGAGCGCGATATAACAAGCAATCTTCCCTTCAACTAAAGCCTTCAACAACCAAGCAAAATGTCAACATCATCTAAAGCTATTGGTAAGTTGAATATAACCTATAGAGATTAATGCTAACATATATTAGGTATCGATTTAGGAACAACATACTCTTGTGTCGCCGTATGGCAAAATGACAGAGTTGAAATCATTGCCAACGACCAAGGAAACCGTACCACTCCTTCATACGTTGCATTCACCGACACCGAACGTCTCATCGGTGACGCCGCTAAGAATCAAACCGCTATGAACCCATACAACACCGTTTTCGATGCTAAGCGTTTGATCGGTCGTAAATTCTCAGATGACGACGTCCAATCAGATGCTAAGCACTGGCCATTCAAGCTCATTCAAGACTCTGCTGATAAGCCAAAGATTGAAGTCGAATACAAGGGCGAGAAGAAGCAATTCACCCCAGAAGAAGTTTCCGCTATGGTTCTCGTAAAGATGAAGGACATCGCTGAGGCTTACCTCGGTACTACCGTTAAGGATGCCGTTGTCACTGTACCAGCTTACTTCAATGACTCACAACGTCAAGCTACTAAGGACGCTGGTTTAATCGCCGGTTTGAACGTTATGCGTATCATTAACGAACCAACCGCTGCTGCTATCGCTTACGGTCTCGACAAGAAGACCGAAGGCGAGCGTAACGTCTTGATTTTCGATCTTGGTGGTGGTACTTTCGATGTTTCCCTCCTCACCATCGAGGAAGGTATCTTCGAAGTCAAGTCCACCGCTGGTGACACCCACCTTGGTGGTGAAGATTTCGACAACCGTCTCGTTAACCACTTCGTTCAAGAATTCAAGAGAAAGAACAAGAAGGATATTTCAGGTAACGCTCGTGCTATGCGTCGTCTCCGTACCACATGTGAACGTGCCAAGCGTACCCTTTCATCAGCTGCTCAAACTACCATCGAAATTGACTCCCTCTTCGAAGGAATGGACCTTTACTCCTCAATTACCCGTGCTCGTTTCGAAGAACTCTGTCAAGACCTCTTCCGTAACACCATGGACCCAGTTGAAAGCGTTCTCCGTGACGCAAAGGCTGACAAGTCATCTGTTCACGACATTGTTCTCGTTGGTGGTTCAACCCGTATTCCAAAGATCCAAAAGCTTGTCGCTGACTTCTTCAACGGCAAGGAAGCTAACCGCTCTATCAACCCAGATGAAGCTGTTGCTTTCGGTGCTGCTGTCCAAGCTTCTATCCTTTCTGGTGACACCTCAGAGAAGACTCAAGACTTGCTCCTTCTCGATGTTGCCCCACTCTCAACTGGTATTGAAACCGCTGGTGGTGTCATGACTGCCCTCATCAAGCGTAACACTACTGTCCCAACCAAGAAGTCTGAAGTCTTCTCAACTTACGCTGACAACCAACCTGGTGTCTTGATCCAAGTCTTCGAAGGTGAACGTGCACGTACAAAGGACAACAACCTCCTCGGTAAATTCGAACTTTCAGGTATCCCACCAGCACCACGTGGTGTTCCACAAATCGAAGTTACCTTCGACATTGACGCTAACGGTATCTTGAACGTCAACGCTGCTGACAAGACTACCGGTAAATCAAACAAGATCACCATCACCAACGACAAGGGTCGTCTCTCTAAGGAAGACATTGAAAGAATGGTTTCAGATGCTGAGAAGTACAAGGCTGAAGATGAGGAAGCTGCTTCACGTATCCAAGCCCGTAACGGTCTCGAATCATACGCTTACAACCTCCGTAACGCTATGAACGATGACAACCTCAAGGACAAGTTCTCCGAGGATGACAAGAAGAAGCTCGATGAAGCTGTCAACGAAACCATCTCATTCTTGGACAACTCTGAAGCTGCATCAAAGGATGAATTCGAATCACGTCAAAAGGAGCTCGAAGCTACAGCATCACCAATCATGCAAAGATTGTACGGTGGCGCTGAAGGTGGTATGCCAGGTGCTGCTCCAGGTGGTGAACAACCATCCGCTGGAAACGATGGTCCATCAGTTGAAGAAGTTGACTAAACTTAATCAAAATATTTTAATCATGTTTTAATTAGATGTAACTTAACGAAATAATTTGTGCATTTTTTATCTCTCAATTCATAATCTACGATTTCTTGCATTTATACTGTGAAGATGATACGGACGGCTGTGATATTGAGGACGGCGGGTAGGAATTTTAGAGTAAACAGGATACATTTAAGAAGAACTTCAATTAGAAAACAGTCTACATTGAGTTCAGAGGAAACTGAGGATGGATATGCAGGTAGAAGTCAACCTAAACTAAACGTTAGCAATACACCAATTGAGAAGTATAAAGATTTGATTAATGATAAAGTATTGAAACCAGATAATCATCAATTTCGTATCATATCAAAGTTAAATGATCTTCATACTGAATTGACGACATATCAGCCCTCTGCGATTATAGAACTTGACGAAAGGATAAGCACGAAGACTGAGGATCTACCATGGGTGAGTATTCTCCGTATGTAACTTTATAGAGCTTACGTCTCTTCCCTCATTCAAGTGGAAGAAAGTTGTCAGTGGTAAATCACAAGCTTTGATTGAATCTGAACGTGAACAAGCCGTTAAAGATAAGAGATCAAGAATACCAAAAGGCTTATATTTATATGGTGACGTTGGAACCGGAAAGTGCGTCTTAAAAACTACTACTTCTCAACTAATTAAAGTAATAGATCCATGCTTATGGATTTGTTTCATTCAACAGTACCTGAACAATTCACCCCTAAAGCTCAAAGGTGGCATTTTCATGCCTTCATGCAAGCGGTACATAAAAGGATTCACAAAGCGCGTATAGCAGGTTCAATTGATCCTTTAGGTCAAGTTATAAATGATATAGCAGAAGAATGCACAGTACTCTCATTTGATGAGTTTCAAGTCGTCGATATTGTAGACGCCATGATCCTTCGTCGTCTATTTGAAGGTTTAATCGATAAGGGTGTTGTTTCAGTTATGACCTCAAATAGACATCCGGATGAGCTTTATAAAAATGGTATACAGAGGGACTCATTTATACCATGTATAGATCTTCTAAAAACTGCTTTTCAAGTAGTTGATTTAAATTCTGGTACAGATTATAGAAAATTACCAAGAGCATTAAATAAAGTTTACTTCTCTCCAATAGATCGTGAAAATACTAGCGAATTTGAAAAGATTTACACCGCTCTCACTTCTAATAAAACTATTCAATATTCGAAAGAATTAGAAGTTTGGGGACGTAAATTACACATACCAGAATCAGCTGATAACGTAGCAAAGCTCACATTTAATGATTTATGTGGTAGACCATTAAGTGCTGCTGATTATTTAGAAATAGTTCACAATTTTGATACAATCTTTATAAGTGAAATTCCCAAATTATCCTTAAATGTTAAAGATCAGGTAGGTTTAAACTTAAAGGAATTAAATATTTAAGCAATTAATTTGAAATATTTAGGCTCGTCGTTTCATCACATTCATTGATGCTGCCTATGAATCTAAAACCCGTCTGTTTTTATTATCAGAGGTACCTATCGAAAGTATCTTTTCAGATGAAAGTAATAATACAGGTGAGATTACGGATGTTATGAGGTCAGCTATGGATGATCTAGTGAGTCTTTTAAATGTTGATACCTTTGTTTCTCATTAAATATCAACAGGGTCTTAATGTTGAGATTGTTGGAGCATCTTCAATGTTCACAGGTCAAGAAGAAATCTTTGCATTTGCAAGAGCAGTTTCTAGATTGACCGAAATGAGCAGTCGTCAATATGCTGAATTATCAACAAAAACCTATGATCAGCAATAAGTTCGATCATTATAGAATCAATCAGGATATTTAAATTGAATAAATGTTCTTGGATTTAGATTGCTTCTGGATAATATTGAGCTTTGGAAGTTACTTGAGATTGTTGAATTATCTTGGGCTTCTTCATTTGTGAATCATATGTGATAAGTTACACTAATGCACATTCCTCCTTTGTGGAGGCAAATTAGTGCCTTCTGAATCTATTTGTCTATTGTAAGATGCATATTTGTAAAGTATTAGTGAATGAATTGTATAAATTGTCGATTGCACTAATGTTAAAACCTACATTTAGAAAAAGTTGGAGTATATGGTAATACTGATCAACCAACATACCAGCTGTCTTAAAATGGTTGTATTTCTTTGAACTTCATTGCATCAAATAGTGTAATACTGACATGTCTCACCGCCCTCCAGTAGCTTACCAGATAGTTTTGATTCTAAAGAAATAAGAAGTTGTCTTAGAGGTTGTGCTCGCAACATCTTATACAAAACATAATAATCCTAGGCTTCAAGCAAAAACAAAAGAAATATATCTATATATTATCGTTTTTATTATCATAAAAAAGATATTCATGTCTCCCATACCATTGATGAAAATAGTCACTATAATAAATAGAATTGACAAAAGAAAATTCGGATACCGGGAATCGAACCCGGAGCTTCGGTGGTCATTCAAGTGAAAAACCGATAGGTTAGCCGCTACCCCATATCCGAATATACAGATGTAGTACATTCGATAAATAATACTGAATGATGGGAATAAAGGCTTTTTTCAGAAAAAAAAATTGAACCACTTCACGGTTAAGAATACAGATGTCGAGACCGCATTATACAGCACAATGTTAAACTTCTCATATATATATATATTGCATTCCTTATTACTCGTATCTTCGCATTAAATATAAATTTATCTTGTATTTGAATACATCTTCATACCTAAATATATGCTTATGTCTCATGACTAAATGCCGCTGTATGTTCAGCACTTGTATCTGTATTCTGACAAAGATCAAGAGAACTATTATATATATACTAAAAGACATATAAATATACATAAATAACAGGTAATTGCCTGCGCTACCTCTAAGATAATGATAATATGAATGATCATAACATAACATATATATAACGTAATATATTTATCATTTAAGATAATGTTCTTGTACATATATGTCTCCTTCTCTCGTTTCCACTGTCCGCACGTTCCATGCTGCCTCTTACTAATATTCATGCGTTATTACCTAATAATTGACGGTTTATGTTCAGCACCTGCATCAGAACTAAGCGTGTAACTTTCATGCACATAAAACATAAAATTTTAGTTCTACTTTTCTTTAAAAGAAGTAGAAGAGAGACTAACTAAATGATATATTTAATTACGTCTTTATATTATTCTATATGAAACTTAGGAAATACATCTTTAACAAGTCAATCATATATAGATAGGCCCAGAATTTTAAACTATTATCTTCAAAACTCTTACCATTTAGAAAATACTTGAAAAGCTAGCTAGTATAGACGAAAAGTTTATATCCGGATCAAGGTTATCCTATACAACAGTCCTTAACCGAGCATAAGACAGAGCTTCAGACTTACTATGATAACTTTATCGGCGTCTTTATTCCTGGAGTTGGACATTTTTCCAAAAATTTTAGCGTAATCCATGGCAAAGCTAGTCAACAAGAATTTGAGAAGTCTACGTTAACTCCTTACCTCAGCAATTCTTCTCAGTCAGAATGGTCTCAGAGACAGGATGACATTTGACCTAAAACATACGCATCTAATGAAGCTACTTCTAAGCAGGAGTTCGTACCTGCTCTCTCTTCCTGTTACCATCTGTACCTTTCTTGATTTACTTTTGATTTTTCACAACAATTTACCAACCCGATATAAGTTCAGCCGTGATTTAAATAACAATTCACCCAGCTATATTATATTCAATAGCGACAAACTAACTCGCTGCATTCATCGCTGAAAGCACTCAGGCAAACATCACATCTTAGAAAAAAATTATTTGAAATTCATTAGTATTTTAAACACAAATCCTCTTGCATATACACATATCATCAGAAATTAAAATGGGATGAATCTTTTAAGTCCCTCTAGGCGGCTAGACCAGCAATACGGCGCAAATGTGGTACGCTCACTGTTCCAGGAATATAGAGATCTAAGCCAATAACTTGTCTAGGTTGTGGTAACTCAAAGTTCGAACCTTCTTCTTCAGCGAGTAACAAATGATCATTTCTGTCGCTTGAAAGTCTTGCACTTACTGTTTGCAAAACGTGCGGCGACAGAGGGCTTTCATAGTCAGCAATCATATAGCCAGTGATGAGCTTATGAAGTTGTGATGGTGAAAGGATCCAGCAAACATCAAATATAATTTCCATATCTTGAGTAGTTGCCTTCTTCAATTGAAGTAGCTTAGTCGCTTGCATCATATATTCCAAATGTAAGCATCCCTCAGGCAAATCATGGCTCTTGCACCATTCTTCCAATCTTGTCAAGTTGTATTGAATTTGCATGGCACGCTTCCAAGAGTTGAAGTTGCGTCTCATCAGTAAATCGTTGAAACCGACATTACCAATCAAACGCAACAATTCGGTCATCACTTGAAGAACAACTGGCTCATCGAGACGATAAGATTTAAGGCACTTCCATACCTTATTAAGTAAGTTGAGAATATCATCCATATTATAAGCTGGTTGTGAATTGCCTTGCAATAATCTATTGAAGAGTCTACCACCAGTGTCAGATGTAATGAAACCAGGTAATGATTGTGATTCAATGAGGGCTGGGACAATCATCTTGCGCAACTTCTTCTTAGTTTCTTCCATGAATGCAAAGTAGATGTTGTATTCCAAACTTTCAAGGTCATGCTTGACAACAGTGATGAGTTGTTCATAAGCTGGCCAGTCAAGTGGACGATCTGGGTCGTCACCACCTGGTACGATACCTTGGAGCATATCATCTTCAGTTACACATACAAATGACCAGACTTCATGCACGTTAGACAACCAAAAGAGTCCTGGAACAATGGCGTCTTCTCCTTGGAAGCTCATGACGTGTTGTTGAATCGTTTGCATTACGTTTGCCAATAATCTTTCACTTTCCATAATTAGGCAATATTTCCACATTTCGTTCGTGACAAGGGACATAATATGAGCTGGGAAAAGAACCTCTTTAGCGGAAGGTGGATTTTGCAAGCTTGGTGGTGGTGCTTTAAGCTCGTGAATCATTGTTGTTAAAATATCATCGTCAATGCTCTGTTCGTCTTCAAGTAGCTTAATCATTTCCTCGGATGGATCATCAAGGACTTCTGGGAAGTACGCACGTCCATTTAATCCCCTTAATTTGCTAGCATTATCGGTGGTTGGGTAAGCAAGAGATACGGCACGTGGTGCAGCTTCACTACGTTTACCAGCAGCGAAGGCTTCATCAGATGTATCACGTCCCAAACCGTTTTGCTCCAAGAATGCACCATTTGCAGAATGTCTTCGTTGACGACGTTTGTTTGGAGGTAATCCCAAAGCCTCGAGAGCATCAGAGGCATCGCCTTCAACAGGGCTGCCAGCACCATTGACAAGCGCAGCAACGTTCTCATTAGATTTACCAAGGTGCATGGAGAAAGTTGGTGCTGTAATTTGCTTAGCTTTAGTAGAACCATGTTCGAGAGCATTGAGTGTATTTGCACGATGAAGTTGATCTTTAAGGCTACCAATCTCTGCTTTAAGTTGATTCACAAGAGTCTCATCTGCTGCTCGTGCTGAAGCCTCAGCTGCTTGGGCGCTCTTACTCTCAATTTCTTGAGCTTGTGTACCTAACTCATCCTTATGCTGTTGGATTTGTTTATCACGCTCTTGAATATCAATCTTAAGTGTTGATACTTGGGTTTGAAGATCACGTTTCAAAGCCTCAAGCTCATTAAAGTCTGTAAGTGCAACTGTTGGTTTAGCTAACTCAACCATCATTTCCTTCATCCTTTGATCTGCATCGTCATGACGAGTTTGCATATTACCCATTTGTTTTTCAAGTTGGTTACAGCGACGAGTGAGTTCTTTCTTTTCTTCACGAGTCTTTTGAAGATTTTGAGTGAGCTCAACAACTTTGTTCTCAAGTTTGTATGAGACTTCTTGAATATGAGCAACCGATCGAGCTTCACTCTTGAGTTGCTTGAATTCCTTGCGTGCTAATCTACGTCTATAACATGCTTGCAAGTGAATTACACCACGCAATGATGTTTCGTGTTGACGACGTGCAAGCCTATGCATATCATCAGTAGAGCCTATAAGAAAAATATACAACTCACACTCCTCGTGCGATACGTTGCAAATTGAGAGCAGATGATCTATATTTAAAGTCCGCGAAACCAACTCTTGCTTGCATACCACGAATTTCTATGGTTCGTTAATTGTATCACTTTTATACATTTTTATTAACTTACGCGCTTGTGTCATGATGACACTTCTACGGATATTTTGGAATTTTGCAACCGCCAATTTCCTACGACCAGCGCTTTGTAATCTGAAAATAATGGTATCACGACGGAGGTTTTCGACGTATCTAATTGCTAATATCTTTCTCCACCAGGTTTGAATAGATACTGTAGCTTCACGAAGCTTTTTGTAGTGCTTAACGTGCAAATATCTTAAAATATTCTTTTGTATCAAGGTGACCAAAGTGTTGAGACGGTCAGCACGTAATTTTTCAAGGTAAGCTAACATTCCAGCTCTGAAGAAAATCTTGGAAAGACCAATTTGATATTTATCTTCATCTGATATGTTGACTTGCAAAATTTGAAGACAGAGTTCTTTCATATCGCCTAACCAATGTTCTGATCCAACGAGTGGGTAATAACGATCAGTGAATTCCGCAAATGACCATCTAGTTGGATAACCTGCGCTAGAAATCTTAATGGTTTCAAGGACACCACATGCACGAAGTTGTGAAAGAACCTGTTGTGAATCAATATCCCAGGCTTTCTTTTGCTCGTTTGGCTTAATACAACGTATATAATGTGCGTTAGTGTCATTTATGGTATCCATAAGAGATATCAAAGAGCCCTTGAAGATTGATCCAAGTGTTGGTTTCTTTAGGTTTTGACGGCGACCAACTCCAACATTATTTGAGGCTGTAGATGAAGCGGGTGTAGCAGCTGCATTTGAAGCTACCGCAATTTCGATAACTTCGCGCAAGAAGGAGTTTGATGAGCTACCTAGAAGTTGAAGATGCTCATCAGGAACAGTGTCACGATTTTTCTCAAGGAAACCTTCAGCTTCGTAAGCAACATCATGAGCATAGTGAGCAACAGTGAAAGCTGTGTTTCCAAATCTTGGCTTTTTATATATGTCTTTATATTGTGGTTTTCCAAGTTGTGAATGAAGTTTCTCAAGGAAATTCTGATCAGTTCCAGATGGCATCCTAGATTCTTCATCTAAAAGGGAGAGAATACCAAGCTTTCCTTCTATCATGTCAATAGTTGGTCTGTTATCTGAGAAAGAAATGAATTCCCAACGAATTTGTTCTTTGATATATTCATCTTGCTCTAATTTAAAGACATGTGCATTGAACTAGAATAAAGTTAGTAAACATTAATAATTTAAAGATTAATCTCACCTCCTGTTGTAACTTCTCATTTGCATAATTGATACAGAATTGTTCAAAGGAATTACGCTTGAAATGTTCGAAACCATAAATATCCAAAACACCAATGAAGCTATTGAATTTGGAAGCATCACTCTCCTTGTATAAAGCTTCATTTAGTACAGCAACAAGCCAATCGAAAAGGCATGCGTAAATGTACTTAGCAACCGAATCTCTTACAACACTAGCTTGTGCAGCATTCAATGAGCTGACGATTGATTCTCCACGTGTAGTGATTTGTTTCTTAACTGTCCACTTTTTGAAATCGGATGGATTAATACCCAAAAATTCAGTTGCGATCTTAAAAGCTTCATCATCTTCATTAAGAACAGCATCATTTCTAGTTTGACCAATTTTTACATTACCAAGGTGTAAAAGAGAAGCCAAAAGCTTAAAAATGTTCCATTGTTTTTCGACTCCTATACCTAAAGTAGATAAGGCTTTTTGGGTAACTTCAAACTCAGCGCCATCGTCGATACCAGGAATGGAAGCTGAACCACCTTGATTGAGGTAATGGAAGTCGTTGCTTGACCCCAAATGCAATTCAGCTCTCTCTTTTGGAGGAACACCAGCGCAGAGTTGATGGAAAATATGGTAATTTCTTTCACCTTCCGGTTGAAAGATAAGTCTAGATCTTTCTAAGAGGTATATACTAGTTTGGGCACCGATGATATTACATTGTTTATCGAAAAGAATCTTGAGATATCTACCGAATCTACTAGAGTTGTTATTCCGTATGGTTTTAGCATTACCGAACGCTTCCATGACTGGATTGGTAGCAAGAATGCTAGCATCTGTACCTGTAGAAGCACTACCTGTACCGTCTTGTCCTAAGAAAGCGAGGTATTGCATAATATGCCTAGCAGAGACAGTTTTACCAGCACCGGATTCACCAGAGACAACCATAGTTTGATTCTTATTCTCTCTAGTCATAGATGCGTGTGCATCCTGCGCTATTGCGTAAATGTGAGGTTCCAGCTCACCGCGCCTGCGCGTAGAGTAAGCCTGCATGATTGCAGGGCCATAAATTGAGAGTTTTGCGAAAGGATTTACTGCTATAAGAACTATTCCAGAGTAGGTATAGATAGAGTGTTGAGCATAGCGACGCTTGATAGAATAAAGGACAGCTGGCTATAATAGAGTGTGAGAATATGTAAGTAAAATGTATAGGACTAACCTCATTAAGATATGAGAGATTGACGAGATCATCTGTACCTTCAAGCAATACCGGGTTTCGCAGCAAAGGAAGATCATTGGCTGATGATTTCTTGATGATTTCCTGATAGCAAATATGAGAAATATCGAGTTTAAATGTATTATATCTCACAGTACCACGCTCATCTTTGAATGTTATTTCATCTCCGCTGTGAGCTGTGACTTCAGCACCAATCCACCCCTCAGTCTTATCCGCGATCCACCTGAGTGTGTTAATAATGTTAAATTTATCTATTTCTACTTACACTCGGACTCCTATGCTGTATTCGCTCATAAATGATGGACGTTCCAAACAGAGCGTACAGCTCACCTTTGCTATACGCAGTGAAGGAAATCAATACAAATATGAATAAAAAGAATGTCAATTGTTGTTTATTTTATTATTATTACATGCATTCCCAAATATCGTAAATCTCAATTGCATGAGCGCACAGACGTCAACGAATGAGCTCAGATAGGGTAAAGGTATATCTCTACTAAACAATATATACTAGTTATTTAACCTTTTACATCGTACTATAATTTCAATCAATATAAAACACTTGAAACAATATCTTTTATGTATTTTACAGAATATTTAGCTAGAATCAATTTAAATTTTCATTTTAGTATCCAAACTAAGATTAAAGTTAGTTAAGTAGCAAACCTATCCATCAGATCACTTACACCTCCTTGAAGACCGGTCATTTGGGGCATAACACCTGTAGCTTGTGGCATAACACCTGTTTGTTGAGGCATAACACCATTAGTACCTGCATTCCAACCTGCAGGACCGCCAATCATGAGTGTTTGCTAATAAATTATTAGCAAAATTCGTTTTATAAATTATTTTAACTCACGTTAAAGCCTGGTCCCATGATTGGTTGAGAGTCTTCATCTTCTTCCTTCTTCGCTGTCTTGTTTGCTTGCTCTTCAACCTTCTTCTCGAGTGCTTTGATACGCTCTTGAGTTTGTCTTCTCAACTCAAATTGGTATGGTTTTGCGAAGTCTTCAAGTGCATTGAACCATGCTAACTCTTCAACGACATCTGGTCTTACTAACTTGAAGCAAAGGTATAAGTGAGCCGTGAATAATTCTTTGTTACCAATGTCAACCCAATAACTAAGAAGGTCTTCAGAGACCTGTACGTCTTCACTTGTTGAAGCTGTAATGATAGCATCTATATAAAGTTTATCACTCTTTGAGAGATTGATAGAATCTTCATATTTTCTGTTAACCTTAAACAAGTGAGCTGCAATTCTTCTGAACGCCAACAACTCGTGTTGTTCTAATCTCTTGGCTAATGAGAGATGATCAAAGTTTTGGTATTGATCGATAACATCCAAGAGTGTCTGCCAGTCTTCCTCTTCGATGAGCAAGTCATGGACTGCCTCATTGACAGCTGCAACATCCAAATTCTGAACAGCGATCAAGTATGCACGTACTAATGGTAAGTTGTCAGAATGTCTAAACATTGAAACGACTCTTGAGTGATCAATACGTGGAATAAGAGCAGTAAGAAGATCAGTGAGTAAAGTTGGGTGTTGCTCTTGGTAGAAAGAGAGTGCCTTGTAGAAGATCTCAGCGTTTGCAACCTTACTGAGTACATCACGGAATTGTTGATGATCCCAAGCATCAGCACTGTGTTCAATAGTATTGAGTGCAGCGTTGTCCCATTCTGCGTAGGCGATGTAGAGGTAAACCAGCTCTCTCCTAACATGATCGTTAAGAAAGTAACTAATCAAAACAAATCACTCACCAGAGATGACCTTCCTTAGCAGATTTGATAACTTTCGGAATGTTAAGACGTGATCCATAAAGTCTGTGATTGTGTTAGTGAACATAATAAAAATGCCAATCTAACTCACTTGAGGTGTTCAAACATGCGCTCTGGCTGGTACTTGGCGTAAGCAATTGCAGTTTCAGTAAAGAGACCCATGTGAGCGCGCTCAAGACCAAGACCAGCTTCGAAAAGATCGAGCATCTCTTGGAACAATCCACGAGACTCGTAGAGCGAGATAATAGCTTGAAGTTCCTCTGGGTGAACGATCAAGTTCAAACCACAGATTCTAGCAAGCTTGTAGTCTTGTTTATCAACACAAGCGAGACAAACTTGTTTCCAAACTTGAGTGTTACCAGCTTTACGGGCACATTCAACCGCAGCTTGGTTATCTTCCAGGTAAATAAGCGTTGTAGCAAGTCTAGCATAGTTGGAAATAGACGTAAAGAGTACCTTGGCAGCCAAGTAAAGACCATCGTTGAAACATTTCTCACCAACTTCAAGGACATCCGCGACGTTAGTCATATGTAAGAAATCTTCAGCATCTTGCAATCTATCAGTTTTGCAAAGACAGTAAACGAGAGTTGAGTCGATCTTTGGTTCACGTGCTGTGTTACGTGCCATTTGCAAGTATCTAACCAAATCTTCATGCTTCTCTGCGCGTTCAGAAATTTCGATAACCTCAGTGAAGTTTGATGGGTCGTTTGCCTTGATATATGATTCAATAGCATCAGTTATTCTCAAACCATCTAATTGTGCCTTAGCGAGACGAGCCCAGAGGGCTGGTTCGTTGACTTTGTTAGTGTAATCATAAGCACGATCGATAGAGACGATATGTTCAACAAGGACAACGAGGGCATCAAAGTGAGCATCGTTTTTTTTGTAAATAGTGAAAGCCTCTTCATGCAAGTCATTGTCGATAGCGATCTTTGCAATTTCATTAAAGTCATACTTGTCAAGCTTGTTGATGTAGTTCATTACTCTACCTTGATCACTTCTGATAGCAGTTAACAAGAGGAGGTTTTGTAAGCTACCATTGTCACTGAATGTAGTTGGATTGAGAATGATCTTTTCAAGAATATCAACGAGCTCTTGTTGGAGACCAGCAGTCATAAATGCCTTAACTGCAACGGAGACATCATCTGGATTTTGTGATTCAGGGATTGCAACTGCTGAGACCTGATCAATGAGAAGACGACGGTGCTCATTTGAATCAGTAAGAACTTGTGCCCAGAGATCGAGATCACGACGCTTGACAAGGTAACGAGCCTGGTGTTTGTACATGCCATTCTCGTTTGTAATATAAATCAATTCATCATCACAGAAGCCCTTAGCAAAAGCGATGAATGCAAGATATGGATCACGCTTTTCACAGTATTTACCAACGACTAATGGTTCGTAAATGTTGTTCTCCTTGAGGAATTGCTCTGGGTTGTTGTTACTGTCAATGTAGATCTTTGCTAAAGCATTGTAAATAGCTGCATCTTGCTGACCTGCGTTGATACGACTTTCAAGCCATGGAAGAATTAACTTGAGACGGTTACGCTTTTCTACTTCATCAACAAGTTCATTAACGTCGAATAAACCGTGGACAGATGAAAGAAGGTTCTTGATGGTCTGCTCATCGCAATCTACGTCCAATAAACCACCAACAACTTGTGGTAAACGTGCTGAGTTAACTTGTTGAACATATGTAGAAATAAATTGAGTAAGTCCGTTCTGGAAGAGATAGAGAACGAGATCATGGACAAAGTCAAACCTGTCACAAACAATAATGAGTGGTAGTTGATCAGGCAATTTTACTTCTTTGAGGAAGTTCTTAACCTTTTCTGGATTATAATGATTTGATTCACGAACGATTCTCTCGACTTCACGGATTTGACCGGTACGAGTGGCAGCTTGAATATACTTGAAATGAACTTCAGAATCTTCACTGAGGTTTACAACTGAACCAAGGAAGTAATAGAGACCTTCAAATGTCTTGAAGCTTTCGAAAAGTTCAATGAGCTTATGAGATCCTAAAAGTTCGCTGTACTTTGTAGCAATTTGAACAACCATTGGAAGAGTTTGTCTGATGTTTACCTTAAGCATCTCATTTAAACAAGCAAATGTTTGATCAACTGTTAATTGACCGAAGTAGTTAACAAGCCATTCTGGATTAAGTAAAGGAGTGTGTACGACGACACGCTTGAGGTCATTGGTATCTTGATATAACTCTAAAGCACGTTGAAGCAATCCAGCCTTTTCACACAGGTTTGCGACACGTGGATGATCAAAGTGAGTGAACATTGCGTTACCAAGGATGGCATCAGCGACTTGAGGAGCGTTAATAAGGTTAATCTCCAAAAGACGAGTTTGCAAATGACCCTGTTCTGGCTTATTCTCTTTGAGAGCATCCAACAAGAATGAAGTAGCTTGTTGAATAAGATTTTGACCGAGGAAAACATCTACCACTCTCTCGATATCAATTTTTGGACCTTCTGGATCATTTACTATTTGACTAGCAAACTCTGCAGCTTGATCTGGGTTAACGCGTACGATGTGTTGCATCAACAAAGCGTAATCAGGTGTGTAATTGACCTTTTGAGCATAAACGATAATCTTATTAAATTGACCGGTTTCAGCGAAGCATGCGACGACTTTGTTTGGAACGTTTGCACGAAGGTAAATGGACAAAGCAAGAGTCATATCGTGTAAACGAACGATATCACCGAGTTCTTCAGAGCACTCAAGCTTGTTCTCCTTCAACCACTTTTCAAGTAGTTGTTTACGACCTTGCTGCAAAACAGGACGAGAGAGTTCAAGTGATTCGAACTTGTTGAGCTCTCCTTTTTCTAAAAGGATACCAAAGTATTGAAGAATAGGAGAAAGTTGACCAGGAACAGCTGGAAGTGACTTGAACTGCTCAATAGTTTGCTGCGTACGAAGAATACTACGAGGTGAGTTGGCAGCAATCTTTGCTGCTTCGTTAAACTGTTGATTACTCATTAAATTTTGGTATTGAGCCATGTATAAGTCATCAGCGCCTGGCAAATTACCACGACTAGCAAGCTTGAAAGCCAATTCAACGTTGTTGAGAGTGCTGAGGATGTACGGGATAACGGTATTCTCGTCTATTGAAACAGACAAGACTTGACCTTTTCTGTTGACACCGATCAAGCCAGAAGTAGATTCATGTTCTGCGGTGACGAAGACAGTATCTCCAGAGATTCTGTTCATGTAAATACAAGTACCAGATTCGAGATCGTAGAGATGAACGAAACCGAATTTAGTAATGAGGTATATAATACCATACTTCTTTGAGATCTGCATGGCGACTGGGAAATCGGTTGCAGCTTCTGCTGGGAAGAAGACATCGATTGCCTTTTTAGTGTAAGGCGTCTGACCACTTTGGTAATCTATTTCTACGATGTGTAACTTAGCACCTGCGCCTGTTCTGACGGCAAAAGCAAACAACTTTGAAGGTGTTGCGTTACCATCAAGTTTGAGCTCAGAGAAAGCAGCTGCGTGACCTTCAATAGGCTGAGAAACACCTCTGTCGCGAGAGTATAACTGCATAGCACCTTTAATACGAAAACCATCTGGGCTTGGATTGCTGGATATACCAATAAGGGCCATCCACTTTCCATCATCCGTAGCTCTGTAGTTGATGATTTGTGAGCCAGTGAGGTTAGCATGACGATCGAAAACCTTTACTGGAGAGTTTTCACCGACTGCGTCGATATCCCAGTGGTAGACAGAGGTATCACTAACTAAGCCGAGAGTAGATTCGTTGAGCCAAGACCAGTAGACGATATCATCTGTAGCCAAATGTGATTTCACCTTCTGCTTGAGTTCCAAGTTGAATAGCTGGAGTTGTTTACCCGCTATGATGTGTTAGGATGGGCGGTGCAAGCAGACCGGACGAACCTTTCAAAGCGATGAGTTTTCTATCAGGGTGCATGATAGCAGAGTCAGCAGATATTGGCCTCCTCATAACGTTGTTCAGGTCGTTTAGATCGACGATAACGACTTGCTTTGGTGTTGCACCGCCGTCGCCCTCGCGAACGCAAATGAATTTGTCGGAAGACATCGTTAGAGTTTGAAAGCTGATGCTGGCTGGGTTTATTCCCAAAGCCGTGAGCTTATATAGTTAGAGATGGCTGCTGGAGGATAGCGTATACCCACTTGTAAGTGTTCAGAGAACTAATGAATATTAGTAGGACTATAAGGGAGAGCAAAATACGCACTTGGATAGGGCGCTCGGCCATATTGTATTATCGTATATTCGTGAGGTTGTGGTAGATGTCGAAGAGATGAGCCGCTGCTCAGGTGGATGGATTGCTAGGAATGACATTATTGGGTAGAAGATGTTAGAAATAATAAATAAACTAAACAATTTAGTTTATTCATTTATTATTCATTTATTATATCCCAAAATAAGGCTCAAAGTTTTCATCCTTCGATGACGCGGCTTACATCTCCCTAAGGTTCAATCACCATCGAAATGTCGAAAGAGGGTGGGTATCTAGCAAACTAGCTCTATAGCTCTCACATTATACAGACGCACTCAAAGAATACCGTCAGAAGATAAAGGAACATGAGCAATTGAGCGAGAGACTGAGAAATATACGTAAGAATATAAAAGATATGGACTCGTCCTTCGAACAGACGGAGGAGGACATGAAATCGCTTCAGTCTGTCGGACAGATCATCGGTGAAGTCCTCAAGCAGCTCGATTCAGAGAGATTCATCGTCAAGGCCAGTTCCGGTCCTCGCTATGTCGTACACGCTAGACCAACAATCAACCAAGCAAACCTTAAGCAGGGCGTTAGAGTTTCTTTGGACATGACTACACTCACTATTATGAGGATATTGCCTAGAGAAGTCGACCCTCTGGTCTACAACATGTCCATGGAGAACCCAGGAGAGGCTTCATTCGCCGGTATCGGTGGTTTGACCGAGCAGATCAGGGAATTGAGAGAAGTCATCGAATTACCATTAAATAACCCAGAGCTCTTCGCCAGAGTAGGTATCAGACCACCAAAAGGTGTGCTCCTCTACGGTCCACCAGGTACTGGTAAAACGCTCATCGCTAGAGCATGTGCTGCAACCCTCCAGACAAACTTCTTAAAGGTCGTTTCATCCGCCATCGTAGATAAGTTCATTGGTGAATCTGCTAGAGTTATTAGAGAAATGTTCGGATACGCAAAGGAACACGAACCATGCATTATCTTCATGGATGAGATAGATGCTATCGGTGGTAGGAGATTCAGTGAAGGTACATCCGCAGATAGAGAAATACAGAGAACTTTGATGGAATTACTTAACCAACTCGACGGTTTCGATCATTTAGGTAAAACAAAGGTCATCATGGCCACTAACAGACCGGACACACTCGATCCTGCTCTTATGCGTCCAGGTCGTCTAGACAGAAAAATCTTTATTCCATTACCAAATGCAACAGGTAGAACCGAAATTCTTAAAATTCACGCAAAAGATATCAACAAAGATGGTGAAATTGACTTTGAATCAGTCGCAAAATTATGTGAAAACTTCAACGGTGCTGATTTACGTAACGTTTGTACCGAAGCAGGTATGGTTGCTATTCGTGATGAGAGAGACTTTGTTAGGCAAGACGATTTCGCCAAAGCAGCTCGTAAATTGCAGGATAACAAGAAGCACGAGACTCCACTTGATTATAGTAATGTGTAATTTGATATCAATCTATTGTAAATGCATGATTATAAACTTAAAAAAAATAAATTATATTCAACCTAGTTTGAAAATTGTTAATTTCCCAAATAGCCTCTAATTAGCTACTTTGATGTGACACTCTCGATCATGTCTTTTCCGAGTGTTGTTATTTCTTTAATGATAAACTTCTTATCAATCACAACGTCATCTTTAGACTGTAGAAATGCTTGTTAGTTTTGAGTTCTTACTACTAAGTGGTGCGCTTACATCAACAGATTTTGTAGGATAGTGTAATCCAACCTTCCACTTTCTAGGACTTGTGTATGCCGGATTGAACATCGCACCAATTACACGACCACCGCAGGCATCGTGGAAGAAGACAACAACATCGCCATACATCCTTTCCATATACTCAACAAACATAGTTGCCGGATCATAATTGACAAGTGCATCATTGGATGTGTCGACATCTCCAAAATTATCTTCAGCCAACGATTGGTAGAGGCGAGTGTTCACCCAACTCTTGAGGTTGATAACAAAGTCGTAAATCTCTGTTGGTGATTTAAAGAGTTGCATAATGTCAACCTCACTATCATCAAGAAGCGCACTGGCGGTAGCTTTAGCAAGTGATTGTAGGCGACTGGCTATAACCTTGCTTGGTCTATCGTGAGTGTAATGACCACCAGAAACATCGTGCTCCGTAGCTACGAACATTGCAGTTTTCTTGATATCTTCATCAGTTCTGCGCAAGACTTCAAAAGTTTTCTCAGCTTCAGTCTTTTCTTTGAGTGGGAATACGATTTTTCTGTCGAGGTGATCCTCCTGTATTTGTGAAGCTGTGTATAAAGGAACTAAAAGAGGCTCTTGCTTATACTTCCATTCTGAAAGTAACAAAACACTTCTAAGGAAACCGAGCGATGGTGTACAAGGTACGGAATAGCTACCTGTATCCAAAAAGACACTAGCAACAACGAGTTCAATGAACTCTTGGCTTATATGTGGTGATAGTAAATGGGCATTTATCCAACGTGATACCAGTCTCACTGTCTTGGCGTATGCTTTGAATCTATGTGTGAGTGCCATAATAGCCTGGTGATGTCTAGGCTTATTGACGAATCTCTCCAAAAATCTATGTCTGGCTTCCTTCAAGATCTCCTTTTGGCTATTGGTGGTATTTACCTTATCATTTAACTGTCTATCAATTAAAGTAAGTTCTCTATCGTGTTGAATACGCAACTTCCAAGCAAATCCTTGCTCATTGATTACTTCTAACGCAACAGCATCTGCAATATCACTTGGAAGCGGACTATCGAACACTATCTGAGCCATGTATTGACCACTCTTCATCAACTCTGCAGCAAGTGCCTCAAGGAATGCTACTTTTGTGATTTGGATAGCCTCAAGATCATCAGGCCATTTACCACTACTTTCAAACTGTACTACCAAATCAGCGCCAGGAATGTATCTGGCAGAGGTAGGGGTGACACCGAATTTGTTCATTTGGCGTGTAGGTTGCGGATAAGGAGATGTGTGACGGAGGTAAGCCGATGCTGGTGTAACGTTCATAATCTCTAATGGAAGTGTTGTCATATCCCTCAACATACTCTGGAAATCCTCGTATACTTGAAGTGGTGCACCAAAGTCGTTGAATGTTTCTACGCCATCGACAGCTTCAACCTCCAATAATCCATCGAATTCCTCAGCAATAAATGAGAGTTGATCAATGTTGAAATGACGTCTAAGTATCCATTTAACAATCTGAATAGGAACGAGTTCCTTAGACCCATTTGATTGTTGCCAAACGACACTTTCATTGATTTTACCATCCTTAAACCTCCTCAATTCGGAAATTTCACCCCAGAACGCCTTAAATACTTCACATCCCTCTTCATCTTCTGCTGGTGGTCCATGATCAACAATCTTGCCAGCAACTTCTGAATCTAAAATCAATCCAATGCTAATCATATCGTCATCTAATTTAACATTAATAACCTTGCTACGTTCTCCTAACGCTCTAGCAAGAGTTGCAGCAATGTTCTGTCTCACATTCGTACCTTTGGCGATTTTCTTGACAAGCTTTGAAGGGAGTTTGCCTTTACCAATGAGATCGAAACGGGCAGTAGGGTTGCGGAGGTCTTTCATGAAAGTATCTTCGAATCTATCATTGTCATCATCGAGGGCGTTAAGCGTAAGTTGTGCCTCGAATCCGATCACACGAGCATCCTCAGGAAGAAGACCGTCCATCAAATTATAAGTGTGTGTAGGGTCAATGAAAAGTAATGGAGTACTATTAAAGTGATCCTCTTTCGAAAATCCACCAGTAGTAATGCTCTTCATAAAAACACTAGTGAAATCAGTTTTGCGTAAAAGATCCATTACAGTTTTGAAGAGTTGATAGGAACTCAAACCCTTACCGACACGTCCCTTACCGTCTTGGTCACCATCAACCAATAATGCTACGACAAATTCTGCATTAAAACCATTCAATAACCAATCGAGTGATCTTTGGTTAGCCCAGACCTTGAGTAACTTGACAGCATCCCTAAATGCTGGAACTGTTTCGGCGATATTATACAAATAAGTCAAGTGTGGTGTGTGTAGTGATGGCTTCATGAATGCATTACTCAATTTTGAGCCAATCCGAGATGGAGATATCTTGCTCAATGGTTTAAAAGGGGTCGGACTAGCCAAAGCAGAGACCAGATTGATAGTTGTATTCGATGGAATGAACTTACTACCTTTTTTGTTTGTTATACTGATTACTGGTTCCAATTCTGATCCATTTGCTTGCGTAATGTCAACTTGTATATCTAATTTGCTCTTTTTTAATATGTCTGCTAAAACAGTCATGTAGAAAGCCTGCTTAAATAACCATCTGTCATTCTGATGATCTTTCTCCTGAATGAAATGTGATGGTAAGAGGATAGCGAGGGTGACTTCCCAGCTTTTCACCCTACTAGACCGCCTTTTAACGTTAGTTTTTAAAGGCCACGAGCCCGCAACTTGTACGATGTCTGGTACTGTGTATCCTACGGCCCAATTGACGTCTTCTGGGAGTTCCTTTGATACTGGCAGGCTGAGATTGTTCTTTTTCAAGTATTTTCTTGCATCAGAAGTAGAAAGTTTACCGTCTGTCGACTTTCCAATTGGTTTTGTCTCCATTATCAGATTTCTGAGTGCATGTAAGGCTTGAGTGAGTGTTTCGACTTGAGAAGCTGGCTGCTGTATTTCTTCTAAGAGGGAATCTATCTATAGGCGTAATTAGTAGAAGTATAACGTTAAGATCGCCCACTCACTTGTAACTTGAAGAAATTCGACTTGAAAAGCTCACCGGTCTCTCTAAGTGACTGTACTTCATCCTTAGTAGGAGCCTTGAATGCGCCACCGTTTGACTTGATATTTGCGTCGTCAACGTCCATCTGCTCTTCTCCGCTATCTTCGAATTCGTTTGGTTCTTCGTAGTTGCCCATATTTTCATAATCGAAATCGCTTTCACTTTCGCTACCACTAGCGACCTATTGTTTATTAATAAACGGTGTATCGTCTATTTCGTATACGAACCTCTCGGTTTCTCTTCACCATCCTCGACGATTAAGAAGAAGATTGATAGAAGAAGAAATAAGGAATTAATTAAATATTTTTATTATTTTGTAGTTGTATATTTCTCATTTTCATCTCACATCTCTCCATCTCTTTCTTCTTCTCACACCATGTCGTCTGCTCAGTTTCTAGAACTAAACGACGTGAACGAAGCTCCTGAAAACAAGCGTGATAAGAAGCGGAGAGATCTTGTCGAAAAGTTGAATAAGCAAAGTGCAGAGATCTACGATAGGAGAGATCTGTGAGTATCAACCGTCATTTATAGTCAATCTAACGTCTTTAGTATCTTCTTAGAAGCACATAATGCTATGACTGATGTACACAATCATCTGCTATCAACATCTCCTACAAATCCTTATGAATTCACGGCTGCACCAAGTACAGGCTCCTTAATGACATCTAGAGAACAAAATCTCAGATTATACGAGCTTAGCTTAGAAAGGGATGCTATTTTGTCCGCTATAAAACACACTTACGGATATGCTATGGATTCCGCTAAATCTCTCTACGAGATTGAACGTAGCAGGGTCGAGGAGGAATACGACAGTGTACAACGCTCAATCAAGACTAAACTAATAGATGCTATTGAAGAGAAAAAGAGAAAACTTAAAGAAGAGAAAGACATGGAAGTTGGTGTGGAATCACTCCTAGATGCAACTAACTTTTCAAGATCGACGCGCACCAGTCGGAATAGGAAGTCAGGGAATGTGAGCTCTAGTGTAGGCGGCACTCCCTCCCAACAAGATCCCAACGAAAGCGAAGCAACAGTGCCTTCTAGTAGCTATCTCGGCGTTGCATTCGAAGACATACTTGGTTCAAGTTCTTTGAATAGCGTCTTAGGTGGTAAAAAGAAGAAAACACCTGCAGGTCCTCCTGGTATGACTGGACCGTTCTTAGGTCTAGGTAGAAGTATTAACTCAGGCTTGACAGCTGCGAAGGATATTGATGTTGATACCGATATGATGGAAATTCGCAAGAAAAGAAGACGAAAGTAAATTCACCACTCGGTTTATTCCTTTCTTGATCAAAATTATGTAGAGTAAATAGCAATGTATATTTTTATATTAATAGTAAAGTAGCCTGAAAAGACAATTGAAATTGTATACAAGTTCTTTCTGTCTTGAAATTGATAACGTATAAAACACAGATGTGAGCGCTTGATGTGGACAAAGATATCAACACACGTATACGATTATACAAATTCGTTCCTTTTATGATTTTCTAAAATCAATACGTTAATTAAGCAACATCTACGCTTATGACTCGTTTGTAACATAGTATATTTGAGTTAGCGTGTTTATTACTACGTGGATAGTAAGAGTTAACCGAATCAGCGAATATATATGCAAAGTCTGAGAAATGAATATGTCGAATTAACTTACTAACGACATTTACTTTTATTCAAATATTTCCCCACAACGGGCCTACTAGTTTCATTCATTCATCCATTCATTGATTAGGAACTTTTTCGCGAGACTATAAATATACAAGAAACTAGATTACGGGTTATTGTATAATGTCTGTGTGGCCTGTAATGGGTCTACACAATCCTCCTCATAATCTCAATATCATGTTGCTACATACAATAATACATCATAACTGTCAGAACATCTGTTCAACAGGGTGAAAATGCGACATTCAGCCACAAACATATCAAATACTTACTTATGACTCATACCTTCCTGACGCCCTACGTAATTATACTCTAATGAAGGGGCAATTAGTGTTAGACATTCATTAGCATTTCACAAATAATGCTTAAACTACATTGCCTAAGTGTGTATTAAGCTACTATTTACAACGATAGGGCATAGGAAAGTAAGACTATGGTGTAATTGCATCTTGCTCTTCTCAATCATGTATCCCTCGATAGTTTCCATCGCTAGGCGTTCATGGAGTTTATTCAGAGTACAAGTGGACTATAGTTATTATACTGCGACTCGTTAAGTTCAGCTTCAATCTGAATTTACATAATAAAAGCAGGTAGATTCATGTTTTATGTACATTGTATTATGACGTAATTAATAGAGTAACGATCTTGCAACGTCTGTGCTGCAATCTCAAAAGACGTTAAAGAAACTTGACATTGGTTAAAGTATTAGTGCAAGATTAAGAAAGTTCGAGTGCGAGTTTGTTAGAGATGAAGCTGATGTTGTTTGCTTGCTCGCCAATGCTTTCACCCTTGAACTGCTTCAAGCCGGCAATGACCATACTCTCACCTAACTTGGTAACAGGGATCTCGACGCTGTTGTTGAATTTACCAAGAAATCCTGTGAGGTAGCCAAAGATCATCTCAGTTGGTCTGCTCTCCTTCCTACCAGCACCTGCGAGGAATCCTGGTCTCATGACTGTCGTAGATTTGTAGCCGAGTTTGCTGAGCTCAATCTCGGTGAGCCCCTTACTACGAGGGTAGAGAAAGCTTGAGTTGGCATTTGCGCCTGCAGCTGAGCAGTAGATAACATGTGCATCTTCTCTTGCGACCTTCTTAGCGAGATCTACTACGAGATGCCTATCGATCTTCTCGAAGTTCTCAGCTGAGCCTGCGTTCTTGCGTGTAGTACCCAATGCAATGAATACCAAATCAAAGTCTGGCTTTATTTCTGTCTTCTCATCGAGCTTTACTTGAGTTAATTTCTCGGCGCCACTTTCTGGTTTATCGAGAAGAGATCTACCAATTTCAGTGACTTGAGTAATTTCACTAGATTTTAGTAGAGACGCTCTCACGTTGCGTCCTACTGCACCTGTGCTACCAAAAACAACTGCAGAAACCATGGTTGAACTGGATCAACCAACATCAGAATGAGCGACTCTACAAAAGTGTGAGCAAATATTATATATATATATACACCATCGTACTCACACTAGCTAGTTTAGTTGTTGGCCCAGCTTCTACCACTATCAGAGCTCTCTTTGATAAGATCTCTGCTCTTACCAGCAAGCACAACTTCAATATCGCGCTCATAGCCGGTGATCTCTTCGAATCTTCTTCTGAAGATGAACTAGACGACGTCCTAAATGGTGTTCTGAAGCGTGCGTGTTCTTGTAGTCACATCTTCTTTGCTCACAGGGACAACAGCACCGATGGATATTTACTACACACTAGGCTCTAAGCCCTTACATGAGAAGCTTATCGCAAAGTTAGGCAATGATGGTAGTGGTATGGTAGCTGAAGGCATCTTCATGTTGGGTGAGCTTCTAACAGCAAGTCACCTGTATACAGTCTGACAACAACCTAGGAAAGTCTAGCATCTTAACCACGGGTAAGGGATTGCGTATAGGTGCATTTGGAGGCACAGACGATCCATCTACACTGGCTGAGAAAGATGAAGAAGACGCTCTTCACCCAAAGATAACAGCAACGACGCTCGATAAATTCGCGGAGTACTTTGAGACACCCACTGCAGCGTCTGGAGGTGGAGGCAGCCTCGCAGCTGCGCGTGCGAAAGCTAAGCAACATTCGAACACCTCACTTGACATTCTCCTTACCCATACATGGCCCTCAAACATCACTTTACTTTCAAACAAACAACTACCTAGTCTCCCAGGACTGCCAATGGCACACAGCTGGGGTAACAGTGCAGTCACATCAGCGCTGAGCTACTCGACGCCTAAGTATATCTTCAGTGGAGGACACAATGCCTTCTGGGAGAGAGAGCCCTTCATTCATCCAAATGGACTCTCTACGCGTTTCGTTTCACTGGGCCAATTTGGTAATACTGAAAAACAGAGATGGTTTTATGCATTTACCATTTCACCACGCACCAATGGCCTTAAAGAGGATGCACCAAGCGGTTCCACATCCTCGCCTTTGCCTACCCTTACAACAGCAAAGAAGCGTGGTACTGGTGACAAAGATGAGAACAATAGTTACATTTTCGCTCAGCAAACGTCAGCATACGCGTCAGTAGGCGGTAAGGGTAGCAAGCGTGGTAAGAAGGGACATTTGCAAGAAATCACACAGGATGAATGCTGGTTCTGCTTGTCAAATCCACGCGTAACCAAACACCTAATCGTGTCTATCGGTGAGGAGTGCTACATAACTCTACCAAAGGGACAACTACCAGATGCAAAAGATACAGCTATACCTGGCGGCGGACATGTCTTGATTATTCCGATATCCCACTACCCTAATTTATTCTCCTTACCTGCTGAAATCGCTCAACGCGTCCAATCGGAATTACTCGATTGTCGAGAGGCTTTAACAAAATGTTACGCTAAATATGATTCTGTTCCTGTTACTTTTGAATTAGGAAGATACTGGTCAAGAGGTGGACACGCTCATATTCAAATGGTCCCTGTACCGAAGGACCTTTCACCAACTCTCGCACAGGAATTCGAAAATGAAGGTGTAGCTCAGGGTGTTGAATGGGAAGCCGACCCCCAAAGAGCGTTAGATGATCTAGAAGATGGTCAGAGTTATTTAAGAGGTGAGTAGCTCGTTATCTAAAATTACGTCAAGCTGAACCAGCTTAGTGGATTTACCAGATGGAAAGAAATTTGTCCATCTAATCAGACCAGCACCATTTAATCAACAATTTGCTAGACAAGTATTAGCTAACGTGCTTGGTATTCCAGATAGAGCAGATTGGCGGAATTGTGAATTGCCAGACGACCAAGAGACAGAAATTGCTAATGACTTCCGTAATGCTTTCAACCCGTTTGATAAAAATGTGTAAATTTAGTTAAAATTAATTTATTTTGCGCCTTTGTTAGACACTACCATGGAATGAATTTGAGGGATGACTTAGAGATCGTTAATGCGATATACGGAGACGATACAGCTGTTTATAATGAGAAAATTAACCAAGTTACACTCAAAACTTGCATAAATATAGATCAGGACGTCGTTATATCAAATGGAGAACAATCTACAATGATCAGAGTCTATCAGTTGCCACCAATAACGGCATATCTAACAGTCGATGGAGATAGCCTCACGCTCACAAAATTTGACTCTGTGGCATCTAAAACCGCAATCTCAGAGACGTTAGAAGAACTCATAAAGGAGCCGACAGCTGAGGAGGATGAAGAGGGCATATTGATGAGGATAATGAATACTTTACATACGCTATCCCTACAGGAGCTACTTGTAGAGTTCCCAGAGACACTCAACGATGTCGTCACTAAACTCATGGACCATAATATGCGATATACAAGGGAGGAATTTGAGCAGATGAGTCACGATTGTCAGATATGTCTTTCACGACGCAAAGGTCTTTATTGTGTACAAATGGAATGCAGTTGTGTGTTCTGTACCACTTGTCTCAGTAATTTGCTCAAGTTACACATTAACGAAGGCTCAATAGAAGCTATCAGGTGTCCCACATCGGATTGCTCTCAACGTATCTCAGACTCTACGATTGGGGCTGTCGTAGGAGAAGAGATTTTGAATCGATATGTCTACCTTCGGGAAAAACATGCGGCTGAACAAGGTATGTGAATACTTTCGACGAATGGGAAATGCCAACATACACAGATCCACGCACTGTCCATTGTCCACTCTGCCAGACACCTGTCAAGCGTCCAGCAGAACATCAAGGAGAAAGCGATGAAGGCGCCCAGAGATTGCGCGTTTGTCCAGAATGCACATTCACATTCTGTTGTTACTGTCGTAAAACCTATCATGGACCAGTGACAGCTTGTCCGACATCTACTACTCACCAATTTGTTCGTGCGTACGCCCAAGCGGCTGAGAACTCCTCTGAGAAGCTAGCACTAGAGAGGAAGTACGGTCGTAAATACCTCCAAAGACTCCTTAGTGAGTTCGTGGAAGCGGAATCAAACAGGAGAATCATAGAATCGACATCACAAGCATGTCCTAATTGCTTCGTCAGAACTGAAAAGATATCAGGCTGTAATCATATGAGTTGCAGATGTAATTTTCACTTTTGTTATCTCTGTGGGTCTAAACTCAATCCACAAAATCCATACCAGCATTTCAACACGCCCGGTACCCATTGTTTCCAACGACTATTTGACGGCGTACTACAGACCAACAGACAAGAAGAAGATAATGAGGAAGAGATAGTCTTTGTCGATCGCCCAGATGATGATGAGGGTCTTGAAATACAACTTGCACTCATGCAAATAGCCGAAGAGCATATGTAGAAGGTTATCCAAATGCATGCAATTTCATCATGTTCTATTTATTATTACAATTAAAAAAATTTGTGAAGATACCTTCCAAAGATCGAAATAGTTGTAAAGGCAGCACATATTCTGAAAATGACTGTAAATATAAGTGCTTTCCTGATAGCTGCAAAATGAGCAGATCTTATAGTACCACTCCAGTTCTTTTTCTTATCTGCACTACCAGGATTTAAAGCGGCTGATTCCCACTGTCTACGTATTGATCTGTAGCGTCTACCACAAACCCACATCCATATATTGATATCAGGTGAGTTGAAAGAAGGAAATAAGGCTTTTATTACGTGCGCTGTCGCTAGATGTCTTGATGATTCTGGACTTATTCCCGTATCCAACTTATCGGTTTTTGGTATATGGCTAAGGAAATCCAATGTAAATCCTAAAGTTAAACCCCATAATTTAAGCGGAGGGCGTTCCAGTTTTTCGGTAGGATGATCAGATTTATTTATCCTATTATCGGCAGTACGTTTACGTAATTCAGTGATAGTTTCATCAAGTTCAGCTGGAGTTGGAGGCGCGTAATCCTGTTCATTCTCCTCAGTGATTGTAACGCTAGCTAGACCGCTTTGAGGGGCGGTTAAAAATGGCTTGTTTGGAAGTTGTATCGCAGGGAAGCTCAAGGTGGAGTTTGAGAGTACAGTTGAAAGAATCGCTCTGCCGATGTTTGACTTTGGTGAGAGACGAGTAGGTAAATCGACCTCAACTCGAGTATATTGGGCCAAATCTGTGAGCAAATCTACGGGTATCCAGTGCACAGATTCCACTTCCTGTGGTTCCAACTCGAGCTTTATATCACTTGGTGTAGTTTGCACAAAAACGAAAGGAGAGAGTATCATGAGGAGCTTCTTGCCTAAGCTGGACGTTACCTCCCTATCATCGAGCTGACCAAGACAAAGGAATTGACGCTGATCGGAGATATCGAGGCCAATTTCTTCCCAACATTCACGCATCGCTTTTATGACAACCTATCAGATAATTTAAAATACCAAGAGATATAAACCCACCTGTATACTTGAGATTATCGTCGGCCGGCTCGTATCTACCACCAGGGCAAGCTACGTGGCCAGACCATCTGTCACCGTTGCGTGCAGCTCTTTGTATGAAAAGTATCTAAGACTGTGAGTAAATCATTGGGGATTTAGAGAGGTACATACCTCTGGTGTGACAGCACCATCCTGCATCCAGGGCTGGCTGAACAGTTGATCTATGGAGTTTAAATTCGATGGACTGTCCTCTGAACTCGTCGGACTACGGTTTCTATATCCGTCCTTTGGCCTAAACCTCAAAATAAGAGCAACGGCAGCTCGCTTTACGTTATTAGAAGACATGAGCTGGGGATCAGTTGATTGTATAGATTTAAAAGCTTGTAATATTCTCGTTAAGTTCGTCATTCTGTTCTTATGATCGACGTTTTAGTTATTCTAACGATTAACGGCAAAAAAGTGGGGTGAATGAAATTTTATAGGAATATATGCATTTAACATATATTAGAGTTGAGCATATATGCAACTATTGTATACACAGGTATATAGCTTATATATATACAATCAGCTGTCAAAAGCATATACCCCTTTCTTAGACTATAAATTTGAAAAGCTTGTGGAAAACCTTCTAAATAACCTTCAACTATCGACTAATACACTCCCTTCTTCAACTACTCTCATGGCAAAAAACGATCAGCGATTCAAGGGAACAGCAAATAATCCAAAGTTTCACAAACCTAAAAAGACGCAACAGAAAGTTGTACTTGATGATCGTTTCAAGGATCTCTTTGAGTTTGATAAGTCTAGTGAGTCGAAAACTTGAGCAGAGAAGACAGCGACTTACAGTGATATAATAGCAAAACTAGATAAGTATGGTCGTAAATTGAAATCAAAGGATGATGCAGAACAACTCAAGCAGTTCTATAAGCTAGATGATACCGATAAGATGGATTTCGCTCGTGGTGAAGCCGTAATGGAAGATTCTTCAGACAGCAGCGATGACAGCGGAGATGATCCAGCAGATTCCAGCGATGATGACGATGAGGTTGAACTCCAGCCGGAGAATTACGAGAACAAACTTATTGGCTCTGACGAAGAGGAAAGCGACGAAGAGGAAGAAGACTCACCTGAAGCACTCGACGATGATGAGATCAAGGACGAGATGCGTAGGTTAGATGCTCAAGCTGAAGCCTACAACGACGGTCACGTTGAAGAGGAAACAATAGACTTCACCACTAGATTGGCTGTTACTTCACTCGACTGGGATCACTTATCAGCTACGGATATCTACGTTGCTCTTGACTCCGTCATGCAAACTACAGACCTCAAGAAATCACTTAAAAATGTCAAAGTTTATATGTCTCAATTCGGTAGAAAGCGACTCGAACAGGAGGAACAATCAGGTCCTGCGCTCGTTAGTACCAAAAAATCAAAGAAAGGTAAAGAACGCGAGGTTGATCCTGACTCTGCATTGCGTGAATATCAATTGGGTAGACTCAAATACTACTACGCTATCGTAACAATGTCATCTTCAAAAGCTGCCCATAAGCTTTTCACGGAAGCTCAAAACACAGAGATTGAACGTACGGCTAATGTAATTCAATTCGAAGTCGTACCTGATGGTGTTGAATTCGATGAAGTGGATATAAGAGACCAAGCTAGCACATCTTCAGAAGCTTATAAAGGTGTTGACTTCACTACTCCTGCATTGAGACATTCCAAGGTCAAGTTGACATGGGATGAAGATGATGATAAGCGCGTCGCATTGACAAGAAAAAGATTCAACCAAGCAGATATTGAGCAAAATGACTTCAAGGCTTATATCGCATCTGACAGTGATAGTGATGATGATGATGAAACACAGAAGAAAAGAGCTGCGCTCCTGAGAGCTGCTCTTGGTGGTGGTGGTGCTGATGACGCTCGTGAGCTCAGAGGCGGTAAGAAAGATAGAGAGGGTGAAATGGAGGTTACATTCGCACCAGGTTTGAGTGAGAAGGTTGACAAGAATGACGACGAGAGTGATGAAGAGAATATGACGACACTCGAGAAATACAAGAAGAAGGAGAAGCAGAAAAAGAATGCAAGGAAAGAAAAGAAGAAGGCCAAGGATAACGCCGGCGAAGAAGAGGAAGAGCATGTTCCTGTACAGGATGACGCTGGATTTGACGATGAGTTCTTCCAATCTGGTAGTGAAGATGAAGCAGCCTTTGAGAACAGGAGAGATGATGAGGGCATCACTAAACCATCAAAAGGAGGCAAGAAAGACAAGAAAGCTATCAAGGAGCCTAAAGACGATAAATCTCGAGTAGAATCTACGGCCGAAGAATTGCAGCTTTTGACTAACGAGGATGATGAAAAGCACTTCGACATGGATGAAATAATAAAGAAAGAGAAGCAATCTAACAGAAAGCGCAAGCACAGAAAAACTAAAGAGGAAAACACGAAGGACGACTTTGAGATTGATATACAAGATGACAGATTCAAGGGCGTCCTGGATGACCACCAGTTTGCAATTGATCCGACATTGCCAAAGTGAGTATCCTAATATGGAAGGTAGCACTTAACTGACCGCATTCAGCTTCAAAGCAACTAAGAACATGAAAAAATTACTTGCTGAACGCAGTAGCAGATCACAGGCTAACAGTGGACAAGACTTCAACGCAGACAACGACAGATCAATTAACAGCCTGATCAGCAGTGTGAAACAAAAGTCTAACAAGAAATTACGTAAGAACTAAAATTTGCCTCCTCAGTTGGATTTGGTATATATTAATTAACTAGACTAAAACGGCGAAATTAAGCCTAAATAAAATAATTTAATTTATAAAAATTAATTTTGCTATTTTTTATATTTCTCTTCGCGACTGTCATCAAGTGAAAGTATACCCAGTCAGAGTATATACAAATGGGTGAGATATAGTCTTACATCAGAGATAAATATATTTATCTTCTTCTCAGATCTCTATACTTTATCAATCAGTCTCCCTTTACCTGATTTACCCAACAAAAGTTTTATCTTTCCGTCGGACGACTTCAGAAAATCAGCGGATTTAGCGACAATAGCTGCTGCACTTACTCAGACACACTCCTGCCTCGTCAAATACACTGTTACAGATAGTCAGTCTCTGTGGCATTTATCCGGTTCAATACAAAATGTTCTATCAGCAAGGGGTTCTTTGATCAGGGATTTACCACTCAATTATACTGAGACTCTCAAGATCCCAAAATCTGATATTCTAGTACACGATTTGAACTCAGCAAGTGGAGGTCAAGGTGGAGCCCAATCATCAGCCTCAACCCAGTTATCATGCCTCAATCCTCTAATTAGAGATAAACTTGTTGAGCTCAATTCCACAATGAACGTTAACTTCTCACTATTGGAATTACCTCCTTCAAATTTCCAAAATGGCTTACAATTACAGTCTCTAGTTCAATTGTCTATTCTAGGAGGTCAAGAATCTGTAGAACATGCCAAAATTCAAATTTTAGTTACAATCGATCAACATTTAGGTTTACACGCCGATAAAGTCGATATTGACTTCAAGCTACACCCAATTATCGCATCAAAGAAGCGCTCGGTTATTAGAACCATTGAGGAAGAGACGGAAACAAATATCTATTTACCTCCACCTTTAGCCGGTGTACTGGGTAACTCCTCACCAAGAGCTGGAAGTCTTCCAGATCACAGAAACTTAATTTATATCACTGGTGATTTCTTTGGCGTTCAAAGAGCTAAAGATATGCTGGTTCAAGTTGCTGTACAGAAAGTGAACTCCAAATCAGTCTTAAGCAGAGATGCAGCTTTATTACCAAGAAAATTAGACTCTTTGGTCGTTGAAAAAGCTGATGAAATCCGTACAATTATGGCAGACAATGGTACTTTTATCAAGTTCCCAATAATTGGTTCACAAGCTTCAATTATACAAATCTTTGGTGATAATAGAGTATCTATTGAAAGGACTATTAGGTCAATCATGCAATTGGCTTGCTACTATTACGTCGCAAGCGTTTGGTTATTACCTGTTACCTTTGACGTTTTAATTCCTCCACCTTCAATCAATCCTTCAACCGTACCTGCCAGTGATTTAGAAAGATTGGCTTTAGAATCGGGCGCTGAGATCGTTCTCAAATCAAATTGTTTCGAAGCACATGGGTCTGATACTGCCGTTAGAGATGCTATCGCAAGAGTTTTGGAGTTGGATATTGTTCAAGGTTTCCATCACGAGATAAGATTCCAAGTGGAATTAGCCAATGAACATCGTGATTTCATTTCGGGTGAGTGTCAAAGTTTTCTTATATTCTATTCTAACATTCAAACAGGTAAAAAGAACGGAAAAATTAACAAGATCATGAAGTCGGCTAATGTCAGAATCAAATACGAGACACTTTCAGAGTATAACTTTTTGATTGATGTTGCTGGCTCAGATCTTGGTGCCTTGAGTGGATTATCAATGTTACAAGAGGAATTACCAGCTGAAATGTCTTTCCACGTTCCTGAAGTCTACCACAAGCGTATTATTGGTGTTGGCGGTAAAAACATTCAACGCATTATGAAGAAATTTGGTGTTTATGTCAAGTTCTCAAATGCTGATGAGTTTGCTGCCCTTGGCGGTTATTGTGATAATGAGGACAATGTTATATCAAGGACTCCAGCCAAGAATGCTATGAATTTGGAAAACCTCAAACAATCAGTTATGGAATTAGTAAATCCCAAAGACAAAGATTATACAAATGAAAGTATTTTGATACCTAGGAAATATCATCGTACTTTACTAGGAGAGAAGTCTATCTTCTTACATGATATCGAAAGTAAGACAGGATGTAGTGTCAGATTCCCTGACAAGGAGTTGGCAACTGATTCAGTTGCAATATTTGGACCTGAGCATCAAGTGAACGTTGCGAAGACGATGGTTTTGGTGAGTTTTCATCATTTTAACGGTGTTTTAAGCTAACAAAGTATCAGGATCACGTTCCATTTGAAGCTGAATATCTAACCCCACGTTCAAATGAAATAAGAAACGCTGTCAATGATACTAAGTTCATTGAACTTGTCAACAGCTTGAGGAGCGATTTGCATGTCTCTATATCTGCACCTGCACAGTTGCTCAAGTCGACTGAGAATGGCCAGAACACCCCACCACAATCATCAAACAGTGATACCGCTTCTGACGACGAGGAAGATTTGGCTTTCAAAGTTCGCTGTCAACGTTCAAACATTGACATGTTAGGTGCAGCTAAAGAAACGCTTGAGGATTACTTGAAGAGTCGCAATGTACCGGTTCATACCAGACCATCAGCACCTGTACAACAACCAATGCGTGCTGATGCCCTTGCAGGTGCATTCCCATTGTTTAACTCAAAGATCATTCCAGCAGCTGAAAGCCCAACAAAGGAGTCTTTCGACGGTTTCCAAGATGCAAGCGCACAGTTCACCAGACCAGGTGAATCACGCTATCATCCTTTGAGCAACAACAGTATTGGTGGTGGATCGTCAGCAGCAGCTCTGATGGGACAAAAACCAAACTTCACTGGATCATCAACCCTTGGTGGTATTAAGACAGGTGCTGTTGGATCAGGTAGAAGACTTCGTGCTGCAGTATCAACTCCAAATGTAAAAGCGCTCTTTGGTAATGATAGTAGTGGTGGATACCCAGGTTCAGCTATGTCCTCACCAGACTCTAATACTGCATTGTCTTCACCTTATGGTGGTATTGGAGAGGATACCTCTAGCCCTGCTACAGCTGCTCAGTTACAACAAGCTCAAGCTGCAGCTGCCTACTACGCTGCTGCCAGTCAACATGCTCAAGAGCAACATTACACCCAGAACGTATGGGGACCACCAACACCACCAACTCAATATGTCAGACCTATTCCAACTGCCGCTGATGCCACTAAAAGCTATGCTCAAACAACAGAAGAAGCAGTTAAAAGAGGTTCAGACTCAGTACTCGAATCTAAATTAAAGACTCAACCTCAGCGGACCTTAGCTTCACAAAGAGCCCAAAGTCTTGATCTTGGTGCGTTAGTCGGTAAGACTCCGAACTCTACTACTGTTCAGGGACAGAATGCGAACGCAGGTGGATATGCAGGTGTCGTAGGAGATCCTTCTAGTGGGTCGGGCTCTTACTCCCCAAGTGGAACACAATCCTCAAATAGACCGTCGCCAAGGGAATTCAACAAACCTCAACGCGCTAGTCATTTGACTCATCAGCCACACTATTCACTTGGGGGTGGTCCAATCAGTGGAGTGATGCAACAAGACCAATCTATATTTGGGTCATCGGCTTCTTTGGGTGGACATGCTCATACACGATCGTTACCACAAGTTACACCACCTGAATTAGATCAAAATCCACAATCGCAATTCTATTCTCCAATCTCACCACCTGGTAATCCAATTGGTAGCTCAGCATCTATTTACGCGCATCCTACTCAACCAACAGGATTAAGACATGCAAGATCACTATCTACAAACCCACGTAATACTTTACAAAATATCCCAAATCCTATCTCAATACCTCCAACGGATAATTCGGCAAATCAGTCCAATTTTTCTAATCCAAATTCCGCAACTTCTGCAACTTTTAGCTCTTCACAACAAATCCCATCTAGGATTGCCACACCATCAAATTTCGATGGACTAAGTTCAGACCAAGCTAATGAAATTTCTAGAGTATTAGCCCAAGTGAGATTAGATCAGAATTAATCAAAAAAATGTGAATAATAAGTCCACTTTACATAGCATTGATATTATTTATTATTATCTCATCACTTACATGGATTTGGACTCGTGATAAGTTCATACACGCGATTTTTATACAAGGCTCAGTTCAGTCTACCCTAATTTATTACATTACCCCAATCCACTATCAATCCACTAAACAGTTTACAAAAACACTTATCATTATTATTATTATTATTCAAATTAGTCTATTCCTTTTATATTTTATTTCGTCCTTTGTTTTAAAAAATAAGTCCTGATTGATTAATTTACAATTATCGTTTGTTCGTTTGAAAAATTTCATTTCTTAGTTAGCTATATCGTCAACGGCATCGTAATCGAATAATAAGTAGTTGTATTATAAGTTGAAAATTTAAAAATTGAGTAGCGTTGTGTCATTAGTTATGTACTCAAATGATTATCTAAATGTAATCTAAGGATAATTCCTACCATGATACTTTGATATTAAATATACTCAATAAGACATTAAAATTCAGCAATCGCGTCATAAATTTCGCTCAAGAAAGCATAATAAATGAAGTGTTTTAACCTTCCTGTTACCTTTACTTGAGGAATCCAGATGGGATATCGTACGTGAACTTAAAAACACAGATTGTAAATTATAGAGTAGTATGTCAAAAGTCTCAAAAAGCAAAGTAATAATTCTAAACAATTTACGTACAGTATTCACGTCCGCACTCACAGGTGTTCTACCAACATATACAAAGAAGGAGTCTGGTCCATGTACGCTCAACATGCATAGAATCGTACTTGCCTGGAAATTTTTAAGTTCTCTGATTAAACTACTTGCCCTGAGTGCTTGCTCGATGCGTGTAAATTTGCACAACGAACAAGAACTCGAAGTCAAAGACTTGTTGATCAAAATATGCACAAGATTTTATATGATCAATTGTAAAAATATTATTATAGTAATCTACCGTATTCGATTTTTTTTTGCCTTTTAAATACTATTTAAGGAAAGACATTTCACGCAGTAAAGTTTGTGCATACCATGACCAAAAACGTCACAGGTGAAGTTAAAAAGTCAAGGAAAAAGACCAAGTTAGATAATATTCAAATACCAGCCTTCTCTGTAGACGCTATGGACATGCAACCAAATAATGTTATGTCAAATATAAAAAACGGTCAATTAGCAAATACAAGTGGTAAAGTTTCACGTCCAACGCTACAAGAAATCAAAGCGTATAAAGCTCGCACAAAAGAATATCAAGCGCGGCTTAAAAGAAGTTACTTCGAGCATATCGAATACGCCAGCCAGCAACAGATGTAGGTTAATGTGGTCAAGCGTATAGTTTATTACCACCTGATGTAGCTGTACCTCAAAATGCATATTATATTGACAGATCTTTACTTATATTCTCATTGTTATCATTTCGAAAAACACCGTACTAAAATTATTGCTAGTGGTATTAGCAGAATGTTCGTCTAACAATCCACCTGTACCTTTTTAGTATCCAGCTTCTTCATAGCTTCAATTTCTTTTTTTGTAATCATTAGAGTTAGAATGCAGGCACATGTTATGCAATGTTTAGTAAATAAAGTTGTTTTTCAATAGTCGAGCACCAGTTACTCCATTATCTAACTTACCAATATTCATTCGATTCGCGATCAAGCCATGTGTTATTATCATGTTCATCCAGCAACTAGCAGACAGTCCTGCAGTACCCAACCGAATCTTGGTACGACTCGAAATATGAGATGTGTTATTGCCGTCAAAGTTTCTGTCAGTAATATACTCAAACACGCCTACTGAAAAAAAATATTCTGTATAAGACGCTGTACTATGAAAGAACAGAGCGAAGATAAATACTACGTGACTAACTAGTTTATCTATATCTTCGACCAAAGACGGCAATACTTTCTTAATATCAGGTGCCATCCATAAGATTGATATGACAAAGACGTTTGGAGTTATGTTATTAATTCTCTTTATTAACGTAGTTATTATTTATTGTAGTAGAGGTTTCACTATTAGTATCAGTAGCTAAACCGAAATCAATGATTCATTGAATAGACATATGTGAAAGTTAACAAAGCAGTCAGACAAAAATAGACTGAACTACTTGCATTTTTATCAAAAATGTATCATAGATTTATTATTCCCATCGTATGAATTTCACATAATGTAGATCAACTGTAGATGACATCGTCAAGTTGATACTCGCTGCCAAATGACATACGGCAAGATGCCAACATTTATAACACCGAATCAACTCCCGCAAGATCGAAAGGATTGAACTTAAATATATACGTCTCAAACTTGTCTGACATGTTTTACCTCTTTTGTATCTCATAGTCTCTACTTTGACATACTAGAGTGATGATGATTGAAACGTCGTTAGAAATTAGAGATAAAAAGCGAGAAGTATACAGCCAAACATAGTAAATTCTCTAGACAATATAAAACACCCATTTTCTTATGACTTAATTGCTTGTAGATGATCATCTATTAAGATGAACCACAATAGGTGAGACATAAGAATTCACTATTACGATAGAAAGACTTTTCAAATAAATAAAACTAGCATTATTCTTTAAGTACCACAGGCAGTAGTTTTACAATTGATATCATCATAATCTACCTAATCACACTGTTTCTTGAATTATTCCAAAACTACTCGTTAATAATTCCTGTTCGTGTCAAATTATGTCATCAAGCTTATCAACCTTCGATATCGTAAGTACAAGATTGTATGATTAGCTCCAATTTAGAGCTACTTTTGCCAGAAATGGCTAGGGTCATGTCAATATTATCAGAGACATCATCATCTTTTAGCTTTGTTTTATCGAGCTTTCTAACTTTAGGTCCTTTCGATTTGATAGAATGCTGCTGAGGCTGGTATTGCTTAAATTTATCAACCGAAGGACCCCTATAGACGTCTTCTTCCATTGCTTCTAATTTTTGGAAGAGGTATTCAGCTTCTTGGACATCCCTTCTCGCCCTTGCCAACTGCAACCTTTGTTGAAGCTCTGCTTTCTCAAGAGCTACATTTTTCTTCAAAGTACCACCCATTACAGCAGCTTTCTTTTGTAATTTGAAATTGATGTCGGCCTTTTAATCGTTAGAAGATTTCGTGAACGAATATATGACTGACCTCTGACCATGGGCGTTTTCTTGTTTCTTCAATTTGGGTTCGTACCATTTCTATTGTCTTACGCGTAGGTAATCTAGCTTTCTCATATTTTGCGTGCGCCACGAATCTATCAAATTCTCTATCTGTGCAACGAGAATTTGAAACTTTGTCCATATTACAAGGTTTACTTGCTCTGCCTTGCTTAAGGACCAATTGCTGGTTGGTCATTGTGTTGCCATCTATGGCGTAAGGTCTTGTAAGACTATCACCAAGACCTAGAATGTATTTAAATTAAGACGATTAGCTATTATTTGAACCTACCAACAACTTCACATAAACGGTAATCTGGTTTACCATCTCTCTCACCTAAAAGATACCTTACGAATGTACCTAATTTATACGAGTTAAAAAGGCTTGATTATTTAAACGTTATTACCTTTTACGAAGTCCTCGAAGAATGGTGCATAACAGAAATCAGCGAGCATTGTACGACTGATAGAAACTTTGTGAATATCAGCTGTATCGATAGGTTTTTCGTCTTTCTCTTCATCTCTATTTAATTCGCCTTCTTCAGAATCGGAGAGTGACTGTGATGATCTTTGAAGATCGCTTTTATCATAGTATTTATCATCATCGTAATCCTGAGGAAATAAGACGAGGGAAACCGATAGAGATCAGAACTCACGTGTCTAGACCTTCTCTTAGTTTTAGCTTCACGTTTGCTTCTAAGCTCTTCAAGTTTATTCTTCTTCTCTACGGTTGCACCAGTTTGTTTATGAGAACCTATCGATGATAACTTGAGAAAATATCGAAGTATATAGAAGCAAACATACGTTTAGCAGCCGATGAAACACTATCATCACCGATAGCTTGAGCCGCTGAGAATAATTTATTGATGTTCAGTGAATCTTTGTACTTTTGCATCTCTTCTTGACGGGAAGCCAATATATCCTCACGCTCGAGCTCATCAAGATCCATGAGACTATTCAAGATATTAGATTGACCAAGTAATAGATTATGCTACTAACTTTGCTCTATCTGCCGCATTCTTATACTTTCCCTCAAGAGGATAAGGGTTGTCATCATCGACAGCTTGAGTTTCAGTTTGTTGATCATCATATCCGCCATCATCATCTTCACCGCTATCGGTAAGTCTGGTGGTATAAAATGAGCATAAAGTGAGAGCGATAAGATAAGGATTACTCAGATTCCTTGCGCTTCGAACTTGATTTGAAGCTTGTTTGATCGTCGTCACCGTCAACGAGTCCAAGCAAATCAGCGTCAATTTCATTATCTAGGTTGCTCATTATTATCTATCAAGTGATGATCGTTAGAGAGAAGGAAGTGTGAAGTGAATAATGATAAGGAGAGCTAAAATATTTTATAAATTTATTATAATTTCATTTATTATATCACTTTATTTATTATACCGATGAACTTTATATCTACTGCACCATTGGCAGGCTATAATATAGGATATTCGCCTTTTCATAGATCACGTTTAGCTGTAGCTTGTGCAGCTAATTATGGTGTGGAAATTTATATAGCTTTTATCGTCTCTAAATTCCATAGGCTTGGTCGGTAATGGTAGATTACTAGAGCTTTCATATAATCAACAAGGTGATTTGTTTACTCATAATACGTAAGATATTCGTCATATCTTTTATACCCTTACATAAATCAACTTAGTTTTGACACCCAGGACGGTCTATTCGATCTAGCTTGGTCTGAGATACATGAAAATCAAATCGTTACTGCAGTTGGCGATGGTAGTATTAGATTATTCGATACGCAAGTTAAAGTGAGTAGCTTATTCTCTTCACTTCTCGATTCATAAAGTAAAGCAATACCCGATTAGAGTTTGGCATGAGCATTCGCGAGAAGTGTTCAGTCTCGATTGGTCAACAATAGATAAACTCCATTTTGCATCGTAAGTACGTCCCTATCATTTTTAAACATCTCCTCTTAACTTTGTCTCAGTGCATCTTGGGATGGCACAGTGAAAATTGTGAGTTAATCTCATTTATCTCATCATCTAATGTAAAATAGTGGACACCTGACAATACAAACTCTTTATTAACCTTAAAAGCCCACAATGGTTGCGTCTATAATGCTAATTTTAGTCCACATCAACCAGCAACTTTGGCAACTTGTGGATCTGATGGTCAATTATTAATTTGGGATCTAAGAACTCCTCAGGCTCCTGTAAAGTCTATAAAAGCTTCCTCTACAGAGATCCTTTCTTTAGATTGGAATAAATATACTCATAATACACTGGCGACTGGTGGTGTAGATAAATCAATCAGATCTTGGGATATACGCTCATCAGGTTGCTTTAGCAATTTAAATGGTCATGATTATGCAATAAGAAGAGTTCAGCATTCACCCCATACACCTAATCTTATTGCTAGTGCATCTTATGATATGACGGCTAGAGTGTACGTTCTTACAAATCAGATTTGATATCATGATCTAACTAATCACTTAGATGGGATATTAATAAGAATGCAGCTGCGTTTATACATGATAAACACACCGAGTTCGTTATGGGTCTGGCTTGGTCACTATTTGACCCTTTCGTTTTAACCACTTGCAGCTGGGACAATAAAACACATTTAATTAACTTGAAGGACAAGCTTGGAAGATAACCAATTGATTCAATACACTGCATACCAAATTTGAAATTTTTCATAATACATAAGGTTACATATCTAAACGTTCATCTCATCGACTTCAACTTCTAAAGGTTTTAAGGGTTTTTTATTTATTGAACGTTTTCGAGCCTTTCTACCTTTTGGTTCTGCTCTTACGTTCATTTCGTCAACTTCATAATCTTTTGGATGTCGCTTAAGTTTTGATACTACATCGGGTCTATCTTGCGAACTTCCTTGAACATTCACCTCTTCTGTCGTCTCTTTTTCTGCTTCATCTTGAATGTTTCTGATATCTTTTTGTGTTTTTTCAGAAATTTCATTAAGGTGTGAATCATCATCATAATCGAAAGATTGTAAACCACCTTTCCTTTTCCTATCTTTAGTCTTGGATACAGGTCTGACACTCTCACTTGTGCTCTCAAATGATACATCGTGAGAGAGATTATTGTCTAAACTTTTACGGTATTTATCAAAGTCTTGAGGTGTCTTGATACTTTTAAATGATTCAGTATCATATTCCGCACTAGCAGAATTCGTGATTATAACATCTGAGATGGATGAAGAAACATGCTGTAAAGCTTGGCTCGAGAGAGACCTTCGAGCTCTATTTGCTATACCACTTGCTAATAGATCTGTTGATGTTTGAATCTATTCGTGTCAATGAAGAAATAGGAAACTAACGATCACACTAACAGAATTGGACCAAGACATCACGGGTATACTCGCATGGTAATCTTGTATCAACGTTACTGCTAATCCTAAGTTGAACTTGTGTTGTTTATTCGAGTCAACTGCGTTCGCTATTAGTGAGTTCGCAAATGAATCCCAATACTAACATCTGGAAAGAATTACAACCAACTTGTTCTCTGTCAGAACAAACTCTGGTACTTCTTCTATTTGCTTTTCTAGCTCATTTATCTGTTCAGTGCAACTAAAAACTATGACGAATAGTTTGATACGTGAATCAGTATAATCATTTCTCTTTAAACTATCCCTGAGCTCTCTATAATTGTTTATTTAAGCAAATGTAAGTTTTATTATCAAATGCCTACATTCTTAGATTATCCTTATCTTTACTAAGATCAACTACGCGCTTTGCAAGCGTAACTTTCTCAGAAGCAGCTGATCCACTCAACTATTATTAATTATTGGATTGCGTTATAATACAGGCATTTGTTGCTCACCACTATCGTGTTTTTATATTGCTCTTTTCTTAATCTGGACATGGTTGGACTTTATAAAGAAGTTTACCTTTTGGGAAAGTTCTATACATGAATTATATAAAAGAGATAGCTATTAAAACATTACATAATTCGAATATAAATATTCTAGATCATAATTTCCACGTGTTTGTTACACAAAACCTACACATTTATTAGCTAAACCTGCATAACTAATCTGATAAGGATATAATCTTAAAATTACTATTACATTCGTAGTACAAACATCAAACACTATCCGGAAATTATTGCTCTTTTAAGCTGGCTTCAATAGCTGCTTTAAGTTGCGCTTCATACGTTTGTTCCTGATTTTCATTTTCATTAACATTATCTGCGTCTTCAATTCCCTGCGGAAACACATCCCCAGGGGCAAAGTCATCATATTGGTAAGTTTCATCTAAACTTTCAGTTGGCTGTGCATATTCACTTTTCTTTCCTTCTTTCTTTGACATTATATGGTTACTTGCTTGTTCAACTGATGTACTGGGCTTTGTCTGAAGAGACGATGAACCTACCACACTATTGTCGTTCGTCTCACACTCTTCATTGAGCCTAATTTCCTCCAGTATAGCCGCCATTTCTTCATCTTTCTGTTTCTCGACTTCTTCTTCCTCTCTACTAATCATCATGACATCTTCAGTCATCATGTTAGTTGATTCAAATCTTAGAGTATATACTAACAATCAAGAGTTTCTGATTCGTCCAAACCTAATTCATCTAGTCTTGACAATGCTTTCTCAGGTAAGGTCGGTTCGATTATGTCATCGCCTTCTTCTTCTTCCATTTCAAGAGACTCGCGTATTTCATCGCGTACGTCAGAGGAGTCTTAAGCATTCATGAGCATTATATTTCAACTCCCATGATACTTACATTGATATTTCTGGGCCACACTTTTATTAGAACCTCTCCATCCTTTGCCTCTTGTCTTGAAATCTTTAACACCACCCGCTTTCCAAGCAATAATTTTGTTACCAACTGACGCTACAATAGCAAACTCGTTAGCAACTATTCCATTAACAGCGAAAGCGCTTTCATCTTCTACGGTTGCATCATTTGTAGCTAAAAATCTAGACAAATGACGCGTTGACGAATTCTGATTAAAGAACCTGACATATTCACCAGTAAGTGGATCATTTGCGATTACCAAACCATCAGCGCTTCCGGTTATCAATAATAAAGGAGTTAGTGCGATACTAGTAATTTTGGCGTGATGTCCGTCAAAGATCTTTAATGGATGAATGATTTCATCTGATTTAGTATCCCAGTCCCAGATACACGTCCTTCCACTAGCATCTCCTGCTACGATTGCTCTTTTATGCTTTAACATTTGATCATTGACATAATAATGCGAGCCTATATCTAATGCGTCGGATAGGTTACGATCAGTGGATGCAGTCCTGCTTGGCACTGGAGTTGCTAATGGCGAAGATATGCTGAGATCAGTGTTGAGATAAAAACACGTGAGTTCGGCCAATGGGCCAGAACCATACTTATATATAGTCTTGTTTATAATATCATGTCTTTCAAAGAAGCTTTCACGCTTACGATGGACCAATAAATTAATTCTGTTAAGGTCTTGAGTATCTAGTAATAATTTTGAGACTGGTAAGTACTGCTTGTGACTATTCGAGGCAACATAAGAAACAGGACAGTTTTCAATTCTTTCTTGAATACTTCCTTCGCTGACACATGCTTCAATCGGCATATTTGACCAAACTATGACTGTGCCACTCTCATAACCAGCAGCAATTGAGCATGTTACACTATCATAGGAGACCTGAGTTACAGAATCTACCTGTGAAAGTTTTTCTCCTTTAGAGTTAGTCAAGTATTTGATATCCGAACTCCAAATACAACGTAATTCAGGCTCATTAGACCATAGTTTAACAACACCATCCATGCCACCACTAACAAATGTTGACGAAGCCCAATTGTATTTTGATGCGATAGAACTAGGATGTGATAGACAAGTGACCGGCCCAAAGTGAAATTCTTCACTAGTATTTTGATGTGTTGCTAAACCACTACCTCTGACTCCCCAAGAGGAAGCAGCTCCTGATCCATGTTGTAGAGCACTTTTAGCAATTTGTGTAAAACCAACAAAACCACTAGCAAAACCCCAAATTACACGACCATCATTTGAAAGTTCCAAAGTAGAAGCATCGTTAGGTGTCATACCTGGCGCTAAAATGTATCCTTTTGCCAATTTTCCACTAAAAGGTTCAGATCTAGTCAAACAAGAATGAATAAGAGACGCTGATACTAGTCTTCGAGGCGTTAATTCAGGATTCGTTAAAGTAGATAAATCTAAAGAAATTCTATGGATAGTAGCCACTCTAGGATTATGAGTTATAATTGGAGCTTTTGACTTTTTCCATCTACGCAAATACATTGAACGTTTAATGAATTCTTCCTTCCAGGTACTAGACCTCCCGGCTATTCTAGAAGTGAGAATATCAGATGAACTATTACTGTCTTCTGTGGGTTGTAAACTTAGAAAACTGAATGCAAAAGCACGTCTCCATGTAGCGTCATCGGTGGCTGCATGATGTAGGAACCTATTAGCTAATGATAACGACAATAAGGATTGTGGGTCAAGGTATGCAAGTATATGTAAAAGCAGATCGTAAGGTAAATCTTGTAGAATTGAGATTGAATTTTCATCGTATTGATCATCCTCATCGCTGATAGATAGCTTATCGCTGGATTTATTAGAATAGTTACGCTTTGATCTAGTAGATCTAGATAATTGCTTAAAATGATGTTCTTCATGATCGCTAGCTGGTATCATTAGCCTTGAAGACTGAAGTCATAGAGAGCTCACTATCTAGAGTATAATTTAAATCGACATTAAAATCTGACATTATATTTATTTTGTTCTTCGAATATGATGGTTCTCTGAAAACGTCAGTGATGGAAGTGCCCGGACTTCAGAATTATCAAATAGGTGATTGCCTTGGAAAGGGTGCTTTTGGTAGCGTATACAGAGCCTTGAATTGGTCTACTGGCGAGACAGTTGCTGTAAAGCAGATACAATTGAGTGACATACCCAAATCACATTTAGGCGATATTATGGTAAGATTTCTAGCACTAATCTCTTGAAAATTCTTATTCATATACATTATAGTCTGAGATTGATCTTCTAAAAAATCTCCATGTTAGTTATGTCACTTATCATAACGTAAATGTCTTACTAGATTTATTCAGCACCCTCGTATAGTACGTTACGGTGGATTCGTAAAAACTAAGGATGCTCTTTACGTTATTCTAGAGTAAGCTCTCTCTTCTTATCGATTTGCAGTACCTCATCAAGTTTAGATATTGTGAAAATGGTTCTTTAGCTTCAATATCCAAGCGATTTGGTAAATTTCCTGAACCTTTAGTAGCTGTATATATATCCCAAGTTCTCGAAGGTTTACAATATTTACACGATCAAGGTGTATGTCATCGTGATATAAAGGCAGCAAATATTTTGGCAATTAAAGATGGCTCTGTCAAATTAGCCGATTTTGGTGTAGCAACACAAGCGCATCTAGCTGATAACTCCGTTGTTGGTAGCCCTTTTTGGATGGCACCTGAAGTTATTGAGCAATCAGGTGCAAGTACTGCATCAGACATTTGGAGTGTTGGTTGTGTCGTTATAGAGCTACTTGAAGGCAGACCTCCTTACTCCCATCTCCCACAAATGAGTGCATTATGGGCTATAGTTCAGAATGATCAAATGCCTATTCCTGAAGGCTCTTCACCCGTAGTTAAAGATTTCCTACTTCATTGCTTTCAAAAGGACTCAAATTTACGTATTACAGCGAAAAAATTGTTGAAACATCCCTGGATGCGTCAATTTGACACAAATCAATCAGTAGGAAAACCTAATAGTAAACAATCTATATTATACAAAAACAATACCCCAATCAAAGAACATGAAACTTATGATGTTGCCGTACAAAAAGTGCAAGAATGGAATGAAGCCTTAAAATCACCACCCAAGAGCTCAAAAACACAAGCTGCTTTGTTTCCGGTACGTGATGGAAAGAATACTTTTTCACCACTTCGGAGAACTTCGCTCAACAATGGTAGTCCATATGCTCTCACTTCTGCTAACCAACAAACCGGAAAACCATTTACGGTTAGAAATGATAAAAGGGAAAACGTCTTAAGTAAAACACAAGAAGATGAAGAAGATAATTGGGATGATGATTTTGCTGGAACAATAACATTTTCTAAAGGACAAGATTTTGGGACGACAGACTTTGGTAAACCTCCTTCTGATGATAATACCCAAACGATCAAAGTTAATTCTGCACAAACAAGCCAAGAACTTGCCAAAGAACCAGTTTCTATGACAAAATCTGTGGAAGACTACTCCGATTTAGGTGGTGATGAAGATGATCAAGTTCTTAATGAAAAAATATCTAGCTTGAAACTAAAAGGAGGTCTTTTCCATCCTAATGATTTGAATAAGCTTAAGGAAGAACCAGTATCGCCAAAGCAAACCCTATTAACAATACCACAAAAGAAACAAATCCTACCTAAAAGACCGTCACCACCACCTTCACTACGTTCACATAGTCGATCCCAATCGAATACATCTTCAAGTGCAATAACTAGTATTGAGCAAGAGAGGAAAGCAAGTGATCTTGCTAAATATTCTGAAGCTGATGATGAGAACTTTGATGATGTTTTCGGTAAAGCACCACCTTTAACTCCTGGTGAAAGTGGACAGACTTTACAACTGACAACGAAATTATCAAACAAATCATGGTTGGGTGATGATTTCCCTGATGATGAAGATCCGTTTGCACAAATTGAGGATGATTTTGCTGAAAATGATCTTGAATCAAACCTAATTAGAGATAGACATGCAAGATTGTGTGTGATGGTGAACGATTTAGTTAATCAATTGGAAGCAGGTCAAAATGATGATAAACTTAATGAAGTAATTGATAAATTACTGAATATTTTAGGTGAATTCCCAGACATGCACGCTCAATTTGTTATTGCAAGAGGAATGTTATCAACACTTGAAGTTTTAGAGAGTAAACCAGCGAAAGACGTCATTTATAAATTACTGCGTATTATTAATCTCGTGAGTAGAATTGATGGTTACTAAATTACTTAATTCTAATAACAAAAAAAGATTGTCTCATTTGATCCTAGTCTAGTTGAATCGTTTTGTCTGGTTGGTGGAATAGCAGTAGTTATGACATACGCTAGTAAACGTTATTCACATGAGCTTAGACTTGAAGCAGCGACATTCGTTGCACATGTCACTCACACGAGTGTATTGACATTACAGATGTTCATTGCTTGTCGTGGTTTCAAAGTTTTAGTAGAATTACTTGATGAAGAAGCACAAGAGTTAGTCTATGAAGCGGTATCAGCTATATCAAGTGTATTTGAATCACATACACTTACAACGAAGACTGATTTTTGTAGAATATTCGCAAAAGAAGGTCTTTTAGAACCGTTATCAGAAGCACTTACATCTGCACTCAAAGATAATTCTGATGAAGCAACTGAAGTTATAGATTTATCAAGTAAGATATGTCTGTTATTTGCTCAAGTTGGACAAAATGATAGCGTAGTTTTGAATGCGCTAGGCACACGTAGCATACTCAGGAGATTATTAAAAGCTTGTGAAAGCCTTTGCGAGAGTAAAAATATGTCGGGGTTATTAATCACTCTACTGAAAACGTTCAAACATATCTCAACATCAGCAGGTATGCTTGATGTATTGCAAAATAGTAATGCTATCGACGTTTTTGTGAGGGTTCTAGATAAATGTAAGGAAGGTGAACGTAGTAGTGTGAGTCTATTAGTGTTATTTTATATTTAAACTGATGGAAATGTTAGGAAATATCTTCTCAAGTATTGCAAATATTCTTCTCACTAACCAGACTTTCACCAAGTAGGCAAGAGGAAGCAGCTCAAGCAGGTCTCATTCCTTTGATGAAAAGAGTATACGAGGTATCTTCGCCACTAAAACAATTCGCGTTACCAATGTTATGTGATTTTGCTCATGCTGGAAAGAGTTGCCGTGCTTTACTATGGAGGCATAATTGTTTGGAATTATATATCTTGTTACTTCAAGACCCATACTTCCAGGTATCGGCGTTGGAAGCTATTCTAGTTTGGTTACAAAATGAAACAGATAGAGTAGAAAGTATGCTCATCAATCCAAAATCATTAGATATCTTACTCTCAATGTTTATTCAAGCAAAGGTAAGGTTAGATTTTATAGTAGAGGATATAATTAACCTACTCCATACAGGCAAACATGTTTGAATCATTACTTGAACCACTATTAAAGACCTGTAGGATTAGTAAAGGTACGTATGACAAGAATATGGAAGAACTGAAAATAATAGAATTATGAAGGAGTTGTTTTGGGTATTGCTAAATCCGCATTCTTTAAAAAGCTAATTGAGAAGTTATCACATCATAAGGCACTAGTTAGATTGAATCTATTACGTATTCTAAGAGTCGTATTGGAGATACACCCGGAATGCAAGTTTATTGTGCAACATTATCGCATTGCAGAGGTACGTAAGATTCTAAATACAAAGTAAGAAGGTTAATCAAATGCCGTAGACTATTACAAGATTGGCGGCTACAGACTCAGCGATCTTAGTACGTGAGCTTAGCAAGGAGATAGCAAACGAATTAAGAGAGGGAAAATTCTTATCAACACCTACATTTCAACGGAGATCGACGTCAGATAATAGTATACTACCTGTTGGAAGAAGCTATAGACCACAGAAAAGGATACCATCAAGAGGATTTTGATTTGGATAACTAATTTAGATCATTCCTTATTGTCACATAACAATAAATACATAATACCTCCTAGACGAAAATATTGTAAATAACGACTCAAAAGTTTCCTAAGATAATGAAGAGTGGTAAATTTATTTTTATGTAACGAGATTCGTCGTGAGAAAGTCTATCTATGTGCGAGTGTCGACGCGCGTAAGGATTAAAGATGACGCGACGCGACACTGGAATGCTGCGATTTGCTTGGCTTTTTAAAAGCAAACGTCACATCTATAATAATAACACGGAGATTAAGATTTAAAAAATTCCAGATGTCAAAGTAGAGTTATTTATAAACGCAAAACATTACACTGTATATAGAAAAATAAGATTGGCATACTTAAATTAGATATATGTGCATTGCAATAAATTAAATTAATTAAACGATCTGTTAAGAAAAGAGAATTCTAATAAAGAATTCCGCTGATAAGGACTGTGGGGTTTCCGGTAACTCGCTTAAACAAATCAAAATAGAATCGTTAAAATTAGATTTTTCTAAAAAAAAGCCGAAGCTAGTTTTATATGCGGACAATTGTCACCCATGCCAGTCAACAAACGAATGGTAAAACAAAACGCAGGATTCATTGCGGTTTGTTTAGTGATACAACTTATCTAACTCTATATTATACTGTTTCTCAAGCTTATCTGATATTATCGCTATGATTGATCTCAAATCAAGCATTATTACTTTTTCAGGGGTTTTCACAATATTGGCTTGTGTCACTCTTTGTTCTCTTCTGTCTGAAAAGTGGTTCGCGCTAAGCCTACTATGGGCCAGTGTGATGCTGAGGGAATGTATTCTCGGAAATACTTCATCAGCCGTCAGTAGTAACACAACTTGGAAAGGACTACCTATGTTTATATGTTCTTTGATAGGTTTGAGCAGATTGACATTTCAAGTGTGTCAAGTCGCCGACATGCCTCCGATTCAATATACCTGTACAGGTTTGACAGCTAGTACAGCAATAAGTACTATTGCAGGAGCTTTGAAATGGGGCTTATAGACGGGAGAAGAGGTTGACAAACTTACAAACTTAGCCTGACAAGTATGGAACCTACTTTGGCAGATTTTGATACTGTACATGCGCATTGAAATAAAGCACGTGCTGAGTCGAGCGGAGTAATCAAGATTCCTATTGGTAAAGCTAGTAATAGGAAATACTAGATGGCTTTATATTATTCTTCACAAGCTGGGATAGGCCCAATTATCTCATTAATGGAAGCATACCCATATGAACGGTCTAGACGCCACAATACCGAGGAAGATACAAAACAGAACATTTATGTGAATTATGTTGGGCGAGATGAGAATATACAGATGGTGAATGATTTAAGTTGTAATTACTCGCATGATATGCTTGGGATGATCTCGTAAGCCTTGATGAAGGTGAGCTGTACCATAAAGGAGTATGAGAAGCGCAGTTTGACATAGGATATGAGCGTGTCAAATGTGGCTATTCCGCACAGTCAGAAGATCAGATAGGTACCTTCATGGAGGTGAACCTAACGGCTATATGGAAACTGTTTGTTATATGGCATAACATTACCTATATCGTATCATCAATTGTAAAATCAATGAAATAAATAATACGTTATAAATGAAAAGATTTTGAATGGCGGTTTTAGTTGTTAAAATCCGTTTCCTAAGACAATGACGAGTGGGTAAATTTATTTCGACTTATCGAGATTCGTCACGAGAAAGCTTACGTGCGAGTGTCGACGCACGTAAGAATTAAAAATGACGCGACGCGACACGAGGATGCTGCGATTCGCTTGGATTTTCTATAGCAATAGGGATATTTATAATAATAACGGAGATTAAACTTAAATAAACACGAGATGTCAAAGTAAAGTTATTTATAAACGCGAGCTTTAGTCTGTAAATAGAAGAAGAAATTTGACACACGTATAACTAGATGTCTATGATTCAGAATCAATTCAAGTAAATTAAAGTAGATCAAGAGATTTGTCAAGAAAGAAAATATTCCTATAACGAGTTCCACTGATAAGGACTGTGGGGTTTTCGGCAACTCGCTTAAACAAATCAAATTAGAATACATACCGCATATGGATATAGAGGAAGACGTACGAGAAAAACGCCGTAATTTTTTTTATTTAGTTGGATTGTAGAGATATAGGATTATGGTAAACAGGGTCCCCAGCCGATCAAAGTGGTGCTAATGCGGGGTTCATAAAATAAGACGAATGTGATAGGCTGAAGAGGTCGTAAAATGAGTGCCAAGCTATAAATAAGTAGTGTATATATTAAAGATAGTGCCATACATACCAGATCAGACATTGTGACTTTGTTCCTGAACAAAATTTGCAGGGGTGTTGGGTGTACGGCAGAAGATCCGAAGAGTATAAAGTAGGAAATAAGGCGAGGAAAAGTCATCGGACGACAAGTTGCGATGGAGTGTACAGCATTTACCCTTAAATAGATTAATACGGCGCTTTTTGAGGCGTCTACGTCAGCGAATTCTAAGGAATAAAAGGGAATAAAAAGATGTGAATGAGAATGAATAGAAAAAGAATCTAAATAGATTGTAATAATAAACTGAATTTGTTTATTTCCGGATAAATTTTGATTTTTTTTAAAATCGAGACTGTTTTTAATGGGCGGAAGTTGTCACTCTTGCCTTTCAACAACCACATTGAATCCAAAAAACCTTTTACCTACAAAACTCATTTAAAGCTCTAAAGGGCAATTAGAATAAGAAAATGTCTACCCACGATGAAAAACCAGTAAGAGAGGGTGAAATTCCTTCAAAGGAGCAATATCCTCAAGAAGAGGAGGACAACTCTCCACACTCAGAGTACTCCGCTTTGGTCAACTACATCCAAAACGTTGAATTAAGAAAGTCTGATGACGCTGCTGCCGAAGAGGACGAAGTCACTTACAAACGCGTAAGTTGATTGGCCAAGAAGAAAATTCTACTCACACACTCTAGCCTTGGTACGCCCCATGGAAGAAGATTGAAATCAGACAACAAGGCGCTTCCGTCCCAGAGGATTGGTTGACTGCTACACAATCATCAGGTGGTCTTTCCTCTTCAGACGTTGAACCACGTCGTAAGCGTTTCGGTTTCAACGAATTGGAATCTCCAGAAGAGAATCTCGTTCTCAAGTTTATTGGTTTCTTCAGAGGTCCTGTCCTCTACGTTATGGAAGGTGCCGTCGGTCTCGCTGGTGGTCTCCGTGAATGGGTCGATTTCGGTGTCATTATTGGTATTCTCTTATTAAACGCATTCGTTGGTTTCTATCAAGAAAAGCAAGCTGGTGATATTGTCGCTCAACTTAAGAAAGGTATCGCTCTTCGTACTACCGTTCTCCGTGATGGTCAAGAACACGAAGTCGAAGCACGTGAACTCGTTGTTGGTGATATCGTCGTCATTGAAGAAGGTGCTACCATCCCAGCTGATGTTGAGATTCTTTCAGACTACAAGGACAAGGATGGTTCAAAGGCTGCTGAGATTCTCGCAAAGGTCAAGGCTGAGTCAAAGAAGGAAAAGACTGACGATGAGGAAGACTCATTCGGTAAAGGTCCTTCTATCCTTGCTGCTGATCAATCCGCTATCACTGGTGAATCTCTCGCTGTCGACAAGTTCCACGGTGACACCGCCTTCTACACTACCATCTGTAAGCGTGGTAAGGTTTTCGCACGTGTCAAGTCAACTGCTCCAATCTCTTTCGTCGGTAAGACCGCTGCTCTTGTCCTTGGTGCAAACGACAAGGGTCACTTCGTCAAGGTCATGAACATCATTGGTGGTACTCTTCTCGTTCTCGTCATTGTCTTCTTGTTCGCCGTTTGGATTGGTGGCTTCTTCCGTAACACCGGTATTGCTCAACCAAGAGACAACAACTTGTTGGTTTACACTCTTATCTTCGCTGTTATTGGTGTTCCAGTCGGTCTTCCAGTTGTCACTACCACTACCCTCGCTGTTGGTGCTGCTTACCTCGCTAAGAAGCAAGCAATTGTTCAAAAGCTCACCTCTATCGAATCTCTCGCTGGTTGTGACATTCTCTGTTCTGACAAGACTGGTACCCTCACTGCTAACAAGCTCTCTATTCACGAACCATACGTTGCTGAAGGTGTCGACATGGACTGGATGATGTGTGTTGCTGCTCTCGCTTCATCACACAACGTCAAGTCATTGGACCCAATTGACAAGATTACCATCTCTACTCTTAAGGAATACCCACGCGCAACTGAAATGCTCAAGACCGGTTGGGTTACTAAGGACTTCAGACCATTCGACCCTGTCTCAAAGCGTATCACTTCAATTGTCGAACGTGACGGTGTTACTTACACTTGTGCTAAGGGTGCTCCAAACTCTATCCTCAAGATGTGTGCAACTCCACCACAAGTTGCTCAAGCTTTCCGTGACCAAACTATGGAATTCGCTTCAAGAGGTTTCAGATCCCTTGGTGTTGCTGTCCAAGAAGGTAACGGTGACTGGCAAGTTCTCGGTTTACTTCCTATGTTCGATCCTCCACGTCATGACACTGCTGCTACCGTCGGTGAAGCTATCAAGCTCGGTGTTGGTGTAAAGATGTTAACTGGTGACGCTGTTGCTATCGCAAAGGAAACATGTAAGATGCTTGGTATGGGTACAAACGTGAGTTTCCAACTTACCTTTTAGACATTCTTTCTAACAACTTTTCAGGTTTACGATTCACACAGACTTATTGGTGGTGGCTCAATGGCTGGTTCTGAAATGCACGACTTCATTGAAAACGCAGACGGTTTCGGTGAAGTTTTCCCAGAACACAAGTACCAAATTGTCGAAATGCTTCAACACCGTGGTCACTTAACTGCCATGACTGGTGATGGTGTCAACGATGCTCCAGCTCTTAAGAAGGCTGACTGTGGTATTGCTGTCGAAGGTGCTTCAGATGCTGCTCGTTCAGCTGCTGCTGTCGTTTTCCTTGACGAAGGTCTCTCAACCATCATCACTGCTATCAAGGTCGCTCGTGAAATTTTCCACCGTATGAAGGCTTACATTGTTTACCGTATCGCCCTCTGTCTCCACTTGGAAATCTACCTTACTCTCTCAATTCTTATCATGAACGAGACTATCCGTGCCGATTTGATCGTCTGGATTGCTTTATTCGCTGATTTGGCTACCGTTGCTGTCGCTTATGACAACGCTCCATACGCTCTTACTCCAGTCGAATGGCAATTACCAAAGATCTGGATCATGTCAACTGTTCTTGGTGCTATCCTTGCAGCTGGTACTTGGATTCTCAGAGGTACTCTTTTCCTTAACAACGGTGGTATCATCCAAAACTGGGGTGGTATTGAACACATTCTCTTCTTGGAAGTTTGTTTGACCGAGAACTGGTTAATCTTCTTGACCAGAACTGGTGAAGGTGAATTCAAGTGGCCATCATGGCAATTAACTGGTGCTATTGCTGGTGTTGACATTATCGCTACCCTCTTCACTCTCTTCGGTTGGTTCCACGCTGACAGAGACGCACACAATGGTCACACCGACATTGTTACCGTCGTCAAGGTTTGGGCCTTCTCTATCGCTGTCATGGTTGTCTGTACCCTTGCTTATGTTATCATGAACAACCTTAAGTGGTTGAACAACCTTGGTAAGAGACAAGTTGGTAAGATCGACAGACGCGTTGAGGACTTCATGAACGAATTGCAACGTATTACTATTGTCCATGAAAGATCAGACAGAGATGTCTACAGACTCTACGGTAGAAATCAAGGTCTTGATTCAGATAACTAAATGAGTTAATTAATTGTGGGAAATATTTAATTAATGGATCTTCAATTTCTTTTTTTTCACTTCAAGTTTTTAAGCTTCAAAATTCAATTTTATAGAAACTTTTCAATTCTTTAATACTAACTTTTATCATTCATTAATAGTTTGCTCTTTCGTAGCTACACATCCAGAGTTAGAGAAAATATAGTATAAATAATTTTACATATAAATAAATGTTGTTACAATTTACGAATCGAGTGTCTTGCACAATATGTTTTATGAAATGTAGTCATTCATTTTGGTATCTTGGATTCTAAATGATCAAGTCGTCTTTGTAAGAGCTTTAGTTTATGTTGAAGGGAGTCTATAGATTGAATGCGGTCATCTAAATCTTGTTGTAGATCAATTTGATCTTTATCAAAACTATCTAACCTTTTATCATGTTCATTCAGTTTTTGTCTTAGCGAAAGTTGACCTTTATCATTATTATCTAATCGCTGCTGGTAGTGTAGGAGAACTGATTTAATTTTGAATAAATCTGAAAGGTCTGCACCATCAGAATCTTGTTCAGTAAAGCTCTGTCGTATTGAAGATTGTGGCTTTTGTGAACCAAGCTGATACCATGCGACATTACCGTTGAACATATTAAGACTAAAGTTATCACTATTTACGCGTTAAATTATAATTAAAGGAGGTATGTAATGTAAATAATACCTTAAATATGCTAAATGGTCAGGTGTACTATGATACTTCTTGCCTATCAACCTCTGACAATTTGAACAATTCAACCAAACGAAAGTAGAGCCAGTATCTAGAGTATCATTACTTGTATTTATCGTTGTACTGATATCTACACTGTTTGTCACACCTTGATATTATTAGTAGAATAGGAAGATAAAAGGATACTGACTTGAAAGCACGATAGACTTCAAGATATCGTTAGTTTCAATGAAAGATAAAGTATCGCCTAGTATTTTATGGCAGCCGCTACAATAAAATACCACAGGGTCGACTGAGATATCCATTCTCCTTTATCCTTTACTTTGATGATGACCGGAGATGATAAGAATGAAACTCCAATGAAAATAGAGCAGATGACTTCCTTAGCTTTAAGCATTTTGACTTTGCTAATTATCTGCTCACTTTGTTTATCTTATTATTTACAGCAGAAGAAGATTAGGTCCGTACATGAGACCGTTATAGCCGTCTTTGCTGGTAATTTATTCAATCATCTATTCATTTTTATACTCATATAACCATAGGTATGGTCGTTGGTTTGATTATTAGACTCAGTCCAGGGCACATCATCAGAGAAATGGTCGTGAGTCTAGAACTATATCAGTGTTCCACACACTCAACCTCCCTATATAGACCTTCTCTCCTTCTCTATTCTTCAATCTGCTTTTACCGCCCAGTTAGTCTACTAATTTAGCCATTTCTATACATAGACTAACAACTTTATTAGTCATTCTGGACTCTGGTTATAGACTACGTGAAGCACACTTCTTCAGGAATATCATCCCGATTCTTACTTTTGCTTTGGCCGGTACCTTCATATCTGCTGTCGTCATCGGGTGAGCTGGATGGTTCAATTTATACACTACTAAATCACTAACTCATTAATTAGTTTCGTCGTCTACATTTTCTCCTTTTTACACATTTCTAGTCTAAAAATTAGCTTAGTAGAATGTCTCATCTTGGGTTCAACACTGTCCGCAACCGATCCAGTTACCATATTAGCAATATTTAACACATATAAGGTTGATCCAAAGCTATATTCTGTTATCTTCGGTGAATCTATCCTCAATGACGCAGTTTCGATTGTTCTTTACGAAACACTCAGTCAATTTCATGGTGCAGACTTGAAAATGTCCTCCTTTTTCAGAGGTTCAGGTATTTTCTTCTTGTCATTCTCAGGTTCTATGGCACTCGGTGTCATTTTCGCATTAGCCTGTAGTTTAGGTTTGAAACACTCCAAAGTTGGCTCATATCCAGGTATAGAAAGTTGTTTAGTCTCTTTAATAGCATACACTTCGTACTTCTTTTCAAATGGTATTGGTATGAGTGGTACGTTATCATAATAGTACAAAACTTTCATTCCTAATTCATCTCAGGTATCGTTTCCCTCATTTTCTGTGGTATCACGTTAAAACACTACGCTTATCATAATATGAGCCCGAAGACACAACGTACTACCAAGTCTATGTTCCATGTTCTTGCTCAGCTTTCTGAAAATTTCATTTTCGTGAGTAATATTCTTTAAGAAGCTTTAATCTGACAATTGGGAAGATATATCTCGGAATAACTTTATTTACACAAGATACCACTGAATTTAAACCAATATTCATTGTTGTCGTCTGTACAGCTGTCGTTGTTGGTCGCTATATGACCGTATTCCCACTTTCAAAAGTTATCAACCTGGTTTATAGATCGAAAGGTCAACGTGCACCTGAATTACCTCACAGTCATCAAGTGAGTATAATAGTTAAATGACTAAACTTTACTAATAAATATTCAAAGATGATGCTCTTCTGGGCAGGATTGAGAGGTGCTGTAGGCGTAGCTTTAGCAGCTGGTATTACAGGAAAAAATTCAGCCGCCTTAAGGACTACCGTTTTGATTGTCGTCGTATTGACAGTAGTCGTATTTGGTGGTACTACATCTAGAATGTTAGAAGTTATGGGAATTAAAATGGGTGTAGAGGACGATGAAGCATCTAGTGATGAAGAAGATGATTACCCAACGCAATTTGGTTTCAGAAGAGGTTCTAACAATTACCCATACTTCAATCATCAGACTCAAGCTTTATCACCACACTATTATGACAACAATGACATTGAAGAAGGTATTAACTTAGAATTACCAAGACAAAGCGATGTCTTTATAAGTACTGCTTCGTCTTCAACGTCATTAAATAAGGCAACATCACCTGTAAAACGAAGTGACTCAGCAGAGAGACGACCTAAGAGTAGTATAAGCCCATTAGATGATACAATAGAAGATGACAATGAGGTCCTTCCACTTGCTAACAGTAAAGTTAATCTACAATACGACGAAGATACAGATAAGAATCAGTTGGTATTTAGGGATGGTAAATGGTTTACAGATCTAGATGAAAGATACCTTTTACCATTGTTTAGTAATAGCGTTGCAAGTCGACGTCACAACGCTCGTAAATCCAGCTCTAGACGGAATCTGCAGGAAGCAGAACAAAGTCAAACGAATAATAACACTTCGTCTAGTAGTCTTAATGAAGGATCCCGAGAATTGTAAAGTCGCATACGAATATGTTTTTGCATAATATATAAATATTCCAATAGCTTTATTTGTACTTATAAAGAAATCATAATATTAAGCTACTCAAATGTCAACTTATGAGCTAGAGGTAGTGTTCTATGTAAAACCATAATGAACTTTCTATTGTATAATATATGTATTATTCATCAGCATTTACAATTACGTTAGTGTAAACTTTCATGATGCACCAGGAATAAAATGCAATATCTCAGGATTTTACTAGATAATTTGTTGTTAGAGATGCTTGACTTACCTAATTCTATAAGATTTGCTAATTCTTTATTTATGTAACTTGATTATTTGAATATGTCGATGATGTTTTACTAGTTTGGGATATTACTTTTGAAGCTTTACTGACCTTTAATCATATTAGATTGTCTAATAATTTCATAAATTTGAAGTGAAGTACTACAAATGACGCCTTATAGACGCTACAGCATTCTAAGTCAATAGATAAATCAAAATTTCACACCGGAAAGTATTTTCTACGAGTGAGTCGAACATAGTAATCTGTATCCCATTCATTATGAATAATAGTATTAAAATCGCCGTACCCTGTGTTAAATATAGTTGTCCACTGAGTGAGATTGTTTATAAAATGTCTTAAATTCGCACACCATCACACACATTGATAATATAATTAAAACAGTTAACATGCCTTTGAACAACTAAAAAGTAGCAAGTAATGCTGAATGAATATATCTATTAAAGGTATTTTGAGTTGGTTTACTAATTAGGAATTTACAAGAAAGATACTGTTACAATAGTAAGTGCAGAGACAAAAAGGGCAGATGTCTTGAAAGCACTATATCCGGAGGAGTCAGGCTCAACTTCATCCTGCTTTGATCCACCTCCATCTTTAATCTTCTCTTCTGCCGCATCTGATGCAGGGTAATTGTGATGCAAAGGTAAAGTATCCTGATCTACATGTCCTGGTTGTAGAAGACCAATACCCCATGGTGTATCTTTACCAGATTTTGGTTGTGTTGAATGAGCTGGTGGTACAGAAGATCCATCAGTGTCTGTAATAGTGAATCTTGTTGACCATGTTTTATCAGTTGCATTGTCTGAATTATAGAATTGCAAAAAGTAAATTTGTGAATGTGGATTTACTGTCTCTGGTAAAGTCCACTCCAATTTGCCTTTCTTTTCATCATCATCAACTGTTATGTTTTCTGCAACTTTACCAACAAAAATCTATAAATCGTTAAATCAAGCTAAATATTTCAAAAAAATGAACATACTGTGTATAAATCAGGACCTGTCATCAGTTCAATTGAAAACTTATCCCATTTAGTATCCTTATCGTCATTATCAATCTTATATTGAATAGTTTGCTTTGAACCGACAGCCCATTTTGAATCAGGTGAAGGTTCAGTTGGTAAAACTTTCGCTAACGATTCAATTGATAAACTCAATAATACCAAAAGCGTTGCCGACTTAAACATAATGATGGTATAAAACAACTTATTATTCATTGAATATTGGTTTAAATTTAGTGCATATCTTGACTGGAATGAATAAATGTGATGAAATTTTTCCATGATCATATTAATTTAAAAGTTTACTATTTATGTGTTTATATAATGAAATAAATAGTTGCCTATCATTTCCATACAGCCATGTGATTTTTAGTGAACATTCCATACTATCGTAATTGAATCTCAGCTTTGTTATTTTATTCGAATCAACTGGTAGTGTTTCACCTTTCATCAACTTTCTTCTAACACTCCTTGACCAAGTTTCGTCACCAACGAGCGTCAATTGCATAAAATTATCATTGTATGAATCTATCGATAGGTTTTGAATATTGATAAAGACATAATTGATTAAATAATCTAATGATTTGTCAGTGCTTATGTACACTTCATTTGAAGGAGGATTTAAACTTTTAAAGGTGCCACCTTCAATCCTCATCAAATGATTTGGTAACCGATCATAATAAAACGACCAAGCTAGAACCCATCTACGAGTAGAACCCAAAGTAATTTCTTTTAACGCATAATTATTGACATTAAGTTGCCTTAATTTGTTAATCAACACCTCCAAAGAAGAGAATTTTCCTAGTAAACTTGAGTACCACTTGAAGAGGCGCTGATTATTCAAAGATTCGTCGATGAGATTGCTAACAAATGAGGTTTCACCACCTTCTGTTACAATCTCATTGAAAGAACCTAAGTTCATGCTTTTTGGTTTTGTTGATTTAAAATTTTCTAAATGTTTAATCTCTTCAATTGACTCATAGAAAGGTGGATTGCATAATTGGCAATTGATTTCATTTTCAGAAATGTTATCAATAACAACTGACGGTATCAAATTATCCTGTTTAGTAGTTTTGTATAACTTAATATTATCGTTTAAATTGTTATTCGTTGTATTTATATTGGCCAATTCAAGCGAATCTATATCAATATCTGTACCATATGTGACCGCATTATCATAAACTCTAGATATTAACAAAGGATAAACTGGTAATGGACCTGTACCGATGTCGAGAATGTTGACCTTCTTATTGGTAGTAGCGTCATATCCAGAGAGATCAAAAATGTAATTTATATAGTCCAATCTATTAGGTAAAGTTGGAATTAGATTATTTGAAGGTAATTTAACGCGTAAATTAAAATCTTTTTCTAATAAACACTTAGTTAAACACCTAATAGAGTCTTCGTCTTTAAAATTGATAGTGAATTCAAAATTTTTATTATTAATAGGTATTAAATATTCTCTTAGCTCAGGGCAACTGAGGGATAAATCCTTAAAATTTATTGGCTTTTTATAAATATTTTTATTAACAATAATCGTCATCGTTCTGGATCAAAGAGGTGTTTAATGTTTAACTAAACATAAAACATCTTCATCATCTAAAACGTGATCTAATCCAACCTTTTGTCCTCTTGGATGCTTTGAAGATTTACCCCAAACAATTGCGTACTTCAATTGTTTAGCAATTTCTTTGTGTATAGCATGAGCAAAGTGCTCAACTGTACATCTACCCCTTCTCAAAACAACTGGTGCTGTATAATCTGGTGCTCTACCTTTAGGTCTTGTGTAAACTCTAACTAATTGTAATCTTTCCCACATAATTTCAATTAATTCATCGATGTTTAACCATTGTGATGAAGAAATTGGAACTGAGTTTGGAATTTGATATAATAAATCTAATTCTTCGATTGAAATTGCATCAATTTTGTTTAGAACGTATATACAAGGTATATACACTCTGTTACCTTCAACGACATCAATTAATTGATCAACAGAAATGTCTTCTCTGATCATAACATCGGCGTTTGGAATTTTATATTCTGATAAAACAGCTTTAATCTCTTCATGTTCAATTTGTGTGAGTGGTACTGTATTTGTAATAGCTATACCACCTTTTTCCTTCTTCTTAACAGAAAGATTTGGTGGTTTCTGATTAAGTCTAATACCGAATCCTTCTAATTCCCTTTCAATAACGCCCTTATCGTTTAATGGTTTAAGAACATCTAAAACGATGAAAATCAAGTTACACGTTCTAGATACTGCGATAACTTGTCTACCTCTACCTTTACCATCTTTTGCACCTTCAATAATACCAGGTAAATCCAAAACTTGTATAGGTGCGCCAAATACATTCATAGTACCAGGTACTGTTGTTAAAGTAGTGAACTCGTAAGCGGCTTGCTCAGAGTGTGTACCCGTTAACTTTGACATTAAAGTTGATTTACCAACGGAAGGGAAACCAATGAAACCGACGGAAGCCAAACCAGTTTTTGCTACATCGAAGCCAACACCTGGGCCACCGCCACCTCCGGATGAAGGTGTTAACAACTCCTTCTTATATTTACTCAATTTAGCCTTTAACTGACCCAAATGATAGTTTGTGTTCTTATTCTTTTGGGTTCTTTGAGAGTGATTTAACTAAAGTTAAAATATAGTAATAAATAAACTTACCTGGCCATTTCATCCTCGATTTCCTTAATTTTTTGAACCGTCGACATCTTGAAATTTGGTGGTGCAAGATTAAGATTTGACGATGATGTATTCTCTTTCAAAACAATAATAATAATGTATCTAATAAATAAACAGAAGAAAAACCAAAATATATTATAGATGTATTGTCCGTTTATGAAAATCTAGTCCTGCTATTAACAATTATTGTTGTGGTGGCGGTTGCTGTGGCTGTGGTTGTGAAGGAGGGTTTAATGCGTGTAGAGGTGTCATTGACATGAAACTATGTATTGATTTTCCGCTCGTGTTTATGCCTGGCGATTGTGGTGGACTTGGTCCATTGCTATTTGATGCAGAATTTGGCAAACTATTAGGTAAGGACCTTATAGCACTTTGCATAGGAGTAGATGAACTACCAGAAACACTACTGCTTGGACTTGGATGTACTGGTTCAGGTGGTGATCGTAATATCTCTTCGATCTTGTTTCTATTATCTAAAGGTAAAGCGGGTGGAGGATTGGCATAACCGATATCGCCAGTTGTATTGTTTGTTGTATTCGATGATGATGCTAGAGGTGGCAGTCTAAAGTTGGTGAAGTGTACAGGCGAACTTGCTCTACTACTCGCCCTACTGACGTTTGGTGAATTATGCGCAGAAGTTGTAGGTGTGCCAGTTTTACTATTTAAATTCAAGTAAGTAGGGTTTGGATACGCGCCGGTTGTTGTTTGATTAGGAAATAGGTTGAGTGATCTCAGCGGACCTAAAACTGGTGAACTTGATGGTGTGAACTCTATACCACCTGGTACAACAGGATAAGTGCCTAAATTTTGCTGTATAGAAGAGTGTTGTTGTTTGATAGGATTATAACTTGTAGTCTTTACATCTTCCGGATCACTAAAGTCACTCTCCGCGGAGCTTGCTGGACTAACAGTTTGTGATTGTTCAGCTGAAGAGGTGTATGAAGCATATGGGTGGAAGTTGTGCCTATGCGTTCTTAAATGTGGCGGTTCTGTGACAGTGTGCTCCCTTGAATTTAAAGAACTCAAGTGGTCTCCAGAATATGATTTGTGAAACGGCATGGAAGAAGCTGCAATTGATTGGGGTTGAGGTTGATAAAGTTTGTTATTCGACATTAATTTATCACTTTTCATTCTCTTTGATTGCTGATTCATCTGTCTACAATCATCGTGATCGCAGTTTATATCATCGTTTAGACTGATAGCTGGTTGATTTAAATCAGGACGATGACATTTAATTGGATCTTGGAAGCTGTTAAATTGTTTCGTTGGGTTTTGTAAAGTGTAGGGCATTGTAAATCGTTGAGCCGGTGGGTTGAAGTAACCATATTGTGAGGCGTAAGGGTTAAAGGAAGCATTAGGTGAGCTGGAAGTTGAAGTAGGTTGTGGGGAAATGCCATCCTTGAGCTGTCTATGTCGAAACTCGAATTCGGCTCTTCGAAGAGCCTCCTCTCTCTCGAGCTCGTAGAGCTGGTCGGCGGCAGCAGCAGCCAATGCTGACATTTCATTAGCTGGTTGGTAAACGGTTGGTGGGAATGAGGAAGTGTAGTTGTAGGGGTTGTAATTAAAGTTCGTTGTCGGAATTGTAACTGGGTTGGCCTGAGCTGAATTTTGGGAAGGAACAGAAGGAGATGATTGACTAGCAACTGAAGTATTGTTTTGTACAGACTTTTTTCCTCTCCCTTTCGGATTTGTGTGCGTACGTAAATGCCTGGTCAATTCATCCGATCGACTAAATCTTTTCTGACAGCCTGGGTGTGTGCATTGATGAGGCTTCTCACCCGTGTGAGTACGTATGTGTCTAGTCTAATTATAGTGTCAGCAAATATCAGGAGCTGCTGCTAGGAACACCCACCTGATGCTCTAATCTATAAAATGCTCTGTCACATAACGGACATTTATACGGTCTCGGTATTTTAGATTTGTCTACATTTAGTGCGTCTTCAATAGCTTTTAGTTTAGATTTATCGTTTGCCATATGGTGGTACAAGAGAGAGGTAGAAATTTAATCTTCTGCGTTTCTTTTCTTAGAATTGTTAGAATAAGATTGATCACCGTTATCCCCAGATGGTACTTGTCCCTTGAGGTGTCCCCAGCCACCTCGACCACTATCGTATTCTTGTCTATACTCATCACGGACTTGTCCACCAGACCTTCCTCTACCGAATTGTCTGCCGTCTTTGTAACCTTGTGCGTCTAAGTCGCAGCGTATGACTCTCTCGTCGAGCTTTGTACCGTTGATGTATCTTAAGGCTTCAACTGCTTCCTGGTGACTATAATACTCGACGAAGGCGAATCCACAGGGATGTTTAGTATTCCTGTCTAATCCCATAATAATCCTTTTGATGCCTTGTCCAGATGCAACTCTCGCGAATAATTCATAAATCTGCTCTTCTGTTGTGTAGAATGAGAGATTACCGCACTATTAGCCGTTAGAAATGAAAGATAAGAGAGATGGACATACATAGAGTGTCGTACTCCTTTCTAACATCTCCCTCTGCTTCTCTGGATCAATCCTAGATCTCGTATCTTTATAAGTTGATGGACCATCGAGTGGTTGAATAACGTCGCTCATCGTTAGAGATAAAGGAGTAATAAATAGGAAATTATACAATAGTACTATATTTTATAGCTTATATACAATTATTATCTACTTTATTACTTAACAGCGATGTTATCCAGTTAGTTTTACTTTAATAAATTCATTCTTTATTAACAATTAATTAGAATATCACTATAAATTAACAAACATCCCTTCTACAGCTACCCTCAACGATATAAAGAGACTCATAGCGAGATCTGCGAAGACAAACCCTCTGTCAGCAGATAGTAACTTCCAAGGTGAGTATATATAGCTTATTCTACTCTCCTTTAAGATCCCATAAGTCGCTTTTTATACTAGCAAATTCCCAAACGACACTCACAGAGCTAATGTAAAATTCACAAACAATCAAGTTAGGGAAAGCTTCAAAAGATCCCTAAGGGTTTTCGATAGACTCAGTTTATCAACCTCTCAATTAAAGTGTACCGAAATCACGAAAGATAAGGATGAATTGAACGGTTTGACTCACTATCAGCCTTCCAGCCATCCCGGCCAGACAGTTTTGATAACAGGTTTACCGGGTAGACTCATACAGCATGACATACAAAACTGGTTGAGGTCATATCACGTTGACCAATCCTCAAATTCTTCACAAGAACCAATCACAAGCTTACATATTCCTTCTGATAAGTTCAACGGTACCTCGAAGTGGCTAGTCCGATTGAACTCTATATCAGAAGCACACAGATTAGTTAGAAATCTCCACCAAACTAATTGGGATAACCAATTCCTTATTCATGCAAAAATAACTTATTAAAACTCTAATCTATAATATAGACATCTACTTTTCGTATTTTCTTTGTCTCTTTTCTTCGCGCTTCTCCTGACGTGTGCGAGTGTCTGCTTTGTCTTCTGTTTCACCGGAGGTAGTATCTTCGTTACTAGCATTCTTGCGCTTTTTACTGCTCTTCGAACCCCTCTTATCCTCACTTTGATTTATTGATAACATCTCGTTAGCCAATTTCCCATTGAATACTCTAGGTGCCTTTTTGATATTGTTAATCTTATTTAATCCCGCATTCTTTATCTCTTGAGCTGTTTTCTCTTTCCAGTCATCATACCTTCTTCTAAATAATGATAAGTCTACCTTCCTACTAAGATACTTTCCATATGGCGAACCTGCCAAATAGTCCTCATGTTCAATTAATGAATTTGCGATCTTTTCTCTAAAGTATCCATCTGAAGTTTCATATATCTTTTCAGCTACTCTACTACCAACGCGCATATCAGCCATCAAGTGGTAATTACCAACCAACTTCAATCTCAATTTATGCTTATATTTGAAAGCGATATTATCAGACTCAATTAAACCATCAATTATACGTGAAGCCGATGAGGATCCGCATATTTCTAACAGCTTATCAGTGTCTAAGTTGATAACTGATTCAATGATCTTGTCATTTAATGGACTGCCGTATTGATAAATTGATTGGATTAATTGGGCACCTGGGACGGTATAAATATCATCATCTCCACTATCCTTCTTCTTCTTTTTGTTCGTTTTTCTTTCATCTCCTGAGCTTTCCTCGTCTGCTTCGTCATTCTCGAATGTTTCTTTATGAAAACGACGGTACGACTGTTACTATTTAGATGATGCAACTAAAGGGGAAAAAACATACCTTCCATCTTTTCATTTCTAAAATACATGGTATAATATGCTTTGCTTGTGCAGTACTAGTCGTACTCAATCCGAAGCAATGCATTATCATCTAGAGATATGTTCAGTGAGATTAGAGTGACAAAACTAGTCACCTACACTTAAGACTTCATCTTTGAAAACATTTCTAGCAACTACCACATCAGAAATAGCCAATAATGGGCCACTTCTACCAGTCTTGATTAATTTACTACCGCTCTCACGAATCAACGAGATAGTTTCATTTAATTGGGCATTAACGAACTCTTCATTGAGATTCTCGTCTGTTCCGAGTCTCGCCAACGCTTTAGCATAGACGAAATTACCAACAGGGTGCTTCATACATCTCGTACCACCTTTAGCTGTAAAGTAAAGCTTCCAAATTTCTTCAAAAACAGATGAACTTGCACATTCAATAGCAGTTTCAGTTGTATGACTTGCCGTAGTATCAAGTAAAGTAGTAGTAATGTGTCCACTTTGTTTAGTTTCTTCAGATGATTGAAGTTGGGCAATCAGACCATCAAGCCATGAATCAAGGAAGCTGTCTGTCTTATCATTCTCTCCATTATTTCTTTCGTATTGTAGTAGCAGTTGAAGGACAGGTGCGCCATGATCACTAACACCAAAAGCTCTGATTTCGGCAGACGAACTAAAGGAATCGAAGAGAGCTTTGCGGAGACGGTTAAACAACTCTTTAAAGTGTTTTGGGGGACGATATTCTTCGTCTTCATATTGTTGTTCATTGACGGCATCAAAATTGTCATTCCTGTTTAACCAACTTTTTGATTTCTTTGAACGTTTGAGAACATTCTCACTTGTATCACCAGATAATAAATGAAGTAAATACCTAATTGGGTAGGTAGCATTCTGATTGAGAATCAAATCACCGACAAATGGTAAGATTTCTTCAACAAGATCATTCAAGAGCGTTGTGAAGGTACGTAATTGACCGACACTCTCAGGGTCTTGGTTTGGAGGTTGTGCAATATCACCATTGCTCTCTCTCATGATTGTTCCTTTAGATGTCTCCAAGAGAGTTTCAATTACATGACTACCGAAGCTGTTACTAATCACAGCGTTGATTTGTCCCATTAAGGCATCAGCGAAAACCCTCTTTTCAAAGTCGCCTACGCGTTTAAGCATGTGTTCAACCATGAGAGCGCATTCTGGATCGGTTGATAAGGCCAATTCGTGAGAGGACATTTCAGACAAGGTTGCTTCTATCATCATGGAGTATTCCTCGCTGTCATCTTGACTAGCATTTGTAAGTCGTTTGTCCATATCCCTCAAATAACTTTTCAAATCTGGGTTGAGAATACCAAATGGTGTAGAAGTTTGTTGAGTGTTGACTATCCATTCTGGTGCTGTCTCTATAGGTTCTTGAGGTTGCTGTGTCTCGTCTGGATGCTCGTCAAGCTTTTTTGTAACTCTTTTAGCTGTAGAGATATTAGATTAAGCGTTGTAAGAGCAGAGATGAACGCACCCCTCTTTCTAATCTGCTCTTTTGGCCTAATAGATTGTCAGTAAAGCGTGTCTATTAATTATTTAGTAGATCTCACATCTAGACTGATGGTAGTTTAATTACAAGCTTGCTTCCTAACCACCAAGTCAGACTATACAAAATGGCAGGATTAAAATCTATTATTGCTCTATCATTGGTATTAGCCTTGGGTTTCCTGCTTGTGATCCTAAGTTGTGCACTTTGGGGTAACTGGTTACCATTGTTATCTGGTTAGTATAGCTATAGTAGTATATATCGATATTGAAATTGCATTAGCATTCCTATTCGCGTTTGCACCTCTACCAAACTCAATTGCTAGCCGATGCGGCAGTTACTCATACTCAAGTTATGATGAACCTAATACGTAAGCAAATGACTTTATAACGGTCCACATATTATACACCGATATCTAACCTTTATTACAGCGCATTACAAGATTTCGCTAGATTCTTCACTTCTATCACTTTAGTTACAGGCGCTGCATTACCACTTGTCTTAGCTCATGCAGGTATATTGGCAACGACATCATCGATAATGTCAGTCATTGGTGGTGCATTAATCTATATTACTATTATCGCATTCGGTAGCTCGTTCCAATCAGGAGAATCTGACGAATTTTAACGAATTCACACGTTAATTTACTTACTTTTTATATCCTTGTGTATCAATCTATCAATTTGAATTTCAATTAGTTTGTATAATGTCTAAATTACTATTGAATTCTCGTGATTTTCTTTCAAGTGAGTTGCTTTAACTTCATTACTATCACTTTACTATAATGCATGCAAAGAAGCGATTTTATGTATTGAAACAACTATTATGATTCATCCTAGCTGCAAAATATCCAATCATTCTCTATAATGACTGCAAATCATTCTACGTGAAGCCTGAAGTGCATAGATGCTCTCCTCTCTAATCAGGCTTACTGTAAGTGTTTTGAAAAGTTAGACATATTTAAAAGCATTCAGACCAATGGGAGTTTTCTATATGAGTTAAACTTATTGATGTGCTATGTAATCAAATAATTCTCTATTGGTTTCGCTTCTTGTACTATCTTGGGTATGTTTCATACGTCGCGGTCAATAACTAGAAACATGCGTAGAAATATTAAACTACTTTTAGTTGTGAAATCACCGACTAAATCAGCTAGTTTTGAATGAATAATGTGAAAGAACCACAACAAATATGTAATAATCTTTCTAAATAAATAGTAATACATACAACAACAAAAAAGTACAAATTAAGCATGACTATAAACTATCTAAAGCTATTCAAGTCGTCTATATTAGCAATAGAGTTGAACTCTGAGGTAATCTTTGAAACGCTTTCATCCTTGATCAGGCGATTAGATTGCCAGTTAATATAACCAATTCTGCCTATTTGCCAAATAGCCAGGTCATCACCAGATTTCGTATTAGGGAGGGTAACCTGGAATGGATCCACTTCTTTCAAAGCAATTAAGTTATTATGAAGGCTTTTCAGATTCGCTGTGAGTGTTATATGCTTATCTGCCAGCGTTGTTATATTCTCGATTATAGTTTCACGTTCTTTCGCCTCTCTCCTTTGCTTCTCTATTGCATTTTCCTTTTGTCTGCACTCTGAGCGGAGTTTACGGTTGAGTTTTTCCAACTGCCGCTGTTAGAAAGGTGTAGATCTATGAGAAACAAGCTCACCTGTTGTAATTCCTTTCTTTTCGCGTTCAACTGATCTATCTCAGCTTGCTCTTCTTCTTCCGATTGCGGTAGGTCTGAAGGTATTTCCAAATCACAATACTGAGGTAAGAAAGCAGTTGGTATACACTCCAATTCATCCGGTATGGTAAGTATATTCCTCAACAAATAGATCTCCATTTTGTCGACATTCTTATCAATCAGGTGTTCCAACAAGGTCTGTAGTCTATGTATACCTTGACGAATTTGATTTTGAAATTTACCATCACTATCAATATCCAGCCCCTGTTCAGCTAGTATAGCTACGAAGAAATCTTCAATCGCGTCCATGATCTGACCAACAGGTTCATTAAAGTGATTGACGTAATCATCAACTAAAGCTAAAGGTGTATATCCGAAATGACCAGTCAAGAATTCATTTTTATAATGCTCTGGTACTGGCATTATTGATCTATTGAGAATGACGATTATGGTTTAATGACGCGACGCGAGAAAAACGCGATATTGAGAAAAAATAAAAATAAAAAATTGGTATATTTAATTAAAAGTACATTGTAGTTATCTATAAAATATTAAAACTATTAATTAGCCTCACTATTCGGCTTCCTTGAATCTGTATAAGCGTGTTTATTGAAGTTGACATATGAGTAATTCGAACCAGGCCTGAATACCATCCAAAGAATGTTTGATATGTATGATTTATGTGAGAATGGATTGAAGTTTGACCTATTCGAACCATTTAAATCGGTTGTGAATGGGTTCTGACTGTTTTCAGTATCTGATTTTTGGGCTTTTGATAAAGCCTTTGAGCGGAGTTGCTCTATAGTTGTGCTATTTATAATAACGAGCTGAGTGTACGTCAGTTGGTGTCTTCTATTAAAAAGGAAACTCACTCTAGTGTGGTAGGCTAAGAGTAGCGAGATTGGAATCAATAAGATGATTGACAACAAAAAGATGACAGCGGATGCAGGATCTTGTTGTAGTGATTGTTTAAACGATTGATCATCTGATACTCTCGTATTCTTAGTCAACTGCCAGATGTGTATAGCAGCAAATACCGCGTAATAAATGAGAGTAACAGTTGTAACTAAACAGAATACCAAAAACGAAGGGTAGTTCCTTCTACCAATACAGATATTCAAAAAAGAACAATGGTGGTCAATGCCATCAATGCAGCTGTTGCACAACCTACAATGACTTGCTCTTGGAGGTCTTACAAGTTGACAAATATCGCAATACTTGACTCTGACTAAACCATCTCTAATTGTAACATCCTTTGGTAATGTATCTAATGAATTTCGGTCGATATTGACTGGTAGAATACCAGGATCTGAAAAGGCGGTTTTGATCATTGAAGACCAAACCAATAAAGTGAGATATGCAGCTATTATGGCTACTGCTGGAGATAAAGTGAACCATAAGTCGACGGCTACACGTCCGAAAAAGATCGCGGGTAGACCTAAAATTAAAATAACGCTAGCTATGAAGGCTGATGGATTATCTTTTGAAGTCAGTAGGTTACCAAAGCAGCAGAAGCGCAAGTTGGCTGATGATAGCTTGTAATTCTTTAGAGAGAGCTGCTTATTGTAAGGGTTGCTATTGAAGTGTATAGGAGGTTGTTTTAGAGAGTGTAAGCTGACTGTGGATATAGACTGCTGTGGGTGTAAACTAGTAGCTGTAACTTGGTTTTCATCGTGATTGCAGTTGTTGTTGTATATGTTAGAGTTCAAATTCAACAAACTATTTAACTTTATTGAATTGTTATTACTATTACTCTTTATATTCCTAGATGCGTTATAAAACGCTCGATGTGGTAAAACGGTCATCAAGGTCGACAAGGAAGATGGATAGACTGACGCAAATACAAATAAAGGTTGAGAACTTGATTATAATAATGTATTCTACTTTTAATTTCATTTTAAAGCAATCAAAGTTCAAGTCTATTGGTGCTTTATCTGCAACTTCAAACGTCGGCTCAAATGATGTCGATAGCAATCTAGTTGAACTATCAGTCGATTTATTAAAACAATTCAATCAATTGCGAGTACTAATAGACCATCTACCCCAGTCAACAGACATCTTAACCGAAAATTTTAACGATGAATATATGAAGACAATAGAGCAAACAAAGGTATTAAATGATGATATAACTAATTACTTAAATCATTCTATATAACTTGTCATCTTGAACGAGTTTCTCTCCCTTGAGCAATTGATCCCACCATTTAAACAACAACTCATCTCCAATTAACTCGAACCAAGGCGTCAACTTATACTGGTCCTTATCGTTCATCATATCCTTCAACTCCTGTTGATTGACGTATCTAGATTCAGAAATTTCATTTGGGTTGATATCCAATTCAACATCCGCCTTGATGAATAAGATATAGTCTATTTCGTGTTCACCCCATAAGCTATCAGATGGAGCTAAATAATGTATTCTAGTTAAATAATCGAATTGATCAGGTTTTAAACCTTTTATACCTAATTCATGCTCTAACTTTCTAATTGCCGCGTTCTTTGCACCTGGTATACCGTCTAATTCTGACTTAATAGCTAATGGGTGACTGCAGCAGGTGTTTGTCCATAAATCTGGGAAAGTAATCTTCTCCTTTGATCTCTTTTGGAGGAGTAATCTACCATCGGATGGTCTAAACAGGAAAGTAGAGAATGCTCTATGCAGCATTCCTTTATTGATATTATCCATAAGATGACAGTCCTTTTTTGATACATCGCCCATAACGTTATCATTCTCATCTAAAAGTATACATCTCTCTTCCATTAATCTTGTTGTATGAATAAGATAAAGAATAAAGAGTCTAACAGACTGCTCACCTAATTTGCTCTAAATCGTACTCATCTTTTGACAGTTCAACCATTTTTGCTCTTCGAAGTAAACGACGAGGACGTAAAAAATAATGTCAACTTCTTTAGCCTCTAGATTAGCAGCTAAACAAGCCTCACAAAACGCACAAGCGCTACAGAATTCACAAGATCAACGTATAAATTTACCTTCTTATTTAAAAGATGCCGTACAAGATCCTTCTCCAGTTGAAAAGATTGAAGTTGACGCATTAGCTTTATCTAAAATAGCGAAACACTCTTCAGAGAATAAGAACGCTACTGGTATTTGCTTAGGTTTAGACATCTTATCCGTTTTGCAAGTAACCAATGTTTTCCAATCTTATACACCTTTAATCAATACTGGTAACCCAGATGAGGATGAGAGAAAGTCTAAGATTTTGAGAAATCAATATAACAGCAAAATGTGTAGAAACCTTTCAGATGTCGACTTGGATGATCAGCCAGTTGGCATTTACATCGCGATCGAATTTGGCGCAACAATCAACGAAATTTTATTATCTTACGCACCTTTGTTATCTGCACTTGGTAAAAACAAGGGATTCGTTTTACTTTACGATACTTCATCAGCTAGCAAGGGTAACCTCAACTTGAGAGCATACAAGATACAAGAGAACTTCATACAAGCTTTGCGTACCAATCAATTCTCTGAAAAGGGGTGAGTCTTCTTTTCTTCTATCACCATTCTTCTAACGCACATCTCGTAGTATCATCGAAAATCAATTAACATTCAGCGACATCTTACAAGAGTACCCAATAGAATTAAAATCTTCATCTTTAACAAAAGCATACTTAGAATCATTATCTACACCAAAAACCCCAACTGATTCAACAGTATTGAGCAAAAACTCAGCCAAAATCCTTCAACTTGATTTAGATTCACCTTTACAAGCAAATATAGACAATCTTGTTGAATCATTAGACGCATATAAGGATGAGCAATCTCAATTAGCTTTTGCTAACCGTCATTTACTCAGAGAGAGGGCAAAAGTTGAACAAAATATTCAAAAAGTTCAACAACAACGTCAATCACAAAACTTAGCTCCATTAAGTGAAAGTGAAATCCAACGTCAATTTAAGCTACCAGCCGAACCTTCAAAATTACCTTCATTAGTTTTACAAGGTCAATTAGATGGTATTTCACAAAGATTATCCGATAACGCATTGTCTTCAATATCGATGACACACCCAGATGGTTTATCTGATAAATCTTGAACTGTAAATAAATAATTTATCTTTTTTTCCCTACATTCACTCTTGTGTTTAAACTTTGATAATGTCAGCATTCAAAAGAAGAGAACCAACGACGAGCCAGCAAATAAAGGGTACGAAAGTATCACCTTCTAATGCTTCATTACATTTATCAAGTGGTAGCGCTGCAATTGATGATTTATTAGGCGGAAGTGCAGGCGGTAGAGGTGGACTAGGTATTGGGACGAATACAATAAATTTAGTAGTTGAAACTGATCCACATTCAACGTATAGCGACATTTTATTAAATTACTTTTATTCACAAGGTTTGAAATCATCGCATAAGTTATTATCTATCGGTATAGACGGTAGCAAATCAATGTGGACATCTGCAGGATCAACTGATAATGAAAAATCTGATAATGAGGATTCAGCACTCGATCATAATGAAGGTAGAGGTGAATCAAAGATAGCATGGAGGTATGAGAATATGAAAAGATTTGAAACTTCAATAAACCAGAACTATAACGATGGCGACTTTCTTAGTACATTCGATTTAACACAAAATGTACCTTTATCAACTATCAATAAAGCCAAAGAGAGGTCCTTACTTAAGGAAATTGAAGTCAATGATTACGATAAGTTAATTCAAGAAATAAAGCATGTTTGCGATGACCATAATAAGAATCCAACTTCTGTTTTACGTATAGCTATACGTAATTTAGGTAATTGGGAATACGGCGATAAGGCAACTGACAAAGTTGTGAGTAAATTAGTCATTAAACTAACAAAACATTTAACAAAGTTATAGGAACTTTTCAAATTTATTTATAAACTAAGATCAATAGTCAGATCAACAAAGTATGCGGCAGCATATATTTCAACACACTCCGATAACATAGATAAAGAAACACTGAATAGATTACTATATATTTTAGATTCATGCATCGCACTAGAAAGCTTCAGTGATGCACCACACAGAGCAACTGCATTCGCACCAAATCACGGTTTAATTCACCCATTAATGACATCTAGATTGAATTCACTGAATTCACCATCAAATAGACATTCACTTCTTCGTGGTGGTTTAATAGCAGGTGAAAATAACCTTGCTTTCAAGCTTCGTAGGCGTAAACTCGTTGTCGAAACACTTCATCTTGATGTTGAAGGCGGTAAGGGTGAAAGAAGGACAACACCATCAAATTCTTCAATAAGCGTAGAAGAAACACAAGAAAGAATAAAGAAAGCTAACCTTCATGAAGGTCATAATCATACTGGCAATGAAGTTGAAATTGAATCAACGAGCTCGACAGTCAGGTTTGCTAACGACAACGATGAGGAAACACCTCCACCATCAACTAAAAAGAAGGGCCCACGTAGGGTTGCTTTTCAATCTGATAAACCAGAATTATACGAATTCTAAACCTCTATGCACATAAATGCAAATTGATAATGGATTAAAAAAACTATATAAATGAGAGCTAAATTTATGTTTGAGATTATGGGAATAATAATAATTAATTAATAGTAAACTCAAAAAAGAATGAAGCAATCTAGTGATCGATGATTGCAAGGTTACCAGTAACCAACTTATTCTCAATAACAGAGTTATCTGGTAAAATAATCTTGTTACCTTCATTTGCAACAATAATAACTGAACCCTTGAGTACGACATTTTTACCGAAAACAACATCACCTGAAACTGTCAAGTGATCCAATTCGAGGATGTTTGGAATTGACTTGAACCTTCCTTGGAAGTTAGCAACCTTTTTGAATGTGTCACCTAATTTAATGACAGGTGTTGTGTCGAAAATTCTCTTTGGGTTACGAACCAAAACTCCGTGTTCTAAACTGTATAAATCTGATGTAATTAATAATAAATCTGAGCATGACTTGACTGGCAAGAAACGTGATCTTGGTACGTTGATACCTGCAGCACCCTTGAAGTGTTTGATAGCAGCACCAACAGCGGTTTCAAGTTGAATAACTGGTGTACCATTGTCAAGTGCCTTGTTGTTAATAATAACTTCCAAACTCAATTGTCTCTCCTCAACTACTCTCTTGATGGCCTTAAGGTTCATCCACAAGTTGTTAGTGTTGAAAATCTTAAACTTGCTAATTGACTTGAATTCTTCAACATGTTCTTTTGGAACTTGAGCAACTTCCAATAAACGTGCTTGACCTTCATAATCAATGATGGTACCACCCTTGACATCAGCCTTTGTCTTGTCTGTAACTTCCATAAAGTATTCAGCTTTTGATTCAATCATGTGTTGGTAGATGTTAAGGTCAACAACTGCACCCAAGTTGTCTACGTTTGAAACGAAAATGTATTCTTTACCTGCCTTGATGAGCTCATCGAGTAAACCAGAGTTGTAAAGTGCTTCGAAGATGTCACCGTGTCCTGGTGGGTACCAGTTGTCCTTTTGGGAGTCGAAAGAGTCTGCAGTTGGGAGTAAGCTTTCTCTACCGAATCTTGGGTAACGTGATTGGTTGAAAGTGAGAATTTGAATGTTGTGATCTTCATACTTTTGAATGAGACGCTTTGTGTCTTCGTGGGTGTTGAATGAGTTCATAAGAATGAATGGAACGTTAACACCGTAGGCGGAGTTGAGATGTTCTATTTGTCTAACAGACAAGTCAAGGAATGTCATACCGTCTCTAACTTCAATGATGGACTTTGGACCGACGCAACCCATAGTTGTACCCAAACCACCATTCAATTTCAAGACAGCTAACTTGTCGAGGATGGAATGGTCAGTAGCTTTTGGAAGGTCTGCATATGGTCTAACTTGTTCAGCTGCTGGTGGCTTAATTTTATCCCATTGGCTGTTTATTGTGAGCATTGACAGCTTTAAATAGTAAGACACTCACATCTTTTCACCTCTTGCCTTTTCATCGAGGTAACGGTTGAAAAGGTTGTAGAAACCATCCATTTCAGCCTTAAATTGCTAGGAAACGCGTAAATGAAAGTACTTAAAACTTAAAGTAATCTAACCTTTTTCGTTTGTGGGTCTTCAACGCCCTTTATTCACGCGTTAGAAATTGCAGTTATATTTTGGTTTAACCTACATCAACCAATTTGTCCAATTCTTGTCTCATAGAACGTGATGAAACGTTTGTAGTAGCTGACTTGAAGTCCTAGAAAGATGACTAGTTAGATTGACTGCGTATAATCCAACAGTAAGTCGACGAACGGTTGATGATGGCTGACGCTTTACTGATACAGTGTTTAATGACATTTATCTATTATATGTTAGTATATTCTTTGATTTATAACTTTTACTCACTTTTTATTATTTCGACTATGTCGTTTAAGAAGAAGATATGACGAGCCAATCTAGTCCTCAAATCGAACTAGTGCTGCGGGAATAAAACGGAAAAATCCAAATAAAAAAACAATAAATAATAAAAATTTGATAAATAAACAAAAAGCTCTATTTTATTACTCTTACATCAATCTTTTTGATGGCTTTCGCACAACTTTTTTTCTTTCGGATTGGAACGAATACGAATATGAACGCGTTAGTTTAAGCGTGAACGCGTTCCAGTATGTGATTTTAAACCTTTTTCTCTTAACCCAAGAAAAAAACAATTTTTATTGCGGATTCCTCACATACGCAGTCCTCCAAATTGGATTACATTGCACCGCATGCAAATCATTACCTCATCGAAAAATGTAAAACGTAAAATATAAAATACATGAAATTAATTAAACTTTAATTTAGTTCTGGTAGTTTACCAAGTGATTCATGATCTGCACCAGTTTCATTCGCGTATTTCTCCATGTTCCTACCTTCGTGTAACCAGTTCGTACCTTCGAGGTGTGCAATTGAGCTGGCCTTAGATTGAGGGCTGTAGGCAGCTACTTGCTTAATTGCACGATCTGCTACTTGGAATCTAGCACAGTTGTTCCACCAAAGCATGAGCCATGGTGTAGTAGTAGTACCGTTCTCTTCGTAAGAATTGATACTAAAGCGTGCTCTATTGAGTGAGTGTTCTCTTTGGAATAGCAGGGAAGAAATTTGCAATGCATAACCGTGATAGCTAATCAGAACTGGTTTGTCTTTCGTGAACAAACTATTGAAAGCTGCTTCATCGAGAGCGTGTGGGTGACTTTCCTTCTTACCAGCCAATATCATTAAATCGTAAACATTGATTACCCTGACCCTTACACCGGAGTTCCTGAGTAGGACGGATGCCGCTAAAACTTCAAATGTGACTTCAGCACCAATACCGACCAGTACTACTTCTGGATCAACACCACCATCTGTTGAGTATTCATCCCAAACACTCGCTCCAGCAATGCAGTGCCTATTAGCTTGTTCTGGTGACATCAATACAGGTCCAGGTTGTTTACTGCCAACAACCTACAATCCCGTTAGAAATTTTATAACACAATCGTTCAATACCCACCAAGTTAAGGTAGTTCTTGGACCTAAGACAATGAGCAACGCAAGAAAGTGATGTGTTCGCGTCAATTGGGAAGTAGATTCTTGAGAGGTGCGCAGGGAATGTTTGGAAAATTGAAATCAATCCAGGTGCTTGGTGTGAATAACCTGTATAATTATTAGACGAACACTTTTTATAGTTCTAAACACTCACCGTTGTGTTCTTGGCGCCATAAGGTACTGGTTGCGATGTAGTTCAAAGATGAAACGTCACCTCTCCAGTCTGTTTCTCTACACATCTTGATAAGCTTGCTGTACTGGGTCATCATCGTGCTAGCTATACCCAAGAATGCTTCGTATGAAGGGAAAAGACCAGTTCTACCGGTCAAGGTGTAGCCTTGCAAGAAACCTTGAAGTGTATGTTCAGAGAGCATTTCAATAACGCGTCCACCCTTGTGTGCAGTTTCAGGATCCCACTGGAGATTTCTTCCAGTAACATCAAGAACTTTGTGAAGTTTATTTGATTCAAGTTCATCTGGGCTGAAAATTCTAAAGGTTTGAGGATTCTTCTTGACAACATCAGCGAGGAATTCACCGGTGATAACCATAGGAGAGTAGGTTCCACCTTTTTCTTTAGCGTGATCAATCCAATTTGGTACATTGAGTGGTTGATATGCGTCATAAGTTTCCTTAACTTGACCTAACCTAAGGGTATTCTTTGATGGAATGATTGACAACGCACTCTTCTCAAAGAAATCCTCCTTTTCTGCATCGATGTTAAAGATCTCATCTGGATGGTATGACTTAAGCCACGATTCAAGTGCAGCAAACTCGTCATCATCTGATTTACATTTTGGAAGTGGTACTTGATGAGAGTTGAAAGAGCCTTCGAGTGGAGTACCATGAATCTTCCGTGGTCCTGTATAACCTTTTGGCGTTCTCATAACAATTAATGGCCAACGTGGTTTATCAATTGGCTTTCCTGAACGTGCCGCATGTTGGATTTTACGAATCTCCTCGTAAGCCCATTCCATGGATACTGCGAGATTAGCGTTAACATTGCGGTCTTTTTCGACATGCTCCTCGACAGTACTAGCTAATGGACCATACTCAACGAAGCGGACTTGATAACCGTAACCAGAGTAAAGCGAAACAAGTTCAAGATCATCAGCCGTACCTGGTATAGTACGTTCACTAATTTTGTAGCCATTTACATGAAGAATTGGTAAAACAGCACCTGATTCAGCTGGATCAATAAATTTATGTGCGTGTAATGAAGCTGCAGTAGGACCTGTCTCAGATTCACCATCACCAATTACACAAACAGCAATCATGTCTGGTTTATCCATGATGGCACCGTATGATACCGCAAGTGCGTATCCAAGTTCACCACCTTCGTGGATGCTACCAGGAACATGAGCTGAAACATGTGATGGGAATGTACCACCTGGGAAAGAAAAGCAACGAGCAAAGGCCTCAAAACCATCTTTATTAATAGGATACTCTGGGTAGAAGCTTGTTATTGAGCCTTCAAGGTATAAACTAGCAAGGACTGCTGGTGCACCGTGTCCAGGACCAGTGACGAAAATCGACTTCAAATCAATTCCTTCTTTCTCACGACGCTTGATGAGTGCATTAGTGTGAGCATAGGCTAAGTTTAAGCCTGGACATGTACCAAAATGACCAAGAAGGCGTGGCTTTATGTCGTCTTTCGAAAGTTTGCGAGAGAGTAGTGTGTTACTCTTCAAGAAAATCATAGATGTTGCGATGAAGTTTGCACTATGAACACATTAGCGACAAGCAAGGGGTATATTCCAGAACGTACGCTCTTTGAAATGCCAGCAAGCCATTCAAATTCCACTTGTCTTCATTTTCAAAGACTTGTTTTATGTTTAAATCAACGGCCAGCTTGGAAAGTTCCTTTGGCAGCTGCGATGGACGAGGCTCTTCACCTCTACCTTGTGCGTCAACTATTGGGTGGTTCGTCATGGTGTTTAAAGAAGAGTTAACGTCCGCGTTTACTTATCCAATGGGGTGTAACTCTGATGACGTCATGTGCGATCTCTGAAAATAAACGATTACATAACGCATACGGTTAGGATATAGCAAAGAATACTGAATTACGTAGAAATTTATTCATTTTAAAATGAGTTAATAATTACAAATCATTTGATTTAAACATTGAGCGTGGATTTAGCTTGTCTTGCAGCTTCGCCCTCCTCATCAGTCCAACAAACATACGCTGGGATTTTCGAAATGTCATTGCTCAATGCAAATGCCCCTTCGTCTTCCTGCTCACTCGCTTGATTGTTAAGCGAGTCAACGACTGAGACACCAAACACGCTAAGTCTATCTACGACATCCTTCCTAAGACGTACTGATTTCTCTCCAATTCCACCGCTGAATACCAATGCATCAATAGCATTCTTTGGATCTTGGCCGTGCGAGAGCTTTTGTAGATATGAAAGAAGGTATTGAGTAAGCCTGTCCAAATACAGTGCGTATGCAAGAGCGTATTTGTTTGGCATATCACCCTCATACCATGGTTTCCAACATTCGTGATCTGCTGGTGGAATTTCATCTAAAATTTTCCCAAAGTTCGATGTACCGCATAAACCGACGAATCCACCCTGTTTATTCATTATGTACTCTCCTCTTGAAACGCGCATACCATTTACATCTAGTGTCTCGGCTACATCGCGGACTAAATGGAAAATCAATGTCGGATCAATAGACCCTGTGCGACTTCCACCCGGCAAACCTAAAAATATTAGCTATCATAATTATTTCTTTATAATCGTTTTACACACCCTCTAATGGAGTGAGACCCATAGTTGTATCAACGCTTTTACCATTCTTGATAGCACATGCACTTCCACCACTACCCAAATGGGCTACGACGATACTAGTTTCGTTCTCCTTCTTGCCTAACTTTGAAGCTACAATCTTAAGAATACTCTGGTATGATAAGCCATGCGCTCCGTACTTCTGCAGTGGAATGCGTGGCTCATGATCCGGTTTCCCAATCGCATATTGACGTACTGCTTGAGGGAGAGTATGATGAAAGAGAGTGTCGAATACAATAACAGCTGGGGTGTTAGGAAGTTGTTCTAAAACCGCTTCGAGTGACATAAGCGCCGATCCATTATGTAATGGTGCAAATGCACTAATTTTATCAATTTCTTTAAGCTTCTCAGAATGGTCACTGGTAACTACAACTGGTTTGTCGATGTTACCCCCGTGAACTACTCTATGTGAAGTTGCTGTGATGTCATCCTCTTTGATATTCAACGCTTTGAATATCTTATCCAAAAGTGCCTTGAATATATCGTTATATGCTGTATCCTTGCTAATAGTTTCGTTAACACTAGCTGCTCCACTGATGTTGATAGTTGGATCTTCGCCAATGTTCTTTGCAGCACCAGAAGCAAGGGTATTGAGATCCTTATCGAAGAGCTTAAACTTAATACTTGAGCTACCACAGTTAAACGCAATAATCATTTTTGATTGTTACAATTCAAGAAAACAAAAAAAGCATCTTATCCATTCATTCGGATTACGTCAGACGTATGAGTGATATAAAAACGTTTCCATAATGCATTTTATCTTACAAAAATCATTACCACATGCGACATTGTTCTGAGTCTGGAGGGTTCATTAAACTGCCCTTTTTACAACCAAATGCTTTGGCGAATTCTGGTGTATTGCGAAGAGTACCGTCGACTCTCCATCTACGTGTTGTGTTAGATTTATTCAAGCAACCAAGTATAACTCACTTAGGAGGTGCGTGTGGGTCGGTCTTGATACGCTTAAGATTTTCTTCTAAACGAGTACTACGAGCCCATCCTCTAGCAAAGGAAATGAAGAAGAGTTGTTCATCCGTGAAGTCAACACCAGGCAATCTCAGTGACTTTTCTTCCGCTTCTGCATTCTTCCATGCGTTATATGCTTGAACCAATCCAAGATCACCAATAGCTTCACCTACAACGAAACGACCATTGACATTAAGCTCTTGTCCTCTTGGTCCTGGCATAGTGAAGTTGTTGTATTGGTTGACAATACATTCAGCGCGTTCTATGAATGCTTGTACTGTTTCATTGCTCCACCATGAGCCATCAAAAATGAGTCTACCGTCAGCTTCGTATTGTCGACCAACATGGTCAAATGCGTGACAAAGCTCATGAGCTGCAACACTACCTGCCGATCCATAATTGAGCACTTGTGGCCAATCAGCCTTGAAGAATGGTGGTTGAAGGATACCAGCTGGGAAGACGATCTCGTTCTTAGATGGTTGATAGTAGGCGTTGACTTCGGTTGGTATCATATCCCATTCACCTTCTGCTTTTTTACCTGCCTTGTTGAACATCCTGACAGCTTCTGCTTCCTGTGACCTAAGGGTGTTGCCAAACCAGTCATCTTCAAGGATATTATTGATACTATAGTAATTAGCAAGATCTTCAGGGTCTAAAGTATTTGGATGTGAGGTTGGGTATCCAATTTTTTTGTTCTTGTGTATAACGTTTGCTTTATTGGTGGCTGCTTTGACCGTCTTGTCATCAAGCCACCCGAGATTTGGTAAGCGATGAATGAATGAATCAATAATGCCGTCAACGATGTTTTCAAACTTTGACTTGCTTTCGCCTGGGAATGCTTCCAAGACGAAAGGCCTACCAGCCAAGAAACCGACTTGGTCGACAACTGCTTCCAAGCAATCAAGCTCGATGTCTTTCTCAGCTTTTGGATTAGTACCGCTTATGAGTGCGTTGAATCTGTTGACAGTTTTGCCAATGTGTGTCTTTGGACTAAGTGTCGAACCAAGATTAAGTACAAGCTTGAGTATGAAGTAGCCTTCAAGGGTCTTCTCATCAACACTAAGAACACTTTATAGATGTTAGAAGTCATATTATATCAAACATTCAACTTACTTGTCAAGCGCCTCAAAGTAGCCTGGATTTTGGACAATGACTGGTTCAACTACCTCGCTGTTGTGGTTCAAAAGAGCAAAATATTGTGGCCAGTCAATGTATGGGGCAGTTTCACTGAGCTCAGTCAAGTTCTTTGGATTGTACGTCTTGATAGGGTTTGCTGAATCAACTTGGTTCCATGAAATCCTTGCAAGATATTGCTCAAATCTGGCAATTTCCCTTGAGAGTTTGCGGTAAGAATTCTTGGGGATCTTGTGGTGTTTGCTGTCTTTCCTCTCGTGTACAGCCTTCAAGATTTCTTGTGTAATTTCAGCGATGAACTTGACATTCTTTTCATCCTCGTAGTAATCCTTATCAGGAAGTGACAAAGCATCATCTTGTGATAACCACATAACTTGTTTGCTTGGATCCTTGCCTACGTCACCATCAAGTGAAAATGAAAACAAGGCGCCGATGTTCTTCGATTGGAGGTACGCTGCAGCTTGCGTGAGGATGGATTGACGACTCTCCTTTTGATTGATGTATCTTTTGTTGAAAATTGAAATCAGTTCGTCTGTAAGGTGAAGGAGTGGTTCTGCGCCTTTCTTGTCTTGAGCTTTTGTGTTAGTGCATGAATCGTAGAGCGTCTTGATAGTTCTCATGTTAGCCTTATCAGCAGGTGAGTATTCCTCAGTTCCAACGTTAGCTAGAATTATTGATTTTACGATTTCCTAGATGTCGTCAGATATGACTTGAAAACATTGACACAAACCTACAGTATTTTTGTTACCAACATCTTCAAAGATACTACGAACGCCTTTTGATGGTGGAATTGGGTGGGTTTCAAGCCATCCACCATTTGCGTACTCGTAAAATGAATCGCAAGGGTCGACGCTATCATCGATGGAATCCATAATTTCAGAAGCAGCATTTACGCAAGATTGAGTTGTACAAAGGTTATATCCCTTATGCTTCTATCAGATTATAATTTGGTATGTATGCATACTCACTGGAGATTGTGTAGGTTTTGGAGTGTAAGATTGCGTGACGGTGATAGTTTCTTTAGCATTTTGAGCTTTTTTGTAGTTTACCTCTGCGCCCGCAAATAATCCTATTCTATTAGTGGATTCCTTATCGACAGCTTGTCTACTCACCTACGGAAACACTTAATAAGATGATAAGACCAATTATAACGGCCAAAAGAATTTTATTTAACTTTGAGATGCGCTTAGGAGGTGGCTGGTCTCCTATTTCATCTTCGTTTAGCAGTGGTTCATGTTCATCGTGAGAGTTCATGGCTGTTCAGGTGAAACGATGGTGACGTCTCAGATAAGCTTCTACTGTGCAAATATTTTCAGAGATGCTTAAAATATGTTAGTAGTATTTGTCTACAGGGTTTTATGTATTCTTTACTTTTGTTCTATCTCTTGTACTTCAGCCGTCGCTATCAAAATTTTCATTGCGTACATGACCAACTTCTAGGCTTGGGAGATCTTGCACATTCGCAATAGTCTCGCAATTTCTCTCTGGAAGAGATATGCAATTCAAACTAATTGTCACAGTCGCTAGCATCACAGCGTTGGCATCTGCCTCGTTTGTACCATTGAATGTCGCTAGGTCTCCTCAGTACGACTACAATGCGGCACCGTGAGAGCGTAGTACTCACATAATACACTCACTAACAAACTATAGGGCGCCTGCGAGCGTACGAGCTGGTTCTGGATATGACCAATGTGTGCAGCGTGAGTAATAGAAGAATCTATCTGTGTAAGCTCTAACTTACTCAGAATGTAACACAAATTGGGACAAAGGCTCTGTTGAGAATACCGACGGCTATGGCAACGACAATGGTAAGAATAGCACCGCACCGAGTCAAACTACAAAGCACATCATCGTCGCACCTTCTCAGGGTGTTCTACGTTTCGTACCATTTGCTATGCAAGCTAACGTTGGCGATAAAATCCAGTTTACTTGGATGGCTAACAACCACGGCGTCACCAAGTCATCAATGACGGGCATATGTAATGCTACAATGGACAAGCCTTTCAAATCACCTGTACAGAATTCGTCTGCTACATTTGAAACGACGGTAGATACGACAGATCCCATGTTTTACTATTGTCCAGTTGGTAATGTAGGGTATTCACCACCAAAAGAGCTATCTAATAGACGTAACAGCATTGTACATCTGGTATGTACGGTATTATCAATCCACCAATGGCTCCAACCAATTTGTCAAACGTTGGCGATGCTATGGGTAAATGGGAGAAGGTACATCGTACCAACAGGGTAAAAATCAGCTAACACTATACAGGATTCCAAGAATACCATTATCATGAAGAATGCTGATGATATCATGAAGAACGCCAACATGACATCTGAGCAACTCAACTGGGGTAACGGCTGGATGGATATGTCAAAGAATGAAGACGATTTGACTGCTATGATAGAGAATATCATGTGAGTAGTAACTGGTTACTTTCTTTTCCCCTGACTATTCCGTCAGCATCACCCGTCTCACTATCGCTCTGAACCCGGGATGGACGCCAGGCGCACCAGTTGATATGAAGACATTCAAAGCACCTCCTACTATTAATAACCTTGCAGCAACAAGCTATGGTGATTCGCCCACTACGTCAAACGCAGCCCCTGAAGCTACGGACGAAGCAGGCTCCAACAGCTCTGGCTGCAATAAATTCGGTATTCAAATATTTACCTTCCTTTTTAGTTTAATCGCGGCTAGCGCAGTGTATTAAATTGTTTTAATAAATATCTTTACCGAATCGAGAACGTCCGTCGTACGTCAGTCTCAACCGTCATTGTCTTACGAAACGAAAAATCGAAATGCTAACTAGGAAGTCGCACCATGCTTTCTGTGGTCTAATAACTGTTAGGTGCGTATAGAAAATCTGTGGATAACCTACAATTTGCTGACTAAATTTGAAGAACGTCTACACTTATATACTCCACTACTACATTCTTGACATACGCAGCATCGGCATACGCTGCTTTCAATCTACTCACATTATCCTGTCCTCACTGCACTACTTCACCCTCAAATAGCCACCAGCCATCGAACATCTTAGATAGCGCCGACGCTCAAGCAAGGTTCGGGGCTAGGATACTGATAGTTTCTATATGGTATGCTATCACAATGGTAGTAGGATCTTCTTTCGGCATCTGGGGTGTTGTCAAGGTGAGCTGATATACTCACCCGAAATTAAATTAATAATCTTGCATAGGAGAATATACGGAATCTGAAGCTTTTCAGATTAATGCACGCTATAGACGTTATACTATCATTCCTAGTTACATTCGTTGTGGGTCCAGTGGGGCTAACATCATCCATGAAGGATTTTGTCTGTGACTCGCCTACCAGACTTGAAAGTAACAATTGCTGGGAAATCTGGAAATCATCTGTTTATAGATTCATCGGATTGATGCTCATCATTATCATTTTTAAGGTATGTTACGAGTTATGGTATTTAAACGTGACTAAAGCTGGCAAAGATCTATTTACTTGCATCTACACACATCTATATTAGGCAATGTCAATTAAAGCAACGCAAATTGAGACCTAGACCTTCAATCGTATTAGTTCCACCACCACCTTCATCAAACACTAGACAACTAACTGGCTACATTGTGGCTTCACCAACTACAACCAAACATAAGAAATCTCACTCAATCAGACAAGCCAGCGTTGATGTTAGCAATGGCGGTCCAATAGCTCTAGCAATAAGGCCGGATGAAGGTCTTTTACCTCATGAACGTAGCTACTCAGATGAAGTTGAGCTTTAAATGAGCATACAGTATTATTCATATTAACTATACAAGCCTAGCTACTGGCTTCTCTCCTTTCCCTCGCAAACATTCTGTATATCAATCATACGATGTCAATTATCACGAAAGAGATTAAGGAATCTCGTAAGACATCCATCATTCACTACACTCCTCAATTATTCAACTTGCTTACTACAATTTACTGCTTATTATTGTTATTCTACGCTGTTGTATTCACAATATATTCTATTAGTTAAGAATAATTCGATGAAATGGAGTTGTGTTGAAATGTTGTTCAGCAATTACATATTGTTGGTAGATGCTGAAATAGTACGCTTGAATGTATGTATTACCTTTTGTTTACTCATTTGAGAATAGTTTACTGTGAAATGTGTGATGCCATAAGTATAGCAGCACTGTATTCGAGCATTATGCAAGAGGTTGTGAGGATGAGAGCATCATCGTATGGTTACACATGCACACTCCAGCTTCTAAATATTACCTATATAGACAAAAAGCACACATTTTAGAAGTGATTATGTCATTATTCTTTTGACATCGAGAATGTCATAATGGATGATATCTTGAGTTCTCCCACACCATTTATTTAAATTTATAGCTAAAAAATTAGTGGGTCTTTGTAGGAAGTGCCATAATGAGCGACTAGCCTAGCGGATATGATGATGTATCTGTAGATAAATGGTTCATCGTGACGCTATAGTTACATATCAGACACTTAGACACTAGTTGTTATTTCTAGAGAATGCAAACTACACAAACGCCTACATGCCATTCCTTGCTTGCGCTACACATCGAATTATTAACCTTCAGATCTGAATATCTCTGAGTATCAAAAGATTCTTGAAGCCGCAGAAGACCGTGCTAATATTCTAACGTTAATATAATAAGATTTTGATTCCTAAGACGACACGATCTCGTAATATTGCGTCTCAATTGCAGAACGTGTTTTGTTTGTTCATTTACAGATCTACGTTTAGAGCTATATTGTGTACCTCATTGTGCAAAAACAACATAATTGGTAAGCTTAAGATTATGAATATATAGATAGATTAAAGGTGTGTACTACAATGTAAAATTAGTGCGAAATACCTGAAAAATTATGCTTCCCGCAAAAATGAGATATGAGAGTGATAGTAAATATGCAGAAAAATTGTCCCCTTGTGTTGCTGTGCAACTAAAAAATAGATTCTAATATGCGCTAGACATTTTGTAAGGACGTTCTTCGATCTATTTCAAGGTTGGGCCCATCTAATTCCTTATTCTTCAAAACTAGACGTTCCTCCTCCTGGCGTCTGGCGATTTCCTGCGCGAATTTAGACCGCAACCTGAGGCGCTTTCCAAAGAAGAAGAGTACGATTGGTACGCTAGCGAATAATACAGCTAGCAAGCTGATAAGTAGACCTGCATAGACAAAACCCATTCCGTCGTACCACTGTTTGATGACGAGGATAACGATAGCACCAGTGAGATTACGTACCAAAGCTATAGCAGCTAACGCACTTGAAGCATTCGCCTGATAACAGTCCGCTAGATACGACATTGATGACAGATATATACTGAACATTCCCATGAGAATGATAGTGAGACCTATACAAGGTCCAATCCAATGAACGTGTGAGTACAATGTGAATGCGTATATAAATGCACCTATGCCCAGTCAGTTCGGTTAATCAATTAAAATGGAGTACACTCACCAATTGGGAAGATCAAACCAGACGCCATAGCTCCACCGAGCCTACACTCAACAGGGCGATTGTATTTAAATCTAATCTGTGTTAGATGGGCGTTTTAGTATATGCGCTACTTACTTCTCGAAGAAGAATTTCTCCTGGAAGAAATAGTTGAAGAGGAAGCCAAAGATGCTACCGACAGCAATAGAAGCATAGACAAATCCAACAGTACCCTGATTCATGCCATAATTGTCGCTGTAGAGCGTCAGGAAGACGTGCGTAATAGATGCGATGAAGGAATAGAAGATTGCCCAAGCATAACCGATAAAGGCTGAGAAACCTATGACAATAGGTTCTTGAACTAAATAAGTGAGTGGTCTGAGTAAACTATCATGTAAAAGCTCCTTCTTGGTCGGCTTATAAACTTCTGCATGCGCACGTATGGTTTGATCGCCGGTCAATTTGCGTATCTTACGTGCTTTCTTCTTCATAATAACATTTAAGCGTGTCTCTTTTACGAAGAATATCATTACAATGCCCCACGCGGCTGTGACTAGACATTGAATTAATTGAACCCATCTCCAGCCACCCTGGCCATTGCTTCCCGCAATAGTCAGAGATGTACGCATAGGTACAAAAGAGTAGACCATTGGCGTCACACCTGTACTGAACATAGTCGATAAAGCGAACATCGACATGTAGATACCTCTCTCATGACTTGCATATAAATCCGAGATGGTTCCAGCAACCATAGTAGAACCAGACGAGGCAGCCAAGCCCTGTATAAGTCTAGATATAATGATACCGTTGATGCTGCTACATAGTCCGATGGGGAGGAACATAACAGTGTAAATCACGAATGTTATTCCGTACATCCAATTCCGACCGAGTTCTTCAGATGCTCCAGCAAAGAAGATGGGCGCAACTGCAAAACCTACGACGAAAGTCGCCAAGGCTGTAGTACCCAGTTGTTCTGTGGTGCCTAAATCCGAGACCATAGAATTCAAACCAACGGCGAATGAAGACGAAGCACCTGAAACTAAAATACAAAATCCTATAGTGGCCATCATGACTTTTAATTTCCGAGACTGTGGCCAACGCTGTGGGTCGTCTGCGTCGTCAATTTCAAGCCATTTGAACTGGTCTTTTTCCTCGGTTTCTTGTAAACCATTAATAGTACTGCTTCTACTAAATGCAGGACTATTAGTACTCCTCCCACTATCCATAATTGACTGTCTAAAAAAGCGCGAAATGATCGTTAAGGTAATCCGATTAGATAATCAGTGATAGTTTAAAATATTCCAACTCTGTTTAGGAAAATTGAAATATTTGCACTTTGATCTTTAATAGATCGGCTATTGTTACAAATTAAGCCTCTTGACTACTTAACTCGGGTAAATGAGTCATTCTAGTTTTATAATCATACAGGTCGGTTCAAAGATACCACGATCATCAACTCATGCCTAAAGAAGATGGCGACGTTATCTGGGTAACTTTAGAAGAGCACGAGAACCCTTACAAATGGTCAAAACCGTATGTTGCAAAATTTTTGCTTTCAATGAGTATTTTCTGATAAATTATAATATAGGAGGAAATATTTCACTACATTAGCGCTTTGCGGGTACGAATTCCCCTTTTACTTAGCTCTAGGACTTGATCTAACCCTTCCGATAGATTCTCATTCCTGGTCAGCGGGGCTTCAAGTGGTGCGATATTGACTTTGACAACTCCGATAAACTCTCTGACAAATGTTCAATCAGGTTATGCAGCTCCTGGCGCCGAATCTGATCTTGTTGACAAACTGAATACTTCCTCAACTTTATTTGAGCTCGGATTAGGGTGGGTTAGACAGGATCTTACGATAAACGAAATTAATAATATCTTAAAGTATCTACGTTATTGGGTGGGTTATTTCCGAGCTTCCGTTTGCCACAAGGCTGACCTTCCTTTTACAGATATGCATTAGGACCATTGTTTTTGGGTAAGTCAAGGCAGAGATCGTTGAAGCACTATCTGAGAAGCTCAAAGCACCTTTCTCTGAGATCGTGGGAAGATACAAAGTGAGTTACGAGTTATCGAAATGACGTTGTTAATGTTATGTAGGTATACGTCGTCAGTTACTTTGTTTTTATGTGCATGTTTATCACTATTTCCTTGTCACCAACTATAACGGGAGTTGTATTGGGTAGACTGATTAGTGGACTTGCTGCATCAACAGGTAAGGGCTTTTCATTAATGTTGGTACTCTTTTGACAAAGCTAGGATCAACACTGGTTGGAGGATCTATTGCCGATATTTTTGATGATGGAAGTAGGGGGATTCCTATGTCATTATTCTCAATGTCTGCTTTACAGGGGGTGAGAATTGTTCAAATGCTAGTCGACTTTGTCAACTTACATGTTTCAGGCTGGTATATTCCCGCTTTGTTTCTCATGGATGATGGACAAAGGCTTAGGTTACCAATGGATCGAGTACGTGGAACTCATTGCTGCTTTCATATGGTTCTTCTTCATTATTTTTATGGGAGAGACGCGTGGATCTGCGATCCTCAATAATAAGGCTAAAAAACTCCGTAAGAAAACTGGTGATTCGAGATACATCGCCAAGACTGAGTTGAATAAGCCAACTATTAGAGAATTAGTAACTGTCTCACTCACAAGACCACTCTGGATCTTGTGTACGGAACCAATAGTTATTTTCTTTAGTTTCTGGATGGGTTTCGCATGGTTTATTTTCTATTCTATCATCTCTTCAATTGGACACATCTTCCAAACGCAACGTGATTGGTCCGCAGGCTCGATTGGGTTGTTATATATCACATTCGTCCTGGGATTAGGACTTGGTGGTATCGCTAACTTCTTCTTGCAAGAGCGCATGTACCAGAAGAAAAAGACACCAGAGGCAAGACTGTATCTTGCTATGGTAGGTGGTGTTTGTCTACCAATAGGTTGTTTTATCTATGCCTGGACATCCTATCCACACGTCCATTGGATGGGTCAATGCGTTGGATTGACTATCATTTTGTTCGCTATTTACATCATCTACAATACTGCATTTGCCTACATGAGCGACGCCTATAGGTGAGTATATGGAGGCGTTGTATATTTAGGCTAATGACATCCACAGATTATACGCTTCCTCTGCCATTTCAGCACAGAATGTTTTCAGAAATATTCTTGGAGGAACAACACCACTACACATCACCAAGTGGTACAATGCAACGGGTTATAATTGGACGAGTTGCATCATCGCAATTATTGCGGCCGTTCTTGGTGTCGTTCCTTTCATCCTCTTTAAATACGGTGAAAAGATTCGTCAAAAGTCACAATTCAGCCAATCTATCTCTGCATACGAGGAGCAAGAAAGAACAATGCTTGGATTGGATGAAACCAGCTCGTTTGACAAACCTGCTAAACTTGAAACCTCATAGATTGCATGTATCATCATGATCCCTCAATGTATTTCTTTACATCCACGATATTGTTACAATAATATATTATAGATCTTCTCTTGCGATTGATCGTCTTGTTAAATGTATATTGAGGAGTACACGGGTTACAAGCTATAAGCGTATCTTTATTGGTATTGTTGATATTAGTTATGTTTCAATAACATGATTTTAAAGGTTTATTGAGTAACGTACAGTGACTATAACAGTTGGGAACAGCTATGTTACAATAGAGTTATAATCTGAGTAATCTACCAATTTTTTGTTTGTGATTTCCGGATTCATTATATGAGTAAGTTTGCTTTGAACAGCGATCATACAACTGAATGTCTCATTGATTAGACTCAGCCGATACAGCTCGAAGAACGGCATGTATAAGCACAAATGGTGAATGCTTAGAAAATGAACATTAATATATGTAAGGGCAGTGATATCTAATATTAGATAGCAGTCACTCGGCTACAACATCGTTATGCATGTCTTATACACATGTTTTAAGGCTTACAGTCCAATTATGATCTAAACCAGAGCAATTCATTTGAATTAAGCGAAGACTGTGTCCTGTTTTGTGTAGGTTGGGTGGATATGTTTTCATCGGGTTTTATCTTCCCGATTTGTGAGTATGTTCCATCCTAATTTATCAGGCAGACTAATAGAATATATGTACATTTATATAAACATTAACATTGTGTTCACATGCTTGCTAGATCGGCTCTTGTGTCGGTCCCACTATCATTCCCATGGGAAAGTCTAGCATATGACTGTCTTTACCGACTCCAGTGTTTGGCGTATGTTACTACATCAATAGTCATATATACTGTATTGAATGTATTACTGATTCAGAATTTAGTTGTGTTATTTCAATATCAAATCTTCATAGAATTCCGGAATCATCGCTTATAAATTCCGCTGTGACAAAAAATAACGGCAATTGAGTCAGGTATAGCATAATTTCAGAGATCTTCCATATTCACTATCAAAATTTAATTAAAAATTACTTCCTCACACGACCACCCAACTGGCACAAAGCCAAGCGTGTCCAGCAGTCAGACAACGGTGCACACGGTTGTTAACGGTAATACAAATGAGAAGGACAACGGATGTATAGAGTTCGTTAAAGTCGAAGAACAAGACGATCCCATGCAATGGCCGCGATGGAAGAAGATGAAAGTAGCGATAGCGACAGTTGGTTTCTCGGTATTCGTTAGTAGCGCGACATCTACATTTGCACAGGGTATCTATCAGATGGTTGATGATCTTGATACCTCGACAGAATTGGGGAATGTCGCTATGGGTATTTATGTAGTTGCTTTTGCCTTCCCTCCTATGCTTCTCGCTGGTTTGTCCGAAGAATATGGGCGTAACAAATTATATGGTATATCTTATCTACTTTATATGCTCTTCTTCCTGCCCGTCGCACTCTCACCTACTATTTATGGCGTCATTATTGCAAGACTTCTCCAGGGTTTTGCTGCTTCAACTGGGTCCACTATAACGGCTGGATCGATTAGTGATATGTATACAGGATATGAGCGTGGTATATGGATGTCAATTTTCGCAGCTAGTGCTCCATTCTCGACCGGTGTCGCTCCAGTTGCCTACTCGTATGTTCCACAGATGTATGAGATGCATTTCAAAGGGAGTAAAGGAGTTGGCGGTTGGCGGTGGATTCAAATTATCCAACTCCTCGTCGTAGCTGCATGGGGCATTGTCATGTTCGCCTGGGTACGAGAAACACGTCTGAATGTCATTATGAAAGCCAAAGCGAAAAGACTTAGGCAGGAGACTGGTAATAATAATCTCAGAGCAGAGTCTGAGGTGTACAAGTTGACGACAAAGGAGATGTTTCGCAAGAGTCTTTTCAGACCACTTAAATTCGTCGCTACTGAGCCGATTGTACAAGTTTTCAGTTTGTTCATAGGGTGAGGAAGCTCAAGTATTATGATAATATCATTTTCTGACCTTATTATAATGTAGCTTCGCATGGGCCGTCTTCTTCTCATTACAAGCGAGTATATCCCATGTTTTTCTCACTTTATATAGCGAGAATTACGGTATGAATCACGGATCAGTCGGATTTGTCTTTATAGCAATTATCATTGGTACAGTTTGCGGATTTACATTCAATTTCTACTTTCAGGAGAAATGGTTTTATCATAGATTTCAGAAAAGTGCATCGGTAGAGGCGCGTTTAGGATCAGCTATGATTTCTGGATTAATTTTCCCAATTGGAGCCTTCATATATGCATTCACTACGTACGATTTCGTACATTGGATCGCGCCATGTATTGCAATCGCGGTAATTATGATGGGTATATTCCCAATTTACTACTCATCAATGAACTACCTCAGTGATTGCTACATGACAAACGCATCTTCAGCGTTGGCTGCTATAGCGATGGTGCGTAACTTGACGGGTGGGTTAAACTTTCTCTAAAAGAAGTTTATAACATAACTGAAGGCGGTATTATACAATTTGTAATCACACAGTGGTTGGATGGGCTAGGAGATCGATTCCAGTACCCTTTATTGATGATTGCGGTCATGGCGACCGTCCTAGGTGGTATACCGATTGTTCTCTTCATCTGGGGAAAGCGTATACGTCAGAGATCAAAGTATGCATCTGTTTTGACTGATAAAGGGCTGAAGGAAGATGAAGTGATTGTACAGGAAAAGGTGCATCATGGTAGAAGGCTGTCTATTTCTCAAGCTTGATAGTCTAATTTTTGTAATATAATATAAATTATACATAATCTACAGACATAATCTATGGGCTAAGAAGTCAGATAATTAATATACATGATATGGTCGCTAACTAACTACTACACGATGCTCACTAAGTTCGATGATGGTAAGTCATTTCCTTGAAGACCTATTTTAGCTTAGCTGGGATGATAAATGTAACATCAATCAGTTCAAAGTAAATGATTTTCTTTCCTTTCAGAGGATAGAAATGAAATCTTGCACGAACCGAACAAACAAAAACCACGACAACGTTCTTATCAGATGAGCACCAATATTCGCATACTTTTAGAATCATATCATACACTTGTGATTGAGATAGTTATTAAGAGAAGCTCGATCTCCAGATAATTACAAAATGCTATTCAACTATGTATATTTTGTTCATATGAGTGGTTAGTACAGGTTCCAATCGAGGAAATAAGAAGGATAAAGTAATACATGGATAACATAATCCACAACTTTCGTATAAGACAATGTTAACATGTCATCGTCATCTTCTTCTGAACAAAAATTACTTGATAAGTTTAATAAAGTGACTGAAAGTACGATAAATAGCCGTTATTTTACTAGTATATTACAGCAATTAAAGAGAGAGTTGTATAATAAGAATTACATAGATGCATTCAACGAAGAAGAATTTTTGGAAGCGTATCTAGCGAGATATGTACCATCAAGGAGTATAATATATTATAGAATGTTCAAAGAAATGAATATAAAAGATAACGCTAAGATTATCAGTATTGGTGGTGGTGCAGGTTCAGAAATGGCTGGTTTACAACACTATCTAGAGGACAATGATATAAAAGGAGTTAAATTAGATATCTTGGATATTGGTAAATGGGATAGAGTTATAGATAAATTAGGAACTACGTTCAGGGAAAGTTTAGCTGTCGATTTTTACAATAAGGACGTTTTAAGCGACGAAATAGATTATACGGGCTATAATATGGTTACATTATTCTTCACAATTTCTGAATTACTCATACAATCAAAGAAAATGACGTTTAAGTTGCTCGACAATCTAAACAGCTGTCCAGTTGGTACTGAATTTGTCGTCATAGAGAGTTGCGCACTATCTAATGTTATGATAAACAACAAGGAATATTCAATAAAGTTCTTATTAGACTACAATTTGAATAAAAAATGGCAATTAATCAACTACACACCCTCGAGATGGTTTAGATTAGAGGAGGATTATAAATACCCTATTAAATTAGAGAATAGTAGATGTTTCATTTGTATTTATAAGAAGATTTCACCTTAATTTGATACTATCATGATGTCATTTCTAAATAACGCTAATAAAAACGAGAACGTTAGATTGAATATAAAAACTGTATTCTTGAGTTCAAACTATAGTCTGAGTGACCAAGATAAGAAGGATGTAGTCGGTAAATTTTACAAACTAAACAACCGGTATAGATTGAATGATAAGAGGGTTAAGGTACTGTTATTGGAACCGTTTAATAGAGGTGTTATAGATGAGAATACCAACGTTATCAATTTAGTATCAGATGACAGCGACGAGGAAGAGGACAACAGCGATGATGATATCGATATAGACATTTCGCAGGAGTTTATACAAAAGTCTATACTCGGTTCACCCTCTTTGAAATCTATAAGCGTCGATTTACACCCAGAAATAGCTACTTCTGCCCTCTCGACACATTCCCTACAAATTCGGACCAGCGATTTAACACATCTGCAATTATTCAATGGTGATTGGGTGAGTATTGGCATTTTTTTACCATAGTTTATTAATAGCTATAGGTAATCGCTCACCTATCACACTCTCCTCACTCTCCACGGTTAATTCAGGTCTTTTTATCCGAGCAGTATCTCCCTAAAAGCACAACACTGATATCTTCACAGTTGTTCTTCAACTTGAATAATGGTAGAAACACATCTGACGCTAAGATCACTCTGAACTCGTTAAGTAGTTCACCAATAATCCCAATTGCGTCATCTGCAACTATCGCTAGAATTTCCTCCCCCATTACGATAGATAAGACTTATCAGGAGAGGTTTCACAAGGCATTGCAGGATTATTTCAATTATTCAGCAAGATTGTACAGACGTGGTGATGTTTTCAGCGTCGATATCCCAGTCGAATCAGTAGATAAGCCCAGATTTGAGCAAGACGAGCAGCAGAACCTTCAAAAGTAAGTATTCTCCGTCATAGTGGTTTCTTTCTGATAAAGTCACACTAGCCATCCCCTTTTACGTTCTAAGAGGACCGCAAAAGTTTGGTTTAAAGTAACTCAACTGAGTGTTACCGCCACACAGAAGTCACCAATTGGCAATGGTGATCTGGGTGCTTGGATACTTCCCGGAGACACCGGAATGCTCACACTAGGCGTTCAACAATCCTACGTTCCAAGTATGTATCTAACACAATTTATTCCTTCCTTGCTGACATATACTTAGGAGACATTAATCAGCTATCCTCTAAAGCCTTCAAAACCATGAGAGAACTATTTGAATCTGCTCTCAAGTCTCACGACATGGGTCTAGATGTCCAACTGACTTTGATGACAATAGGGCAACGTGGATCTAGTAAAAGCAAGACTATAGAATCAACAGCGCATGCTCTAGGTCTACATTATTTGAAAGTAAATTGCTATGATGTAGCAGATGATAACGAATCTCAAGTAGAAGGATCTTTACAAGCTAGATTCGAAAAAGGAGCTGGATGCACACCTATTGTCTTACATTTCGAAGATGTCGATGCACTGTTTTCCAAAAATGAAGAGAGGAAGGGGTCTCGTGTCGCTACCGTATTCAAGGAATGTTTGAAGTACTTAAAAGAAATGTCAAACAAGACGGGTCTACCTGCGATTGTAACAGCTTCTACGACCGACTCAGATATCCTTCCTAGTGCATTTTCTGGTTGTTTCAAGCATGAAATCAGGTTTGAGGTGGGTTTATTTTTGAGTTTGTTAACAAGCTTAATTTCTTGAAGGCACCTGATAGAGCAGATCGCGAAGCCTATCTTGAGCATCTGCTAACGGATATGCAAGTAGCTAGCGATGTCTCTACAAAAGAGCTAGCTGAACATACAGCGTCGCTATTCCCAGCCGATATAGATAATGTGGTGTCACGCGCTCATATCAACGCATTGAAGCGCGCCTTGGACATGTCAAGGTGGGTTTGAGACGACTATGTAATCTATAGGCTGACGACAGCTGAAGAGATTATGTACTTGAAGATATCCTCAGTGCTGGTATAACAATATCAAGTAGAGATGTAGAGGATGCTCTGAAAAAATCGCGTGCAAATCACTCAACTAATATAGGTGCCCCATCCATACCAAACGTCAAATGGGATGATATTGGTGGTTTGAAAGATGTGAAAGCTGACATCTTGGATACTGTACAATTACCACTCGAACGACCAGAGTTGTTCGCTGGTGGACTCAAGAAAAGATCAGGTGGGTTGTCTTACTTTTCAGCTCGATAGTCTATTAACATAGTTAAAGGTGTTTTATTATTCGGTCCTCCAGGTACCGGTAAAACACTGTTAGCCAAAGCAGTAGCAACTGAGTGCTCACTCAATTTCTTCTCAGTAAAAGGACCAGAATTGTTGAATATGTAGGTGAAGTAATGTTTGATACCGTCAGCTAATTATTTCAAGGTATATTGGTGAATCTGAAGCAAATGTAAGAAGGATATTCCAAAAAGCAAGAGATGCGAGACCATGTGGTGAGTTTGCGTATCATTACTATTCTTTTGTTAATCCAAACAGTTATCTTCTTCGATGAGCTCGATTCTGTCGCCCCAAAACGTGGAAATCAAGGAGATTCCGGTGGTGTTATGGATAGGATAGTTTCTCAATTACTAGCAGAATTGGATGGAATGTCAGCTGGAAATTCTGATGTATTCGTTATAGGAGCCACGAACAGACCTGATTTATTAGATTCCGCTTTGTTACGTCCAGGAAGGTGTGTCTTCCTTCATTTGAGTAATAACCCACTTACAAAGTCTTAGGTTCGACAGGATGATTTATTTAGATGTACCTTCATCACATTCATCCCAGGCTGCTATCCTTGAAGCACTTACACGTAAATTTAAGCTGGAACCAGGGTTGGATTTGTTGAATGACGTTGCTGCTCACCTCCCCTTAAACCTCACTGGTGCAGATCTATACGCGTTATGCTCAGACGCTATGCTAAAAAGTATGACAAGAAAGGTTATGTCGATAGAGCGGAAGATAACATCAATAAATGAGTTGGATGATAAAGAATTCATTAAGCAATACGGAAGTCAACTGAGAAGGCCACTTATTCCGCAATACTACTTAGAATTTATGGCATCATCTGATGAGATCGACGTTGTTGTCTCAAAAGACGACTTCGATGAAGCTATGAATGATCTTTCACCTAGTGTTTCGCAAGCTGAAATGGAACATTACAGACAAGCACAAAGGAAATTCACGAATGTCAGTGAGAGCAAAGAATCAAAAGAGTCAGAAATACAAAAAGAACTAAAGAAGGACAAAGGAAAGGGCAAAGGCAAAGCCAGAGAATGAAGAAAAGAAATGTATATCAAAAAGCATGTAATATTAGGAAATACCCGATACATTTCTTAATAAATCATTATTTTGTTCGGAAACTTTGTCGATTATTACTTCTAAACACCAACACCAATGATCTCTTTCTAATCTTGATCTTGTTCTGATTTCGAACTTTTCGGCTTTTTTGTCTAAACTTTCTACTGACTTTTTTGATTTTGATCTACACCAGAGTATGAATGCCAATTCAGAAGGCTCGGATTCACATGCGATATAGCCATCATCGTAGAGTCTATCAGGAGCCTTAGCGGCTCTTTTCGAGGTCGTTCTATATCCTCTTGAAGGTTCAGTTCCTTCATCTTGGTTTGAGTTCACTAGAATCATATCATCTGATGTCAAAACAAAAGTATGATGCAAGGATATTGTCGACTTCTTTCTATTCAATATTTCATTGGCCTTTTTACTCTTTTTTGCTGGATTGAGAGGCGCGATATTCCAACGATGTAACATCCCATCAGCCGTTAAGATAAGTATATATTCGCTTGGAGTTGTTAATAAAGATATACAACTGTAAAATTGATGACGTACCTCCAAGTACCTCTAAAAGACTTTCTCATGAAGCATTTACCTATTTTCATGATTGGCTTTACGTTATTTAGTACTGTCCAATTCCACAAGTGAGACAATAACGGACCACCTGCATCTGGATCTTCAACTCTTGGTGTTTCGTCCTCGTCATTTGTCGTTGGTAAGACTGTCTGATTTAGTGCATTAGCTGTATTTGGTGCGCCTAATCCGCAATTCGATATCTCCATCAACAGACGTGCATCTTTCCTAGTTCGCTTGTTCCAATATAAACAAAGCTCTCCTAAACTTCTTATCCATTCGAAACATAGCGCAACTGAAGGTGCCTATTAAAACCCCACACATCAGTATTTTAAGTGTTTCACGATTTAAACTCACCTCAAACTTAGCAAAATGACCAGAAATTAACTCCAACTCAAATTGTCTCCTATGGTGCAACTCATGCTTTTCAGATTGAGATAAAGAAGCAAAAATCTCTTCACCACCCGTATCACCTTCTAATTTATTATCACGGTCTGGATGAACGTTGCCATTGAACAGCGTGTCATCTAAATATGCAGGATATTTATCTTTATGTTCTAATTTATGATCGTATACTCTTCTAATTGAAACTATGTGACGCATGTCAATAAATCCAACAGCTTCTCTAATTTGTTTACAACAGCGTAGCTTATCATTCTCACTATCGTGTGAAGGTTTTAAAGCAGCTGTTGAAGATTTCAATAGGAATATTAATGATTCGTGGGTACTCAAGTAAGTTTTGACCCTTTTTTGAGATATTAATGTTATTCTACTAAGATGACCTTCAACGGGTTTAGGTGGGTATATTGTATTATTGATATCGTATCTAATACTGGCATTCTCAAAAGCCATTCTTCGTACTTCGAGACGTGGAAACTGTTGAGTTTGCATCATACAGCATCCGACGAGTAATTCTTCAGATGTTGCTCGTTCGCTGAGCCATTCTAATCCAAACTTACCCCTGCGCCAACAGAGTGCTAGTTTAGTCTGAGAAGATTTCTCCGGTGTGATACCTCGAATGTCGATTTTAGTGATATAAGTGCGACATTTCCGCACAATTTCTTGAGCAGTAACTTTACCTTCAAGTGGAAAACGCATGTGAGCTCCTAAGTTTGGTAGTTTCACATCGAGTTCTTTCGGTAGACGTTTTGCGTTTTTGATTGTCCAGAGTGTCCACAACCAAGTCTTGGCAATAGATGTAGTCTTAAACTTGAGGAAGACTAAGTTTGTACCGGCCACCCGTCGGGGTATGTGATGTTTTGGTGGAGGTGAACGCATACATAGGGTGAAATCCGTGGCTGAGTACAAACTAATAGTTGTATCATCGGAGAGCATATCTAAGCTGTATTTCACATCTTTGCTTCTACGAAATGGGATTGAATGGTTGCTGTAGATGTCTACAACCTGGTTTTCACGGTAGATTGCGATAGATTCCTCCCACTTGTAGCACCTATCGAGGGTGAATTTGACGGATGCACGCTCGTCAAATAAATCCGGAAGATCCTCGCGCTTAGACCAGGCTAATCTACACAATACTCTGTCCTTGAGCGCTGTCGATGGCGACGATCTTTGAGTTGAAATCGAGGAGCTAGAAGATTGGGTAGATAGAACTGTATCAGGTGCATCTTCATATTCGTTACCGTTCAGTTGTTTTCTAGTTGGGTACTTGTGAATCTCTGCGTATGCGTTGAGACTCTCATTCGTCGTCATAGATTGACTTCAGGAAGCGATTGATTGTTTTTCTAATAATATCAAAGGAGAGAAAAAAAACACCATCTCTTAATAAACGCTTTTTCTATCGATTCCCTAGAAATTTCGGAATAACTTGATAGCCTATCAATCACTAGAAAACATAGAGTATGTAGACACTAGAGGTACACAATGTTTGTATTAATTACTTAAGCAATATAGAAACAATAAATAATATATAGTCGGTAATTTAGCTGCTGGTGTTACTATTATTGTTCAAATTAATCACTGTCATAGTATTATCATTATCATTAGTCGGTGAGAGACGTTTCTTGTTATGCATAAGTTGTGCGACCTGGTCATCATCATCTTCCTCCCGCTGCCTCTTCTCTGATAGCCTAACTTCCATATGTGTTAGCCTTTCTTCAGCCGGTGTACTCTCTTCATCTTTATCAACTACAGCCCGCGTTTCTACCGAATTCCGCTTTTGGTCTTCTTCGTCTTCATCATTGTAATCAACGAGTGATGTAGCTGTTGGTGTCGGTGCATTACTGAGTGAATGATGCGTCGTCTTATTAGTCGTATTACCACCAGGATCATCATTTATGTAATTCCGAGCTTCATCTTCATCATCCTTGTTGAAATAGTCGTCTTCAGCAGTTGCATCACTCGATTTGCGTTCTCTGAGGAACCCACCGGAGTTATTATCGACAATGGTGCTGGTAGATGCTTCTGGTTGGGCAGGTTCATTCAATTGTTCCCATCTTTCAAACAATTTTGTGAATACACCACCAATAAAAGTGTACTTCATTAGTTGCCGTACATCCTCTTCATGCTTCCCAACTAAGCTATTTATCATCACTCTATTGTTAATTCGCCTTATCGACTCAAATAAATCCAAGATAGAAGCGCTAATCAAGTTGTCTTTGCGACCTTCTCTCAATGCTACATCCAACATTGGTTTAAAGAGATCTTGGCGATCTAAATAACGGACCATGAATTCATTGTTCAAAGAGACGCATGCTCTCAAATATCGTAAAGCAGCTTTAAGGTTGTTAGAAAAGTATCTCTAGGACGTATGAACACACCTAATCTCAGATGCTTTTGTTTAACACGTAACAATTGTACTAATTTCTTAGATATAGGTGTTTGGAGTATAAAATACTGTGCTCTGAATTGATGATTCGTGACAAAGAACGACAACAGATCACAGAGTGACAATGCAATGGTTGATTGATTAAAGTCAAGTTGGGGAGGTGCTACATTTCCGTCAGATATTAGCAAGAATTGGAACATTAACTTACCTTCATTCAATGGTATATCAGGACTTTCAAGTAAAGGTTTGAAAAGGCTATTGATGCAAGTATCATAAAAGTAGCTTAAAAATTCGTCATTAGTAGGATCAAGTCGTGGCTTGGCAACCGTCCAAGCAGCTTCTGCAGCAGCATTAGGTGGTTCAAGTAACAATCTAATAGCTTCAGAAATTTGATTCTTATAACCCAAATCTCTACTACTATCTAAACTCAAACACATTTCTTGCATGAGTGTGAATGTTTCTTTCGATTTCTCTTTTGTTGAATTTGCTTCGGTGAGAATAAAGTGTCTGACTACGTTTGGTTCATTATCAATAATGATCATCAATATCTCTGATCCTATACTATGCAAAATAGGTTCAGGTCTTTTTATTGACCATTTGCAAACATCTAGTAAACTTCTATTGACTAATGCCTTATATAACTCCTGTCTGGTCTGCATTTGTATATTTTTACCCATCGTACAGAGATCCCTGAGGAATAATACAGCATCTTGACGCAATGTAGGTGGTTGATCAGGTGTGTCAGTTGAAGGATCATTGAAAATGCCGAACAACCTATCAAGGAAGTCGGTATCATTTTGTATATGCTTAATAATGTCAATTTGATTGTAATATACGAATGAGTTAAGTAATGTGAATGTAGTATCATCAGAAGTTCTTGCTAAAATGACGTCTTTGAGGTATAGTAAGCGGTATGTTTGATGTATTTTTGATTTCAAATTTTGGTCATGAATTGGTACTACCTCTTTATACCTTGATGTTGTCGTCAGATCTAAGCGGTAGGATGCTTTCAAAGTTGGATAATCGGGGTCGTATTCGAGTATACCGCACATTCCCAAGAAGATTTCATCGGAGAGGACGTATTCAAAAATAACGCTATCATTAGCTGACACTATTGACTTCATTAGTTAAAAGAGCAGTTAGAATGATAAACTTACATATATAATGCAAAATCGTCGAAAGCATATGTAATTCAGCCAAAGCCTCCAAGTCTTCAGCTTGATTGAAAACATGGATTAATTTTGCAATGTAATTATTATTTATCAACCAAGTAATCAACTTCTCTCTTCCCTGCATTGTTCTCGATAAGCAGTCTTTTATATTGACGTAAACCTCTTCCAAATTACCTAAATCTGGTGTATCTGGAGGGAGATTGAACTTCTGACTTGGTTGTTTCTGTCTTCGTTGGACTGGCGAATCAATTATATAGGGATAGTCATCTGTCTTCTGCACATGTCTTTGTACCTGAGAAATGAAATCCCACATTTCAAGACAACCATCAGCTTCTTGAAATGACAATGCACAATCTGTGCCATCAGATTCGGTCCATACTATTAGTGTGTCCTGTTGACGCGAGTAAATATCGGCTGGACTTATGAAATGGTTAAGTAGAATTTGGTCTTGATTATCCTCATTAGCGACTACTAACATTGCTTCATCGCGTTCTGAATCGTATATACCTGTACAAAAGCCTGTACCGTGATCAACCCAATCTTGTGTTGTCAACTTGTAGATTTTGACACGTCGAGCAGCATCAGTTGGTGGTGGACTAGAGCTTGGCTCCCTAGGAGATTCTTCATTTGGCTCATCGACGTGTTTCTCACTTTCTCCAAGTTGGTCACCATTTTGGGGAGGACTTCCTAAGCTCGCAGAAGGTGGACGATCTGGACTGTTACTACCTTCATTTAAATCTAAATTTGTAGATCTGTTACTCTCTCCTTCTGTTTCCTCCATCGCGTTTTGTGATTTAAGAAGATGGACGTCAATTTGAAAGGTGATACAAATACAAAAAAGAATAAATTAATTTAAATAAGCGTCTAGCTATACAGTTATTTCTATATCCACGCTCCCGACGTCATTATTTGCTCCATCTGGCTGCCAACCCGTAACTTTTACGTTTCTTCGCTGTGGTGATTGAACTTGAGGTGAAGGTACTGTTGGAGGTGCTAACGTAGGTGGCGTCTCGTATTTCCTTCGCTTTATTCCATCTTCTGGAGTCTGCGACAATTTTGATTGCACTGCCGGCTCGATTGCTCCAGGTACGAAACGGTACATATGCAAGACAATTACGCTAGCATCAATGATACCCGGTTCAAGCTCAAACTTGACAACTTGCGTTAAATTCTTAACAGTTTTATTGACATCCACGAATAAATTCGTTCCTATATCTCCTAATTAACGAACATTAGAAAAATGACTCAACATGACAGAATACTTTACCTTCAAGTTGAATTATCACCGGTAGGTATTGAAATACCCTTCCAAACTTCAATGAACAGCATGGACAATTAAATTTCTGACCTGAAATTTTCTCCAATTGTTGAGCACCACCAACACACTCAACATGGAACCAATTCTTACATCTATCGCAACCAATAACCATTGTACTCATTTGATTTTGTCTATCTTGAAATTTCTGACAAATGCAATGTTTTACCACTCCTTTGTCATCTGCCGTGTTCAGTATTGGTGGATCTTCGCGAAAGAGGAATTTCGGTCTACGTGTTCTACCGGTAAGGCCATTAGAAGTGCTTCCAGACTCATCATCAAGTGGAATATTTATATCGGACTTCCTCTTCTTATCAGAGTTTGATAACTTTTGTATTTTTTCAGTTATCATTTGAGGATCGAAACCATCGAATGCGATACCAACTCCTATGAGAGTTAATGCAGTATTGCGCAAGGTTGACAAATTATCAGAAACCACTAATTTGTAAAGATCACTATTGAAACTGTTACATTTGTCAATCATCGCCTTTGTTTCAAGGACTTGTTTAGTGCGGATTTTTAGTTTCTCACTATGTCCTTCAAACATCTGCTTCTTTATGCTTGCAAGCTCCTTAAAATTTGGCAAATCAGTTATATCTGGTAATTTACCTTGAGGTTTGCAGAGGAGGCATTCAAAGTAGTCATCTTGGATACCCGAGTGATCATATGGGAGACAGCCATGATGGAATGAAGTACCACATGTTCTGCAATCAAGAACATCTACACCTGTATCTTTCTCGACTCTGCATAAGCACATACGTTCAATGTCGTCATTTACGATACGCTCTTGAACACGTCGATGGAGCTGTCATTTGTTAAAGAGATTAATCGCATAGATCGGATTACCCACTCTTTTCGTAAGGAATTGCGCCTGTTTTTCCAACTTCAACATATCAAAGTTAACAAGATCAATTTTGAGAGCATCAACCATCTTCTTGATAAATGTCTCATAATGCTTGATAAGTATATCGAAATTTTTGTAATTCTTTACTTTAAATCTATATGTCTTGACAAATTCCAATTCCCTTTTGGCTTCAGAAAGGAAGTAACCATCTTTGCTAAGCGTATCATTGTGATTATCTAAGACATGCTTAACGTTTTCAGTAAAGTTCATCAATCTGTGGAAATCCTTCACTAGATTCTGATCTTTAACAGAAACCTCATCTAGTAGTTGTTGAACTTGCTCAGGTGTGATAGCGACATGAGAACACAATTTGAGAGCTTTAGAACGCCAATCGAAACCTTCATCCTTCTTATCATGAAGTAAGGCCAAAGCCCAATGATCGCGATCTCGTATGTGAAGTGTTTCAGCTTCTTGAAGAAGTCCATCAACTTCTTGCGTATATTTGAGACCATTTATTGTTGAATTATTTACGGCACTCATCCATTTAAATTTACGCTTTAAGTGGTATAACGGAACACTTTCTTTGATTCCTCTCACATTCGTGTCTTTCAATATATCCAAAACATTCTGATATTCGACTTTATTGTTCTCATCAATTGTACTGTCGAGATTATACTTTGAAGAAACTACCATGGCCCAATCTAAGATACTTTTAAGCTTCTCAAGTTGTATCACATGTGGGAAATACTTTCTGACATCGAGTCGACTACGAACAGGTGAAGTTAAAAGATTGATCAAAGTACCATAATTATTTAATCGATTTGGTAATGGATCTATAGAATCTATTATCGTTCCCTGGGTATCATTCCAATCGATCCAAAATTTATTAGCTCGATCAATCCACGATTCGATTGCCTTGATGAATGATTTCAGACGTGAATATTCATGAACTCTATGTGGAATCCCAACAGACTTCTTGAGGTGCTCTTTCAGATCAGTCAAATCAACCGACTTTGTTTGATTCGCATCGAGCAAGATTCTAGCTTTATTAATCCATTCTGCATTCTTTTGTTCGTGATTAAGAACCGCATTTCTGAAACCGTCTAATTCAGAGTCGCTATATCTGATCCTCATTGCTCTATTATGAGGTGCTGAATTCTCCATAAATTGTTTAAAATGCCTATGACAATAGATCTTTTTGGTACCTCTATCATATAATTGTGAAAGATACGTATAAGCTCTACAATTGGAGCACTGATAATCATCTTCATCGACATACTTTGTCACACTTTCGATATCTCCCTGAGTAACGCTACTAAACTGCTTACGGTGTTCCACTTCATCCTTAACCATATCCAAAATTGCGTCTTTCAAATAAACCCAGAGCGAATCATCGAAACCTTTGTTAATGATTGTGACAAGTAATTCATCGTGCGAGAAAATTGGGTTACGCTTTAATGACCTATACTTCTCCACACAAGCTCTACCTTCAGGAATCCAATCCGGAAGAGCGAAGTTGACAGCTTCATTGAAGTTGAAACCATGGTTGAAACCACAATGGAATGCTCTTGGGAATGTGATAACGAATTCATTTGGTCGCTGATCACAGGCGTATATTGGGACGCCTGCATCTTTTAGTTGACCAGGATTACCTAGAGTGACTAATTGAAGCAACAAATCTGGTTGTTGACTAAATAATTCTGGTGCACTCTTCCTCATTGCGTCTTCAAACTTCTCGTGATCTTTACCTGGAACACCATACCAAGTTTTAGTCTCTCCCCAATGCATGTAGTTAACAGAGTAGGTGTAGTGGTCTTCGTTATGCCAGCAAAACGTCGAGAACATCATACCAACGTAAATCCAGGGTACAGTCATACCACTAACATCATTCTTGATGTAGCTTAAAACTGAGCCATCATATCCAGGCATATTAGCGAGATTCCATCCACTAGTTGCGTATTTACTATCAGGGTGTGTCTTCGGTGTTGGGAAAGCACTACCAGTTTCAGTGGTATGAATATCTGCACCATATTCAGTCTCGACGATCTCATCTTGAGAGTCAACGAGCCTCCAGAACTCCTTCTCAATGTCATCTTCAGAGACAATCTTATTTCCAAGTTTCTGTTCAACACCATTTGGTGCGACTCGTCCTTTGGTCTTTGGTGGATGTGTTTCGAACCACAGTTTCCTGAAATCCTCGTCCCTAGCCTGGAAACTAGCCAAGGAGTGGTCTTCACCTTCATCGAAACCGTATTCACCACTACCGTATAGGCAAGCATCACAGAACCAATCTTGAACGTCAGGCCTTTTAAGAAGGGGATATATAAGACAATCAAGATGGAAATGATTCTCGCATTCTGCGCATTGAACAACGCGATCTGGAGTGTCGAATTGTTTACAGTTAGAGCATTCAATGGAAGAGCCATTCAGTTCAGCCTTTATAACTGGTTGATCTATAGGTGGTGGACTTGAAGACATAGCTAGTCTTCTAGGTAAAGCGTTTCCGAGTCCTTCTTCAAGCTTTACATCTTCCATTACCTGATCTCCACCGTTATTTGTCTCACCATTGAGTCTATACTTTATTGTGTCACTATCATCAAAGCTCATATTTATCTCTTCTGTCTTCTTGCTCTCTAGGCGTTCTTTGAATATTGACACGAATGTCTCATACGGTTGTATGTAATCTTCGTATGCTTCTTTAAAAGCCATAGAAATGAACCTTGGTTTAGACTTTACAAAACCTTGTTCTCTTGCGACGGACAACCAATTATTTGTTCTTTCTATCTGAATTGTTGAGTTAGTAATTGAAAAACCTAATCAAAGAATAACCTACGTGGTCATAACCGCCCAATCTAGCAACATCCGCTTTCAATGCATAAATATCAATTGGTTTGCGTTCAATGTGTGGATTTGACGATAAAAACGAACCATTTTGGTTATGGAATCTGAGTAACTGCCTGCAATAATTCGTTTTGACGCGTGAAGCAGCTGTAACAGTATTTAATCTCTGTAATCTACTTCTAAACCTAAAATTCTAAATCAAGTTTATTAGTAAAGTCACGATAAACGAAATCGTCGACATACTCTACTATCGATTGAAAATTCAGGTCTCCAATTAGCTGGTGGTACAATTTTACAAATACCAAAATTGGTTGCGTTGTAATCATCTGATAGATGCTCCATATACTCGAATGGGTTCAAATTCCACTCTTCTTCAGTTGGATAAAAGACTGGACAGTGAGGTAAATTAAACATTCGTTTTTTAGTCCTCTCTGGTGGGTTTATAGGAGCGTTTATTCTGACTTTCGATAGATTGAGTTTATCAGATTTTGGTACTGGGATGGCGGATTTACCAATTGTAGCCGAATTAACAGTTGTCGTATAAGGAATTGGATCACCATTATCATCGTATTCTATTGGTAATGCACCTTTAGCCTCAATTGATGTAGTTTTGAAGACGTTTTGTTCTAATGATGTACCACTATCAAATGAGTATCTACGCCTGTGCATAGCAGACGGTCTAGACGATCTCCTCGGCCGCTGCATCTGAGGAGCAGTCTTCGGTTTCATCAGATGTGCAGAATGTTAATAGATGATGATTGTTTGGTGAAAAGTGAATATGAGGAGAAATTTTTGATCAAATTAGACTTTAAGTACAAGCGGTAAATGTGGTGCACCATCTTCATCAAATTCATCACCAAAAACTTCAAATCCGTATCTAATGACGTTTTAGAGTGTAAATTTTATAGGAACCAGACGTACTTTTGGTATAAACCGACAACAGGGATTTGTGAATGACAAAGTATTTCTTTGTAACCGCGCTCTTTGGCTTTATCTATCAAAGCCTTAATTAAATGTCCGCCTAGTTTTAGATTCCCTATGTTATGACTCAGTGTGAGCTACACTCGGACAGTAAGAAACTAACGATATTCCTTCAATACAGCCAATCTAGTGAGTTTACCTTTACCTGATTTCTCTACCAATCTGATAGTGCCAGCTGGTTTATTCTCTACGAATATTACGATATGCTCAGCAGTTGGCTCGTTTCTGATAACATTAAGGTATATTATACTCTTTATAACACTCCTTACTCATCCAGTTCGTCCTCAAATCCCTGCTCTTTGGTAAACACTGGAATTCATTAGTTGATGTCTTCTGTACAGCATACCACAAAACCTTCTATACGAATATTCTTACAAACTTCATACAATTCATTCTTATCACCAAACTCAGACTTTATAACAATCGTCATCGTGACACTTAATCAAAATGCTATTACATCAAATCATTCACAAATCAAAAAAATTCATTTCTTATTTTCTTCATATCTCTCTTTTGCAGTAACACGGGCATTCTCGACGTACCCTCTGCTAGCATAACCAAGATCCTTGCCTTTCGAAGCACCTAAACCAGCTTTACCCTCATATATCAGACTCTCAACTGGATTGACGATTCCCTCATTACTGTTACCCAATCCAGCACCTTGACTCCATCCCATTTTCTCGAGCAAGTTTTTACCCTTATCTGGTGCTTCTTCTTCTGGTGTTGCAGTAGTTTCAGTGACTTGTTCGCTTCTTCTCTTCTTATTTGGCTGTGATCCTATTGGATTGTCTGGTTGGCCATACACTTCCCTCCGCTTGACTGCGCGGTCTGTGTATTTTGGAACCGATGAAGCTTTGCGTTCTCTTCCTAACTGACAAACTGTTTCATTCTTCAGATTATTCTATAGTCTTGTGAATATACTCCTTAATCTAAATAATCACAAACCTTATGTAAATCTGACTGTGTAGTATGTTTGCGAAGTACTTCAATAGTCTTGAATTGCCTTTGACATAGTAAACAAGCCATTTTGTTTGTATCTGAATAATCAAAATCATTCTTTTCGCTTTGTTGCGACGTCTCTCTGACTGGTGCCGCTGATGGTTTCTAGTAACACTTGTGAGCCAAAAATTTGGTTGCTATCATCAACATACCTCCACAACGGCACTCTGTGCCTGCATCTGCGCCTGCTCGGCAGGGTCAGCCATTGTTGTCCTTAACTCATCTTGTTTCTGATTCCAGAGGTTAATCTTCGAAGCAGTCTGAGGATAATTAGAAATGAAAAAGGCAGTAGGAACAACGTACCTTCCTATTCGCAGCCAATTGTGGTACATTCTTCTTGGACTTATCTTCAGATGTACTACAATGATTGAGCGGTATGTCACATCATCCAGACAACACTCACCTCGGATCAATACTGACAGGCTCATCATCGTCCGATTCATCTTGACCGAGGATAGAAATGTGCTTTGGCTTGCTAGTTGGGCCACTGGTATTCGCAGAATTTGAGGAGCTCGCCACTGGATTGCCAATACCGATTTTGATAGGGCCAGTTGAAGATTTGGACAAACCTTTAGGCTTCTTACTCTGGTCTGGTTTCGGAGGTGGACCTTGTGGTAGTATAAGTCCATGAAGTGCTCCTTTCGTGTTGGTGTCAACTTCTAAATAAGTTGTTAGCAAAATATATAGTCAATATAATACAGCACATACTTTGCTTCTTACGAACTTTCTGGGAAGCTTCTTGCCATCCCTCCTCACAGTCTATTACTGTTGGTTTACCAGTGCCATCCCAATAGCGGATGCCATCGTTATGACCTTTCGGTGCATCCAAACCAGTGAGACTCTGCTCAAGTGCGAAGGTACAGGCGATTAATTTATCTTGTATGCGGAACCCGGTAGGGTAAGCATCTGGTGAGAGCGTAACTGCAATGAAGGACTGTGCTGAGGGGATATTGGCGAACTCGACGAAACCAAAACCAAAACTAAGGTCACATTCCCTATCTCGAATGATTGCCACCCTCTTAGGCTTTGCGTTTGCCTGTTTAAGGGCGTATTCAACGTCATATTCAGTACTCTCCTGATCCAAACCTCTTATCAAAACGAGTTTGCATGGAACATTACCGATATCACGTGTACCGTCGTTGCGATTGTGGCCTGTCTTTCGATACTCATTCGCTTGTGCAGAGGCACTAAAGTCGATCTTCTGTCTCAACTCTGAACCTGGGAGTTGGAAAGTGGGAAAGCGTGGTTTAACGAAAGCGGAGGCATGAGCGATTGAGGAGAACTTTGCGAAACCAAAACCTCTGCTGATGCCTAAGAATGTTAGACGATTACGGTGTAGGTAGGAGGGTAGTCACCAGTTCCTTTCTCTTTGATGATCGTCGTAGTTTCGACACTCCCGCCGAGGCTCTCGAGCGCTTGCTTTAACTGTATGGGGTGGTAGTCAGCCACTGATAGCAAAAAAGCGTTAATTTAGCAATCGCACGTCTTCTTCTGTCCAAAAGTCCTCAAAGCCGAGGATGATGACGTGATCATTCTCTGGGCTGAGCTTCAGGGGTTCTTCCCTGTAGTTAGGTCCACGATAGCGAGGGTTATGGCTGGGTACGCCTGAGCTGTAGTTCGGTTTCCTAGAAGGAGGCTGTTGGTAGCTGTCTGACTGGCTATCCTAATGCAACGTTTAGAATGTCAAGTATATTTTATATTTTTATATTATTTACGTAATAAACGCCGTTATAATAATTATTGTAGCTCATAGTTGAACAGAAAGCTTCAAGTTGAACTTTGAAGAATAAAAATAAAAAATGGGAGGACACGGAGATTTCCACACAGTAAAGGTTAGTAGTCGTCAGTAGGATCTTCAGTAAATTGACTAAAGCCGCCAGCTTGACCCTGCAGTCGAAAGATGGAATTATATGGTGAGTGATTCGCTGATAGACCTACAATTCTAACCCTGCCCAGAGGGAGCACACTTATCACCACTTTAAAATGACCAGACCAATCGCTAACAAGATCCTCGCTTTCGGTTTGGTCATCCCTGCCGGTATCTTCGCTATAGCACAATACACAGACGTGAGTCGAGCAGCTTCTAGAGTACAGTTCATTTATGAAATAACAGGAGAGGTGGAATTTCGCAGGCGCTAGAAAGAATGAATTGACCACCCAGAGAGGTACATTCATCAACACTAAACCTGCAGAGGCTGAGGACGACGAATAAACTGTATATTCTAATCAATTTGTTTGCTCTAACTGTTGCTGTTGCCACATTTTGAAGTATGTTCCTCCCTTTCTCATCAAGAAGTCGTGATTTCCTTCTTCGTCGACATATCCATCCCGTAAGACGATAATGTGGTCTGGTATCTTTTTAGAACTTAATGCAGGCTTAAACACGCCACTCACCTGAATCTGAGACCGTTCTCAGTCTATGAGCCACAAAGACACTCGTGCGAGGGCTATCAGCAAGCGCTTCTTGGATGTTATTCAACAACTCCCTCTCAGTCTCTGTATCTAAGGATGATGTTGCCTCATCAAAGAAAAGGATCGGCGCGTCCTTCAAAAATACCCTCGCTATCGCCAATCTTTGTTTCTCACCTCCACTAATCATCAATCCTCTCTCACCAACACTAGTACTCCATCCTTCAGGTAAACTTTCTATGAGCTTTATCATCTGTGCTTTCCTAGCTGCCTCTTTCACTTCCTCATCTGTCGCGTCTAATCTACCATAGCGGACATTGTGCATAACATCAGAGTGGAATAACGGAGTATCTTGTGGAACGACACCAATAATCTTTCGAAGGCTTTCCAAATCGACTTGATCGATTGGCTGTCCATCTATCGTAATTCTACCAGATGTAGGTTCATAGAATCTGAATAACAGTCTGAACACTGTCGATTTACCACCACCTGATGGTCCAACAATAGCTACTTTCTTACCAGCTGGTATATTGAATGAAACATCTTTGAAGATTGGGCGACTGGGATATACGTGAGTAACCTTACAATTATTTATAACAACTCACATTGGATGGTAACCAAATTGAACGTTTTCGAATCTGATGTTACCGCCTTTAAAGTCGATTGGTGGTGCTTTCTCTTTTGACTAATATCTGTTAGCTTCAGAAGTCAATTCATAAAGATACTCACTTTGACATTAACATTGACAGATTGCAAATTGAACAAGGTTTCCATGTCTGTCAAGCTTTGTCTCAACTCGCGATATACAGTACCCAAGAAATTGAGTGGAACACTCAATTGGAAGAGAAGCTGGTTGACGAGGACCAAGTCACCGATGGTCATTGTGCCTGTAGGATTGTCAGATGAGCTATGGTCTTTATCTAACACCCACCAGCAAGTACATTCTGGGCAGTAAGCACCATCATAGCAGTAAGAGCAGTTGAGAAAATGAAATTCTGTCCACTGTTGAGATAAGCGAGTGATGTTGCAACTTTAAGAGAAGCATCTTCATATTTCTTAAGCGTACCATCGTATAATTTAGCTTGGTAAGCTTCGTTGTTGAAATGCTTGTATTTACTGTTAGAATGGGCGATTCCTAATGATAAGAAAAACACACCTTGACAGCCTCATAATTGAGTAGAGAGTCAATAGCGACGGTTGCACCAGCATTATCAGCTGCATTTGCTTCTTTGCGGAAGCGGGTACGCCAGGAGGTCGTCCGAATAGTGAACCAACTGTATGCGAGCATAGTTGCTAGAGTAATTCCAGCGAAGCTCGGTCCAAATTTATAAGACTGGTACCGTCAGCTGGATCGAGAAGTCGAAAATCTAACCCACAAGAATACCACAAACGAACGAAATCTCCAGAGCGGTAGGAACGATATGAAAAACAATAGACGTGAGCAAGAATGAAATACCCCTATTGGATAAATCAGCACAGGTATTCAAAAGCACGAGATAACGTACTTTGTACCTCTATCGATCGCTCTCGTCAACCCACCAGTCTGTCTACTGAGATGGAAGCCAAGATCCAGATTGAGGAGATGTCTAAATACATTACCAGATACTCTACGTATAGCCCTTTGTGCTACATTTGCGAATATCGCATTACGAAGTTCACCGAAAGTTGTTGAACCAATCCTAGCTAAACCATAGCCAGTGATAGCTGCACCAGCAACAGTCCATACTGTCATGCTCGGATCTACCGGTATGTTCAAACTATCCACTATACTTTTGAAGAAGAATGGCACTTGGACATTCAGAACTTTACCAGAGACTAGAAGTGCGAGTGCTATACTAACTCTGAACTTCGTCTTGTTGTCTCCTTTAGGCCAGACGTTCTTAATAAGCAGTTTGATTATATTCCAATCCATTTGTCGCTGTTGCTTAGTTGTGACCTCATTAGACGGTTTATTGAGTTCTGTTTTGTTCTTGAAATCCTCTGGCTTGCTTGCACCGTTAGACATATCTGAATGCAGGCGTATGTGCTGCCATTTCCCTAGTGTCTCAATCCGAAGGTGCGATTGCGTTCTAATGGCTGGCCGTAGCCCAAAGCAGGACTATAAGTAGATTAGCAAAAGACCTGTCTACTAGTATTCCACCTACTCTAGCCACGATCCTGGTCGAAATCATGACTGTTCCTTTTCAAAGAGTTCCTCAGTCATCATTACGCAATCCAATCAGATTTCAATCTCTATAAAATAGTTTATTTACAATATTCTACCAAATTTGACGACAGAGTGGACAAGTAGATGACTGTTTCTTTGTTAGTTTCGCTAGTTTATGACGATATAAACCTACCGTAGAAGACTGGAACCAAGTGTACAAACAAGCGCCATGGAATTTATTGCTACAGACTTTGCACTTCTTCGATGGAAGCGTACGGTCTGACGTTTGCACAATCCTGTCATATTGTCAGCCATGCCTGCCTTCTCTTATAAATATACACCCACGAATAGCAAATAGCACACTCGGTGACACCATCGAAATGTAAGCTTACATTCCTCTTGAACAAGTTCAAAGCTTCGAGTAATGGGCCTGACTGCGTTCCTATGACTTGTTGGACAGCCAACAACCATGCTCTCCATTGACGCTCATTAACACCCACTCTTCTGATATTCCTTATCTCAACTGGTTCGAGCGGGAATAGCTGTGGCAGTTTAATACCAATCTCCATAGACTGCTCGTCCACAATGTAGGTAGCCGTGACTTCACTAGAATTTTGAGCAACTTTGATACTAAACGCCTCATTCTGGAGTTCCTTGAGTGATGATGGATTACGAAGTTGCTTGAGTTCATCCTGTATAATTTGTGGACTGAAGTACTTGGCGGTAGCTCCATTGACAATCATAGAAAGCTGTCTGTTTTGATTAGACGTCCACCAGGCTCTGACATGACCAGAGCTATACTTCAAAGATTTGTAGTAAATAAATGCAGCAAATACAGCCGTTGGGATATACTCATCATCTTCATAATACTGCACATAAAACTCGTCAATTTGGTATGCTGATAAATCAACCGCCTTATTCTTATCAAATAGGCCCATAATTGTGAATATCAATGGTAGGAATGTATTTCCTATCACACCTGATTGACGGAACTGCTCGTTATACTTGCTGCGAAGTGCATCCGAAGCATGATGGAAATGTTGGAAAGTGATATCCCAAAGTAATAGCAAAGCAAATGCATGTCTTCTAGCCACCCCGTCGTTGCGAATATCATCAATAGAGTAAGTGATCTTTTCACCAATTTTATCCGTAATGATGTTTGGAAGTCTACCTTCCTCACCATTGTCAACCGCGCTCTCAATGACGGTCTTTTCTACCTGTGCCTTTACTAATCTGTACAGCAACCTGTGAGCTACCTTTCTAACTTCAATTGAGTAGCTATTGAGCATATTGATCATTGGTTCGAAGCTCTCATCCGATATGAGATCCTTTGGTAAAGCTTGGACAAGCTTGAGAACGAGATCTTCACATACATTACGTGGTCTTGTCGATACAGTGCTGGCATCTTCACCCAGACTCAAAAAGAGTGTGCGGAGATGTTCAAATGCGACAGATCGTCTATCTTTCCAAATATGACTCAATGTCGAGTTCGTCTTCGAGATGTACATCAACTGGTCGAACAGCCTGAGCGAATTATATAGTAAGACACTCTCATCGAGAGAAGCAATTTCTATGTTAGCTTCCACGAGATCGAAAACAAGATCCCAGTGAGATCCATCAATTTCTTGAACTACCGGTACTAAATGAATGAATAATTCCGCAAGTCTTCCATCAAGTTCTTCGTCAAGATCCTCGTCACTCATTACCCAGTCTCTGACACATTTTAACAAGAAAAGGGCTCTCTGTTGGGGAAGTAATCCTTCTTCAGCGTCAAGCGGTGGAGCTGAACTGATAAGTATTCTCAACAATGGAAGACCCTTCTCGGAAGCATCTGCAGCTGAAATACCGGTAAGTTGAGATGCAATCTCATTTTGTAATCTTGCTAAACGAGGTGAACTAATAGCATGACTTTTAACAGATAAAAGTAAAGCTCTCGTTCTGAACTCGCCGTTATCCTTTGTGTATTCATCACCAGCCATGCCGATCCACCTATCATTTTCAACATTTTCAACGCGTTTAAGTACACTTTGGAGAATATCCCTAAAGACTCTCAAACTACCTACTCTTCCATCATGATAGAGTGTTTGGAGGGCTACTGTGAGTGCGCCTTCCACATCACTACCGCTCCTGATAGCCTTAATTAATGATGTCTGATCAATAGCCGTGCCCAGCTTGTAGAGTGTGTAAGTTGAACTAGTCTTGAGCGATCCGGAAAGATTCTGCAACAAGGATTTCCCTACATCCTTTGAGAATGCTGAAGTACATCCAGTTATGCTAAGCTCATCTTCTACAACTCGCAGTGCACCAAAGATAATGATGAGTGCGTCGGCGTTATTGACAGCAATTGAAGTGTCCCGGGAGAAACAATTGAGTAACCCTTCGACATTTCTAATATAGCTTGAATATCCTCTGTTATCATAAGTTTCCCAATCGACTTCAGCATCTTCGTAATCAGAAGTGTGGGGAACTAATTCATCTAGAACAGCCAATGAAGAAGGCAACGGTTTGCTAAGCTGAACATCATGCTGCTCGTTGAGTGCACTAACAAGCCTGTTCGTGATACTATTATCCCCTTGCTGAATTTCAGCAAGGTTGTTGTAGTATGCTCCAAGTATAGTTTTAGGTCTATTCCTGTATCAGCCTGATTCACATAATCAACCTCGCACTTACTCTACTAAGACTTTCACATTGGATATAAGACCAACGACGAATTCCCTGACAGACGCAGTAATTTCAGTCGATGTCTTCAATTCCTCCCAGAGCTTCTTGGCAATACAATCGTCATTAACAATGTAAGCCTCCATGAAGATCTCCTTAGCGAGTTGACTAAGAACTGACATACTGGCGCATTCAATTGATGATACGCTCACTGATTTCTTTTCTACATCGCGATATAACTTTGCTTCTACGCTTCCTCTAAAGGCATTGACGTAGAGGCTTTCAAGTGACTGAGCCATAACCGGGCTGATGAACTTCTCGGTGGATTGCATGACGCCGTTGATGACACGCTTTTCAACACCATCTGCCTCACCTTCTATATCTCTATTTGCTAGTAGGAGGACCATCTCGTCTATACCTCCAATTGTTCCAGCGCCTTCCAAATCTTTGTCGCTAAGTTGCTGTCTTTCATCAGCATCGAGCAACTTTGAGACAGTCTCGAGAGAGGGCTCGGCGCTGAGGACTCCCTGCCAGGCTTGTTTGACTAGATCCTTATTATCGCGTTTAGCGATGTATGCAAGCAGAAGATCTATAACTTCAGAAGACTTTTCGCCGCTGACCAGAGTAGGTACGTTGACCAAGATAAAGTCATCCAATTGTGGTAAAATTGATTGAATAGTTGATATGCTATTGACGTTCTTCAAGGCAGTTTGCGTCACATCGATGACAGATTCATTGAGAGTGCCACTAATTGTCTTCTCTATCAAGGACGCGAGTTTTGTCTTATCCTGGCCCTCTGCTGTGTTGGTCATGAAACAGAGCACCTCAATCGACCTCCTCGCGTTACTGCTACCAAGCGTGTCCTCTTCAACTTCATCAATGGCCTGGTCGACAATATCTCCAATAGACTTCTTTAATTTGACCAGAGTGTTGAACAACAGCTCAGCAACACCGTCTGTTGCGATCAAATTAGCATCACGAGTAGGTGAAGTCACATATGCCTCCCAGATGCCCTTAAACCATTCGACTGCTACAGAGATCTTTTCGTCCTCAGACTCAACTACATTTACCACAATTGCGACTAAGCATTCACAGAAGGCCTTCAAGAGAGCATCAGCGTGTCTTGCCTGGAGTGAAGGTGGAGATGGGAACATGTTTGAGTAAAGAGGCGCTAAGAACGACACTAATAACCTCGACAAGCAGGTTCTACCTAAATATTGCTTTGGCATTGTCATTATAATTACGAGCATACTTGAATAAGCTATCTGAGGTGGACTCGATCTGCATCCAAGTTCAAGGTATGTGAGAAGATTGCTGACAGATTTCGGAATCTCATCTTCGTTCTCATCATTGCTTTCCTCCTCAATTGCTATTTCCCAAGAAGATGGGAAGCGGTGGAGGAAAGTGAGCAAACCGTCAAAGAGGACGGATCTGACAGTCGACTCGCCCTCTGTGAATGCGCTATTGACGATAGCCAAAGCGAATGCGTTCAGGTTATCTTCAACGAGTTTACCATTATCTCTTTTGAGAAGCGGTAAAAGGAGTGACCAGACAGCTCTTCTTACGACTTCCTCTCCCTCGTCAGCACGGAAACAATCAGTGATTGCGCCTGAATCGAGCAGATCTCTGACTAAACCATGCACGTCAAAGCTGATAGGAATGGTCATTATAAGCTGGCCAAGTGCGTTCAAACCAGCTGACTTTATCCTCGCCTCTTTCGATTTCGTACTTTCCTCCTGCTCTGCAAGAAGGTCCTTCTTTGTCTCGCTAGATGCACTACCAGGGAGCAAAAGCTGGGGAGAGCGGATAGCTGTGCTGATGTAATTAACAACCGGTTCAACTTGGTATTCCTCTAGTAGTTGAACGCGATCTTCTGACTCTCCCTCGAAAATAACGTTATTTAACCATGACTGTGGATTTGCGAGCAACCAGGCACCCAAAGCGGCTTCGTAATCTGACTCGCTAATCGTATAGAGGAAATTTGAGCGCACATCATCCAAGTCAGATGAGAGAAGTGCTAAATTTACACTCAGTGAGACCTGCCGGAGGCGTCTATTAGAGCCTAACAGCATATATGGCAGATGATGGAGCCATACTGGTAAAGCAACTATCAAAGACTGTCTTCCTCCTTCCCGACTGTCGACATCTAGGACCCAATGATAGAAATCCTCAACAGCACGCACTTTCGTGGTGGCATCTTTCTTGCTGAACTTCTTTAAAATGACTACCAACTCAGCTGGCAATACGCTTGCTAATCCCCAGGCTTCTAGTGGATCTGGAGCTGGACGAGGAGGTTTAGGTGGTGGAATGAAACGTTTTGGTGGTGGTGGCGGTTTCGCCTGTCCAATTCCATGCTTTTTGCTATACTTCTTCTTGTTGGAAGCTTGTTGCTTATTTTGTGGCTGAGTTTCGTCAGCTTTCTTTGTAGCGTGCTTTTTACGCGCTAGTAAGATATTAGATGATTTCTTGAAGCTTATACGAACTCACTCCCAGGTGTCGCTGACGACTTTGCGTTTCTGCCCATGGAAGTAGCGAACAATGATGTCAGATACTAACTTATAGGAATCTATAATATGATATACAAAAAAACCCCTTTATTAGTTCGTTTTGAGTGTCTTCATAAGTGCTTGTATACCATCCATACCAAATTCGTGCTTTGGGTAACAGATATAGAGTGGCTCATGCTTGACGTTGAATTTGCTACGGAAATCAGCTCTTCTGAATATTCCGGTCGATTTTAGTATTGATTTGTAAGTACCCGACAACCAGGACACTCTCATACCCTTTCTGAAAAATCTTCATCAGATGGTGTATAACGGAAGACCTTTACTCACAAATTGTGGACTGGCTCCATGTGATCACTAGCGCTTATTCCAAAGCTTACATGGTGTGCATCCTCCTTTTTGAGCGTCTCCAAGCACTCCACGATCAGTCTCTCTGACGTACCCTTTGGTGAGTCTGGGAATGCAGTACAGTTCTTTATTTGATATCCCTGGTCTTTGAGCAGACTGAGTATGAGGACGCCAACGATCTGTATTGTCAGTCAGCAATGACGTCAACAATCAACTTTATACTCACCTTATTTTCGATGTGGGCAATGAAGAATCTTCTGTGAACTGAATCCAGGAAAGGATCCATTGATGCGGTGGCTATTTGATCGCCCTTTCTGCCTTGCTTCCACTGCTCGACTCCCTCATTGATAGCATCCCGCTGTTCATCTGTTGGGTCACCGCTCAGTTCGTATACCTCCACTCCTGCTCTCTGTGATCTCCTAACATTCTGCTGGACATCCTTTACATCGAGGTTCGCTTCTGTGGGATTTATAATATCCTCATGCGTGCAGCTAAGACAGCTAAACTTGAATTCATCGTTTTCTAGTAAAGCTTCGAGATCCTCTGATATCTCACAAAAGACAGGTGTGCAGCTGTTCTCTTTGGCGAAATCAATAGTATGACGAATGAATTCACTATCCACAGTTAGAATGTACTATAGAGAATACAATACTCACATTGGTTCACCATTAATTACTATTGGGTCTCCCCAATAGAATTGGTATCCATCTAGTTGGATATACCCCTGTACATTGCCGTTTTTGATAAAAAGCGAATACCGCTCTTCTAACCAACTAGTAGCAGGCGAATACTTTTCATTGGTTGCGATAAGCTCAGCTAGTTTATCTTTTTCAATATTTCTGGTCATCGTCGTGTCCTTTTAAGGAAGTTGGAGTGCTTTTTGTTCGCCACGACCATCATCCATTGAATCATAGGATAGTAATGCGCCATCCACATTTAAAATACTCAGGTAGTATAGCCAGGATATTTTATTGTGCCTATGAAGTATCAATGGCGCTCCTTTTAATTCCTTTCTGGACTGTCTACTTCCTACGAAAATCTTCCCGGCCGAGGTCAAGTTGGACATTAACGCAGTCCGTCATGATAAAGTTCATACAGCGGATGCATAGGATGTCTGAGATTTCAAACCTCTCATTCCACGTCAAGGATCCTTTCAGCTGGGGACAACACGGAAAACACACAGCCTTTAAATTCGTTCCTACACTTCCACGCAATAAGCAAGTTGGAGTTTTAGATGTTGAAGGAACGGATGCACATAAAAGGGTGGGCACTTACATCTGGCCTCGCGACCGCTGCGATAAGGCGTATAACGACCGTGATGACGTAACACTCGAAGATGGTACCGAGCCATTAGTTGGTATAACCATACATGGAGGTGCATACGTCCATATGTCAGCCGAAGAAAAATGCTCTACGTCTATTATTCCTAAGAGATTAATGGAAAGCGGTTCATTCCTCGAAATACATTCAGTAGAATATCGCTTGATACATTACAGTGCCTTCCCAGGTGCATTGCTTGATGTTGCCAGTGTATTTGATAATCTCATCAATGAGAGAAAGGTACCTCCATCGAGAATTGTCATAGTTGGTGATTCAGCCGGTGGTAACCTTGCATTAGCTTTAGCCCGTTTCATAAGGGATGAAAGGCATGAGGATACTCCGGCGGGTTTACTTCTACTATCGCCTTGGTGCGATCCGTCCTTTAGTTTCCCATTTAATCCAACTACACAAAGAAGGCGTCCGAATGAAGGCATAGACTATTTAATGGATACACCTGTGCCACGAGCACTCATCATAGAATCCTTCATTGGATGCACATCTGGAACTGGTCAAGGTCAGTTCTCATAGTTCTTTCGTTCCTTATTAACAGACATTCCAGGTTGCCCAACATGTACTCAACAACAATCACACACTTTTATAAAAAGATCGCTTTTTAAGCAAAGAAAAAGGACTAGTCAACAACATAACTTATTGCCAGATCATATATCAGTTCACTCACCCTATATTAGCCCTGCATCGTTACACCTTAAAGATGAGGAAGACTTATTCGAAGATTTTCCTCCAACTTTTATAAGCTACGGTACAGCAGAACGTCTCGAAGACGAAATCAAAGTACTCATCGAACGTATGGAACGTAATAATGTTGACTTGACAACAAACGTTGCAGAAGATGGTGTACATGATCTTTTAATACTTGGATTCTGGAATGAACGTCAAAAAGATGCAATATGGAATGATATTTTTAATTGGTCGAGAGATCTTTCGCTTAAGTCTATACCATAATAAATCATGTATTCGTTTAGTTAATTTATGTTTTAAAATAAAACAGTTTTAGGCTACCACTGTTTTGTAATCAGATTTGAGGCGGTGTAAAGGAGCATGGTGGCTGTGTAAACCTTCAATACGACGGGTAGCATTCAAATTCTTTTGAACGGTGATTTGGAAGACCGATGAACCACCATTTCTAGCGATGATAACTGAAGATGCGAGGAAGAAAGTCCAGATTCTGAACCATCTTTCGCCATACTTCTCAAGGACCTTTTCTTTGTTAGATAACCAATTGTTGTACCATCTGAGGATAGTAACAGAGTAGTGGACACCAAGTACATCAATTGACTTTACTTCAAAGCCGGCATTTTCAAGTTGATTAATAACCCAACCAAGTGAACAAGAAGCATCAGCACCTGGGAAGATATGCTCATTCATGAAAAGACCCCAAATGAGATCCTCATATTGCCAATGTGGGCGAAGACCGGCTACTTGGAAGACCATAGTACCATCATCATCTAACAAGTTGTAGACTTCATTCAAAAAGGTAGAGTAACGACGAATACCGACATGTTCAGCCATTTCCAAGCAACTGATCTTGTTGAAGGTGTGCTTTGGAATTTCTCTGTAATCCTTATTCAATATTCTAGCCTGCTCTGATGAAATACCGTTCTTTGCGATTCTGTCATTACCGAATTTAGCCTGATTCTTCGAGAGTGTGATACCAGTAACATCAGTTTCGAAGTTTTTAGCGGCGAAAGCAGCTAAAGTACCCCAACCACATCCAATATCGAGCATTCTGTCGCCCTTTTTGAGGTCGAGCTTCTCACAAACCATACTGAGTTTGTTGTCTTGTAGTTCTTCGAGAGTTTCGGCGCGTGTAGTGTCACGTACCATACCACCTGTGTAAATCATTCGTGGACCCAAGAACCATTCGTAGAAATCGTCACCGCGATCGTAAACATCTTGAATTTGATCTTCATCTTGAGATTGTGAGTGGAAAAGAATATCAGGAATCATTTTAAAGACAACGTATTTGAATAGTTTAGGCGTGAAGTTGAAATTGGCCCAGTCGTGTCTGTATTCGAGAACATCAAGCATGTCACCTGTAATAGAATGAGAAAGGCATCTATTAGTTTACTACCAAACTCACCCTTAACATCAATCTTGCCTTCAAAGTAAGCGTCGTGGAATTGCTGGTAGTTTATCTTGTTATGACCGTGGAATTGTTGCTTAAGCTCAGGATCTTTGATGTCCAAGTATTCCTCAATTGGACGGCCTGGAAGTGCAACCTTCTCGTTCTTGCGTGGACCGTATGTCGACGCAGCTGTCCAATAGGCAATAGCAGTGAACGGACCAGTTAAAATGAGCAAAAAGACGTAAGTTTTAAAGCCAGTGTTGAAAAATGGAATAAAGCGCTTTAAAATGTATGGCACAGCCAAGATAAGCGCAACAAATTGCAACTAAGTGGGTATGAGAAGAGTATGTGATAAATGCTAGACTGACGTTGCTGAAGTATCCATTACCTTCTACGGGAAGGGGTGGATTAGCGTGTCCAGGAAAGCTACAAATTGTTAGCATTTTATGGTATTTTCGTAGCAATATCTCACTTTGTAGTGTTCACACCCGCAGGCTTCTCGAAACGAGATGGCGGTGGGTTGAGTAAATCAACTTGTGGAGCGCTTGTCTGCTCTACAGGCGCTACTTCTTCTTTTTCTATTGGCTCAGCCATAGATGATCACTGTTGAGTTGGAAGAGAGGTGGGTAGAGGAAGAAAGAAATGAAGTGGTAAATAAGCGAAATATAACTCTCTATTATTATTTATTGTTATTTATTTATATGAACATCACTAAAGTATGAAAGGAATCACTATTTTACGTGATTGCGGATATTCTTTGAACTTCTTCTTGTACCAGAGATGTCCCTTATAAGCTCTGGGGGACATAGTGGCAACCAAAGCTATCAAGAACACCACAGGAGCGTCATTGAGCGTATTCGACTGACATAGCAAGACATATCCAAGCCATTCTATCCATTCGCTAGTATATGGGTTAATGGGTTACTTGGAAAATAAAAAATGCCTACCAAAAGTAATTTGGATAGCTAACATAGTCAAACAAAGCCCCCTTTGGTATTATGTAGCCACCGTTTGACACTCTCTTCAAACGAAAGAGCAATCTATCGTGGTAGACGTTTCCAGCTAGCCCAGCAATAAATAGTACACAGCCAACGAGGCTGATTTTATTGATAGATGTATCTGCTAGGTACTTCCCTTGTATACTTCCATTCGCTGTATTAAAGCAACCAGCAGAGAGTAGAACAAGCACATGTGATAGCGATTTTGACGGGTTTAGATATGGGTAGATTATCGCCCGATTTACGTAATGCACTAGGAACGCACCAGCAATTGCGAGCTGAAACAGTGATTTCTGACGTCCTTCACTTAGGAACCCAATTATGAATGATATTGGCGAAATTATTTCCATGATGAACCACGTCAGTCTTCCTGGGTCACACGTTCAGCAACCCTGATCCCGCTGTAGAGCTAAACTCACCACCAAGACTAAAGCGGGAAGTTACATCCGCAAATCTGCCAAATGGTGCATCGTAGAATACAGCCAATGGACCAAGAAACCAGAATGTCTTTAGAGTTATCTTACAGATTTCATAGTAAAACATCAAGAGTGTACCATGTTTGATTTGTCTTCTACACTATGCTCAGGTAGCTCATGAGTGATTTATTCTCGGGATTTATCGTTTGCTAAGCGATACTAAGATATTTTCTGCATACTTGAAACACATGGCACAGCAAGTTACGTGGTGATGTCGCCATTGACAGGCTGTGCATGAACATCGAAATTTTGTGACAGAATAAGCTTCCAAACTTCTTCCTAAATTCGCCTTACGCGATCATAAAACTTCGCCGAGAGGTCTGTGCTCAGTACTTTGGATAAAATGACAAAATATAAGTTGTACTATTCTTTTTATAAATAATTACACTGCGCCTGAGAACTTAAGCTACGCGTGCCTGCCTGCGAAAATGTCAAAAAATTCCTTCATTGCGTAACTAAGGACGTTCTTGTTTTCCACCTTCGATTGAATGAATGAAAGATGAGCAGTGTAATAGAACCTAAAAACAAGTATTTCCCTGCTATTATAGTCGCGATCGTCGTTGGTGGTATGTCCTCATATCATAATATCGCTCTAGCTTATAAGATACCCAGCATGTGTCGTTTTCATGATAGCAGTTTGGATAACTCAACAAGTTCTGAAACGCAAGCCTAATGTTGAGGAGAAGAGACAATCTTACTGTGGGTTTTATCAGATTATGCACTGATGCCGAAGGCTAATTTATGATAACAGACCCAGAAGATTTCTACCACGGCTATAACAAGAAGGCGCCGAACACAAAGAATGAGATTGAAGAAGAGGATGTTCAGGATGTTGAGAAAGCCGTACCGAGACCGAGACCAAGACCTCGTAAGACAGATTCTGAATCTTTACCTACTAGACCAGAAACGTTGTACTCGCCTACGAGACCAAACTCCACACTCCTTCTGGATGAGTTTGTTGCTCCTCTGTTTGACAACAGCTCGAACAACCACTCAAATTCAAATCTGCTCAAGAACAGTAGTCACAACTCGCATGAAGGACATGCAAATTGAATTATAACTTGCTGAAGTCGAATAATATGCTTAGCAACAGCTAATAATCCCGGCTATAACGAAGATAGCGCGATAATTTCAATAAGGATACCTGTACATATTTACGCTTACCACTGAACCATTCCTTTGTTATTGATATACATGTTCATTTATATGCTTAGTCTATTTCAAATAAAGCATTTTACTGTCGTTCACAAGTCTATTTGATATATCGCAACTCTATCATCGCGTGCGCCTGTAAGTAACAAGCTCGACAAGGGTGCTTCAATAACACTATTGAGGTTGTCTTCATCTGTCTCGCTAGTGTCTTCATCAACTGTTGAGAAGGCCAGTGAAGAGACAGATTGTCTGTGTAAATCAAGTACGCCAACCAATTTCATACTTTTCGCTGAGTAAAGTTCCACGCTAGTAGGTATGTATGAGTGGTATTCTTATTATTATTATCAAGCCGCTGCCTACCTTCCGTTCCAGCAGCCCACTGCCAATATCTTACTATCCTTCCTTACAGAGATACTTGAATGACCATTTGATTGTGTTGTATAGCTCTTCGTAATTGGCATCTTGGCGGTATGTTCGGTTATTTTTTCTGAACTGTCAATTATCATCGTCTCATCGCTCTCATATTCCTTGTCATCATGAACACTACTGAAGTCTACCATGAAAATGGCTCACCTGCAGGTCGTACTTGACTATGCATCTATCCACACTAACTGTGAATGCGTATCTTAGATCACTAGTTGTGCATAATCCCATAACTAAATCATTAAGTTGAAGAAGTCGAGTACGTTATCACCTACCAGCTTCATTGTGCTTCTTTACTCGCCACAGCTCTTTCCAGGTCATATTCTCGAGGTGATATAGAACCACACTACCATCTTCATATGCCGCCAATAATCTGTGGGTGTCTGCATGTCTGTATAACTTCAAAGACATACACAAGCCTCGACTGAGTCAATATAAAATTTTCGAAAGACTTAACAGCTAATCTCACCCGTTTTCGACTCTCCACGACCATCTACACCTCGTTCTTCTCCACCTATTGATCTGAAAATGCGCTCTTTGGATGGTATCTCCCAAATATCAATCTGGGTCATATTAGAAAGGCGTTAATCATTGTTTTGCCTACATACCGTCGATGAATCCGTCAAATGAGGTGCTGCCAACCAAGTTGGAGGACCGACGCAGAGACTAACATTGCAGAAATTGAGCGCGTTAACATGAAACCGATCAATCAAATTTGGTATAATATCTTCTTCGGTATGTATATCGCCGATTTCCCAGAGTTTTACCAAGTTGTCCCTGCCATGCCTGCGATTGTGAGCAGTAAACAGAGTAATAAACCAATTACTTGCGTTAATAAATGATCGTCTGTTATTTCTAGTGTGAGTACAGCGCTCTCGTGTGCTTTCCACCGCCGCGAAGATCTCATCGTTTTTGTTGACGTAATGACTACGACACCATCATCATCCGCAGATAAAATGCAATCTGAGTTTCTATTAAATGAAACCTTGGAGATACTACTCTCGTGGCTTCGTATGATATATAAAGGTGCTGGTGGTCGTTTACCCATGCTCTTGGTAGTAAGGAAGAAAGGTGCATTCTATACTTAGACACCTGTGATATGCTATTTAAGAATACGTATAAAATGGGGGACTTCATAATTGCTATTCCTTATTTATTTATAAAGTTACATCATCTGTTCTATCTCCCATATCGACATTCTATCATAAATAATTAAAAACAAGTAAAATCCAACCAAAATCTTACATAAGCAAAATAAATAGCTGGAATTGTATGTAAACATACGCACTTATTATCTTATTCCCTAAAGATGCGATGGAGTCAACATAAATCAAAGCATGACGAAATTGATGCATGAGAGAAAATTAGCGTTAACTAAGATCCTCTATAACGAACAAACCATTAAAATACTTTTTAAACGACATCTTAGTTTATGATTGGAGCTGATTGCGCCTAAAAACACAGATCGTCGCGTCAAAACATGGTTAATATCGTCATGGAAAGCAGATAGGTGAGAAATTATCTCAAGCAATTTTAAAACACTTCTGAGCGACTAGCAACCCCAATTATCTATTAGCTTTCAAGAGAGATACACATTCACTAAAACTTGATGGTTTTCATCTGTCAGGATGGCCGAGTGGTTAAGGCGCTTGACTTGAATTTGAAGCGATTCCTAGAATTCGCAAACATCTTCTGGCATCAAGTACCCATGTGGTGCGCAGGTTCGAATCCTGTTCCTGACGAATTATTTTTGCTTTTGAAGCGGAAAATATTTTATTGCTTCTAAGAATTATAATTTTGAGAACAGTATTGTTTTTAAATCTTGTAAGCGTGTTCTATTAATAGCATACGGCCAATCTCGATACTACCATGTAGTTCAAAAAGGTTCTCAATCACACAATAAACCCTTTTAGCAGTTACACTTTTGCATTTGTACATCTATCATAATCTACATTTCTAATAATCACCAATCATAATCTTAATAGCGGGTCTACCCTCAGCATCTTTACCATTCGAAAGTGCCTCGAAAGCCGCTTTGCTGTCTGCCAAACTATACTTGTGGGTGACGAGTTTATCAGCAGTAGCCAATTTCTTCGCTGCGAACATTCCCAACGCGTCATCGTATGTATTGGAATATCTGAACACACCGACGAGGTCAACTTCACGGAATGCTGCTGCAGCGATTGGGAGAGTAGCATTAGGCGTACCCATACCAATGTAAACAACTTTTCCACCTGGCTTGGCGGTGTGAATAGCGGCTTGCATGCAAGTCTCAACACCTGTACATTCGAAGACTACGTCATTTCCTTTGCTTGCAGATTCACTAAGAATTGTCTCAGCAGTCTTCTTCGAGGCCTCTAAGCCTTCTGCCGGGGTGGTAGGACGGGGTCCCATTGGTAGAAGGACAGTGTTATCTGCAAAACTATTCTCTTTGGCGAAATTCAATCTATTGCTGTCGATATCGACAACTGTGACGGAGGTAGCTCCCTGAGCTTTAACGACTGATGCAGCAAGTAAACCTACTGCTCCGGCACCATAAATCAGAACACTGTGACCGGCCCGCACACCCGAGCGTCTTGAGCCGTGGAGAACTACACTCAGTGGCTCTACGAGTGAAGCTTGCTCAAAGCTAACGCCATCTGGCATCTTATGCAACAACCGGGCAGGATGTGTGAATCTTGTCTGGAGCGTGCCGTCTAGGTGTGGGTATGTCTTCGCTGATGATGCGAATCGCAACTCCGGACAGAGATTGTAGCGACCTGATTTGCAAAGTGCACAACTAGAGCAGTAGATACCAGCTTCTATTGCTACTCTATCACCTGGATTGAGGTTTGTAACGCCGGTACCAACTGATGTGACGATACCTGCTGCTTCGTGACCCATAGCGAGTGGCTCTCGTATCACAAAGTCACCATTCTTGCCGTGACGGTAGTAATGCAGATCAGATCCACAGAGACCAGTGGCTTTTACGTCTACTTGTGCATCGAATTCACCCAGTTCTCTTGCTGGACGATTTTCCTTAAAGAAGTTAGAGCTGGATAATAGTATCTATGGCCACTCACTATTCTAAGATCTTTAGCGCCGTAGAGGACAGCGATTGTGTTTGTAGTATTTGACATTTTGTTAATAAACAATTAAATGAGAGAATGTCAATTTATAAAGAAAAAAAAATCGACATCCGGAGCTGGTCCTGAAGTAGTCAGATAATATCGGATGAAAGTTGTGAGCGCTTAGGAAGTGATATAGTCAACGAACACGTTACATGTATTACTTTATATTGTTTTTGTACTTCTCTGTGCCCTCCAGCCGCTATCTCGACACTTCGTGAATGATTGGTTACGTCACAAAAAATTATTGATAAGGGGCATATAAAGTGATGAATGTAAGTGATAGAGCAAGCGAGATCCCTTTGTGAATAACAGAAAATCGCTAGAGTTATTCCACTGATGTAAGTTCCTCTCTTTAGATGATAAGATTTTATCGGGAAACAGCCTTGAACGCTATGCATGTGATTTAGAAAGTTGTTTCGGAAGTGGTTATGTTAGAAGGTAAATTAGCCATTCCACACTGTGTTGGACGCTTTCGGTGGCTTTTATTTCTCGACCTCTGAAGCAGCTAAAAGAGTGTATGATCGCATGGAGCCTGTATCAAAACAACATAGTATTCTTACACATCAAGGTTTATCATACAACTGACACATTCGAGTTCTCGATCGTTCAGAATAAAACCGTCTTGAATCGTATAACCAGGGGAGTACAGCACCAGTCACTCTGTTTGTATAGTGTATATCGACATCATATCGCAATGAAAAAGAATACAGGATGTGTTATATCGAGAAAGAGAGAAATACATGCTAGGGCGTCATATGACGCGTCTGCTTTGGCTTTTACAGCCCGTCACCGACGTACCTGCAAAAGATGTCAACAATGTCCCAATAATAGAGCCTTATACTTACCACTTATTAGTCCATCTTCTATCGAAGTCTTCATCTGGATTGACGAAGCGAAGATCGGTGCTGAGACGGATTTTGTCAGTCTCGTTGACAGAAGATGCATGAATCATGTAAGGTTGATGGAAGATGACATCTCCATCCTCATAGTTGGTTACGAGCCATCTGCGGCCATAGACCTTTCCGAATCCTTGTGCGTCATCTGAAAGAATACCACCGCGCATCATATTGCTGTTGAAAGCCGATAAGCGCTCTTCTGGTGTGAAGTCCTTTGCTCTCTCTGAGAAGTCGTTCTCAATTTCGCGGCCAATTTCGTGTGACTTCTCAAGGTAGATCAAGCTGCCGCCTTCAACGTTACAGCCTCCAATTGGTATCCAGGCTGTCAAGCTAGTTGGGAGAGCACCTCTGAGGAAAATTTGGTCATAATGCACCGCAGTGGCTTCTGAACCTTTGACATTAGTTCTTAACATCTGACGCTGTAAGAGGAGGATATTCTGCCAACCGGTAATCTTCCTAGCGAATTCATAGAGCTCTATCAATTTGTAAGATTGTTCATGTCGTTTAAGTGAGACAACCCACCTGGTGTCTTCTGGAACTCGTCATAGAATTCCGAGTAGTGAGCTTCAGTTGCTCTTTTCAAGAACTCCACTTGTTGGGGGTCCAGCGTGCCTTCACCGGTGTTGGCAGAGCCGGGACCACCGAACTTGTTTGGTGGACCACCAGTAAAAATACCGTCAACGGAGTCAGTACCCTCCTTGAGGATACCAGTGCATTTTACGAATTCAAAGTAGTCTCTTCTCATCTTTCTGACCACCTCAATTGGTAAAAGACCCTTGACTAAGACATATCCATCGTTTTCATATCTTTCTCTAATAACATCAATGGGTGCATCCTTTGCAGTTTCTTTGAGGAAAGCAACGTTTTTGTCATCAATTGGACCACCGTTGCTTGTCAATTTGTATCCCTTTTCTGGTACTTCTTTTGCGCCTGTGGTGTTGTTGTGGATGTTTGGTAATTCTATATTGCGTGCCACTTCTGCTGCCATTTTTCTAGTTTGCTATTTGTTCTTGAGGTTTTAGACAAAGAGGAAGTACAGCCCTTTTTATATACATCTCAAACCCATCCGGATCGGTTATTTCTAAATTTTCAGTGACGTCAACAGACGAGCTGACCAATTGAATATCACCAAAATCGCCGGATTTTTTTTCTAGACCCGTTGCTAATGGGTGTTCTCCGCGCATACTCCGTGGATCAGCATTCTTTAGTATTTTTTATTCTTTCACTGATTTTCGCAATGCAGCTGAGTTGATATCATAACAGCTGATGTTAAAAATGTTAAAAATAATTAAAGCATAAAGCATATTCATAAATATACACAATTCTAATTGCTCTTTTTAAACCTGCGTTTGTTAGAGAAATCATATTGGAGTACTATTTTACTTACGACAGTCGAATATCGGTCTGGGTATAGTGTAATCCTTCGAGATTTGGGAAACAAATCTGTATAAGCTCATTCCAATTCTTGGTAATGGTAGTAATATCCTCCTCAAGGGCTTTCCAAACGGCGTCAATAACCTTGACGACTTCATGATAACTACCTTCATCTTCGACATTAACATCAAAGTGTTTCTCTACACGTTTGTGTAAAGCTTCTGTAGCCTTCTTGAGGTCCTTCGAGCTGAAATCCCTGACTACTCTTTTGTATACGCTCTTACCATAAAGAGGATGGCTAACCATCTCAGTTGCCTTCGTGCCCTTGAGAGCCTTTTCGAGTCCGTCAAAGTAGTCAATTTGTTTTGCGAGGTGTCTTCTCCAAAGAAGCTTTATGTAACCCTCCATATGCGATGAATAGAGTCCTTCAGCAGTAACCATGAATGGCGTCAACGGTTTCATTGGCTTTGCCTTGAACGACTGCAGGAAATGATGAGTATTGGCTATCATGATCACCTATAGCTGGTTAGATGGAATGTCCTGAATGCACTTCTACTTACATGCAAATTGAGCGCTCCTTTGTCCTCACTTGCGACATCCTGCATATCCTCCTCACGTGCAATATGCTTAAGCGAGTCAAACATCCGCCCTATTATTTTGTCATATGCATCATTCACGTTTATGCGAATCTCCCAATCATCACCAATGTTGTAAAGCTGCTGCTCAATTCTACCAACAAATGACGGTATAATGCGTATAAATGGGGCAACACCTTTGCGCTTCTTCGTCGTCAATTTGGTATTCTCAATCGCCTTGATTTGATCAGAAATGTATTTTGAGAACATATTGTTCAACCGTGACTTCTGCTTCTTGAGTAATGAGTGAAGGTATGGTTGTGATTTCCCGTATGCGTCCTTCATCGCTCTCTCCAGTTGGGCAATCATACCGACAATTTGCCTTATTTCGAATTAGCAAACAACTACGAGGTCATACTTAACTTACATATTGTCCTTTACTAGGGCACCATCTATCCAAGACTGTAATGAAGGCGCGAAAAATGCGAATATCAACTCGAACGCGTTTTTCAGATCTGACAAGGGGCCAAAATCAATGCCTGCAAGTGCTTCTCTCGCTTTACGCTTGTAAACATCCTCAAGGTCAACGTACTCAGCAAATGTAGGTGGGGTGCTTAAAATAGCCAATAAATCTTGGAGAAATATCTCTTCGCCTTTCATCTGAGTCGACACTTGATTTAGGACCTTCGCTAGCGACTCATGAGCTGGCATACTATCACCCTGTTTACTCCGCTTGGCGTCTAATCTCTTATCATTTCTCTTGCGCGCGCCCTGATTTGCGCTGTCTATTGGATTTGAGAAGTTTGCATCACTCTCTTCTTCGGTAGCCTTGCGAGTGAGGTTCGCATAAACAGCCAAGAGTTTATTCATTTCCTTGCTGTGTAATTCTGACGAAGAGCTGAAGTAATTGGCGCACACTTCACGGTACCTCGCTTGATCCATCTCTCGCAGGAAAAGCACGAGACCGCAATATCTGCCCAGATAAGTCTCCATTTTTTCATGCGAGCGTATCTTGGGCTTTCTTTCGCTAATTTGACGTGATGGATCATTTAGCAAGTTGTCAACTTGAAATCTAAACATGATGGAGAGATAATCCAGCATTCTCTTTGCGAATTGAAGCATTATTGTCTTATATTCATTGACGCGCTTTTCATCGTATTGTTCATCATTGGCTTTAATGGCTTTGTAAAGTGTGGCAGCAGCTCTTTCAAGGGCGGCAATACCCTTATCGCTTTCGAGACTCTCCTTAGTAAGTACAATTAAGTCAGCTTGGTCGACGTTAACTGCACTAGACAACTCTTCGAGTTTCTCCATTTCATTGATCAACGCCTGTTGGTTGTTACTTTGAGCTTGTTTGCCGCGTTGTGATTCAACGTATGCGATATCTTCACCAACTAACATTAAGTGAGCTCTAAATTTACCAACCAGGGCGTCCATGTCATCCAATTCACCCAGATTTGTGTCTAAATAGTTAAAGAGATAGTCAAGAGAATCATCCTGATCTGAGACTATACTTCTTATCATAGCGGCTTCGACGTTGTTTATTTCATTAGCTAATTTGCTTTCGTCCTCCTGGTCTATCGTATGTGAATCTACCTGCGCTACACTCCTCAAGCTTCTCCAATTTGCGCCACCGAGCGCTTCGTCGATGTGTTGTATATCATTGAAACTATCAGGTGCTGAGACATTTGAGGGCTTCCTTGCGAGACTAGTGAATGCATCACCAAGACTTGCATCTGAAGGTCTAGAAATTTTGCGTCTATGTGAGCGTTTTTGTATAATCGGAGAGGTTGAATTCTCGAATGATTGCTTTGGTGTCAACCTGTGGTTGCTTTGTGAGTGTTGAGTCGTCTGCGTGTCTACTGAGAGTCTCGGAGGATCAGTCTGTGGAGGAGTTGGTTGTGGTGACGGTTGAGGAGAGGATTGGCTAGGCACTGGACTAATCGTAGGCACTGGAGTAATAGTAGGCACGGATGGTGGTTCAGGAGCAGGCTGTTTAGTTGGACGCGCTGGTGGGTTATCCCTTTTAGGTTTGGGGATATCGTTCGCTAATTGCTGGGGCTGTTGTGGTATGTGGTCTACTACTTGAGGATGCCTGACTGGTTGTTGTGGTGCTTTCTGCTCAATAGAGACCACTGGCTGTTCCACCGGCTGTTGGAGCTCTTGAACAGGTTCATAGAGTGTTTCAGTTTGTCTAGACGGTTGAGGGGGTGGTTGAGCCGGAGGAGCCTGAGGGGGTATCTGGGGGATCTTCGCCGCCTCCCTGGGTTGTTCTGGCTGCTCTTGCTGCCTCAGTTGCTGAGAAGAAGGCTTAAACTTCAGAGGAGCAGTGTTGTGAGAGATGAGGGCGATGTGTTGGCCAGTTGTGCCGTTATAGATATCTATTAGAGCATCTAAAAATGGGTGTAACTCGTGCACTCTCTCTGCTTTCCAGGTATAGCTCTTCGAAAGCGTCAATTTGAAAGTGTTGTGTGTGAGTAGTTCGGCAGCGCGCAGACTAGAGAGTGGCCATGTCTTGCCAATAGAGAAAGTGCCATTCGAATTCCTTTTAGATTTGTAGATATTCGCCTGTTTTGTTGTTCTATCGATAGCGAGGAGCAAATAGCGTGGTTTGGGTGGATCACTCGATTCAATTATCTTACAGTGACTAAGATACTTCTCTGTAGATAAACCAGAAAACAAGGACGCTATTATCTGGTCAGATATTTTGAGTTGCGACATCTTGGTGGTTGAGGAATGACATCCAACACCCACTTAGCGAGACAACTCCAGCAGCTGAAAAAGCACCCAGTAGATGGATTCTCAGCAGGTTTAGTAGATGAGAGCAATCTATTCGAGTGGGAGATTATCATCATTGGACCGGTAGATAGTCTCTATGAAGGTGCGATACTGAAAGCTAAATTGAGTTTCCCAGAGGTTAGTTTGAAGTGTAATTCCTGCAAATATTCTAATAACTCTCTAGGAATACCCTCTACTGCCCCCAAAAATGACATTCTTGACGGATTTGTGGCATCCTTCAAGTGAGTAGACAGCTTTGTTAGTAATTACCTAACCTCCTCTCAGTTTACAACTCTCCCGATAGAAAGGGTGAACTTTGTATTTCCATTCTGCATCCCCCAGGCGATGACGAATGGGGTTGGGAAGATGCGTCTGAGAGGTGGCTGCCTGTACATAGTGTAGAATCCATTCTCGTATCTGTCATTTCCCTTCTCTCTTCCGATTCTCCCTGCACAGATTCACCTGCGAACGTAGATGCGGCCAAACAAGTACGCGAAGACCCAGCTGGCTACAAGAAGACTGTCCGTAGACTAGCCAGGAAGTCAGCCGAGGACTGCTGGGATTAGTTTTGTTACTTTGTCATAGAAATTCATTCTTCTTCTCTTTCCATCATGTCTTTAGCTTATGTTTTGGTAGCAGCCCAGCCACTCAGTAGCAATAGCACCCTGGACGACATCAGCTTTAAGGATATCCTCACACGCTCTCTATTCTCCCTCTATGGCTCCGTCAACGGCAGCTTCTACGTTGATGTACTCGCCGTTACCCAAAAGCAATCCAATGGCTTACAAAAAGTCGCTTTAAAATGCTCATCAAAGTTTGTGTACCTCCTTATGAGACATCCCAACTGATAAAAATTTCTAGACACCAACAACTCCTCGAAAATGCAATAAGTATGGCACCAACCAGTCAAACTACTTTTCTAGATAGCGCTTTTAAGCTATCCGTATTAGACTCTGCAAACACTCCCTCCATTCTCAACACAATCACTCAATCAGAGTACATCGATGCACAACTGTCACAGTTTTAGTCAGGGGATATCTTATTCATAGCATATTTACTGTTGTTTGAGGTCATATCAACTAATAGCATCCTATACCAGTTAAGCTGTGCCAGTCATCATGCCCACAACAACACGTTACATCACATTGCATCATTTTTATTAACTCAACAGCGATGATAAATGCTCAAGGATTATATACTTTAACTTTCAAAACATCCACAGCTTCCTACGAAATATACCAAGGTGCCTCTCTTCGTGCTGCAAAATCCCGAAACGATTCTCCGACTTTTTACGTCGACATCAGTCCTCGAATGACTTCTATGGCCGTTTACAAATCATACAGCATGAAACAATTAGCTTTTGCTCGTTATAGAGCAAGTTTTGAGATTACGATCCGTATGTCTTAACTTGGCATCCCAATCACACTGATAATCATAGATGGTAAGACAAGCAACCTCAGTAGCTATAATCATTGGAGCAAAGATCGTCTGTTCATTTTATCAGATGGCACATGTTGTGAAACTAGATGGATAGACAACGTACTCACCATCTCTGATATAGAGTCTGGTGATGCACTCGCCACATTCGAGAAGAGCCACTCTGGTATACGAAAACAGGGTGTTCTGCGCATGTCTGCACCGGGATATACCGATGACGATCTCGCCATGATCTTCATGACTATTGTCGTTCTCGTTCGCGTCGATCGGAAGGAACACAGGAGAAGTTTTGATTCCTCTTTATTGTAATGCTAAGACAATTTATCAATTTTTATTCATTTTTTGCTTCAATGAGGAGATTTCATAAAGAAGAGGTAAGGGCAAGCAGAAGTATATAACAACATCAACAAATCCATGCAGGGACATACAATATAGTTCATCATTACAAGTATTGTCCACCACGTGCATAAAACATCACCATTCTATGTATTCATTTCCTGTACATTTGAGATCAGTCGATAGTGCGATGACGGCATTGCTGTGTTGTGTCGAATAATATAAAAACCCAAGATGAACCGGTTATATTAATACCAAAATGGAGCCCCAGTGTGCATACATAATTGAATTCAAGAGCCTCGCTTCAAATCTCTTAATATTTAAGAAAGGAGTGCAATATCCTGATTATGAACTGGACGTGAATGTAACGCGTTCAAGGATGACATTTCTAGAACTGCCTTACCAGAAACGTCTCGCACGGGTGCATGGGCCTAAGTTATTGTTAGGGAAAGGCTACAAAATGTCTATCAGTAAGTCATATGTTGTCACATCCCACTCGCTGACGGCGATAGACGGTGAGAAACTCAGAATGCACCGCGATAGCCACCGTAGCACATGCTTATGGTTTGACTTGCTCGATAAGTCGCCTTGCGTCGTCGTGAAGGGTGGACATGGGGATGGAAGTACTTACAGAATCACGAATATACTTACGAATGAAATACTAGCAACCTTCCAACCTTCTGGACCATCATACGGCTGTATGAATCTTAATGCTGGTGGATACGACAACCAAAACCTCATTGCACTCTTCACAGCAATGGCCATAATGATTCGACTGGGAATAGATCGAACGTGATAAGAAGAACCATAAAACTCTATCAGAGTAATTCATTGGTGACAACGCCTTTGGCTGGATTATATCAAATAAATTTCTCCTTATTCTATAATTATTTTATCGTATACGTGTTGTCTTATTTTTTGAAAGGAAAGATATAAAATACAATCTAACAGACCTCTAGGGTGGTATTTGCAGCAATAATACTCAGATCGGTTATTTTTTAGGTTGTAATTATGAATTTTCTGAATACATACTGAAAATTAAGATACAGAATCCCGCCCAAATAAAGTTGAATTCAAAGGACTCTTCGATTACCAGATTGGCAGCTATTTGCGAAGCTAATAACCACGTGGATTTCGATCTAGGTCTCTGTAATACAATGCTAGCACTGATGGAGTAGATCTACATAGCACCATTGAAAGATTACGTTATGCTATTAAGATGACCATCTACACCACTAGCTTTTAATATCTGTACAGATACTGAAATATGAACTATGTTTCCGAATTGTCGCAAGGTCACGTGAATGATATTCGCTTTTTCGATTACAGATCTTACGTCATCACACAGCGTGACGATGAAATTGAAACAATTTCATGATTACGAATTATTGAATTCCTACATTCCCAGCTGCTGACTCGTAAATCATTTCAAGAACACTGGAACCGCTTCGTTAGAAGTATAATTCAACGACCATCCAAAAATGGCTTTTAAAACTTTTTCCTTTGTTTGTCTCATTTGTGACTTGTGTTATGGACAATTTGCCTTCGAAAATGCCAGGAGTGATGTATCAAGGAGGTCTCCAAAATAAGCTGCCAATGTGATTATCTGCCGTCCGGCTGTTCGTCTATCTGATTAGTTGCTTTATAAACATAGTAGATAAAGCTGAAGAATCCAGATAGTGAGTAATGCTACATTGAAGAGCCACTATCGCTTCTGCTACTGCTGGATCTTATGTCTGTTTGTATATTTGCATGACGTCAAATAGATATGTACTGCAGATCACAATCCAATGAAAGGTCATGCCGATATGGTCATGTAAAGCTCTTTGGCTTGCATTCTGTTTCTAAATGTCATAAAGACCAATAATATAGCAAACTAGAAAGCTGCTGCAATTTCCAAAGACTGGACAAAAAACAAGGATGTTCAAATAAACTACATGTATGCCTATTCACTTCTTCAGTCTTGGTACTAATCGTATGCTATTCACTATGAGATACAGGAGTTAAAGGGTGCAAGTATTCTACGATGTTCATTATTAGATGATTTATAGAAAATAATATACCATCGACTATATCTACTAAATAATTTATTTCTAGTACCCATTGATTAACTACCAACGTAAATTAACTTCAATTGAAAGTGACATGAATCATAATCCATTAGAATTTGTGGAGAAAAATAAGACAAAGATCTTTGAAGGTATCACTGATTCTTTACTTAATATTTATGAGAATAGGAGTACTTTTCTTTCTAAATTTCTGAAAAAGGTGGAAGATGAAGCCGATGTAATAACTTTGAGTGATGAAATGAGAATAAGATTAATACAAGCATACCTCAGATTAGGATATAAAAGTTTACATCATGATAATCCACATATGAACTATTTAGTCTTTCGACCACAAAGAATGCGGTTACAAGAAGAAAGGCAATCTATTGGAAGTTTGATTATTAAATTCTCACTAAGTGAATCTTTGTCTACTCGAGCAGATTTCGACGATCTGATTTCCCAGTATACAAACCTATCTGATGTGAAGGATGAGATATGGTATCATTTTGTTTTTGCTGGCATAACCAATATCGAGAACCCGCTAGATTATTTAGCCGCTGAAAATGTTCGATTGAACCTCTCAGGTGGAATTGGTACGTCTGAATCGAGAAGCTAAAACGTAACTAAAAATGAACACAGAGGATGTACGTGGAGATATTAAGAAATATGGAAGTTATCCCTTATCACTACGCAAGGCTGATTTAACAAGATTATTCGAATGGAAGAAAACGCTTAAAGATAACATCAAATTCTATCACGATAAAATCAATGGACTCATGAAGTTAGCTTCCTTATATAAACTCCCATATAACATAGCTGTTGAAGATTATAGTGAACTAACTGCTGCTCACTTGACAGACAACGCGAGAGAACTTGTGAAAGTTTTTCAAAAAGGAAGTAAATGTCTTAATAATTTTTTGAGATTTCTTGCACAATGTTATGAGGACGAAGGTTATGTTAGTTACAGGAAATGCCTTGATTGGATTGAAACCAATCAGGTGACAGGATGGCATGGATATAATCAAAATATAACAGATCTTCTGGTAACTATAGAAATCGTCGATGATGAGACAAGATGTGAAAAATTATGGGAGGAATATTACGAAGATAGAGAAAAAAAGGATTTTCGCATGCTTGAAATTTGTGAGTTTAATGTTTACTAGTTCCCGAAGCTCAAACGTATAAAACTTTAGCAAAGATCCAATCTGAGAAGCTACCACAGTTCACTTACAGAGGCTCAAGCAAGTATCGGAAGAGACTGGAAACAAAGGCTATCGATCTATATATCGACTTAAAGAATGCATTACATCCTTCTTTAGTCTTGTTTTATGATTTACAGCTCAAGCAACTTGCACAGATGGAAGTATACGTAAATCAAGTTAAAACTCTCGACAATACTGCTATTTCACATCACTTACCGATGGTCGCTGATCGTGCACTTATCAACAAGAATATGCACGCTATCAAAGACCTTATTGGATTGATTGGTAATTACATAATAAGAAATTCTTATACAAAGCCTTCAAAAGATACAATTAGAGAGATGATGGATGATATACGTTTCCAAAAAGACGAAGATCCCAATGAGTTGGTCTTGAAGGTACTTATAATCCTAGATTTTGTTGATGCACCTTTGGAGCGTCTCGACCTACTTAATCAGTCGCATGAAACTAAAAAAGAAAGGATAGCAAAAATAAATGGAATCAAACGCAAGAATGTAAGTAACGCTCACGAAGAGGGCAAGGAGTATGTATTGGAGGCGTCTTCTCAGGATAGTATAAGTAACGAAGGGGAATTTCCTACTACCAGAAGTGGTAGGAAACGCAAAAGTGACAATGATCAGAAGGGGCCAAAGAAGAGGAAGTGAAGGGTGTGGCTAAGATAATCACATATATAGTGTTTAATCATTCATTCATTCACTTCGATGTTCAAGCAGAGACAAACAACTTTATAAAGGGTAATATATCCGAGTGGTTTATTTCTAAGAAAAATACTTAGTTAACAAGAGCCTATTGCATCTCTGTCAAACTTAGGCGTGGATCATCCCCAGATCTATCCGTCATTAATGTCCAACGTCCGTCTATCTTTAAGTCCAAGTTGTTAATCATTCCGTTTTTGATCAGGAAAAGGACTGCGTCTGAAATCTCCTCTGGTTCTATTGGTCTTTGTGGGAATGAAGCGCTCTTTGCGAGTTCTGTCATGAAGTAACCAAGTTTAGCACCTACCATGGCTGAATTGATGATACTAGGTGAGACAGTATTAACTCTTATGCCAGATGGTGCTAAGAAATCTGACATCGCAACACCAACACCATGGCTCCCCGCTTTAGTAGGACCGTAGCAAAGAACGCGCGCAATACCTTCTTTAGCTACACTTGAGAAGTTGACAATAACACCTCTCTCTTCCTTTGTAGTAAAGAATTCGTTGTTCTTCATCTTATCTGGTTCATATCTCTCGTTGATCGCGTCTGCTACTAATCCATTAATAATAAATGTACCCAATGTATTAATATCAAGCATTTTCTTAAATCTAGCAATGTGGTCTCCAATTCTGTTGGTCCATGGTTGAGCAAGCGCGACACCAGCACAGTGCACGACGCCTGAGAGTTTCTTTTCGAATGCATTAGCTGCTATTTTCACAGCATCCCTTGAAATTGCCTCGTCTGTGATATCACAACGAACATACAAAGCATGGTCACCAAATGCTTTGGTGGCAGTCTCACCAGCTTTCTGCTCGATGACGTCGAATAAAACGACATAACCAGCTTCTGAAATAATAGCCTTAGCGATCGCTGTACCAGCACCACCTAATCCACCTGTACTGTTTGACTTATTAGAGAAGAGCGTGAGTGGTGTATCTAACAAACATGATAAAAGTGTTATTAGCAATCTTCATTGTAACGTTGGTTCTTAGTTGTCGTTAAAAACAGAAAGTTGCTTTAAAAGTCTTTGTCGCCTCAAGAATCTTTCGACCGGAGTCCACAATTTTCGGAGTGATGCACTAAATTAATAGCTATTCAGGGCATAATTTGACAATCACTTGAAATATCCTAGATATAATTTCAAGGCCTTAGTCAGTCATTTAGAATGCAAGTGAATCTAATGATTATTGAGTAGGTTGAGGTTTTAGCTACTTGATATTACTTTTCGATTACGTCACGACAGTAATCATATATGTTTTAGCAATTACAGTGTAGTCCTCCAAAAGGCAAGGCCGAAGAGTAAATTTATTACTAGAAATAATTAATTTAATCTATTCGCAAGATATTACGAATATTCCATAACGCAGATAGCTACCTTCCTTAACCGTCAAGAATATCAATGACGAATGAAGTTAAAGGAACTTGAGTGAATAATACGAGTAACTTATTCCGCTACTCTCAGATGAAAAAAGCAATAATAATCGCAACTGTTGGCTTATTTTCGAGCACATTTGGTGCACCAATCTTCCAAGACTCCTTAAAAGGATTTGCTGATGGTATCGGTTCTGGCTTGTTGTTTGGGAATGGTGAGACCACGGAGGACAACAATCAAAATAGTGCCAATGAGAGCGGAACTAATAGTGTACAAGGAAGCGCAAAAGAAGCAAGACACTACTTATCAAATATCTCGTGAATTCTCATGAATAAGACGTGCTTGCAGTGACTCGTTGTCATAATGTCTCACATATTTGTACAACACGATTATCCTTGTACAAGTATACATCAGCAATTTAATTTATAGCGCGCAAGTATTGTGTTTAAGATACAATATATGATAAATATTGCGTTTTAACATCAATTTTTCATCAAGTACCGAAAAAGGTATATTATCACGCCAAATACTTTGTGAAGCCGGCATGTTTACCCAAAAAGAGGTCTAAAATCACCCCAACCCCCACTATGAAGCGGGCATGCTTAGTAATTACCAAAAAAGGTCTATCATCACGCCAACCCCACTATACAGCGGGCACTTTAGTATTACCAAAAAAGGTATATTATCACGCCAACCCCCACTATAAAACGGGCTTGTTTTCTCCTTTTCTATTACTTTAACCAAATCCATCAAGATGAAATTATCATTCGCTGCTGCTACCCTCTTCGTCATCTCGACTGTTTTCGCAGCTCCAGTGAGTCACAAAGACTGGCTTTTACATCGTTTAACATACCTTGAAGCTTCTTGATGAGGCTGCTAATGGCTTAGGAAAGAAGATTCTCAAGCGTGACCCATTAGCTGATGAATCACTCAACGGTGCACTCAAGAACGCCGTCAAGCGTGACAATAAAGAAGAAAAGAGATTATTGAACGAGAGTTTGAACGGCGCCCTCGCTCACGCCATCAAGCGTGACACTAAAGAAGAAAAGAGATTATTGAACGAGAGCTTGAACGGCGCTCTCGCTGGTGCTCTCAAGCGTGACAACAAAGAAGAAAAGAGATTATTGGACAAGAGCTTGAACCATGCCCTCGCTGGCGCCGTTTAACTTAGCTTCTTGATGCTTTCATGCTTCAAAGAGCACATTAATTTATAATTCTATGTACTCTGTATACAAGCTTAAGTTATTATTTACCTTTACGTAATTTGGAATGCCATTTCCTTTGTAGGAAATAAGTCTACTGCGTGCGTAGAATACATTACCCGAGAATTTAAATAAGAGAACGTTAGGGAATATTTCAATCTTTTAATAAGTACAACCACAAATGAAAAATTTCGCACTAGTCATCTTCGCGGTAATTATACCATTCATGGCGGCCAGACCAATTCCAGTGAGCTACTACACGTTTAAATATCCAAAATACTAATAATAATAAGCAATCGCCAGCTCTTACGCCTGGTTCAATCTAAGAGCAAAACTGATGAAGCACATGTAATATCAATATATCTATTAACATCGAAACATTACAATATTGAGCCCTAAGGTTTTTTCACGAAATAATCACCGATGAAGGCCTATTTGAAACTAGTGTGTTAGTCGCCGATGGATTGGTATGAAGCATGCCATCATCTGGAATTATTTATCAACCACTTGGATAGTCATCCAACAAGGAAAATGGAGTTCATAATTACAATACTCTTGTTACTCGCCGTCCTAATTTCTGCCCTCCCAATTAACGACGAACATAATCTTGGGATTAATAACATCAGAGGTACTGCCAAACCCATCAAAAAGCCCTTACAAAATGACAAAGAGAAGTTCTACCGTATTCAAGTAACAGATTATGAGCCAAATGCAGACGACTATTAAGATGTTTTGTAATTAATCAAGAAGTCAGGTCTGTATCCTAATGAAGTACCCAAGGCCTGTAGGTTTAATAAATTATTCGACCGCCAGAAGTATGCAAAGTTATGACTTTAAAGATGTGACTCAATTTGATCATGCAAATTGGCAACATTTATGTGGGCAAAACCCTACTATACTAAAAGTAAATGTATTAGTTTACAGTATTAAGAGGTCATCATAAAAGTGAAACATTATATCCAAAAGAAATGATGCGCGATTTTGTTGTTTATTTCCTATCTTTTTTGAATAAGTTCTTCATGAACGTTGTTGGTGAGAACTTTAGGACCTTGGTAACGTAGTAGAGTGCATATGCCAAAAATAAGTTTGAGAAAATGTAAAGTGAAAAGATACCGAAGTAACCCCAAGGCCATCCGGAACCTTGGAAGACGTGGATGCTCTCTAAGAATCCGCTTGAGTCACTCATCGGACAATATTGACAGGCGGATGTTGCATCTCCATTCAATAAATAACCTGGAGCATTTTCCGCGTAGACACCAGCGTAAGATTCACAACTCTGTCCTAGCGGTGGATCAAAAGTGGCGAGTTCCCTCTGGTTGCAGTTGATATTAACGTTTCCTGTAGTAGCGCCAATCATACCACCAAGGAAGTATGTTATTGGGTTGATATAGTAGATTGTATAACGCCATATGACGGGAATTGCATCGTATTGTATGATGATACCATTAACCAAGTTGAGAATAACAAGGTGGAAAGTCATAGTATTGAAAACGAACTGAGGAGTGGGTGCAGAGGTACATAACCAAATGCTCCAGAGTGCCTGGAATACGAAGAAGAAAAGTGTTAACATGAAAGTGAGTGCTGCATCACTGCCCGTTCTGATATCGTTACCATCGTGTGTGAATCCAACGGGCCAATATGAAATAATCCTAAAAGATGATCTGTAAAAAATTTCCCTCAATGCCACATTTTCAACTTACCAATAAACTACAGCTTTCAGGAGAGCATAAGGCATTTCAGCTATAATGAAGCTAGTGACAAATGCAAACCATGAGTATGTCTTACTAAGACCCTCCCGGGTGTTGTAAAGACCATACATAGTGAAATACTTTGGAACTAAAGCGTTGATGATTGCAGGTGGCAGTAAGATCATCAAGAATATACTGAACATGCGAGATTGTAAGTCAGTTTGTGTTGTACCAACTTTAAAGAAAGTGAAACCGTTGAAGATTGCAATTATAACCGTTGTGAAGAGCTTTCCGTAACCGTATGAGCTATCTCGCCAATAATTCTTGAGAAGTCTCTCACTGAGGAGCTTGCATTGGACAGCAAGCGGTTGGGAGTATGTCCTGGTCATCATCTTGTTTAGTTCCTTTGGCTTTTGGGATTTCTCGGCATTGATTCTGTCTACTTCTTTCAACACATTCGTCGCTTCCTCTGAGTCACGGTAAAGATCTGAAAAGCTGACTTTGTTTCCCTTAGCATCACGTCCGTAAGCGATCGTTTCGATAGCGTATTCAGCTACATTTTCGTGAGGTTGACATTCTCGAGCACCAATACGCTTGAAGTAGTCTACAATAGCCGACCCATTATCTCCAACAGGACCTTGGTAAACGACTTTACCGCCAGGAGCAAGCAAAAGTAGACGGTCGAAGAATTCCGTAAAGAGTAAACTCGAAGGTTGGTGAATTGTACATAATATAGCTTGACCGGCATCTGCAAGCTTGTTCATAAAACGACCAATCGAGTATGCTGATTGGGAATCTAAACCTGAAGTTGGTTCATCAAGGAAGAGAAGTACATCTGGTTTAGCTGCCAATTCAACCGCAATTGTTACTCTCTTACGTTGTTCGACACCCAAACCAGCTTCAGGTGAACCAATGATAGCATCTTCTAATTCCTTTAATTCAAGAAGCTCGAGAACTTGATCGACATATTCGAGAACCTCAGCACGAGGTGTTTCACGTGGTTGTCTCAGAATAGCTGAGAATTCAACTGATTCGCGAACAGTAGCATAAGGATCGTGTAAATCACCTTGCTGAACATAACCAGTACCTCTTTGGAACGAGTTAAGTTCGAGTGGTTTACCATCGATCAACATATCACCAGTAACAACACCCATTGTCATTCTTTGAGAAAGTGTATTCAGAAGGGTTGTTTTACCTGCTCCAGATGCACCCATAAGAGCTGTGATGGTACCAGGTCTGACATATCCTGTGATGTTATCAAGAAGTCGTTTGTCTCCGGTAGCAGTTGGAACGGTATAGGTAACATTCTTGAAAGTAAAGTCAGCTTCAGATGGTTTGATAGCGCCAGGTTTGATATCAATAGCTGCGCCTTTCTCTTCAACTGAATTTGTCGTAATTCCACTCTCAATATCTCCAGTGAGCGCTTTCTCGGTTTCTTTAGCCTTGGCTTTACCTTTCTCAGTTTTAGCAAATACAGTAACACCGCCACCGTTTCCTGAGAAATCGAACAACTCATTCAGAATAGCTGTAGCTGCGATGTAACCAACTGTATAAGCCATGATATAACCAAAGTTTGGCCAAACGTGGGAATAACTGTATCCGAAGGCTGTTTGAATGTAGTCGTCTCCAGAAATAGTCAAACTACCTGGTACAGAACCTTGGAATGCGCATGTTTGATATTGTTCTTCCGAACCAGGTGCGCCAAGGGGAACAATAGACGACTCATCGCATGTAAGTGTCATACCATGGAATTCATTAGCCATGACAGCCTCGAATGCGAATGGAAGAGGATTGATGTAGGAGATCCACTTGAACCATGACGGCATGTCCATACGAGGAATTACATAACCAACGAATACAACAGCGATGTTGAATGCAGCTACTGAGAATCTCAAACCTTCGTTGAAGGTTGGACTGAGTGCACTAACTGCACGATAGAATTGAGTGAGTGCAAATGCACTGCTATATACACTGTAATTCTTAATTAAAACACTACGAATGATATGTGCTACTCACAATAAGTAGTAAATCCAGAACTTTCCAGCCTCGTATTGAAGTGAAGCCAAGAAATAGACAATGATTGCCATCAGAGAGACAAAAACAAAGAGTAGGGGTATGTCGCATAATACTCTAGCAAAAACGACAGCAGATGGACGATAGTAAGCGAACTCCTTGTGTCTCTGAATGATAACACGGCCATTCACAGCATCCCAAATCTCTGGTAGCTGTAACCAACCAATGAACAAAATAGAGAAGAATAGAACACCACCGCGACCAAACGCTAAAACAAAATTAGCAAGGCAAAGCACATCTCAGACATTGTTTCAACTCACCTCCACCGGAACTTTGTGCTTCACCATAGAATAGCGACGCGACGACAAATGAGCAAATGAGAATTGTTCCAAGCTTAGTATAATGACCATCTAATTGTCCAAGTTGTAATTGAATTTGACGAATAAAGCAATAATAAATTTGTTCAGTGTATGAGACAGTGTAAGGTGAGCTCTTAGCCATACGTCTCTTCTTATCTTCCCGAACGGATTTCTTGAAGTCGTCTAACTGATCCTTCTCGGCATCAAATGATTCATCAGCAGAAGCGACAGCACGTTGATAGTAGTGAGAGTTCCTATATGCTCGTTCAAGCTCTTCAGGCGTACGTGGGGCAAGGCTTTCCCAGCCTTCTTTGATAGTACGCTCGTGAATGTCTGTGATTCCCGTCAAGAAATCTGCCGAGGTTTGACGTGGTGGTTTGTAGAAACCTATGCTCTCAAAGTACGCACATGCCTCGTTTGCTGGACCATAGAAGATACAGCGACCTTCATCAATGACGCATACCTTATCGAACAGCTCATATATACCTTCACCAGCTTGATAAAGGGTTGCGATTGATGTACCACCGGTTATATCTGTAATAATTCTCAAAGAGCGCACGTAGTCAACCGCCGTGCTGGCATCCAAACCACGTGTAGAATTGTCCCAACACATTACAGATGCGCGACTAATAAGAGTTTCAGCAATTGAGACTCTCTTGCGCTCACCACCAGAGACACCTCTAACAACATCGTTTCCGACAATCGTGTTAGCAGTGTGTTCGATACCGAAAATCTTCAAGAGTGCTTCAAGGATATAATTGACAAATTCTGATCTTTTCATACCTGGTGGACGTATACGTGGTACTTTCTCACGAATTGCGAATGCGAGTGTTTGAGCAACAGTGAGAGTTGGGAAGTGAATATCTTCCTCTGTGTTTATAACGACCTCACCACGGTACTTCTTCTTGACTTCTTCTGATGAGAGTCCACCATAACTAACATGACCGTCGACTGAGACAAAATCTTCTCTCTTGTTTGCAAGTGCTTTGAGGAAGGTGGTACAGCCGCTTCCGGGTCTACCCAAAACCAACATCATTTCACGTCCATGTAGAGTACCAGTAAATGAGTTAACCAAGTTGCGAATGGGTGGCTTTTTACCAAATATCTTCAATTGAGGAATGTAACCAGTAATGAAATAATAAGCATCAGGACCAAATGTTGACACGATAGCCTCTGGAAAGGTTTTGACGAAGGTGGATCCACTTCCGGCACCTTTAACCTATATTTCATCAGTTTGAAACATAAAATGCAAATTTTTCTTACCGTGAGATCTTTCCATGTAAGTCCCAAGTGTGGTTTGTGTGTCTTACCTGCTTCAGTATATCTCTTCCTATCACCTTCAATGAATGTTTTTAAATCGAAGTCCTTTTCCTCAGACACCTCCTCATTTTCCTCATTGACGGTTGCTTCCGAGATGCCAAGCGAAGGCCTTCTAGCGTCAGCAGGCGTTTGTTGTTGTTTGGATTCACCGCTCAACCTCCTAGAGAGATCATAGAATACTTGCTTTGAATCTTCTACGTTTACATTGTTCTCTGAGTCCCAGTTGTATTCCTCAATTCTGAGTGGTTGAATGGACTGTTTTGTCGGCATACAACGATATTCGATGTTAATGATACAAGTTAGAGAAGTACATGCGACTACATCGCAGATTATATATAAGGTCGAGAACTTGGTCTAATAAGTATACAAACATGTAGGAAACAGATACCGGTAATATAATAGAGAGCTACAAGACTTTTTAGTAGTATTTGGCGTCTTTCTTTATCCCCAACGGAGGGTATCGCCGTGTCGTCATAACTTTTGTAACTGAGGATTTATAAGCAGACTTCCGGATAAATCTAGATAAAAAATTTTCTAATTAATTTTTAATATCATTTGCGATTACAATGTATATATACGAGTGGTCTGATTACCCCAAGTTACCGGTTTTGTTACCCCGGATGATGACAAAAAGGAAGATTGTTATTTGTTAAGGTGAGCCACAATTTGTAACTACATGCATATTAATTGCTGGGTTACAAACGAGTATTTTAAATCACACTGCATTTCTTCCAAAGAGAATACTGTAAAAGTGCATGTTGTACATTTAACATGAACATAATGAAATCTAAAATATCGTTTTAATATTATCATAATCATCATACTATGCAATTCACTTTCGGGTGAAGTATTTTTCAAATAGAATAAGGTTTTGCTTTGCATTTGAGACAACAGTGACACAAATACATGATAAATTTTGGAAAATATACGAATAAAATGTACATTAAATCGAATCTAGTATGTGTTACAACAAAATATAATTACAAAAGAACCAATATGAAGTAGTTACTTTGTAGCTTCACAAGTGAGCTTGCGGATTGAATTCTATAAAAGAAAGAAGTCTATAAAGTTCCTCCACCGCTAAGGAAGGCGCCTAAAACATTTGACCAATCCTGAGTCGTATCTGGCATTACGTTATCCAGCGGAGGCGTCCCGCCAATGCCCAAAGATGCCGCATCGACCGAATGAAATTGTGCTTGTCCAAGTAGATCCTCGAACAGTTGTTCGTTTTCTGTTTGATTTGGTGGTGTATCCAGGAAGGGTAAGTGTGGCAAGAAGTAATCTGCTGACGATGTTCCATATGACTATAATTGTCAGACTGAGTAAGTAACGAAATAAAATAACTCACTAAATTCTCCTGAGCTTGCATAAATGATGGATCCATTGGGAGATTAGCAGACTTGAGAATTTGCATGATCATATCTACCGCACGACCGTTAAGAATTTCACGTTCTTCTCTAACACGTAGTATTTGTATACCTGATTGTATATACTCCAAGACAGACGCGTCAAAGTCATTTTTCATACTTTCGCATGCGCTTATAATAAGGATTAACGTAGCACTGAAGGGCTAGGAAATGTTAAAATGTCAGCCTATCTACATAGAAACTACTCACACCCCATGCTACCATCGGATCAACCCAGAGATGTTGCATGCCTCTCTCAAGGATCAGATTACGATATATTGATATGATACTACGTGAAGAGTTTGCGCAAATTACCAAACTGGTGAAGCGGAAGCTTGAAGTAGTTTTTGATCTTGGGTCAGGGAGGAATGTCTTGTAAAGATGGATCTGGGAGCGACATGAGCGTTTTGAACAAACAGGGATTAATACTCACCTGCACAACATGGAAAGCTAATTTCAGGTTGCAGAACAACTGGAAGACAAACTCATCCTTTCCGTCTCTACCGTCCAATAGTTGTTTGGGCAATTCGGTAAGCCATTTGTTCAACTTCGAATTAAGTGAGGCAATATCTGTCAATGTGATAAGCAAGTCATCGCCATTAGACGTCTTCCGGAGTTTGTACTGAAGGTGAGTTAGAACTATTGAGGATACAACGAAAAACCCACTATGGTCTGTATGATCTGACCGTGTATCTTATACAGTTGTATCAATTGTTTAAAATATAGAAGACTGTAATTAGTAGACATATCTTGAACTTCATCGCCGTAGATTTCTGGCAAATCCACACTAATTTCATTGTCCTTCAGCAAAACTTGTCTGCCAAAAGACGAAGCTTGCACACGATCCATCAAATAGAGCGAATAGAAGGCCCTCTTACGTAGTTCCAAATCGTAAGGTTCAATGTTGGCGTTAAGCCAACGTAGGTGTAATCCAATATCTTGTGCCAATAATATTGAAGTACCATGAATCATCCAACCACTTCGAGAGTGCATACCTTTTTGTACGTATATTTGTAATAAAATTAAGGCCTGTATGTCTTCAATCGTGGCCACATCCATCACGGGGTCTAACATCTTACTTTTAGCAATACTGTAGTATCTAAAACCAGCTAGAAATTGATGTTGGTGGCCTTCAACCATAACACGTTCATCGTTGGAATATTGAGCGCCTAATGCACAAATCAAAATCAAAAGAGTTCCAAACCCCCGTTCGTATTTTCTATGGGAAATTTCATTCTTGAATCGCTTCTTATTGAGTAATGGAAGTGTACTGTTGACCTTCTCAAAGTATAAATCAATTAGTTCTTTCACTAAATCATTCGGACCAAAGTCGTTGTCGGTATAAGATGCTGTTGGATGGGAAGGTACATCGTCGAGGACGAAATCTTCCTGCCAATATTGAGGTCTTTTTCCGCTTAAAAGGGTGACAGGTGATACGCCCGTGTAGATATTCAAGCGTTCTATCAAACCCCTCATACTGGCTTTACCAAAGAAACGCTGCTTCTCTGGGTGAGTGTGTTTCCTTTGTCCGTCACCGAGAAGACATCCCATCTTTCTGCAATTTTCAGACATTTCATCCACGTAAAAGCCGTCATCCATTTCAGCTGCCTCTGTGTGGTTTATAGGGGTAGACTGAGGCTCTTGAATTGGTTGATGCTTTTCTAATAATCTTTTGTAATCCTCGAGTAAATTCTCCGTTTGTTTTAGCTGATTGTAGTGTTAGTTGAGATCCTAGTGTGCTAAGAGTAATCGTACCTTTGATTCTAATTCATTGACGTAGCTGGGGTTGTGATACCCTCTATTAGCTTCATTATAAGTACACTCTATAGTTTTACAGTTTGTACACTTCTCTGGATAGGTTTGGTCTGCGTTACAGCGTATCTTCTTCTTCCTTGTCTTCTGTTAGAGGTGTGTGTTGTTGTTTGTAGGATCTCACCTGCAACCATCACACTATAAGGAGATATTAACAAACTATTAGAGCTCTTCTAGTATAAACCTACAGCTCTCGTTATTTTAGATTTTTTGTTCGGATTCTTCGAAGACATCATCGTCGTACATCTCTAGGAGATTTTTGTTATTTTACTATTATTTATTTGTTGTTATGCAATTTCAATAGAATAATTGATATAACACGGTTATCTTAATAGCCTATCTCCACTTGGATTCCCTACAAAAAGCGGAGATGACGTCCCTACTTCCGGGGTAGACTAGAGTTGGATTGTAGAAGAGGTGGTGCTGCTGATAACGGATAGAATGTTTCTGGTGCACGATTCTACTTCTATCTTTCCTTAAGAACTTACAAGTCTAATAGTGAACCCTATATAAAAGACAATACGATCACATACACAGGAATAGTTACCGGCTGCTTAGTCTATACATTTTAGTTTATTAGCAAACAAAATTATCCAGATTGCTTATTTATGAAATCGACTGGCTCTTATCGCTTTCCACTCCGATGATGAGCATTTTCTGATAAAATATGGGAGCTGAACTCAGAATAGACTTACCTAGCTCACACAACGTTATCACTTTTGGTCCGCACGATCCTCATAAGGAGCTAAGAGGGATAGCCCATCTGTCTTTACCTTCAGCACGTTCTATCAAATCAATCGATGTCGAATTTAAATGCGTTGAAGAGGTACACCTTAGTTCGGGAAAGGAAAAGCATGAGTTACTCTCTGAACGCTTCAATTTATATGGACAGAAAGTTTTAGAAAAGGGCACACACGAGTGAGTCATAGTGAAATACATCATATATGAGCTAATTTCCTAGATTCGACTTCTTCTTCAACGTTCCGAATTGCTTCGTCTATGAGAGGCACTCACATGGTACCTGCCATCAGTTTTTATATGCTACTGTCCAGTTCGACGAATGGATCGCTTTTCCTCTTACACACAAGTTAGATTTACTCTTCGCGGCACATCCACATGGCTGGGGATATATCCCCTTTGGCGAGAGTGTACAGAATCACATTGACGGTTTAGGACCGATAGAAGTTGCATTCAATACGCGGCATCTTACTGTCAGTTGCGTCATAGAGACAACCCTCCATCTACCAAACGCAGAAAAAGATCTGCAAATACATGGTCTACGGTTGAGCGTTGAACAGAGTACTATCTTATGTTCGCGTTCAAATCCCAACCTGGTTGAGAAATTACCGCCACTTACATTGCCAATGTTAAACATCGGTAGTAATAAACTCACCACCAATATCCTTCCTGAGCGATTGAGTACAGCATACCCAATCAAAGGCCGTTATCTTGCACGCTTCCCAGATGACCAATTACTCAGAGGTAGCTCTTTTGAATTCGTCGACAGTGCTATTAAACATCAGCATAAACTCCTTTTGGAGATTTGGCACAGCACATACACAAAAAAGCAAGTATTCAAAGCCAGGATAGCAATGCCTGTTAGGATTCCTCATTGTCTTCTCTCTTTTGATTCCGTTCTGCTACCGAAATATGAAGATCATGTTAAAACCAAGCAACTACGTCAGAATGATAAACGTGATTATGCTGGAATTGGTAAAGAAAAGCAGGAAAGCTGTAACTGCACAAAGACATATGAAGAGGCTAAAGCCGTTGCTATGTCTATGTACGATATTGTGTCGCCCATTGATAGAAATACAGGCGTATCCAACAAAGAGGGGTTCTGGATTTCTCCAGAAGATAGAGAGCTTACTAAGAAAGGTGATCCACCAAAATACCTATATGTTCCAGAAGAAGAGCACGAAAGTATGTTTTAGGATATGTGAACACTTGTTACTCTTATAGACGTTATGTTGTTTAATCTGTTAAAAATGTATGTAATTTTTAAGTTGAAAGGCTCATATTTTTCTGTGACATTAATTACGTGTGTTTGTTTGTTGAATTGAGAATTTCCTTGAGTCCAAAATTTACAAATTCTGGCAGCATTTTCAATGAAATCAGATGTGCTTGCATCAAATATGCTTTGATCGGTTACGTTAAATTACTTGTTTGTATCACAAACATTACATGCCGGTAGAACGTTGTATCTTTCACGCATGTCACAAATACAAACATTCACATAAATGCGATCATAAGAGCTTAAGAGCTTCATTGCTTCCTCCACATCCTAAATGACCACGACGCCGCCTGGTAAGTATTTGAATCAATAATTACATTCTTTTTATACTTCGTTAGTAGAGTTTCACATTGGTTTCAAGCCAGAGGCAACGATTCAAGATTTCGATAGAGTTCACGATCTTCTCCTACAATACAACATTATCATATCAGATATCGATAGATTTCCAGCAAATGGTGTGAAGTGGATTATCGCGGAAATTTCAGAGCAACTTATAGAGGTTCTCGATATAAGCTCACATCCCGGTGTACACATCGTCGTCAGTATCAATAGATCGCGTTTCTCCCCATACAGCTCTCCCGAACGAGACTGATAACTACAAGGCTAAACTGCATACCACATCAGTTAGGCAAAAATAGTATAGATTTGTATAGTCAGTTTTTCTATATAACTTTGCATTTGGTTTATGCTCAAAGGAGGTCCGCATAGAAGATAAAAAGTTTCGATCATTGATGTCTGCAATAGACAAACATCCCTAGTTTGAAGCTGTAGGTATCAATTTAAAGGATCAGCAACTTCATCCCATTGATCACATAGTGAGTCCTAATTCGTCCTCGCTTAGTAATGAAAATAAATGAAATAACACTTGAAAATTTTGTGGTTGTCTCAAAACAAACAACTTCATATTAATCTAATACAGCATCATATGAGTTAAATGAAAATGAAAGACCAAAAATTCAGCAGTTGTTCGGCGAAGGTTAAGTATGTTTAGTACTTCTCATTCTTGTCTTTTTGCTTACCATATTCTTTGTCGTCTTTCTCTTCATCTTTCTTGTCATCGTGCTTGTTCTCCTTATCGTGCTTCTTGCCATGCTGCTCACTCTTCTTCTCGTCATTCTTCACTTTGTCAACTTTCTCGTCGTATTTGTGATTGTTGTCTTCCTGATCATCTTTCTTATCGTCGTATTTCTTGAGAGCATGTTTGTTGTCATTCTTATCTTTCTCATTCTTCTCGTCATGCTTGAGATCCTTTCCTACGCATTTATGATCCTTATTGTTATGATCGCCTAGTTTCTTATCATCGTCCTTCTTATCTTTCTCCTCATACTTCTTAGCAGTTTTGCCTTCCTTGTGATCATGGTTCTTGATATTTTTGCCATCATGCTTTTTAGCATCTTTGTTGACCTTCTTGTCATCCTTCTTGTCAGATTTGTCAGACTTCCAGTAGTTGGAGTCTTTGTCATGATTTTCATTGCCTTTGTCTTCCTTTAAGCTTCTTGAGTGCTTTTTGTCATCTTTACCTTCATTGTCGTACTAATTTGTGTGTAAGTATTATAGCAAATGTGCTCTTATCGCCTACCTTATTGTCGTCAAATTTATACTTTTCTGAAGCTTGCTTTACCAATTTGAGCTGTCTCTCGAGTTCATTTTGGTGCTCCTTGAGCTGTTCAATGTGTGCATTCTTGTCCTTCTTATCGTAATCGTAGCTATCGTTATAGTCTACGCGCTTGTCATCACCGCCATGAATGTTGACATTATGTTCGCTAGAAGTTGGAGCAGCAGCGACAGATGTAATAGCACCAGTGATTGCGATAACAGTAGAGATCTTTGATGGATTGAAGTACATTTCGAATTGTAAAGAAGCAAGAAGATAGATTGAACCCTTATATATCCCATTAGGCTGTTAATTCAGCTTCATATGTTCACAGCACAAGTAACCAAGTGACAAGGCTGAATTTGCGCCACACTGGTCTAGCAAATACAGACATGGTAGCCATTGAAAGCACGTTCATGAGTACGTCCCTCGATAGTGGCTTTACAACCAAGACAAGCTGAATCGATTAGCCGCTTGTTTACATCCCTCAAAAGTATTCCAATACTTCCGGATAACCTTCGGCTAAATACATTCGGACGAGATGCGACTGATTATCAAGATTGATCTGATATCCGATTAGATAACCCTAATCGATCTAATCACATATAAAGTTCTTTGTTCAGTGTCTCCCTGTATTACAAGAAAATGAAGTTCTCATTAATAGGTCTATCTCTAGTTATTGCAGTAGCAACTGCCGGTCCAATTCAACGCTGCGTCCCAGACGATCCAACCAGCTGTGAGTGTAAATGAGCTGGTTTCGCTAGAGTGATGACATTTTAGGTGGTGCTAAGTAAGCACTTGTCGTCTATATGACATTCTAACAGTTGTAGCGTTTCGAAGAGATTTATTCCAGATGATCCAACTTCCGGCCCTATCACAGGAAAGAGATGTGTCGTTGATGACCCAACACCATGCCAATCTAACTAAGGAGTTCTTTGTATCGATGGATTATATAATTTTTAATTTCTTACCTGAGATAATCGTATTCTCATACGACGAACACCAACGTCCCAATATTGATTCTGAGAAAGTAAATAAGAAGCGACCACAGTCGGATTTACAGCAGCAAGGGAATGTATCCAAAAATACTGTAGAGGATGTGGAACTCAACCAACATGACACACAAATTGACAGTGATGACAGAACTCCAAGCTTTCTGCAGGTCATGAAGCAATTGAGCTTTATTGATAAGGTTATCCCTTTTTTGGTGCTCATTTCTATGATAATTGGTGTTGTTATTGGTGTATTCGCTAAAGATGGGGTAGACAAGACGCTCAATAATCTAGAATGGCATGGTACACCAATACCACTGCTTATTGGTCTACTGATTATGATATTCCCTCCTTTAGCTGCCGTGGAATGGGAGCTTTTTCCTTCGCTTTTCAAATCGGCATCATTATGGCTACAATTAGCAGTATCTTTTCTTATAAACTGGACCATAAGCCCATTTGTTATGCTCGCGCTTGCCTGGATTACCCTACCAGACGGCAGAATGGAGAGGTATCGGAGGGGCGTTGCATTGGTAGGAGTTGCTCGATGTATCGCAATGGTTATGATCTGGAACACGATAGCTCGCGGTAACAATAATCTTTGCGCTATGAACGTCATCATCAATTCGATTCTTCAGATTATCTTATTCTCACCCTATGCCTTGCTATTCGTTAATATTCTAGCAAGTGCATCTTCAAGTTCTCCCAACTTGGAAATAAATTACCAACAAGTAGCTACCATAGTAGCTATCTACCTGTGTCTACCCTTAGCAGCTGGCTTGTTAACCCGCTTAATTGTTAAGCTGACTATGACGAGCAGCGGCGAGAATAGATTCTTCAATTGGATAAATCATTTAGCCACTATAGGTTTACTCTATACGATTATTGTAGTCTTCGCCAACCAAGGGAAGGAGGTCATAGATAATATCGGGAAGGTGTTTCGGACAATGGTACCTTTGGCTTTCTATTTCATTATTATGTGGTCTGTCAGTTTCGCTAGTTTTTACAGTTTGCATAAGCGCCGTTCCCAACAGCATAAATGGATTGCCAAGTTGTCAACAGGTGGATATGAGCAAATCGTTGCTCAATCTTTCACGGCATCATCAAACAATTTCGAGCTTGCGATAGCAGTCTCAACTGCAGTTTTTGGTGCGGATGCCCCAGAAACATTAGCTGCTACTTTGGGTACATTGACAGAAGTGCCAATCTTACTTCTTTTGAGTTATGTGGCTTTGTATTTAAGAAGAAGACTCCGGTGGTAGGAGATGTCGGGTATTTTCGAATAAAATTGGAAAATCATCCGTAACAGACTATCTGATTTATGTCAAACAGCGCATTTCAAGCTTTTTTTTTTCATCGAGACCAAGGGGTAGTTTACGCACATACGCACATTTACGAAACACGGCTATCACAAAGATCTCTAGCTATTGTTGCATGTTAATTTGAAGACGTGAAAACTTTGCATGATCTGCATCGGAATGAACGCTACTTGAGATTGGAATGCACACTAAAATCAAGACTTACAAAGGGAGATTGTCCCTTGGTTTAGAGCTCCGCCATTCTTAATGAAATTCTCACTCGCACTTATCGCACTCGTTGCTGTTGTTTCTGCAGTCCCAGTTGTGGGTGTCTCAGTGAAGTGAAGTGTTTTTGCTGATAATTCTCTAGAAACGCTCAGACGGTGGCTCTGGTGAATGGGCAAACGGTGCTACATCAGACACTGCTGCTACATCAGGTTCATCAGATAACTCGGATCATGACCTTCTTAGAAGGGGATTCCTTACACGTGGTGAGCACGGTGACTCTGGCGAATGGGCAAACGGTGCTACCTCCAACACTGCTGCTACATCTGGTTCATCAAAGGGCTCAGATGGCGATCTCCTCAAGCGTGGCATTGACTTGAAGCGTGGTGAGCACGACGGTGACTCAACCTGGGCAAATGGCGCCACCTCCAACACTGCTGCTACCTCTGGTTCATCAGAGAACTCAGATCATGACCTCCTCAGAAGAGGACGCCTTACACGTGGTGAGCACGGTGACTCTGGCGAATGGGCGAATGGTGCTACCTCCAACACTGCTGCTACATCCGGCTCATCAAAGGGCTCAGATGGAGAGCTTCTTAGAAGAGGAGTAGTGAAGCGTGATGAGTGGGCTAACGGTGCCACCTCAAACTCTGCAGCTACCTCAGGTGAATCTGAGCATTCAGATCATGATCTCCTTAGAAGATCTGGCGGTCCAGGGGGCTCAGGTACATGGAACTACGGCACAACCAAATCATCCCACGCTGGTTCAGGTAGCTATGAAAACAAGAAAGGCGAGCTTCTCAAGCGCGACGATAAGGGATCTTCAGGTACATGGAACACCGGTGCAACAAAATCAACCTCAGCTGGATCAGGTACCTGGGAAGGCAAAGGTGGCGATTTGCTCTAGACGATTTATTTGTAATGATACTTTATATTAATGTTATAAACTTTTTAATGAAAATTATTTATCGTGGATATACTTCGTGATGATGACTTATTGAAGATTATTAGTAAATTATTGATTTACAACCGTTAGACAAATTTAAAACTTGGCGTGATTTATATTTGGTATGAAGTTTGATGTTTCGGAATGTGACGCTAAAAATGAATTCGAGACTAAAAAGTACACTAAGCGAAGATTTAAATTGTGGAATTTGCTTCCTGTCTAATCCTTTAAACTTTATATCCATAATGAAATTCTCACTCGCTCTTGTCGCGCTCGTTGCTGCTGTTTCTGCAGTCCCAGTTGTGAGTGTCTCAGTGAAGTGAAGTGTTTTTGCTGATAATTCTCTAGAAACGCTCGGACGGTGGCTCTGGTGAATGGGCAAATGGTGCTACCTCCAACACTGCTGCTACATCTGGTTCATCAAAGGGCTCAGATGGCGATCTCCTCAAGCGTGGCATTGACTTGAAGCGTGGTGAGCACGACGGTGACTCAACCTGGGCAAATGGCGCCACCTCCAACACTGCTGCTACCTCTGGTTCATCAGAGAACTCAGATCATGATCTCCTCAGAAGAGGACGCCTTACACGTGGTGAGCACGGTGGTGACGCTACCTGGGCAAACGGTGCTACATCAAACACTGCTGCTACATCCGGTTCATCAGAGAACTCAGATGGTGACCTTCTCAGAAGAGGACTCAAGCGTGATGAATGGGCTAATGGCGCTACCTCAAACTCTGCTGCCACCTCAGGTGAATCCAAACACTCAGACGGTGACCTCCTCAAGCGTAAACTCAAGCGCGATGACTGGGCAACTGGAGCTACCAGCTCTTCAAGTGCAGGTAGTGGATCCTTTGATCACAACGATGGTGATCTCCTTAAGCGTGGTGTTACTGAAGAGGGTTTCGATCCTGTCAATGGTGGTATTAGACGTGGTGTTGACCTCGATGATGATCTCCTCAAGCGTGATGTTGCTGAAGAGGGTGTGCTCAGTAAGCGTCAAGAGGAAGAAGAGTAAATTTTTCATGTACTCAAATAGTTGTTTTATTTATAATGAGCTTTGTCGACAGTTACGAGTAGCATAGAAATCAAATGGATATCCCGAGGATAGATGAACTGAATTCTGAGTAAATTGAATGATATGTTTCACAGGGTCTAGAAAGTCCAACTGATATATTACCTAGAATGCTCCTACTAGGTACCTCGGGTGCCGCATTTTAGAGGATATTACGTTTACCTCCTTGTAAGACAAACTTATGAAAACATTTCCTTCGTGATTACGATACGAGATGGATTTGCTAGTTATGTGGAATTGAGAATTTATGTCAAAAAGAAAGCTTACACTTGACCTTCCATAATACAAACATTCTTACAATCAGAGGTACCTCTAATGAGTTTGGTGACTCCTGAGGTGTCTTAATGCTGCAGATTTTGTGAAATTACCAAGCGTCAAAAACTGTGACTCTTAAGAGAATCATAGTTTGATTGTGTTGAGATATTGGAAAAATGTGTTTATAAATACAGAATGTGTTAGTATAAAAGTGTTGGTTGATCATAATAATAACGTGGGTACCTCGCAGGTCCGCTTATAAAGGAAAAATAAGCGCTAGTAAAAGCATGTCATGATACTACTAATGGTGGAGCAGAGAACCAAGATTCTGATAGTAACTAACGTGGTTCTTTATGACGTCCAAGATGGAAGATGATAAGAGAGACGTAAGGGCACTTCCTGAGGGTTTATTACCACCACACACAGCGCCATTAGTCAAGAGAATACCAGTAAAGTTGAATAGGAAGATGAAGAACCTGAACATAGTCCAGTTTCCGATGAACGAGAAGCCACTAACGGGGAACCTAAAGGTAGACTACAAGAAAGAGAACAAGAAGATAAAAATCTACGCTGACATGGACAAGAGGGAGGTAGTCTTCAATAAGAATGTCGATATGCAGAAGCTCGAGTTTGATTCACAGATGATTGGTAGGAATACAAACTATTTCATTGGCGTTATACAAGACGACGAGCTGCACTTGAATGAGGTAGACAGTCTACACCAGATGAGAGTAAATTTGAACAACCTGGCTAAGAAATCAACTGAGGATGTCGAGGATATACCTGAGGAGGAGGTAGAGACTAAGAAGCAGCCGGTCAGCTACAAGTTCATAGGGGTACAAGCGCAAGGGGGAGATAAACAGCCGCAGTCTGCTATACAGTCAATAATAAGGAAGGAGCAAGACGAGGACTACCTGGGCTACGGATGGCGAGAGTACAACAGCAACCAATCGAATGAAGAGTACAGCAGAATGTTCACTAGCTCGTCTGAGCGACTAACCAACAAAACCCATTTAAAAGATTTCTTCAGCGTCTAATGTCATCATCGACTAATGAAATATTAGCGAAAAGGCTAGAATTACTAAATTATTTATACAATTTATTAGAAAGTGATTACAATAAACCATTTTATAATGATAGTAAGCAGTCGAGAAAGAGATCCCAGTTTTTATCCAATTGGTCAATCGACAGACTAGTCAAGGATCCCACCCCGGTCTCTCTCTATAACAGGAGCAGCAATAGCCAGTCTTCCTATTCTCACTCGTTGACGCCCCTGCCAACTCAGCTCCACCCGGACAAGAAGAGAAAGAGACGGTCGAGTCTATACAAGATACAAGCCTTATATCAGTATCAGCCTCTATTTAAACACCTGCAGTCTACGAAATCTATCTCGCAAAATGACTGGAATCTCGCCAAAAACGAAATCAAATACAACAAGGTTATCAACAAAATAGACAGTCTACAGAACTCGGACGTCGGTTGGTCATTCAAGCAGCCAAAGAAGCACAAAGGTGTTCCCATCAACTACTCCCATTGGGATCATCTATTAGAGCACGTAACCTGGTTGCAATCTGATTACAAGTCGGAAAGAATGCTGAAATTATCAATAGCTGCCTTACTAGCAAAGGAGTGTCAGAAGTGGCATACGCTGTCTCCATCTGATAGGAAATCCATCACTGTAAGCTCTTATATACCCCAATCAACCGCAATGGATCTAGATGAGAAGCCGGTCCAGCAAAGCAGACAACCGCTTTTGGAACCTACAATCAATCCTGTCGTCGATCTGGAAAAACTCTCAAACGGTCATTTGAATGATTTGTCCCAATTCTTCCCAGATTTACCTTCATACGACATCAAGAGTGCGACACAGGAGACCCGCTACGACCCATCGAGTTCGCAATCGTCAAAGTTGACACCAGTTAACAGACTGATGGACTACAAACTCACGCTTGTTAGTTCACTCGAACCAGGTAAGCATCGAGTACAGAACGAATGGGATCTCGATTCTTTCGATAACCAAACAAGTACACTCCAGAATGTTTTTGATGAGCCTTACAATCCACTTTCTGGGTCCTCCTCTGCTCCAACTCTGAGTGATCTCTTCTCAGGAAAGAAGCCTAAATCAGACAAAGATAAACTGAATAACCCACCAAGTGGTGTACCATCTACAAGTCTACACTGGTCAGGTGAAGACGATGGATTACTCACCATGCTAGTCAAGCAGTACGGATATAGTTGGAATTTCATCGCTGATGTTTTCAATGGTAGTACCTCCTACGGATCACATCGACCACCTGATAAGAGAAGCCCAATTGATTGTCACCAACGCTGGAAACAGAAGACAGGTGGGGCATCTGCCGATACCCCAGCTGCTTCGACTCCTTCAGCTCAAGAAAGAGAGAGGAATGAGAAGAGCAAAAAGGATACGAAGAAGAAACTCAACTTAAGTGAACAACCTAGGAGAGCTCTACGTCGTTCGCAGCTCGTGGGAATCATTGGAAAATCTAGCAAAAAGCGCGAGAAGGACACATCGAAGAGGGAATGTGAGTGGCTCTTATCCATCAATACCGGGTACTAACGCTGAACAGCGCAACAGAAACGAGTTAGTCTATTTGCACATGAGACGCACTCCACGGATGTTTCGAAACTCCAAACAGATCCAATAGCATTGAGCACGCTGAAGGCAGAAAGAGATAGGCAAGTGCAGGCGGAATTTTTCAGGAGACAGCAAGCCTTGGCCTACAGACAAGCTCAGCAGTATTTGATGAAAGGGGGCAACCCTAAAATGCTGCCGCCAAATCACCCGGTAGCAATTGCAGCAGCGGCAGTCGCCCAAGGGAAAGGACCAGGGTCGCCTGGTGCGCAACAGCAAGCTACGTTTGCACAATCGCCGCAACTCCAGCAAGCGGCGCTGATGGGTGCCAACAATGCCCAGCTGCCTCCGCAATTGCAGCAGCAGGTGAGGATGCAACAACAGGCTATGATGAGACAGCCGAATCAGCAAGGACAACAACCGGCCAGACCGCCAAACGGATTGCCTAACGGAATGTCTGTCCAGAACCTCCAGCAACTGGCGAGCCTGCCAGGCTTCGCTAATGGGACGGGTAACCCGGAGCAGTTACGGCAATTGCTAGCGCAAGCTAACATGCAAAATAACAGCAACAACTAAAGTGAATAACTATTAATTCATTGTATTATAAGATAATTTTTTTCATTGTCATAGCGCTTCAGACTGACTTCTCTTCTTTTCAGAGACGCGAGGAAAACGAGACTAAAGTGAGTAGGAGAGCAGAAAATAGACAGGCGAATAACTAAAGGCGTTCATAAGATAATGTCAACTAATTTGTCCCTTTACGACGTTCTAGCGGATGGCTGCCATAAGTATATACCAAAGGAATACCACCTGCCATCTTACTTGATGAAGTGGACACCTGGTGTCACGCCATTGAGCACAACGCCAGAAGTTGGCTACGCTATCGTCGCTTACCTCGCTATCATCTTTGGTGGTAGGGAAATCATGAGAGGCAGACCGGCATTCAAGTTGAAGATACCGTTCCAAATACATAACACTATCTTATACGTTGGTAGTGCTTTGTTGTTGGCCTTAATGGCTGAGGAAGTTGTTCCAATGATCTACAAGCATGGATTTTACTACTCAATCTGCAACACATCAGCCTGGACTAGAAGATTAGAATTTTACTACATTGTGAACTACTATTTCAAGTATATTGAACTTATCGACACCGTTTTCCTCGTTTTGAAGAAGAAACCATTGGCATTCCTACACGTATTCCACCACGCAGCTACTGCAGCACTCTGCTACACACAGCTCGAGGGTGAAACAGCCGTCTCATGGGTCGTCATCTCACTCAACTTGGCCGTACACGTTTTGATGTACTACTACTACTACGCAACCGCAGGTGGAAAGAAGATATGGTGGAAGAAGTACTTGACTACAATGCAAATCACCCAGTTCATCATTGATATCTTTATTGTTTACTTTGCAACATACCAGCACTACGGATACAGATGGGGATGGCCTCACGTCGGCGACTGCACTGGATCACGCTTTGCTGCGTTCTGCGGCTGTGGACTGTTGACCAGCTACTTGTTCCTCTTCATCGCCTTCTATATCAAGACCTACAAGACGGGCAAAGGTGCGACAGTCCAGAAAGCAGTCACCGAAGCCGGTACAGCAGGCGTCAAGACGAATTAAAGTACTATTAGAGATATATTTCCTACTTTTTAATATAAATTTTTTAAAATATATTATCTTCGTTATCTACTACCAAGATGCTCGAAGGAGTAGTCGCTGGCCTCCTCAATAGATTCCTATCTGCCTACATAGACAACCTAGACTACAGCCAGCTGAACGTCGGTATATGGTCTGGTGATGTCAAGCTCAAGAACCTCAAGCTCCGGAAAAGCGCACTCGACAAGTTCAGGCTCCCGGTAGACGTCAACGAGGGCTATCTTGGTGAACTCACGCTCTCGATACCGTGGAGCAATCTCAAGGGGAAGCCCTGCAAGGTCACTATCGATAATGTATACCTCATCGCACTCCCAGCTGGGGCCAGCCAGGTGCGTCGATCACTACCTCTTCTTCCGCGCTAACCCCGACAGTTCGATCCAGAAGAAGACCAGAGGCGTGCACAGCAGGTCAAGCAGGAGCGTCTCGAAAGCGCAGAGATCCTGCTCAACTCTCAGGCCAGCCCTGGGATGTCTCCCGAAGAGGAGCAGAAGAATCAGAGCTTTGCTAACAGCCTTATGACTAAAATACTCAACAACTTGCAAGTCGTCATCAAAAATATCCACTTACGTTATGAGGATGATATCAGTGCACCTGGTTCATCTTTCGCAGTCGGTCTTACATTGGGTGGATTCTCTGCTGTATCCACAGACGATAATTGGGTCCCTACTTTCATTGAAGAAGGCCAGACTGGTATACGGAAACTCGCAAAGCTGGAATCACTAGCCGCCTATTGGGATTCTGATTCAACCTCCCTAGTCGGTCATCCTACAGATGTCGCGATAAAGAAATTCACAGAGTTGATAGCCCATAAGGATAACAACCCTTCACATCAGTTCATCCTCAAACCAGTCTCAGGAGAGGGTCGTTTGACTATGAACCAGAATGTTGACAGTATATCCCCAAAGATTGACCTCGAATTGCTATTCGACCAAATTGGTTTCCTACTCGATGAACAGCAGTACCGAGATGCTCTCTTAATGGTCGATACTTTCCATTTCCACATCCGTCAATCACAATACAGACATTTCAGACCATCCGAAGAGGCCTTACTAGAAAATAAACCCAGGGCGCTTCTCAAATTCGCCGGTAAGGCCATCTTAAATGAAGTACATGAGCGTAATCGTAAATGGACTTGGGCTTACTTCGCTGAACGCCGTGATGATAGACGGCTTTACGTAGAACTCTGGAAGGAAAAGAAAGAGAATGAGCGCTTACAGAAACCTGCTGAACGGTCTGAAGAGCTTGTAAAATTGGAGGAGAAACTCCGTTATGAGGACATTAGATTTTACAGATCAATAGCCCGTTCGGAACTCCGAAAAGAGGCCCTCAAAAGGCAAGAAGAGCAGGGCGAATCCGCACATACGCCTTCACAATCCCAGGCTCAACAAGGTTGGATGGGTTGGGCATGGAACGCCGCCTCTTGGGCCGTTGGTAGTGAGACACAATCTGAAGAGAATAAGGGAAATTCAACAGCTTTGAGTGATCAACAACGTAAAGAACTCTACGATGCGATAGAATGGGATGAGAAGCAAGCCCTCAGTTCAGCTGTGGATTTGCCAAGAGATGCTATGAAGTTGCGTATTAAAGCTAAACTCCATACTGGATCTTTAGCCTTAAGGCGGCCGAAAATGAGCAATGACGATATAGTAAGTGTCGTCTTTAGCGCTCTCACTGCCGATATTGTCAAACGAGTCGATAACACTTCTGTCGCTGTCGGCCTTGGCGATCTTAACGTTAGGGATGCCACCAACCCTCGTACCGTCTATCCTAACATCGTACGTGTTAAGAGAGATGTCAGTGGAGAAGTCAAAGATCTAAATGAAGCAGTAACTAATTTGGCTATTGAAGGCGATAACGATGTCGATGGCAGTGAGAAATCAGGATCCGCAACTCCAACGCCTGATGATGACAAAAACAAGCAATTCTTCTACTTTTTGTGGGAATCTAAACCACTTGATAACAGAGCTGATAGCGCATTACAATTGAAAATGCGTCATATGGAGATTATTTATCATAAAGGCTACGTAGAGGCAATTCGTAACTTCTTCAAACCACCAGAGAGTAAATTAGAATCCATTAATGCCTTAATAGACGTTGCTTCTGAATCTCTTGATAGTTTCCGTAAGCAAACTCGTGCGGGTTTCGAATATGCCTTAGCCCAACATTCAACAATTGATCTCCGTGTTGATATGAACGCTCCTATTATTATTCTTCCTGAAGATGTTACTAACAAACGCACAATGCATCTTGTTCTAGACGCGGGCCATATCGCTATTGAATCCGACCTTGCTGATAAGAAAGCAATTAAGGATGTCCGTCATAAAGCACACAATCAAGCTGAATATGGAGAGAGTGATTGGAAGCAATTGGAATCTTTGATGTATGATAAGTTCTTCCTTAAGTTGAAGTCTGCTCAGGTAGGTATGCTTTTTTAGAATACATCACACTCACACTTTATTAGCTGCTTATTGGTGATGATCTGCCAGTATTGCTTGACGTATTGGAAAAGAAGACGGAGAGTGAGATTAATTACAACATAGTCGAAGAAATCAACATCGACCTCACAGTTCACAATAGTATCCTCCCGTCAGCGGTCAATCTCGCCAGATTCAAACTAGCAGGACACCTCCCGGAGTTGACGATCAACATCTCTGATAAGAAGTATCAATCGATGATGGCAATCATTGATGTTGCCATACCACATTTCGAGAATGACAATGGAAAGAGTCCAAAGAAGTCAACCCAGAGTACTGGACAGCATGGACGTAGAAATAGTATATTTGCTGCAGATCTACCTGCTTATGATCTCGATGTCCATGATGAGGAAAGTGAGATATCTGATGCTGATACAGCTGAAAAATTCTTTGAAGCACCTGAATCCGGTGCCGATGAGGGAAGCTATCGCCAACAAGTTTTCACGTTGGACTTTAGAGTCGACAAGCTACAAGCGAATGCTTATAGGAGTGGTCAAGATGGACAGGAACGCCAGCTCGCAATGGGTATACTCAAGGGCTTTTACCTTGGTTATGTATACAGGCAACTCGATATGCACGTCGACGTCGTCTTGCAATCACTCTCTATTGTCAACATTGAGAGAGATGGTCAGCATCTCCCATTGATCACTTCAGAGAGTAATGATCAACTTGCTCAACTAGTCAGAGTCAAATATGATAGGGTACAATCCGAAAGTCCAGAATTCCATTCTCATTATGATGGCATAGACCAATCTGTTAATGCTGATCTCTCAACTATCAACCTTCTCGCACGACCAGAGCCAATTATCGAGCTGTATGCTTTCATCATGGAGACTTTCGTCGGTGGACGTAACACCAACAACAGCAGCGACGATAATGGCTCGAGTGATGAGCTTGTCGCTAGTCCTTCAAATTCTCAACTTGAAGAACAAAAGGATGTTCCATCAAGGAAGATCAAGGTCGATTTCAAACTAAGTAGTATTGTTTTCAAATTGGATGATGGAATGAGGCAACTAGCAACATTAATCTTGTCAGCTGGTGATGTCTCCATTCTTTTGGATGGTAGCACGATGAAAGTTGCAGCTAAACTTGGTGGACTTGAAATTACAGATGATAGTCAAAAAGATGAAGAATTCAAGCAGATGCTCTCCATCGAAGGCGAAGAACTGGCTGACTTTAATTATCAAACATATGACCCAAATAGTGGTGAATATCCTGGTTATAATTCTGCTATATACCTCCGCACCGCGTCTTTGAAGTTCACTTTCAATGAGAAACCAGTAAATGATGTTTACAAGTTCCTTATCAAATTTGCACGTCTGAAGGCATTATATGACGCTGCAAGCAGGGCTGCTGCTGATGCTGCTAATGAGGCTTCTAGAATGCAATACGACGTGAGGGTTAAAGCACCAATTATTGTCGTGCCAACGTCAACACACGACATGCTTACCATGCGTCTTGGTGAATTTGTGGCTCAAAATACTTTCACAGGTGTCGAAATTGGTGATACTCAGAATCTCCACACAGGTCTTCATGGTATTAATCTCACATCAAGGATTAGAGATGACGACGGTCTCACTGAAACACTTCCAATACTCGACAATGTCAATCTTGACTTCAATTTCGAGATCTTTGACAAGGTTTCTAGTGGTGAGAAAGCGAGAAATGCAATGCAAAAGGTACGTAGTACTTTCCATAGGAAATTGCTATATGCTAACTTAAAACACACAGATTCATGGTCATATGACAGATGTCAAAGTAGCCCTCACCCAATCTCAATATGTATCCCTTTATGACCTCAGTAAGAGCATTCCTGCTGCATTCACTATCGACGACGAGCAGTCTATCGAAGAGGATGCCGAAAAGTTGAGTATTCCTACCGAGACCAAGAAGGCCGTTATGAAAGATCAGCAATTTAAATCAGTAACGAAGAAACCATCCGTCGATCTCAATCCTGAAATAATGATAAGCGATGACTTGTGGACCACAACCGAATTGTCGTTTGATGTTGGAACTGTATCACTTGAGCTGTTTACACCACTCGCGACAAGTGCTAGCAAATTGAAGGAAAATAGTATAGCGAGGTTTGCTTTGAATGACACAACTCTAAAATTGAAGACGCTCTCAGATGGCGCGATGGAGAGCGAATTGACACTCAAGAGTCTACGGATGGACGATACTAGGGCACAATCTGCGACGAAATTTAGGCAATTGATTCCACCTGCAGTTCATGACGGTCATCAATTCATGGTTCATTATAGTAAATCAGGTGGTACAGAACAATCCAGTTTGGCGCTAGTTACTATTGACTCTCCAAAGATTATTTTCTCTGTCGATCCACTTTTCGCTCTCACTGAGTACTTCTGGTCCGCGCTTCCGGTAGAGAATGAACCCGACCAGCAAACAGATCATCAGGAGGACCTCGGGGAAAACCTCGATGATGACAATGATAACGAAAATCTGGAAAGTAGCTCAACAAGACCTCCAGATGATATCAATCGTGAGCCTTCGTTCGCCTATAGATTGAACATTGTCAATACCTCTATAATCATTCTTGCCAATGAGTCAGAACCAACGACAGAGGCTATTGAATTGTCCGTTAAGCAGGTTTTGATGTCGCAACAAGGCGTTATTGCTCTCAAGGTCGATAAATTGGGTATGTTCCTTTCCAGGATGGATAAACCAAAGGAAAAATTGAGATTCTTGGATAATTTCGATTTCACCCTTAGTTATGATTCAAGAAAGGTCGATTTAAGACAAAACACATCAATTGAATTACGAGCAGAACCTATTATCTTTAGAGCATCCTACAGAGATATTATGCTCATCACTGAGATTTTCAATAAAGCTGTTGAGTTGTCTACTAAATCTCGACCAACTGCTACCTCAGGTGACCTTCGGGAGAGTGAATCATTAAGAATGATGCCAACTGACAGAAGTAGCTCACAGTTGGCACTCCCTGCCCCACCTTCTGCCAAACCTAAGGTTATTATCACGAAGGAAAATCTTAATGCTATCTTTGAAGGTTTCCAGGTTGTTCTCATTGAAGATCTCCATGAGTTACCACTTATTCACTTCTACACTAAGAAATTCAATATTGAGTTATTCGACTGGAGTTCGGAAATGAAGATGCAAACAGCTATATCTTGGGCTATCAATTACTTCAATCCTACTAATTCTCATTGGGAACCACTTATGGATCCATGGGAGTTTACACTTAGGGTGCGTGGTGGTAATGTAACTTAATGAAAGATGCTGACATTTTTTAGGGTGAACGTAGACAACCACCTGCGGGTATGAACATCACACTCTCATCTAGGAAGAGATTGGAGATTAATTTAACGTCAGCATTCATACAAACTGCCTTGCTATTCTACTCGCTCGTTGGAAACAATGCGACAAGATTACTGGAAAAACCTCGAGGTAGTTCAGCACCATTTTTGTTGCGTAATCACACTGGTTATGATATGGGTGTATGGCCAACTCACGAATCTGAAAGTGTCTCACCGTTAGCTAATAATACTGAATTGCCTTGGCGTTTCGAAGATTTGAGAACACTCCGTGAAGATGTCAGTGCTTCTGGTCACAACAGTCTTGGTATACAACTCGATAATACGAAATGGGAGAAAATTGGTAGAATTTCTGTAGATAAAGAGGGTCAACAAACTTACATCCTCAAGTCGAAGATAAGCAAGATTTTACATAGGGTTGTTGTGGATATAAAGCTACAAGATACCTTCAAGGTAGTTACTTTCAGATCAGCGTATCTTATTGAAAATTCCACACATCTGCCGATCGAGGTCGTCATCATTGGTGGAAATGGTAAGCCAACGAGTGCATCGACGAAGGTCGTACCAGGTGATAGTTACGCTTTACCGATTGAAGCTGCTTATGAGCAACGTATAAAGCTTAGACCTGATCCAGGATTCGATTATGGATGGAGTTCTGAAGCACTATATTGGCAGGACATCATGAAACGCCCTGCAAGGTCTATCAGTTGCAAATCTAACAACGCTGGAGAACCTTCATTTAGGTTCCAAGCATGCGCTGATTATGACCAAAGTGATGAACTTACGCAGATCTACCCACGCTTGACCTTGCGTTTGCGCGCTCCCATTGAAATTGAAAATCTTTTGCCATACGATATCAAGTTTAGGTTGGTGTGATATTTATTTACATGATAAATGATGCTGATCTAGTTGTAGAATGTTCGATAAGAATACCAAACAAGATTGGTCTTCTTTCCTTCGTCAAGGTGGTGTCAGTCCATTGCATCTCATTGAACTTACCCACCTTGTTTTGCTCAGTGTATCAATTGAGAATTCAGTCTTCTCACCAAGCGAATTTGCAATCATTAATACTGACAACCCTGATGATTTCCCAGTTGAGAACACTCTTAGTCTTTCAGATCAAGATTCACTCAAGCTTAATGTTCGCATACATTACTACCGCTATCCTAAATCAGCTGGAGCGTTTAAGGTACAAATATACTCGCCTTACGTGTTATACAACAAATCTGGTCTTGACTTCGTTCTCCGCTCGAAATCGCTCCTTGGAGCTGGTAAGAATGTCGCCGGGCAGGATCTTACATCGTCTAAAATCAAGAAGAGAGAGACAAGTCCATTCATGTTCTCACACAATTCTGATGATAGACAGAAACGATTTTTGTTGAAGATTGGTGATTCAAATTGGTCGAAACCTATCTCATTCGATGTCGCAGCTGCTGACACAGAGGTTACATTGTCAGCACAAGGCGGAGAAAATGTACATATTGGTATGAGTGTTGTTGAAGGTAACGGTAAATACAAGTTGAGCAAAGTTGTCACGATCCAACCTCGTTTCCTTATCAAAAGTCAATTAAACGAGCCAATAAACGTGCGCGTTGATAGATCATCAAATCTCGTTAATTTGAAGTCATTTGAGAGGAAGGCGTTGCACAGATTGGAAGGTATTGACGAAGACGAGCGTCATTTGCTCAGAATTGCTTATCCAGGTACCCAAGAGTGGTCTGCACCATTCAGCCTTACAGATGTTGGTCCAGTCCATTTGCGCATGCGTCATAGTGATCGTACCGAACACCTCATCAAAGCTGATGTATACATTGAAGGACCTACTATCTTTGTTTACCTTAAGAGAGACACCGACCCATGGCCTTTCAAGATTGAAAATAATAGTGATTCAGGTATTGAAATTTGGCAATCCACTACTGAAGGTGAGTAGCGATTTTGTACGCGAGGCTGTAGCATTCTAATCAAGTTTCTCAGGATATGACAATCTTTCCATGATGCCTGGATTGAAATCCAAGAGATACAGAGTTGATCCACGCAGTTCCATGGATTACGCGTGGGATGCTCCCGCCGAAACTGATAAAAAGCTTCGCTTGAAAGCTCAAGGAGGTAAAGAACGCTCGATCGATCTGATGGAAATTGGTGCTCTTCCACCATACCGCTTTGCTAGTGACACACTCTCTATCGATGTTAGAGCTGATGGACCGCGTCAAATACTCGTCTTATCACATTACTCACAGGATGAATCGCTCTATCAACCACGCAAAAAGAGTGTTTCTAGATCCGAAGCATCTGATTCTACAGCAGGTCTTTTCGAGGAGAAGAATGTTGAGACTATAATGAATACACAATTCAATTTGGAGTTGGAAGGTATCGGTATCAGTGTTCTCAATAAAAGAATGCAAGAGCTCTTTTACGCTTCTTTCAGAGGTATTGGTATGCAGTATTCAGATACTAATATACACACATCCTATAACCTTTCTTGCAAGTGGATTCAAATTGATAATCAACTCTTCGGTGGTCTCTTCCCAATTATCCTCTATCCTACAACTCAACCTAAGGATGGAAGAGAATTGGAAAGACAGCCAACTCTTGATAGTTCAGTCATTGTTTCAAAAGATTATTCTCATGGAGTTACTCGCATTGAGTATTTCTCTATGCTTTTGCAATCTATGACAATCGAAGTTGACGAAGATTTCCTTATGGCTTTGATAGACTTCAGTAAATTTGAAGGGCCTTCCTGGGATCAACAACAGGAAGATAGTTTGAATGAGAATCCAACTGATATCATTGAACCTGCTGACCTTGGTAGTGGTATGCAGTTATATTTCCAAGTTTTCCATTTACAGCCAATATCACTCGATTTGTCCTTCATGCGTACAGACAGGGTAAACGTCGATAATAAGACGTCGGCACATACACGTAACCCTGTTATGTTCTTCATTAATGCTCTTACAATGGCATTGGGAAATGTCAGCGGTGCACCTATAAGACTCAATTCACTTATTCTACAAAATGCAAGATTTACATCTGCGCTGTTATCACAACATATTATGATCAATTATAGGGAGCAGTTTATGTATCAGCTCTATCGTGTTCTTGGATCGGCTGATTTCCTTGGTAACCCTGTTGGATTGTTTAACAACGTCAGTTCAGGTGTTGCTGATATCTTCTACGAGCCTTATCAAGGTCTGGTTATGCATGGTAACAAAGAGCTTGGTATTGGTATAGCTAGGGGAGCAACTTCGTTTGTTAAGAAGACTGTCTTTGGTGTTACAGATTCCATGTCTAAAGTTACAGGATCTATTGGTAAAGGTGAGTGTAGAGATTTTTAATTTGAATTTTCTAACACCTATTCAGGTCTCTCTGCTATCACATTAGATCAGGAATACCAAAGCAGGAGAAGAATGACTCAACGTAGAAATAAACCAAAACATGCACTTTATGGTGTCACAGCCGGTGCAAACGCCTTTGCAGTATCAATTGCGTCTGGATTTGAAGGTCTTGCTTTGAAACCAATTGAAGGTGCTCAAAGATCAGGAGCTGGTGGTTTCTTCAAAGGTGTTGGAAGAGGATTGGTTGGTGCAGTTACCAAACCTGTCATTGGTGTCTTTGATCTAGCCTCGAACGTGACAGAAGGAATCCGTAATACAACAACAGTTTTCGATCCTCAGGATATTGATAGAGTTAGATTACCTAGGTATATTGCTGACGATGGTGTCTTAAGAGCCTACAATGAGCGTGAATCTCTCGGACAATCGTGGTTGAAGAATGTTGAAAATGGAAAATTCTTCAACGAAATATACGTTGCCCACCTTAATGTTAGGGGAACAGACGCAGTTTTGTTGTTAACAACTGCAAGAATAGTAGAAATACAAGTTAGGAGTCTCCAATTACGTTGGGAAGTTGCTTTTGATGAATTACATTCTATTAGTCTTGAAAATCATGGTATTAGCTTAAAATTGAAAGGAAATCTCGCTGGACCGTTTATGCATCTCTCTTCTCAGGAGAGTAGAACATGGTTCTTCCAGCGTATACAATCTGTCGTCAACAACTACAATTACGCGCGTAGTAAACCAATTGAAAGACAACAGACCCCCCATTATCCATAATGAAAAATAGTCACGATTAATTTTGTTTTGTTTTCTTGTTTAAAAATTGATGAATATATGTAAATTTTCTAATTATACAAAATCGCTAGAATACTATTTGGGATCCTTGTGGTGGAAGTGTTAAATCTTTTGTACTTGAGTAGCATGTCTCATAGTTAGCCTTCAGGGGTACAACTGATATGTTACCTTCCGACAAACAGTGCGAGTCTGTATCCTTATCAAGAGTCTCCGGTGCACACTCGATTAGAGCTTTGATGTCTGGTGCCCAAGCGAATGATAAAGGTGCACCATCCTCTATGACAGGCTTATTGACAATTGGTTTAGTAGGATCAGATGGACTTGAAGGTAGGAAAAGCCTCTCAAAGGAACTCTTCTGTATTGTGGTATACTTTGCAACCGATTTTCTAAGATCTGGTAACAATGGTATGTTTATACTGTATATATCAACTTGGTCATTCCAGTTAGCGATAAAGTGATTGATAAGATTACAGGCGATCTCATTAGCCTGTCCTACAGCTTCTGGAGAGACTGGGTTGGACATAATGCCGTAACTAAGCGAGATCGCTTTCCGTCCTCGGATAGCGGAACCGATAGCGCCTCCCTGAGAGCTGTTAGTTTGGGGAATTTCCGGAGAAAATGATACGTACAACAGTGCCAGATGAAAGTACCAAGGGTGTACTGCAATTGCGGCCATAGTTTGGACCACTGATGACCAAATCAGCGTCAGGTACGATGTTTGTGAGTGCCAAATTGGCTACAGAAGCTGGTGTACCTGTTATCATACACCAACGGGCAATTTCATCATCTTTGAGTGGTCTGCCGATCTCAGAAGTTTCTGGTTCAGCCTCCTTGTCTTTCTTGAGGTAATAGTAGTAACCAACCGCAGGCTGATCGATGAGGAAGCTCATTCCTGAGGGCTGTTAGAATATAAAAGCTAGAGGGGTCTACGTACCTGTAACAAAGTTAGAAAGTGTGTTATGGTTGAAAGTTGAGACTAACCTATCCAACTCCTCTGTTGAGCTGGTAAGACGACGTAGACATCGTGGAACTTGGCTAAGGATATGTAGAAATCCCTAATAAATGGACTCGATAGCCCTGGTGGACCATCGTCATTGACGAGTACGATACGCATATTTCCTGATCGTGGATGATGAACAAAGATGTCTAGAATTGAGACAATAATTTATACAATTATTTATGAGTTATGCACAGACTGGTAAAACGTTGAGGCTCCCGGATAGCGAATTAATACCCTGAAATTATTCTCTCTTTATTACTACAATGACACAAACAAGCACACCATTAGTAGAGAACTGGATTGACAACGGAGCTAGGAAGTCGACCGACGACAACCTATACGTCGTCCAGCACCCGAATACCCACAACCAGCCACACGCTGTTGTCTCTGCATCTGAAGAAGACATCGACAGAGCAATCACTTCTGCTCACTTGGCCTTTAAGTCATGGAAGAAGACCACACATGATCAACGCAGGGATATACTCCTTAAAGCTGCTCAAATACTTAGAAAGCGTAAAGATGACGTATACGAAGCTTATTCTTCTGAGTTGGATGTAAACCATCACTTTGTAGACTTCCTCGTTGGCATCACCTCGAGTATGATCGAAACTGCAGCAACACTCATCATTCCTTCACTCACCGGCGAAATTCCACCTACGAAACGTGATAATGAAGCTTTATACCTCTGCGAAAGAGAGCCACTTGGTGTTTGCTTAGCACTCGCTCCTTGGAACGCAGCAACAAACTTGTCTATCAGAGCAATCGTAAACCCACTCGCTGCTGGTAACACTGTTGTGTTCAGAACAAGCGAGACTACCCCAAAGACACACGCTATCTGGGGTTCTATCTTCAAGGAAGCAGGTTTACCAGATGGTTGTCTCAATATCGTTCACACTTCACGTGGTAATGCACCAGCCGTCACTGAGAGGTTGATCGCAGATGACAGAATCAGACATGTTTCATTCACCGGATCAACTAACGTTGGTAGACAAATCGGAAAGCTCTCTGGATATCACTTAAAGCCATGCCTTCTTGAGGTGAGTTGTTGGTCTTTCTGGGGGAAAACTTTACTAAGACACTGACAGCTCGGTGGTAAATGTCCGGTTTTGGTTCTCAACGATGCAGACTTAAACTTGGTTGTCAACCAATCACTCTTCCACGCTTGGGTCAACGCTGGTCAGATTTGTATGGCTACCGAGAGAGTTCTCGCCGGTGGATCAACCTATGACAAATTAATCCAGACATACAAGGATAATGCCCCAGAGAATGCATCCTCACCGGTTGCCATGGCATCCTCTCATCAACGTATCGTAGGTCTTGTCGACGAAGCGCTCTCCAAAGGTGCTGAATTGGTCATTGGAAACTGGCCACCTTCAAAAGAAGACGTCGAGAGCCGCAAGATACCTAACATCATACTCACCAAAGTGACACCAGAGATGTCCATCTGGACTGAAGAAACCTTTGGACCGATAGCTATCGTTGTCAAGGTTGAAGAAAAACAAGGTGAAAACGAGGATGAGGCTATTGTGAGATACGCGAATGAATCACGCTATGGATTAGCGGCTAGTATATATTCAAAGGATATAACACGCGTCTTGAAGCTCGCCAAGGAAGTTGAAGTTGGATTGTTGCGTATCAACGAAGGAACGATCGGTGACGAAAGTGTTTGTCCGTTCGGCGGCTGTAAGGACACAGGATTTGGAAGGTTCAATGGCGTAGAAGGTATTAGAGAGTTCACTCAAATAAAAACTTATTCTATTGCTTTGTAATTTAAATATTAAATCTTGCTTTCTAACCGTCATCTCGCTATCAGAATGAGTGAACTGACACAGCAGCAGTGAGTGAGGGATAAATAAAAATACGCTTATTTATATATTACTAGGTTGATGTTCATCATGTTAGTCTAGTACCCTTACTCTCAGTCCATCGCTTACAATACACCAGGCAGCAGCGACAGCTACAAATGCAACAGCAGCAGATAGCGGCTCAGCAGCAGCAGCATGCTAGCAACACCACTCCACAGCATATCACTCCTCAGCAACTCCCTCAGCAGCTTCCACAGCAGCTTCCACAACAACATCCCCAGCAGCCAGTCATCCCGTTTAAGATATCCCCCCATGAGTTTTATAAGACGTTATCCGATTTAATGGTACGACGTAATACACCAATCCCCCCTCAGATACTCACTTGGCCCCCTCAGCCAAATGGTGGTAAGGGTGAACTTCCATTAGGTAACAAGACCATAGATCTATATAAACTTTTCGGTGTCGTCATTCAACTCGGTGGCTCAGCTAAGTTGCAGCGAGAACAGCAGTGGCCTCAGGTCTTGCAGATACTCCAGGTTCCATTACAGTACAACAACGTCAATGTTCTAAACCAGACAATGAGTTATTACTTTCATTTATTACAACCGTTTGAGGAATTATACATTAAAATGTTTATCGCTAGACGCCAACATCAGGCCCAACAAGCTCAACAACAAGCCCAGCAACATCAAGGTCAGCAGCAGGCACAAGCTCAATTACTGCAGCAGCAATTACAGCAGCAGCAACAGAGACAACGTGAAGAGCAAATCCAAGCACAGGTGCAGGCCCAGGCTCAAGCACAGCAGGAGCAACAGCTTAGAGAGCAACAATTGAGAGACCAACAGGCAGCCGCATTGAAGCAACAACAACAACAGCAACAGCAACAGCAGCAATATCAGCAATTCCAACAACAACAAGCTCAATTGCAACAGCAACAGCAACTCCAACAACTTCTGGCTGAGTCTAGCACACCACAACAACATTTTTCACCCACACCTCACAATCAGTCACCCTACATGCCTCCACAGCAGATGCGGATGTCTAATACTCCACAGCAAACTTCAGTACACCTCCCGCAACAATCTCCACATATTGGTGTCAATAGCCCTCATGTGAGAGCACAAGCTGCTACACCAATCATACCAGTTCAGTCACCAGCGTCACAGACTCAACCACCTAGGTCAGAAAGTCGAACCCATTCAAGGCAGGCCTCAGGCCAATTCCAGCCACCACAGGCAACACAGCAACAATTGCAACAACAGCAACAACTACAACAACAATTACAGCAGCAACAACAATTACAACAACAGCAGCAATTACAACAGCAACAACAGCAGCAACAGCAGCAACAACAACAACCACAACAGCACCTTCCGCAGCCGCCACAGATTAAAAAACAGAAAGCACCACCTACACGTCAAAAAGGAGATACTTATATACCATACAAGAGGTCAATCAATACTTACGGAGGTTTGAATATGGATGAATTTGAAGATGAGCGTGCGATTAATAAGGCTATGATAACTCCACGTTCAGTGAATGAGTTCAGAGATGTCGAGATATCGAAATTGATTCTCTCACTCAGAAGTAGACTCAATTTCGAGTTGAGTCACGCCCTCGTCTGTTTGACCCTCCTCTCGACTTCAAGTTTAGTTCCGGAAATAGCATTAGAAAAATCTGAAGAGTTGTTCGAGGAACTTTTGGAATTACTCGTAGATGAATCTAAAACAGGAGATGTTCAATTTAATTCGCACCCTCTCGAAAAAATAATGACAAGACAGATGGATTTACATAAGCAAGTTTGTCAAATGGGCTCTAACCTCCAACCGGAGAAGGACATCAATGATTCTTATCCATGCACGACACCAATTAATAAAATACTCTATGTTACCAATATAATTCGCAATCTATCAACAACTACTTGCAATCATGGTATAATAGCCAATTCAAGTACTTTAATTAGATCTTTGTTACTTATTTCTGATTGGAGAGATAATGATATGGCAACACCACTTGAGGTTTTCCAAGTTAGGAATGATACTTTGCAGATAATTTCACATGTTGCTAGATCACTCGATTTGTCCAGACATTATTCAGCCTCAGATATTGTTCGGACGATGTTCGATTTCTTTCTCGGTTATTTAGCAAATAGGGATGAACAGGAGGCTTACCCAGCTGGGTTCCCTATTAGTAGGAGTAACATGTTGGCATATCTACCACCATACGAAGCTGGTGTACCATACTGGAAGGACCTTGCAATTGAATCAGCAACAGTGATCTCAACACCTGAATCTAATCGTGAAATAATAGCATCCTCTCTGAGTGAAGAGACGAAATCAGTTTATATAGATGAACTACTCAAGTTGATACCGCAGTTTGATAAGGAATTTCATCTGCTTAACACGGAATCAACGTTAGCACATATGGAGAGATTGAGTATGGCATTATACAACTTTGTTAAGATTTCACCTAAATCTCTCTTGAGTAAGCTAAGAGAGGATAGCGAATTCAAGGAGAGGTTATTTAGAGTTATAACCAGGTTGGCATTCATGAATAGATCCGAATGGGAGAGGAATCCATTCCATGTTGTTATACGACGTACAATTGAAACACTTAGACTTGTCAATGATCTTGGTGTGGATGATACCGCTAGCGAAGAGGATGGAATGGAGATTATGTACGGCTTTGGTAGTTCAGGCGAGGCAATTATCAAAAATCCAGAAGTTGACCATGCAACTAAAAAGACAAAAGTAAGAAGAGGTTTACTCGCTGATCGAATGATTGAGGTGCAATCTCTTTTACTTATTCCATTTATAGATAGAGTGAGTGTTCATATTCTTGAATGTTTCTTACTAATGAATATATTAGGTTTCCTTCCATGATCTCGAACGACTGATAGAATTAGGCTAATTTGTTGTTAAATTTAATATTCTGATGTATCACTATAGTATATAAAATAAAAATTGTACACTTTACACGAAATTATACACTTTATCCAATATGTTGTTTATACAATGTTTGAAAAAATATCCTTAAAGAGAATGTCTAAATCTGTTGTGAAAATTGAAGTCTTTGTAAGATCATTGGCGTCCTTCAAGACAGTAAAAGAAGTTCTGGCGGTTGCTAGAATGTTTGTATCTAGATTACAGCTACTTATTTTATCTAATACATTTGCATATACGTTAGCAAGTCTTGATGTTGGTTCTAAAACTCTAAGTGATTGAACCAGTGTGTAGAATTCAATTGGAAGACCTTGTGAAGTATCATGTGCACTAGAATATGCGAGTAAATGATTACGGGCGGCTACCCAAATGTTCCATACGAAAATAGGCGAAGATGTTATACCTTTCAATTCAGGATTGTAGATATTTTGATCTGTCATTTCAGCAGTTAATTTTGATGCTATGACGTTCACTTGGTTAGCTGCTTGGGCGCATACACTACGTGAATTCTCACTAGCTTCAAATATAGGTGTAGTTAGTGGTGGGTATGCATATGGTGAATGATGACGCAGAACTGTTGAATTGTAAAGTAAGATAACTTCAGGAAGACTGTTCGTAGGTGGTATTAAAGATTCTATACGCTCTGAGATGTCTTTGTGAATCGAACGCCAGTCCTCAACTTCCTGTTGATTGGAAAGGTTCACTTCAGTTGAAAGCAATGAGTGTATGTCATCGTTAAGAAGGAACAACTCGACATAACTTCTGAATCCATCTATAGCCCGACGGTTATCACCATCTAGTTCTAAATTATAGTAAGGTAATTCAACGTTCTGATTATTGTTTATTCCAAATGACCACTATGGTTGTGAGCGAGTATAATCATCTAAGACATAAACTCACGCCTGTTGTAAAGCTCGCCAATCTATCTATTATGAAGGCAGACCAGAAAAGTCTCTTTGATTCTTCAAATGCAGTTGATGTGTCATCTGTTGTAATGCTAATAAGTTGTGTAGATTGCATGAAAGGTGATCTACGGGTCTTGAATATCAAATTGATAATACGAGATAACGAGAAGAGGTGGCTCCAACTAACAGGGTTGTGACCATCTCTTAAGGAATTCCAAGACAGTATAATGAGTGCTTGGATTGTATCGATATCTAAAGAATTATTTGATTCGTTTAGGACGATATCGCGAGATCGACTGGCCTGTTCTTCAATTCCGAGTGGAAGAGTTATTGCAGTTAAAGGGCAAATGTAGTCAGATTTAATGAATGTCAAAGTAGAGTAAATGATTGCATTTAAAGTCAACCTCAGGATAGGCTTACTTTTGTTCAAGAAGGGTGTTTGCAAGTGTAGAGTGTGAAAGAAAAGTTCTACAATTTGAGTAACTGTTGATTGATTGAGAGTGTAATTGTCAGTAAAGAAAGCTGATGACGTTGATATCGAAGGTGATGTACTATCATGACTATGGTGATTCTGATAGAACGATAGTTGCTCTTCTAACTCAGCTACTCGCATTTCTAATTGCTTGCCCGCGCCTTTCTTCAAACCTGGTTTACGTTTCTCAGAGAATAGACAATCATCACCACGTTTTATACAGGCATTACAGGGTTGTTTACCATTGCAGCGTACTCTACGGGCCCTGCAACGTGTACAGCTCGTCGCCATTGGTCTATTTGTTAGTGTCATTGATGACTTAATTAAAGCAACTCGGTCTAATATTCTAGCGGTGAGTTTATTAAGAAAAAAGCAAAAAGCAGAATAAAAGATAATTTATTAGTTAGTTTTAATAACTTACTAGGGACTATAGCAGTAATCACTAGACTACAACTACGATAGAAGCCATAAGTAGAGAATAATACTAGCTTATAGAATCTAAAAGTAGAAATTTAATTACAAGAAGAAATATTTTATTATATAATTAAGATCAGAGACTGGCTTGAGTCTTTTTCTGAGCAACGATGAACAAAAATAAAGTCGTCGATGATTTTATTGGGACGATAGATTCAGATGAAGAAATCGATGAAATAGAGGAACTCGAGGAACCAGAGCAGCCAAAGTTGTCCAAGAAAGAACAGATACAGAGGCGTAAGAACAAGGAAGTCATACAAGATAAACCAGTCTCTAGTAAAGGGAAGGAAATTGAACTCGAATTCGATTTTGAGAATATAAACAACCATCTAAACCTCGCAAAATCTGATGAACTCCAGTCTATCAATAGCAGCTCAATCGACAACATTATAAAGAAGAAGCTCAACACTTTGGATGACACTCTAAAGGAGAAGAGGAAGAGTGTTCTTGATAAAAGTATGTCTTCTTATTCATACCATTCACCTCTAACAACCTCAGACGATATCGACGACGAAGAAGAAGACGTCAACGACGACGACACTGGGAGCGAAAACGACGAAAACATCATCGACGATGACGACGATGACCCTCTCGCTTCCTCAGATGAGGAGAACGTCGAGGAAGACGATGAAGACGATGAAGATGTCGAACAAGACCAAAAAGAAGAAAACTCAGACGAAGACGACTCAGAGGAAGATGAAGATGAGGAGCGCAAGAAGAACGAATTCTTTGCTCAGCAGCCAACAGCATCAACCAACAAAAAGAACACTTTCACTTCCCTAGGCCTCTCGAGACCAATTCTCAAGGCAATCTCTGGTCTAGGATTCACTCATCCAACACCAATCCAAAAGACTGTCATGCCAGTCGCCCTTGCAGGTAAAGATGTTGTCGGTCAGGCCGTTACTGGTTCAGGTAAAACTGCTGCCTTCATTTTACCAGTTTTAGAGCGTCTGATGTATCGTCCAAAGACTTCTTCAAAGGGTGGTGAGACTAGAGTACTCGTCTTGTGTCCAACTCGTGAATTGGCTCAGCAATGTTTTGAAGTTGGTCAATCATTGAGTAAATTTATGGGTGATATCTCATTCTGTCTTTGTGTTGGTGGTCTTTCACTCAAATTACAAGAACAACAATTAAAACAGCGTCCTGATGTCGTTATAGCTACCCCTGGTAGATTAATCGATCATGTTCGTAATTCACCTAGCTTCACATTAGACGCCCTTGATATTCTCATCATGGATGAAGCTGATAGAATGCTTGAAGATGGTTTCAAAGACGAACTCGATGAGATTGTCAAGGAATGTCCAAAGAACCGTCAAACGATGTTATTCTCTGCGACGATGACCGATAAGGTTGATGAACTTGTCAGACTCTCCCTCAATAAACCAGTAAGGTTGTTTGTAGATCCTAAAAAGTCAACTGCAAAGGGTCTTACTCAGGAGTTCGTACGTATACGTTCTAATAGCAAGAATGATTTGAAGGAACGTACTGCTACACTGCTTTCACTCTGTAGAAGAACATTTAAGCAACGTACTATCATTTTCTTCCGTAGTAAAGCACTCGCTCATCGCATGCGTATCATGTTCGGTTTAATGGAACTCAATGCTGAAGAACTCCACGGTGATCTCTCCCAAGAGCAACGTTTGAACGCATTAGAGAGGTTTAAGAATCAGAAAAGTGATTATCTTCTAGCTACCGATCTCGCAAGTAGAGGTTTGGATATTAAAGGTGTTGAAACAGTTATCAACTTTGATCTACCAAATCAAATTGAAATATACCTACACAGAGTTGGTAGAACTGCAAGAGCTGGTACATCAGGTAGATCTGTATCACTCATTGGTGAAACTGATAGAAAAATGCTCAAGAATATCGTCAAACGCTCTTCAGCACAATCTACAGATTCTATAAAACATAGAATAGTACCAACTGATGTTCTCTCAGATGTCGCAGAACTTGTTGAAAGTTTACAAGACCAAATTGATGAGATTCTCAAAGAAGAAAAGGAAGATAGAGCTATCAGAGTTGCTGAAATGGAATTACAAAAGTCTAAAAATATGATTGAACATGAGGATGAAATCAAGTCACGTCCTGCGAGAACATGGTTCCAAAGTGAAAAAGAAAAGAAAGACAGTAAAGGTAGGTAATCTTTATTATTTGACTGATAACACTCTAACAAACCCCTACAGAGGCTGGAAAAGAGCAATACAATGCCAACTTTGATAAAGGTGATGCTGATAAGACCAAGAAAACACACGATTCTCTCGGTCGTAAACTCAATGCATTCTCCGGTTTGAGCAGAAAAGACAGACGTAAGAAGGAAATGAAGGAAGAGCTCGAAGCAGATAAAAATAAGAGTAAAGGTATCGATTACGCTGTTAGATCCGCAAAGAAGGCCGTCAAACCACAAAGGATGTCGGTACTCGCAGATTCTTCAGCTAAATCATCACAAGCCAAGTCGCAACCATCGAAGAAACGTAAATCAACTGGTTTCGAGGAGGACAAATCTGTCAAGGCTCCTAAAAAGAGCAAAGAAGGTGAACGCGCTAAACCAGGCGCTGCTATCGGTCGCTCAAATAAGAAACCTCGTGCTAAGGGCAAAGGAAAGAAGTAATTTTATAGAATTTTTTTAGTAATTTATTAGTCATTATTATTATAGGAGTATTAAAATACAAAATTAATTTCCAAAAACATCTAATCAACTGTATTAGAATCAACGATTAAGTGCGGAGATATCAGGTAGATCCATCCCATCATCTGCATCTGCCCAACTTATATTGCTAGTGAGTGATGTCTTGTGACGAAGGTTAGGATCCTTATGTTGATGTTTGACTGGACGAGAAGATTCTGCAGTCTGAATTGGTCTCTGAGCAGGCGTAAATGGCTTTGCTTGAGGTTGTAGTACATTTCCTTTACGCATTGAGCGAGGTGCTTTTGGTGGTTCTGCAAAACGGAAAGGAGTAGGTTTACCATCATATGATGGCTTGCGAGTGTTCAATTGATCGCGTGGAGCATGCATGCTGGCTGTTGTCGATAGGACAGCTGCTTCCTTTTGATAAGACTGTCGACGGGGTTTTTGAGGCGGAAAAAATGGCTTGCTTGATGGTATATGTGCTTGTTTCCTTGGTTCTGATAGCTGTGACGGTTTACTTGGTGGTGATAGCTGTGACGTCTTATTTGGTGGTACTGTCGATGGTTGACGTGATTGAGATGGTTTTCTAGGTGGAACTACCTTTATCGGTTCTAATTGTGATTGTGATTGTTCAGTTACACTGCCAGAAGCACCATCTTGATCCGTTGCGAGTGTAGCAGCCCGCAATCTTAAAAGCAGCTCATTGACTGAACTTTGTCGTGTATGTCCTCTAGAATGACCATTTGTCTTGCTATTTGCATGCGCATTGACTTGGCCATTGTCCGGTCCGTTGGTAGTTGACGTATTTGCACTACCATGAGCATTTCCCATACCAATATCATTATGTTTAGGCTTGCCAGTTTTGTTAAGAGACGACTTTCTGTCGGTATTAGACTTCCTAGGCCCTGTTGGAGGCAACTTCGGTGGTCTCGATGTTGAAACCTTTGTCTCAGCCGCTTCCACAGATGGATTAGGTGCATGTAATGACGTACTTGCAGGTTTTGGTGCCCACAAGGATGTGTTTGTATCCGGAGTAGTTTTTGGTATACTTTCCTTCTTGATTTTAAGTATGTCAGAATTCTTGTCTCCCTGTTGTTCATTTTGACGATTTCTTCTGCTTCCTAGGGAGCTCCTTCTATTTTGAACACTTCCAAAGTTGAACTGAGAGGCATCTGGATTGAGCTGAGACGGAATTTGAGGGTGTGGCAGCTGTGCTCGCTTTTGTAATTCAGGCACTCTGTTATGGTTGTCCATAGTTGCAGTAGATTGGGTTAAGTGAGGTGGAGCAGCTTTTTGAATATTGGTTTGGCCATTAGATCGTCTCCTCGTGGTTGATTTCTCTGGTGTGTTTCCAAGTTGATCGTTGTTGAGTCGACTTATAAGCGATGGCTGTTTCGGGGTTTCTCTAGCTGCACCGTTAGGTATATCCTTAGGCATCTGCCCTACCGTCTGGGTCTTGGTTGATGTGGCCCATCGAGAAGCACCGCTAGATTTCGTTGGAGAAACGTGGATATCCGATTCCTTATTATCCTTCCTTGGGGACGAACTTTTATTAAATTGGCTTGTCGTGCTTGTGTGATCATCGCTTCTAACCTTAAACTGTTCCGGTCTAGGTTGTGGCTTTACGACGCCTGGATTGAGCTCTGATAGTTTATTCCAGCTGCAATACTTCCCCGTCGGTACAAAAGTGCTGCCATTGACGCGTTTCTGAGTTTGAAATTCGATTACGTCGTCATCTGTGACTCTAAAAGGTGGCAGATGTGACAATTGCTTATTGGTATCTAGATTAAACGTAAATGAGTGTGTTAATATCACTAAAAAGTTATACGCACCTTTATCAGATAGTTCTCTAGTCCAAACGTGGGATAAGAACGCATGAGAACCGAAATAGTCAGTGAACTTCAGAGTCGTTAGTTTGTTTATTATAACTAATTCATTTATTACCTCTACGTATTCGTCATTCTCCTCTTCTGTCGAAATTGACAGAAAAGTGTGGATTGAAGTCATGGTGGTGTATAATCAAGGGTGATTATAGAAGATAGCTAGATTATTATTAGCTATTTACATTCTTCCGCATTTAACAACTGGTGAGCTCATAAATGATTCTAATGAGAGAATTAGCCTTGCTTGCTACAAATATATACGTTATCTATATAATACATCATCTTGTTGATTTGAAGTCTACCTAATAGTCCACCAATTAGATGATATACGCTTTTGCGAGTTGACAATAGATGCACTACCCCCATCGAATGTTATCTTGGCTTTTCCGTGAAAATTAAACAACTTCTAAATCTAAAGTATAGAATAGAAGCTTTGACTGAAGCGCAATAAGTACTCAAGAAGGAAGCTTTCTGTGCAGAATCGACAACAACCATATCCTTAGAACTCTTGATTGATCTGTGACATTACTCTATACTACTTTAGGATCTTCTCAACCCATTATAATATAACTACTGTAAATAATGTAAAGACATAGCTATTGATCGATACCTGATGTCTTAGAATGATAGTTGTGCTGCATACTATATAAACTCTAATAAACCATAAACACCTTAGTCGTAGAACAACGTATTTGAAAGCACTCTATTGATCTATTTTTCCATCTCCACTGTATACTGTTCATTCAATCATTTATCTCTACTCAAACATCATACATCTCAAATAATCTATAGATAAAAGCATGCAGTCAAATTAGACGTATAAAAGTAACTTCCTGAAGTGACTTGTATTAATTGATCTAAAACTTATCAATATTTCATTATTCTATTGTTATCAAAATTGCACATACGGAAGTAAGAAATCAAGTGATGGAGTAGACCTTAATTAGTCTGTATAACTAACAAATGATTAATATATATATATATGTCATTTGATTCTCTAGAACTACTTCTTTTTCCCCATATCCACATCTTTGTTATGAAACACTTTCATCGTGACCAAATACTGGGGTGATATAATTCACATAACAAATACATGGAAAGTGTACATGAATAACACAATAAAACAGGGAGAAAATTGACATGTTCTAAAAAATATAGTACTCTCTGATTTCAAATGGCAAAAAGAAATCTCCCTGTCTGGGAGTTGAACCCAGCTCTCCCGCGATCAGCCTGAATAACCAGATATTAATGACAAGCGGGCGTACTAGCCGATATACTAACAAGGAATCTGACTTCATTTTCAGACTACATTTTGAGTATCCAAAACTATATTTTCTCCTGTATAATCCAAGAGAAAATTTTTCTGTAACATTCCACTTAGGACTTCATACTCAGCAATGCGATGCAGAATGCGAGAACGCTACACAGCTCCACTGAAAATCGAAGCTTCGAAATTGTCAGCCCTCAAGTCCAATACCTCAAAAATATCAGCCGGAAAGCTGACAGCTGCAAAAACTGCTAAGATCCTCAACGAACTACCCAGAGCGACACGATGCCTAGCAACCCAGCTACGTACAGGTCACTTCCCTACGACTAAGTCATACCGCTACCGATTCAAACTAATCGACTCACCTAAATGCAGGACGTGTGACACAGATGATAACATCTCGCACAGAATATTTATATGTAGAAGACACATAATGGCAAGAATCACCTTGCGAAGAAAGATAACCAAGATAAACATTCGGTTCGAATTAGGTCCAATGCTAAGGAACGCACAAGCTCTTCAAGCCCTTTATGAGTTTTTCAAACCGCAATTGACTACGTACCCAAGATACTCCGGTGGTTCGGCGTAACCGAGAAAATTCCCGGACACGCAAATCATCAAGACAATTTACGACACTAGTCAAGAAACGCTTCTCACCAATTCAACACAGCATTCAAATCCTCATGCTTTAAGAAGTATTGATGGACGCAGTTTAACTTTGTATCGTCTTAACAATATATTTAGATTTCATCATCATCTTCATCAGCCCGCTATGAGAACAATGAGAATAAAACGAACAATGAAGATAATGCATGATTATGCACAAGAACAAAGAGCAATGGGAATAACCCTAGAATTCTAAACTATTTAAACGATGACTTTTTCTTTTAATACACTCAGACTTAATTCTTTTATTAATCTCAACGTCTCTCACCCTTTGTGCAAGTTTTCACATCACAAAGAGTCAGACGTTTACAAAGGTTCCGCTGTTCCACCTGATTACCGAAAGTATTTATTAATTCCTGTTCGAACTCTTCCCACGGTGGTGTGTATTCTCCTTGCGTTTTCCTGTATTGTACGTACCAGTATCGGGCGTGTCCCGTGAGTAGTCCAGCCGCGTATTCGGTTTTCCTTTCCTCAGTGTCTCTTACGTACTTGAAATAGGCATTCAATTGGTCAACCCATACTATAATTTTAAGTGTGTCTACTCCTCCCGCGAATGTTGGTGGTTCTTTTATTTTTAATTTGCCGTCCCCAACTTTGTCGTTTAATGGCGTTTCTTTTCTGGTTTCTTCAAGTTTTCTTATTGTCTCTTGCCAGAATGCTCGATACGCGTCTTCTTTTGCCTGCTGCGTTACTTCAAAATTGCTCCTTAGTCTTTCTAATTCTTCTTGTAATACTCGAATTCTGGTTTCGTTTGTCGGCCCTTTCGTTTGCTACCACTTCTGCTCTTATAGCCCTTTCGTTTGCTACTGCGTCTGCTATTGCTGCTCGATGTGGTCATGAAACTGAGCGACCCGTGACTCATTGTCGCCAAGGTTC